GTGTGTGTGTGTGTGTGTGTGTGTGTGTGTGTGTGCTCTGCAGCCGATGAGAGACTACGCAGTGCGTACCGCCGCGAAGTCAAGTACGCGTGAAGACCCAGGCGCGTCAGCTGGCTCGGCTGTATGAAGCACAAAGCATTGAAAGATTCAGCCTTCGTCTTGAACAGATTGGCGCGACGGACGATGAGGGCAACGGATGGCAGCGAGACGAAAGCGGCGATGGAAGTGCTGTAAGACACCAACACCTTGACCCTGAGCCGGTGTTGAACCCTGAACAGCCACAAGCGTGTCGAGAAAATCCACCAAAATGTTAGTTTGTACAAATCACGTGAGCCAACACGAAGCCATTCCGCGTAGTACTGTGCTGTGGTGTGGAGAAAGCTTTGTGTCACTTTCATCAAGCAGCTTCCTTCCACCTATCATCACCTTCGCATTCCGATCACATTGAGCGGCCTCAGCATGCCGGGAAAGGTGGCCACAATGCCTGCTGCAAGTGGCGCGAGTGTCGCAACCGCAGCCGCTCCTGCTGCTGCAAAGCCGGTGACACGTACTCGCAGCGCTGCAGGTGCTAGAGCCACGACCACCACGACCACTCCAGCTAGCACATCCCGCACCGCACCCAAGAAGGCGTCAGAAGGGAGAACGGGGGCTGCGCTATCATCTGCTTCCTCGAGCCGCGCGACCTCTGCGACAATTGCATCAACATCGTCCGCCACTGGCCGATCGACCTCGACCACCTCGACGCGAACCACAGCATTGAGTTCCCGCACAGCGTCCGCGAGTAAAACAGCTGCAGTGAGCGTGATGCCCACCGTCAAGGGCGCATTAGCATCATCCAGTACGTCTCGGATACGGTCAGCACCTGCTGCAGCCGCAACGAAGGCGAAGTTCCCAGTCTCGCAGCAGCCTCCCTCTTCTACAGACGCAAGCTGGACTGAGGCAGAGGTGCTTGCAGCGCTCGCCTCGCCTCGGTCGTTGCCGACCACATTGCCGCACTTCGTCCTCCTTCAGCTCGGTACTACCGCCACAGAGCTCGATCTCGGCACCGAGCTCGGCAACTCCCCTTCCTTCACCTCCCCGCCCGCCAAGCTAAGTCCTGCTCGCTGCGTCTATTTCGCCAAGCAGCTCGTGAATGCTGGTCTGGCCTTCTTCGCAGAGCTTGTCACAACCGGCTGGCTAGCAACAGGCAAGGAGACAAGCTCCGAAGTTGAGCATGTCATTGCAGCCATCAACACGTTCCGCATCGCATCCCGCTTCCTTCTCTCGACCCACCACGCCAGCGCCTCCCAGAGCTCGGGCAAGCAGAAAAAGCTCGAGGTCGAGACCGTCATTCTCCGCACTTGCTCGAAGCTCAGAACAGTCGGGCTCACAGACATCGCCCGGGCCGAATGCGAGTATCTCGAACGTCTCATCGTGAGCGTCACCTCTGAGGACACGTCGCAGCACGTCACCTTCTTGCCGCCATTCCAACACACGACCAACTCGATATCGGAACCATCACCCGCCCGCATCTCGTTCCTAGTTGATCTGCAGTCCAACCGTGTATCCCACGCTCTCGAATCGGCCAACTCATCCACGTTGGACTTGATCTTAGCAGATCTCAACCACGAATACGGTCCTCTCGCGTGGCAGCTCTATGGCCGCCGGCATGGTGGCGAAGTCCGCGTTCTGGACCGCGCCGCTTTCGCAACAGAACGCTCCATCTCGAAAGCTCTACAGCGGCTCGAAGCACCTAACAATCAAGAGTATCTCCCCTTGCGCACTCTCGCCTTACAATTGCTCGTCCAAGTCAGCGACATTGACTTGACTGCCTTCTGGGAGCGGGTAGCGCGTGCCGGCGGCGCGGTCCTCAAGACGGCACAGAGCCAAGGAGAGGATGTCGCTACAGCTTATGACGCCGTGCAAGACACCTTCGAAACAATCATCGCCACTGCCGCCAATGTCGCCGAGAATTCAGAAGCAAAGACGAAGCTTCAAGGGGAAGGGTTCCAGCGCTTCTGCGAATACTGGCTCAGCTTTGCCAGAAAGGCCGGAAGCTCGGTCGGAATCGAACGTGCTACTGCGGCGTTGTCAGGGGAGAGCCTATCTGCGCAATCTGGGTCCGCCGACTGTCCTATCGCAATCCATGACACGGGGCCGAACACTGCAGAGGTCAGTTCATCGAAGCTGGTCACGCTTCGAGCTCATCTGAGCGACACGGACATCGCCAAGATCTGCGCCGCCCTCACCGGGAGCGTGCTTGCGCTTGACAACGTCCTGGCCGGCAAGTCGGAAGAAGGCACGCAGGCCAAGCTCGACGAAGCTGCCCGGATCCTGACGCAAAAAGTCGCAGCTTGGCCTGTCACCGGTCCGATGTCTTCGCAGCTCAAGCTGTATCGCGTTCTTGACCAGCTCCACCGTCGCAGCTGCAGCAAGCTCAGCAGTCAGGGTTGCGACAGCAAGGGTCAGCCCAAAGCCGATCCGACCGGCTCTGCCAATGTCGACAAGCTCGCTCAGGCCTGCCTGCAGCTTCTACTCAGCCTCCTCGCGCATTGCGAAGCATCGACCACCAGCTCATCGTCTTCCGAAGTGGGAGCTGAGTCCACACCTGCACGCACCGCCTCCCTTCCGAGCAGGGACGCGTGTCTCACCGATATTGTCTACGGCTACAGAGTGCTTGCCAACAAGCTCTTCAACGCCACTTCGCGCGTCGCCCGTCAAGACGCTTTTAGCGAGTTGAAAAAGTGCCGAGATATTATGCAAACCGGTCTGGCGCAGTCGCTTCCCAACAACGTGGTCGCGGAACAGCTGCGGCTTCTCTCCACCAGCTTCTACAATCCAGCGGGCATTCTCTACAACGCAGCCAGCTACGTCGAGGCTGCCGAGTTTCTCCAACTTGCTGTTGACTGTGACGACGAATCTTTGCAGCTTCTTCAGGCAGCAGATTCTGCCCTAGAACAGCACGAGCTCAACGGCACTCTCATCAAGCGACGCGAAGCTCTTAATAAGAAGCTCGAGTACACCGCGGTGGCGTATCGCTTTGCGGGCAGCAAGGCCGAAGCCTTGCGAACCTACCGCCGACTGCTCTTTTCACATGCACGTGTCTTGGGATCAACCCTAGATCATCACGTCGGCAGCAGCAGCATTGAAGAAGTCTTCAAGATGGCAGACACCAAGGGTCTTTCTGGTGCGATCAAGGCTGTCGTCGACCTCAGCGTGTACGAGCTTTCTTTGGACATGGACCCGCACGACCAGGACCACAGCCTTGTCACTTGGCTCACGGAGAGCAACGAGGTGCAAGCTAGTGTCAAGGGCGCCATCCTCGAACACTGCGCTACACTCGTAGAGGCCCGCTCGCATCTCTCAAATGCGGTCAGGGCCATCAGCAACATCCAGCTAGCTCTGCTGCAGGTCTATGATGCTACAGGGTTCCCGCTCCGCCGTGCAAGGACCTTGGCGCGAAGACTGGAGATGGATGTCTTGTCTCATGCCCTCTCGCTCTCGGAAGATGAAGTGACTGAGCTGGAGGAAGATGCAATTGCCTGTCTTGACGCACAGGCTCATGCAAACGACGAGGGACTGCTGCGTTTCAAGGCACAGTATCGCTGTTCCATCTTGCTTTCGACTGCGCTGCACGCTCGCCTGCGTCAGCCATTCGAAAATCCTCAGACCGTCGCTACAAAGGTGGAAGTGGCCTGCAAGGATCTCTCCTTGTCATTCACTACATCAGCGAGAGCATCACAGCCAGCGACGCCTCAAGCTCCTCGCAGCTCCCCAAGGACTTCATCGGAAACGCCCGTAGCCACACCAGGAACTAGAGGTGTGCCTCGTAAGGCGCTACGAGTGCCAGGCAGGACCGCGACCGCACGTAAGGCGCTCGTCCAGCGCGCGGCCCCAACGCAAGCAGTTGTCACGCCCGTTGCTGATCCAAAAACGCCGCCTTCGAAGACGGCCAAGCCTATCTTTGATGCGCCTGCATCGTCCTTGGCCCTTCGCTCTTCTCCGTCGAATGTAGCTGGAGGAGCAGGCAGGCTCGACCGCCCGGAGCACTTCTGCCAGTCCTTGTTGACCTATCACGAGGCTTTCTCAGCACTCGCCCTCACTCGGTGCAGCGTGCAGATCCTCAAAGCTGTACGTCAGGCAGCGCGCCACCGCGCAGAGATCGTGCTTGGCCTCGAGGGGCTCTTCTGCCGTGCATCTGCGGACCTTTGTTCGGCATATCTCGCACTTGGAAAACCAGCTCGTGCCGAATCAGTCCTTCGATCGGCGACAAGCGTGCTCGGGAGGAGTGCTTCTCCTAGCTCACCTTCCGGCAAGCTGCTGTTGGTCTCGCAGGACGTGCGTTTCCGTTATTTGATGGCGCAAGCGCAGCTTCTCGCCCAGGAGCGCGACCTTGCCGGCGCGCAAGCCCGATTCGCTGAGGGTCTCAAGATGGCCAAGGCACCGAGCAAAAGCGAGAAATCTGCAACGAGCTCCATGGACCGCCTCCGTCAACGAGAAAGGCAAGCAATTGCATTCTCAACATGCGCTCACGTGCAATTAGCACGCGGCGATTTGGCAGCCAGCATCGAGGCGACCACGCTCGCTCTGCGCCAGCTCATTCGACTGTCCAGCAACCTCTCCCACATTGCCACCAGGATGCAGATCTCAGAGCAGGATGCGTCGCAGAACCTGCACTCCGACGGATTGGCGCCATCGAGCGACATAGTGATGGAGTCAGCTGCCGACCAGCAAAAGCAAGCCGAGGAGCAGCACCTGCCCAAATTCTGCGGATCTACCTTCTCAGGCCTCTTCTGGAGATGCTGCGGGTTGCTCCTCGATAACTATACACGTCTCAGTCGTCTGCACAGTGTCCGCGGCTCGGCCGTCGACGCAGAGGCGATGGCGGGCGAAGGCATCGACTTTGCGACCTCCTTGCGATTCGCTCTGCCGCTCGCTCGCGCGCTCGTGCAGCGAGGCGAAGTACGACTTCAGCTCAACAAAGCCGAAGGGGGACAGGACGACTTGTCGCGCTGTCTCGAGGTGCTGCAAAATACTTGGATACCGGAGGTGGTGTCCCTGTCCTATGTGCAGGGTGACTGCCTCATGCGCATCGAGCAGCTGGGCGAGGCGCTCCGTTCGTACACAGCCGGTGAGGCTACGTTGCGCTCTCTCAGCTCCGCTTTCGCTGAGGCCGAACAGGTGCTGGCTTCGCCGATGCCAAAGTCCGGGACCCATCAGCGGAGGATCTCGAGTCTGACCTCACCGGGGCAACAGCTTCGAGCCCGACTCAGCAACGGTGTAGAGATGGACCTGGTGCTGCCCGAGCTGCAGTCCAGACTCTTGCAGAGACAGGCTTGGATCTTGCATTTGATGGGTGAGTTCGAAAAGAGCGAGCAAGCGGTGGAAAAGGCGGCTTCGATCCGAGACGGCCTCGCCACAGTCGATGCTCGTGTCGAGCAGTTCGTCGTGGAGGGCAGGATCGCACTTCGAAGAGCGCTCGAGCACCTCAAGAACGATCACTTCTTCAGCATGCTGCCGGAAGCGGCCATCTCCATCCCGATGGTGCCGTCGGTCAGCGTTCGCACGCTGGTAGCACCGGCCGGATCACACCAAAGCATCTCGGAGGAGACCGTCAAGACGGCAATTGCAATGCTCGCCCCTGCTGACTCGGCTTTCCGAGAGGCGCTCTCTCTTGGCTTGCTGTCTTCGCATTCGCTGGTGCTGCGTGAAGCGTTTGCCAGTCTCGCTCAGGTTCACACTACGCAGGCAGCGCTTGGTAAGAATGTCAAAATGGCGGCCAACGCTGCTGCGGGACTACTGGACTGGGCTTCAAGCGTTGGTGTCCGCCGGAATCTCCTGGTGGCCATCTCTGCCAAATTGCGGGGCTCCAATATGGCCACAGACGATCAAGAGTGGCCCAGCATAACGAGCGGCGATCTTCAAAGCGCGCTCGTATCTCGCACCCAGCGGGGCCGCAGCATTGAGGCAGAGGATCTCGACGAAGCAGATGCTTTGCCCACTCGACTCGCCAAGCTGTCGTTGAACGGCAAAGCGGATGCAGGCGCGACCTCTACACCAAGCCACCCTTTCTCTGCGTTCTGGCAGTCGGTTCGACTCCGTCATCAGCAAGCCCAGCACGAAGCCGGCGCCGCCAAGCATCTTCTGCCGCGCAACTGGACCGTCATCTCCATCTCCGTCCGCAGCACCGATGTCGAGCACCTGGTGCTGACCCGCCAAGAAGGAGGTGGAGGCCCAGACGGATGCACTGCCAAGGAAGCGGTGCTCTACAGCCTGCCAATGAACCGGCGCAGCCAACGAGATGGGACGGAAGAGGAAGAAGAGCAGCTGACGCTCAAAGCTGCTCAGGACAAGATCGTCGAGATCGTTCGTCTCAGCAACGACGGCATCCACGGCGTCAAGGATGTTCAGAGCATGGAAGCAAGAAGGCAGTGGTGGACCGAACGTCATCGTCTCGATGACGAGCTGCGTGATCTACTTCAGGCCATGCAGGATACCTGGTTGGGCGGCTTCAAGGGCGTCTTCTCGGATCCGACTTCGGACGCGCGAGCTACTGCTGCGCTGCGAGCAAAGTTCGAGAAGATCATCCGACGTGCTTGCTTCCCGACGGCCAACAAACGACCCGCCAAGCTCAAGCTCGATGACGCGGTCTTCGAGTGCTTCGCGGGCCTGCCAGTCGACTGCACGGATGAGGACCTGGAGGACCTTGTGCACTATGTGATGGATGCACTGCAGTTCAGCGGCTTCCAGGTGGCGGTGGACGAGATCGATCTGGACGAGACGGCCATGGACCTGCGCGGAGCCTTGGAAGAATTCAACGGCAAGAAATCACAGACGTCTCCAAACAAGGCCAGCATGGCTTACGTTGCGATCGACGAAGAGGAGCAGGCGCAGGATCATCACATCTTCCTGGTGCTCGACAAGGATACGGCTATCTTCCCGTGGGAGTCGATGCCGATCCTCCGCAACCGAGCAGTCAGCCGTATCCCGTCGATGGCCTTCTTGCAAGATCGGATCGAACTGGCAAAGGTCTTCTGTCAGAAAGCCGAAGTCGGACAAGACGACCAGGAAATGGACGAGCTCGAGCTGAGTCCTTTGCAGAAAGGCAAACATGCGGCTCGATCTGCGCTGCGATCGCCGACGAAAGGCTCGCGAACCACAAAAGCAACTAGTCTTGGCAGCAAAAGCCAGACGCAGGTAGACGAACCCGCAGCCTCGGCTGCGTCGGACTCAGCCTGGCAAGTAGCGCTTCGCAACGGCAAGCTCTTCAGCCTCTCTCAGCGCAAGACGTTCTACCTGCTCAACCCAGGAGGAGACCTGTTGCAGAGTCAGGACCGCTTCGAGCCGTGGCTCAAGCAACGTGGTGCCAGTCAGGGGTGGAAGGGCATTGTTGGTCGTCAACCGATTGTAGACGAGCTTCCCGACGCGCTCTCATCGTCCGACCTTGTGCTGTACTTCGGCCACGGCGGAGCGGAGCAGTTCATCCGGCAATCGAAAGTGCGAGAGCTCCAGCGGTGCGCTGTGGCGATGCTGTGGGGCTGCTCATCGGCGATGCTACACGACAATGGCGAATTTGATCGCACAGGCACGCCGCTCAACTACATGTGTGCCGGTGCCCCTGCGATGGTGGGCAACCTGTGGGACATGACGGATCGCGAGCTCGACTCGGTCTGCGAAGGCGTGTTCGGTCGGTTGGGACTCATGGAGGCAAAGGAGCGGGCGGAAGTCAAGCCGGCCGCGCGGAACATCAAGCTGGACCGCAAGGGCAATCTGGAAGCGACCCGACGACCGACAGAGATGTCACTGGCCCGCGCGGTTGCCGAGAGCCGCAACGACTGCAGATTGCCGTACCTCACTGGCGCTGCCACCGTCGTTTATGGTGTGCCCGTGTACTGGAACGAGAGCAATCTTTAGCGGACATGTTGGTGCCTCGTCTTCGCTGGAAATGTCATTTGCATACAAGCGGTTCTGCAAGGAGTGCACGATGTCCGTGTTGTAAGCTGACAGCGTTGTGTACAGCAAAGCATCGATACAAGATGTCACTGAGAACTCATCCGGCCTCTGTGGCTGAGCTCTCGAAGTGTTGGTTCCAAACGCGCGAGAACAAACCAATCTGGCGACGCGTAAAGTGATTTCAGGAAAAAGGGCGGAAAATTCAGGTCAGAAAAGTGGCGCCTTTTTCAACTCAAAAGGCTGAGCGGCTCAGAAGAAAGAATTTGTGTGGGGACCGAGGCGGAGGGGGCTGCAGCGTTGATGCAGGTCGCCTCTCAGCATGCAGCAAAGGCTGAGTTTTTTTGAAATCTGAGACCCACACAGAAGCCTGAGCCTTGATTAAGGGTTTGACACACAGACAGCCTGCCGGTGGCGAAAATTGGCTGAGTCGGTCGACCGCCTTTCTTCCTATCCTTCTTCTGCCCATCATCCCTCCAGCTTCCAACGCCCCATTCCCTCCCCTTTCCTGATACTTTCAAGCCTCGAGTCTCTCGATCTTCGACTTGGGCATATCGCCTTTCATCCTCCTGCAGCGCTCGTTTCTTTTGATCCGAGTGTCTCACGACCGTATCATCCGCTTCCTGCCAAGAGCAGTCAACGCATACACCCGCTTCCTTCAACGACTGGCTCGTTGATTCTTCCCCTCCGAGCAGAAGAGCTCCTGTGCCTTCGGTCGGTTTCGACGCTTTACTTCCTCCCGTTCAGAGCTTGATCGTGACTTGTTCTCATAGCGGTTCCTCCCTGGCCACTTCAAGCCTCGATCGCAAGCAACCCCAATCCCCCTAGCTGCTGCCCCACAACCCGCCGATCGACCCACGTCATGCCGCCCCGTCGCTCCTCTCGCCAATCGGCTACCGCTTCGAAGAAGCAGGAACCCATCGTCATCTCCTCCTCCGACGATGAGAAGGTCGTCATTGCTCAGCTCGAATCGCCCGTCCGCCGACGTCGAGCTGGAACCGCGAGCTCGCTCGCTGCCTCTGCTCTGAGCACGCCGGCCACCGCCCGATCCTCGCGCACCAACTCGACCTTCGCCTCTGGCAGTCACACCCCCGAGACCTCTGTCGAAGGCGACGACGACCATGAGGACGACGTCAAGGACATCGAGATTGCCCAGATCGAGCCTCGTCCCCGCAGCACTCGCCCCAGCCGATCCGCGTCCATCAAGACACAAGTCAAAGCAGAAGCCTCAGCCGCTTCATCGAGCGACTCGCGAAAGCGCAAAGCATCTTCCACAATCGCCGCCGCTCCGGCAAAGAACTCGAAGACCGAAGAGGACGTCAAGCCACTGGCTCGTCGCCCCTCGGCTCGCAGCCAGCCCTCGAGCATCTCCACCGTCAAGCGCTGGACCAAAGAAGACGATGAGGCTCTCGATGCTATGCTGGACCGAGAGCTCGGCCCGGAGAATCCCGCAGCCGCAGCAGTCAAGGCAGAGGTTGACAGTCAGCTCGGAGGCAAGGGCTCCGCCAAAGGCAAGGGCAAAGCCACCGCCAAGATCGAAGACGACGAGAGCGATGTTGCTCTCAGTGACATTGACCTTACTCCTCGTTCGCGTCGACAGCCTCGCCGCAGCACGGCGTCCTCCGGCACCAAGGCGCTGAAATTGTACAAAGACGAGTCTGACGACGACAACGTCTCTCTGGACGAGGACAAGTACGAGGAGGATGACGCTTCTTTCGACGACATCAGCAGCGACGAAGAGCCCCTTGCGAAGAAGAAGAAGTGGTCCGCCGCGTCGCGAGACAACGCCGTCGCTGAAGCTGGTCCTAGTACGTTTGCCTCGCTTCAGGACATCAAGTTCGACTCCGACGACGACGACGCCACCGACGAAGACGATGATTTCGAGCCGCCCGCCGCCGGCGCCGCGGGCAACAACTTCTATGCCGAGGACATCCAGTACGAGACCGCAAAGCAGCGCCAGGCTCGAATCCGAAGCGAGAAGCGTCTCGCACGTCTGAAGAAGAAGGATGCTCGCACCCAGTACGACAAGAACTTCACAGCGCTCACCAAACACCATCCTCAGCTCAAGTCGGTCTGGGAAGACCTGCAGAGGACCGTCGCCGTCATCAAGCCCGAGGAGGCCGAACAGCCTACTGGCCTCAACATCCGACTTTTGCCTTTCCAACGCGAGGGTCTGTTCTGGATGACTCGCCAGGAGCAGGGCACTTGGAAAGGAGGCATGCTCGCCGACGAGATGGGTATGGGCAAGACCATCCAGATGATCAGCCTCATGCTCTCTGACCGCAAGAAGCCTTGTCTTGTTGTCGCCCCTACCGTCGCCATCATGCAGTGGCGCAACGAGATTGAGCAGTACACCGAGCCCAAGCTCAAGGTCCTCATGTGGCACGGGGCCAACCGGACTCAAAACCTCAAGGAACTTCAGGCAGCTGACGTCGTGCTCACCAGTTACGCCGTGCTGGAAAGCAGCTTCCGCAAGCAGGAGTCGGGCTTCCGCCGCAAGAACGAGCTCCTCAAGGAAAAGTCGGCCCTCCACGCCGTGCATTGGCGTCGCATTATCCTCGATGAGGCTCACAACATCAAAGAGCGCTCGACCAACACCGCCAAGGGTGCCTTCGCTCTGCAGGGCGACTTCCGATGGTGTCTCAGTGGCACGCCTCTGCAGAATCGTGTCGGTGAATTGTATTCGATGATCCGCTTCCTGGGTGGTGACCCCTTCGCCTACTACTTCTGCAAGAAGTGCCCTTGCAAGTCGCTGCACTGGTCCTTCAGCGACAAGCGCAACTGCGACTCCTGCGGTCACACGCCCATGCACCACACGTGCTACTGGAACAACGAGATTCTCAAGCCGATCCAGCGAAGCGGTGCTCAGCACGGCGAAGGTCGCGATGCTTTCCGTCGTCTGCGCATCTTGCTCGAGCGCATGATGCTGCGACGAACCAAGCTAGAGCGTGCCGACGACATGGGTCTGCCGCCGCGTACCATCGAGGTGCGTCGCGATCTGTTCAACGAAGAGGAGGAAGACCTGTACACGTCGCTCTACACGGACACGACTCGAAAGTTCAGCACCTACCTCGATCAGGGCACGGTGCTGAACAACTACTCGAACATCTTCACGCTGCTGACTCGAATGAGGCAACTCGCCAACCACCCCGATCTCGTCCTGCGATCTAAGACGGGTCTCGCCTCCAAGCTGCTTGGCGAGGACCAGAGCGAGATCCACGTCTGCCGTATCTGCACCGACGAAGCCGAGGACGCTATCATGTCTCGCTGCAAGCACATCTTCTGCCGCGAGTGCGTCCGTCAGTACCTCGACTCGGAGATCGTGCCGGGCATGGTTCCCGACTGCCCCTATTGCCACGCCACTCTTTCGATCGACCTGGAGGCTGAGGCGCTGGAACCTCCTCAGGGCTCGATTCGCATGAACGACTCTGGACGCCAAGGCATCCTGTCGCGACTCGATATGGACAAGTGGCGATCGAGCACCAAGATCGAGGCGCTGGTTGAAGAGCTGACGCAGCTGCGCAGCGAGGACAAGACGATCAAGTCGCTGGTCTTCTCGCAGTTTGTCAACTTCCTCGACCTGATCGCCTTCCGTCTGCAGCGCGCCGGCTTCCAGATTTGCCGACTGGAGGGCAACATGTCACCCGAAGCTCGTAACCGCACCATCAAGCATTTCATGGAGAACCCGGGTGTGACGGTGTTCCTGGTGTCGCTCAAGGCAGGAGGTGTCGCGCTCAACCTGACGGAAGCCTCGCGAGTGTACCTGATGGACCCCTGGTGGAACCCTTCGGTCGAGGTGCAGGCGATGGATCGTATCCACCGTTTGGGTCAGCACCGTCCGATCATTGTCAAGCGCATGGTGATCGAGAACAGCATCGAATCGCGTATCATCGAGCTGCAGAATAAGAAGAGCGCCATGATCGAGGCTGCCATTGGCAAGGATGACGGTGCCATGGGCCGACTCAGCGTCTCTGATCTGCGTTTCCTGTTCACGCTCTAAGCGACCCTCTCGCCTTTTCCCCCTTTCGACTTCAACGTCGCTTGTCTTCCTCAATTGTGATCCGTCTGTTCCGCATGTCATTGTCCGTTGTCGCAACCTTTCTTCTCTTTCAATCATCCAATGCAACCGTGTCTGTCCTCTCATATGTCTGAAAGCGTCAGCCTGCACGCCAGTGAAGGAAAGCTTGGTGAGTCGAATGAGATGACTTTGAGGAAAGCAGGCTCGGCGATCTCCGAAAAAGATCGCGTGGTAAAAGAGAGGTGCAGCAATGCTGATTTTGCAGAGGCAGCCGGCTGATTGGCGGTTGAACGCAAGACAAGGTTGGTCGGGCTCGCTTTTGCCACGCTCCATGCCTTTAATGTTGCTCGGTTCATTCACCGGAAGCTCAGGCTCGATCGGACATTGCTGCGTTGCTGCGCGAGCATCATCGAGTTGTTAGCGATGACGAACGGAAGCTGGAAGTCGATTCGTAAGAGGCTCTGGTCAGGCTCGAGAGGCTTCGGAGTTGGCCGAGCAGTCGAAAATTAGGAGTGTGCGTCTCAGGCGAAGAGTCGCGCTGTGCTGGCTCGATTCCAGCTTAAGGGTCTGGTGGGAAGGAGACGGCGGCAAAGATAGCGGGCGAGCAGCTGCTGTTGTGGGGTGGCAAAAATTGAGCTTTTGACCCTGAATTGGGCTTGCTCGGCGCACCGTCACTGCTTCTCGCAGCGCTTTGCAGGGCCGACCAACCTTATCTCGAGCTCGTGAGTGCCATTTCCTACCCACGACTCTGTTGACTCTCTCCGTGACACCCTTGTCTTCTCCTCGCCTCTCATCCTGCAACGCTTTACCGTCTCGCCTCCATCGCCTCGCTCTTTCCTATAGCCGCCCTCATATAGCACTCCGGCAAGATATATCAAAATATCTTTCTCTCGACGGACAATCTTCAACGACCACTAGTAGAGAAGCGCCTACCATCTCCAAAATGCCAGTGCCAACAGCGACAACCAAGGAGGTCAATGGCTTCGAGCTACCCCCGAAATTCACCTCAATCCCATCGAAACTTGTCTTCAGCGTCAACAGCACACGCTTCGCCCTCTCTCCCACCAAAGGCGACGACCTGGACCTCACTCTCCTAGAATTCATCCGAAGCAAAGGATTCACCGGCACCAAGCTCGGATGTGGTGAAGGCGGCTGCGGTGCCTGCACTGTCGTCGTTGGCAAGTATGACGCCTCATCCTCCTCGTCCAAAGCGCCGTACAGGTACAAGTCGGTCAACGCATGTCTGCTGCCTCTCGTCGCGGTCCACGGCTGCCATGTGCTGACCGTCGAGGGCATCGGAAGCTCCAGCAACCCGCACCCCATTCAGGAGAGGATAGGCAAGCTGTTTGGCTCGCAATGCGGTTTCTGCACGCCTGGAATTGTCATGTCGCTCTACGCGACAGTCAGGAACGGATATGGCCACTTGACGGAGGAGGACATCGAGCATTCCTTGGACGGATGTCTCTGCCGATGCACCGGCTACCGTCCCATTCTCGACGCCGCCAAGTCTTTTGCTACCGTCAAGAGCACCAAGAACGGTGCAAACGGCTCCCACGCAAGTTCGAGCAATAGCAACAGCGAGGACTCTGACGACGCGGAACCTACCACCCCTCCCGAGGAGGATCTCATCACCGGGACTCCCTGTGCAAAGGGTGCCGACTGCTGCATGGTCAATGGCAAGTCGAAGGGGTGCGCACCATCTACCGGCATTTCCACCACAGCACACACCATTCAGAAGGTGCTCGACCCGGCCCACTTCAAGCCCTATGACGTTGCTTCGGAGCTCATCTTCCCACCCTACCTCGCAAAGGACTCTTTTGACTCGCAAGACCTTGTCTTCATCGAAGAGCCCTCCGAGACGGACGATCCCGACGACACCTCCGCCCCAACCAAGCCAAGCACAGCACGACAAGTCTGGCTACGACCTGGATCGCTGGCATCCCTCGTAGACTGCATGAAGCTTTACGGCCTCACTGACGGTGGCAAGATCCGTAGCGGCAACACCGAGACCGGTATCGAGGTCAAGTTCAAGCATCTCAAATACAGCGTCTCCATCTTCGTCTCGGATCACATCAAGGATCTTGCCTTCTATCGATCCGACGAACGCGGTATCACTGTCGGCGCCAACCTCAGCCTCTCTGACCTCGTACGTGAGCTCAAGGCCGAGCGTCCTTCGTCTTCGTACGCGCAACAGGTCAAGCGAGCAATCCTCGACAACTTGGCCTACTTTGCGAGCAACCAGATTAGAAATGTCGCCACCTTGGCAGGCAATATCGCCACAGCCTCGCCCATCTCCGATTTGAATCCCGTTTGGGTCGCGACCGGTGCCGAGCTCTCGTATGTCGACACGACATCCGGTGAGGAAAAGTCGGTCAACATGCGCGAGTTCTTCCTCGGCTACCGCAAAACTGCGTTGCCCGCCGGCGCTGTCATTACCAAGCTCTTTGTGCCCTGGTCTGATGACGCCGGCAGCGTGATCCAGGCTTTCAAGCAGTCGAAGCGAAAGGACGACGACATTGCGATCGTCAACGCCTGTCTGCGTGTGTCGGTGCGTGATGACAAGATCATCGATGCGACGCTGGCCTTTGGTGGTATGGGCCCGACGACGATGCAGAGTAAGCAGGTCGAGAAGTTGTTGGTAGGCAAGACATTCAGTCAACCTGAGACGCTGAGCGAAGCACTGCAGGTGCTGGCTAAGAAAGACTTCCCGCTGTCGTACGGAGTGCCTGGTGGCATGCCCGTCTTCCGCAAGACGCTGGCGCTGGGCTTCTTGACCCGCTTCTGGGGCCTTGCTGCTCCCAGACTTGGGTTGCCCAAGCTCGCCACGGCACTGGCGTCGTTGCCTGATCTTGAGGAGCTCGCCACCAGCACGGTCGAGCGACCTGTCACGTCCGGCCAGCAGGACCTGGAGGATGTGGTCATCAAGCAGCCGGTCGGCGATTCGATCCCACACCTGTCAGCGCTCAAGCAGGTGACGGGTGAGGCGGTCTACATCGACGACATGCCGCCTGTAGCCAATGAGCTGCATGCTGGATTTGTGCTGTCCCAGCGCGCGCACGCCGTACTCAAGAACATCGACGCCACTGAGGCGCTGCAGATGCCCGGCGTCGTCGACTTTATCACGCACAAGGACATCCCCGAAGGCGGAAGCAACAAGTGGAATCCTCCTTCGATGGACGAAACCTTCTTTGCCGAAGACAAGGTCTACACCGTGGGTCAGATCATCGGTATTATCGTCGCTGACACCAAGCGCAACGCTCAGGCCGCCGCACACAAGGTCAAGATCGAGTACGAGGATTTGCCGCATATCCTCACCATCGACGAGGCTATTGCAGCAGAGAAGTTCTTCCCGCCGCGGCCCGTGATTCATCGCGGCGACTCGTCGGACGAAGGCTGGGCGCAGTACGACCACGTCCTCGAAGGCGAGACGCGCATGGGTGGTCAGGAGCACTTCTATCTCGAAACCAATGCCTGTCTCGTCATCCCGGGCAAGGAAGATTCGGAGATCGAGGTCATCTCGTCGACGCAGAACCCGTCCGAGACGCAGGTGTTCTGTGCGTCCATCCTGGGCATTCCAAATAACCGTGTCGTGACGCGCGTCAAGCGCTTGGGCGGTGGCTTTGGAGGTAAAGAGTCGCGCACGATTGCCTTTGCAGCTCCGCTCACGCTGGCGGCCAAGAAGCTCGGTCGACCGGTGCGCGTCATGCTCGACCGCGATGAGGACATGCTTACGACCGGGCAACGTCATCCGTTCTTGTGCAAGTGGAAGCTCGCTTTCAGCGCCTCTGGCAAGCTGGAGCGATTGCATGCCAAAGTGTATAACAACGGCGGTTGGAGTCAGGATCTGTCGCAGGCTGTGCTCGAACGTGCCATGTTCCACATCGACAACTGCTACCAGATCCCGCATCTGCACGTCGAAGGTTACATCTGCAAGACCAACACTATGTCAAACACCGCCTTCCGCGGCTTTGGCGGTCCGCAGGGCATGTTTTTCACGGAAGACTTTGTCACGAAGGCAGCCGCCGTGCTCGGCATGCGACCCGAGCAGATGCGCGAGGCCAACCTGTACCAGGAGAACGACGAGACGCACTTCAAGCAGAAGCTGGTCGATTGGAACGTGCCGACGCTGTGGGAGCAGCTCAAGCGCTCCGGTCAGCTCGAAGCACGCACCAAGGCCGTCGACGAGTTCAACGCGACCCATCGCTACCGAAAGCGCGGCCTCTCGATGATTCCGACCAAGTTTGGCATCTCGTTCACCGCCATCTTCCTCAACCAGGCGTACGGCGTGGTGCACATCTACCATCACGATGGCAGCGTGCTGTTCTCGCACGGCGGGACGGAGATGGGCCAGGGCCTGCATACGAAGATGGCGCAGGTGGTGGCTACGGAGCTCGGCATTCCCGTGTCGATGGTGCATCTTACCGAGACCAACACGGCGCAGGCGGCCAACACGTCCGCAACGGCCGCGTCGGCTTCGTCCGATCTCAACGGTATGGCGTTGAAGAACGCGTGTGTGCAGCTGAACGAGTCACTCGCTAAATTCCGTCAGGATGCGGCCGCCAAAGGGTTGGCGGGAGTCGAGGCGTGGAAGGATGCTGTGCACGCCGCATACTTCAACCGCGTGCAGCTGAGCGCGATCGGTCACTACCGCACACCGGGTATCGGGTACAACTGGAAAGACGGAACGGGCTTGCCGTTCTACTACTTCACCCAGGGCGTGGCGATCTCAGAGGTGGAGTTGGACACGATCACTGGTGATCATCGCATCGTTCGTGCCGATGTGCACATGGACATTGGGCGGTCGATCAACCCCTCGATCGACGTGGGTCAGATCGAAGGCGCGTTCACGCAAGGCTTCGGATTGTTCACCATGGAAGAGACGCTCTACATGAACAACGGCCAACTGGCAACGCGCGGACCAGGCAACTACAAGATTCCTGCCTTCCTCGACACGCCCACCGACATGCGCGTGTCGTTCCTCAAAGTCCAGGACCCGTCCAACCCAGCCGTGGCGAGACACAACAAGCACCTCGGCACGATCCAGTCGAGCAAGGGCATCGGCGAACCACCGCTGTTTTTGGGTAGCACCGTGTTCTTTGCGCTCAAACAGGCCATCAGCGCGGCAAGAGTGCAGTACGACGAGGTACAGGGGGATGCGTTGAAGGACTCGTTCCATTTGATCTCGCCTGCCACGGCCGAGAGGATCCGAGTGGCCATTGGAGACCCGCTGGTGAAACTGGCTCAGGAGACCACACCAAGGAAGGAAGGAGAAAAGCCGTTTTTCGTTAGCATCTCGTAAATCTGTTCATGTTTGGATTGCAATTGACTGTATACGATTTGGAGAATCTTGTGATGCGGCTGCGTCTGTGAAGGGCCAGAAAAGGCGAACGCAAGGGGACGTTGCATTTTCGATTGCAAGCGTGACAACGATGCATGGTGACCATATTCAACTGCATACAGATGAAGTCAGGGATCCTTTCGTAAAGTCACACGTGCTAAGATCACATTCTATGCGCAGTGCGAGTCATTCCATGCGGGGCCACACGAAAGCAAATGAGATGAAGTGAGCGCCTAGGAGGCGCGTGGTCAAGTGTTGATCGAGTGCGCTCGGGCCTCGACGCGGAACTTGGCTGAGTCGACCGTTGCGATTGTAACCACGCTAGCCAAGCCCGACGATTCACGTCCGTGTCTTCTGTAGGCAGCCAAGTCCCTGCGCTTGCTTCTTTTCCTTCAAGACGTCGTTCAGTCATTCTGCCAAAGCTTCCCTCATCAACCATCTATCCTAGCACACTCTCCCGCGTTTACAACCCGACACTTCCATCATGGTTCCTCACCGAAGCAATTCGCCTGCTGATGGCAATTCGATGCCGTCAGTCGCAGCAAAGCGCCGATGCCAATCGTGCCACCTCATGCTGCCTGTTGAGCGCTTCCAGGGGCGCAACGCATACAGGAAAATCACCGACAATTGTCGAAGTTGTCGCTTCGGTCGTGGCCTCCAGATATCGAATGGGAGGCGTCTGCCACTTGGCAAGAACAAGTCGTCCAGTGCTCTGACGTGTTTGGCGGGACGATCAGGGAGTCAACATGCTTCGACATCCACGCTGGCCAAACCGGCTCCTGCTGAGTCTCGCAAGAGGCAGATCGCACATCCACCGACCTATATCAACATGCCTAGCTTCAAGCGACTACCGACGGCCAGTGCTGGCATTGATGCGTCGAATGCAGCAGCTGAGAAGGACACAAGCACGACCGGTGGGAGCATCGAGCGAGTCGGTGCCTCGTCAAGCTCCGTAGAGCGTCCGCACGCGACAACGTCGAAGGCGACGAGGACCAGCAACGCAGCACCTCCACGCACCGTCTCGAGCACGGCAAAGCGCCGATCCTCACTCTCGATGGTGTCGGGCAGGGCATTGCCATTGATCCGCCCCCGTCGCGCCTTCACCGCAGCCATCTCGCGCCGCGGATCATACTGCCACCGCGCGCCGGCCGGATACGCCTTCTCAGGCCCGACAGACGACTCGCTCAGCTTGCAACGACAACGGCGCTTCGTCGTACCGCCCGGCGTCACGCGCGTGAGCTACAAGGACTTTCCCACCCTCGACCTGCCCCTGGAGCGCGGGATGCATTCTCACCCAACCGGCTGCGTCGAGTGCCGCAATCGCAACCTGCACTGCACGTTTGGCGCCGGCATCAGACCGAACGGCAAAACGAGGGACCCGCAAAACGGCAGGTGCGACTGGTGCGTCTTCGGCTCCAAAAAATGCGTCGGCAATGGATACAAGGGCAATACGGTCGAGCAGAAGGGTGCACACGAGACCCTCGCCGAGTTGCTTGGTAGAGTGGAAGCGCAGATCGACGGATGCCTTAGGGCGGGCGAGAGGGATGAGTCGATGATGGGTGAGGCGAGCAGGATCATGGGTAGGATTGCGAGTGTTAACCTGAAGTTGGGGCGGTTGGAGGGATTGTTGAGGGAAGTGAAGAGGTCTGCGATGCGAGAGGGGAAGGTGCGGGTGGGGTCGAGGGGGAGTTGATGGATGGATCGCGAATTCCGTTTGGCGACACCGCTTTGTTCATGTTTCAGTGCTCTGAACGGCTAGTCTATTCATGATGCTCATCGTTCGGTCTGTGCACATTCATGTCTGTGAAGCTGCAAGGGATATATTGAATGTCTAAGAATACAGTGTCTAATACGCAGACGGCCGTCTAGCCTGAGGGGTGTAGAGGCTCGAAATTGGGGGTAGTGTGGGTCTACCCTCACCGGAACCCGAACTCGTTGCTGAAGCAGGTGATCCGTTTCGCTGGGATGGGTTGTTCATTTTGCCCTGCAGACCGAGGCCCATCGCGGCCGAGGTGGAGACGAACGGCGTGTCGGTTGTCGAACTCGTCGGTGTCGACGCGAGGCGCTCGGCACTCGACGTGGTGGTGACGGAGGAGGAGGAGGAGGAGCGGAACTCGAGTGCGGGTCGCTCGGAGGGGGAGAGTGTGCGGTTGTCGAACAGGGAGGGGTGGGGTGGAAGCGGGGAGGGGGTGGAGTAGATGCGCTGAGGAGGAGCGAGACGTGTGAGGGAGGGCAGTTGGGGTGGTTTTGCTGCGAAGGTCGGGGAGAGCCTTTGGCCCTGCGCGCGAAGAGGAGGGAGCATCTCGCCATATCCACCCTCGCGTTCGCTCGACCCGGGGCGCTGCGCTATCGGCCTAATCATCTCCCGAGGCCCCGGGTACTCGCCACCTGCATAACTCTGTCTCCTCCCCTGACTCGCCCGTTCGTCTCCGTAGTAGAAATCTTCCGGAGACTTGCGCTTCTTCGGGTTCGCCTTGTCGTTCGCCTTGCGCAACTTGTACTTCATCCCCCGATCCACCAGCGCGTCCATCAAGGCACTACTCGCACCCAACCCAGGGTGCTTCCTTCGCTCCTGCACCTCGAATGCGTCGCTGTAGACGCTGGCGATCTTGAACACCCTCGCTCCGACACGATCGAACAGATCGAACCTCAGCCGGTACACGCCGCGATTGCGCACACCGAGCTCCTTGAAGACGAAAAAGCTCTGATCCTCGCGCGTGTCGATGCGCGAGTTGAAGGGCGATTGCAGGGTGTCTCCTACGAGAGGCTCGATACGGCGTGCATCAGGGAGACACTCTTCGGTGGGTGCATCGCCGCGGACTAGTTGGGCGCGGATGAACACTTCGGGGAGGGAAAGCAGCTGTTCGTCACCAGAACGGTCGATGAGGAGCTCGCAGACGGGTGGGGGGTCGATGGGGACCGAGCGAGCGGTGCGGAGGGACATTTGGCTGTTGCCAATGGCCAGACCACGACGCGGTTGTTGACGGATGACGAGAGAGAAGCGCGGGTCGGAGCGTCGACGATCGTTGTACTGGCCCAGGGCGTGGGAGACGGAGGGAAGGACGAGCCATTCTGATCGGGAAGGCAGACCAGGGGTGGGTGCCGGCGCAGCAACGGGTTCGGGACGAGGTCGGTAGCTCACCGCCTGGCGGGAGGGGCCAGGCACGTCGACGGGGGGAGAGCGCGACGACGAGGCGTAGGCCCACTCGGCATCGCGTGGTGCAGCGCGCTGCTGCGAGGGTGCCGGATAGTACGGCTGCTGGTGAGTTGGATACTGCGGATAGGCGTAGGACGACTCATAGCCGCGAGGTGCGGGGTAGGAAGGAGGACGAGCAGAGATGCGAAGCTGGCTACCTCTGTCGTAGTACCGATCATCATCCATCGGAAGGGCGTGCGACCAGCTAGACAGCTGGTGCGAAGAGAGGATGGCGGTAATGGTGAAACTAGGTCGCTGCGATGCGACCTGCTGCGTCGATGGTGGTGGTGATTTGCGAAGCAATGTAGCAATGTATCAAGTGTCGATCAAGAAGAGATGACGAGAGCTGAGGACGCTGGTGCTAACTGTTCGAGAGATGAAGGGTGGTGGTGGTGATGTAAAGAGAAGTGATGGTACCAAAGATGGTTGACAGGATGTGGGGAGGAGGCGAACAAGACAGCCCACCAAGCAGTCCATGAAGAGCAGAGACGATCACGGTACCCTTAGACGTTGCACATTTGCAGAGTAGCGGTAAAGGGTACACAATGAAAAGCGGCGAATGGATGAAAGGCCGCAGAATGTTTGGTCTTGTGGTAGAAGGCCATGGGGTATGGAACGGTCCCCGGATGAGGCAGTCTAGTGTGGATGTGTACCGCGAGAGAGAAGGATCCGATCGAGCAGGAGCATCGTGGAAGTCAAAGGAGGAGCAGACAAAGGGAGCGCTGGCAAGAGGCAGAGGGTGATGCGGAGGCGGGAAGGGCAACAAGGTTGGCAGAGGCGGGCAGAGCGGAGTCCGCCCACATGAGAGACGCCGCAGAGGCCGGGAGGATCCAGGCCCTGGGCCCTGATAGACAATGGGGGAGGAGGCGAGAGAATGCGAGATTCAGGTGTGGTCAGCGTACCGTAGAATCGGAACGGGCGAGGTGAAGGAACAATGGATTGCATAAGGTCGAATCTCGATGCAAGGGCGGGAGCAGTGTGGTCGAACAACCGCTGGACTCGAATGGAAGCGAGGGGTAGGCGAGTCGAGAAGCGTCAAGCTACAAGAAAGGGCGGCAAAGCAGAGGACAAGGTTTTGTGGAAAGGGAAGGCGGAGATGATGGCGGCGAATCAAATTGGATCGAGCATGAACGTCAAGAGAGGCGCTTCTGGACGAGCGCACACCAGTCAGACAATGCTGAGTTGCATGGAGGAAAGGCGCCCTCGTGTCAAAAGAGAGTCAAGATTTCGGTTCGTGTTTGCACAGCGCTTTGAATGGCAAGCCGAGCTGCAAGCAGTGCGAGCAACAAAGACAGGCGTTGTGCTTGGTTCTCAGAAATCAGATGATTCTTCTTGTTTGACAGTTGATCAGCTCGCTTCGGTCGCCTTGTGCAGCTGCAAATCTCACTCACTCTCCGTCTGTCTTCTGGAAAACAAACATATAAAACTAATGGAAGCCCGTATGACGGCAAATGCAACGCACTGCAACGCGCAACCACTCAAAAATACACCATTTTTAGAACTGTGTTGGCGCGTGTCTCGCTGGCCTCTTATGGTTCAGCCCCATCATTGTCACGCGGAGAAAACAAGGCCCAGACCAAACATGGCTTTGGGTTTGAATAAGTCCGCTCCCGCTGCACACACAATGGACCACTCAGCCACGGCTCATGTGGCTGCTGCACAACCACAGTCGACCTTGATGTGTGGTGAGTTCGCCAGGCACGGCTGTCTTCCTGTCCTTCGATCGTCTTGCCAGAGGGACATTCTATCAATAGAAGATGGTCTCACGCAAGCCAGCCTCGATTGCAAGAACCGAGAATTGGTGTGTGGCCATATTCGATGACTTGATGCGTCGCTATCTTGGATCGGCTGACAGTCACGCGGTGGCATCACTGACCAATGCAAGCGGCCCCCAGGGACCACAAAGGGGCCTGGCCATGTGAGCACATGGCTGACAAGCCTCATGGGCCCAACCTTGGGTGCTTCCGTTCCCCGACGGCTTTCCGATGTCTTGCCAAATTCTTGGGACGCCGCCCCAATTCAACTTGATGCACCTCGAAAATCGCCAATTTCAAAACTGAGCTTGTGAATACACTTCGAAGTGATATAATTTGTTATTCTCGAAGCGGTCGGGTCCAGACCCTGTCTTTGACTTGCCGTTCGGCTGGGCCGAACATCACGGAGCCCGGATTCGAGTTCGGTTAGCGTTTGTGCATCTATGGTACCTTGACAAGGCGAGCAGAGCTTCGTCCCGCCTCGTCCTGTCTCGTGTTGCCGCTGGTCACAAACGAGCAAGCACATCGCGTACGTAGCAGGTGTAGCAATCGACGAGCAGTTCTATTGTCTGCGTCCGTCAAGCCACGGTACAAATGTAAACAGGCTCATTCATGTGCGCTCATCTCAGCCCACAAGCCGCTTTCGGCGCGTTACAGTACGAACAATGAAGCGCGCACAATCGTTTCGCACACTGCTGCTGCACCGCGCAGGACTGCGTTCTATCGTTGATTGGCCGACAACATCCGAGACTCAGCCTGATACTTTCGGCTGGAAATAGCGCGGCAAACCCGCCACAAAAGTGGTTTGCCCAGCGACTCGACCAGAGCCGGTCGCTGTCGGCATGGATAAAGGCTCTGTCATCAGAATCACGCGCTCAAAGCTGAGCTTTAATTTTACCGCGCAGAGCTGCGTCCGACTGCGTTGCGGGCTTTGAAGCCCGGTCCAGACTTTGCATCTCACCTCCCCGCGGTGACCCGTAGCGGCCATGTCCGTGCCGCGGCTTGATATGTCAAGCCTGTGTATGTATGTCTGCATGACGATGGTTGTACCGTGGCGCGAGCTGCGGTTGATCATGTCGTGATCCAATGCTGAGCTGGGCTTGTACCGTCCGATCTAGCATGTCTACCCCGCATCCGGCCAACTGCTGCGATGGAGCCCGATTCGCCCGATCGAGCGCAAGGACCTGGAGCCGAATCGGCCAAGCCGGTCGAGACTCTGCTTGAAGGTGAGTTTCCGTTCAAGCTCTTCTGCCTGTGATGCTGGTTGGGTGCTGAGAAGTCTGGGTCGCAAAAATGACTTGTTGGACTGTCACGCTGAGGCGTCCATTCGGCATGGATACCTTATGGCACAGCTCTGTGGCCGCGCAGAAAAGCAGAGACATCATCGGCACTCCAACAGCTCTGCTCCATCCGACGTCGATGCCTCTGCTCCAGCTGTGATCTCTTGATCTCGGCGCCATCCTCGTCATCATCGTCAGTGTCATCGTCTGACCCGTCTTCTTCGTCTTCATCGACATCGCCGTCGTCGGCGACAGGCAATCGTTCGCGGAGGTTGAGGACATTGCCCTCGTCGTCTGGAGCGTTGCGTAGATGGTACCATATCCTCAACGCTCGTAACGACAGATTATCATGTTGCGAGATATCGTCCTGAATACGGTCTAGCTGAGCACCGACATCGGCTTGATGATGGTCAAGCGTGGACGCATCGTAGCTCTCGATGAGGGCGCTTTCTTCCTTGAGGATGTCGGCCTCGGGCGCTGTTCGGAGAAGAGCTCCGAGAAAGTTGATGTTTTCGTCCGGAATGGGCAAGACTGGATGAGCTAGCAGAAGGGGCAGCGGATTGTTGCGGTCGTAAAAGCTGAGCTCCGGCAGCCCATCTGCTGTCGCCTTGACACCGTCTTCAGCAGCCATCCCACCTCCTCGCATGATGCCTCCAAAGAGCGTCGACGATTCGGACGCATCTGCGTACAAATTGGCATTCTCCGCCTCGGCTTCTAGCACCTTGTTGAAGGAAGCCAATTGCGACGGCAGAAAGTGGGGCGAAGCCGACAGGAGCGATGACGACAGCGAGTAGGCGTGCGAAAGCAGATTGGTGTATCGATGCAGCAGCGCGGGCCACTCATCCATGCCAGGCACCGTGGCAATCTCTTCCTTGAGTCCCACGATGGATGACAGGAGCGATTCGAATCTTTGCAGCAGAATCTGCAGATGCTCGGCGGGGATCTGCGCTCTCGGCAATGTCGGTGGACCCGCTATGGCTGCGGCAGCCTCGCCTGCTCGTTTAGACGCCATCCTTGCGAAGATTCGAATGCGTAGAGAGCCCACTGAGGTACCGAATGTGACACCCCGGTTTAGCCCTATCCGACCTTGGCGTGGTGCAGTCTTGCGGGTGCCCAGTCAGCTTGCTTTCGCTTCCCGTGATCAGCAGAGGGACATCGGCATGTGATGACTGCACAATGGCGACTCGGACGGTGCCGACACGAGATCGATCAGCCAGATGCCTGGGCAATCCGATCCTGCTGGATGTCGAGTGCTTTTTTGCTTGTTGAGCTTGTCGAGATAAGGTGATGGTGATGATGAAGATGGAGCATTGCGAGACCCTGGATTGAAATTTGCGCACAGATCCACTTCTTCGGCTTTGCTCCACAGGAAATCAAGCAAGATGACGGGCACAGTCAGCGTGTGACACTTTTTAAGACTCGCGCTCGCCTCGACGGCTAATCAAACGAGATTCTTGGCATGCTCGCAAGCTTCTTCCTTCATCTCCACATCCAACTCCATCCTGGTGGTAGAGACCGCGCTGCTGGCAGCTTGCAAGTGCTTCGTCTAGTTAAAACAAAGCGGGCAGCGTGACCACGACATCCTCGGTCGAGTCGGTCTTGATAGCAACTCGCGTCCGCTCCGGCTCGGCCGTTTCCACCTTCTCAAGATGGCCTCCTCATTCATCAAGTCGATTCGCGAACGCACGCCGCTCGCCGGTGCATCAAAAGTACCCGATCACCTCTACCACACCGACTGGTCTCGATCCCTCGCAAATGCGCAGCTCAGCAGCACTGGAAACTTCAGCGAGGGCATTCTAGCAGGCCTGGCCCTGCCTGGCGAGGTCACTGCTATGGCCTTTGACCCTGTACAGGGGTTCTTGGCTGTTGGCACCACGCTCGGCACCGTTCATCTCTTCGGATCTCCACCCGTTCAGGTCTCCTTCACCCTTCGCCCCTCACACAAAGTCAATCACCTCGCCTTCAAGTCGGATAAAGCCCTCTTGATATGCATCGATGAGAAGGACAACATCAGCATCTTCGACTTGTCACGACCCGATCCCCAGATCAGAGCCGCCCACGCTTCCTCCACCAACCAATACCGCACCACCACCGCTTCCACCGGTCATAGCATCACAGGCCCACCTCATCCTGACACACCACAAAGAGTCGGAGTTCACACCGTTCGAAACAAGGTCCTCTGCATCGAAGTTTCGTCCGCACACTCTCACATGTTTCTTGGTCTTCGCGATGGCACCGTCGATACCTACGACCTCGAGCGCATGTGTCCATCTCCCTATCGCGTTCCAAATCTTTGGTGGGAAGAAGAAGAAATTCTCCGCAATTCAGGCGTGCCGGACGCCCCCAATCGTCGTCATGTACCGCTCATCATCGACATCAAGACCAACCCGAAAGTTTTGAATCAGCTCCTCCTAGCGTACGAAGGCGGCGCAATCCTCCTCGACATTCGCGAGCGTGCGGTTCTCAAGACGTTTCAATTGCGACTTCTGCCAGGAACCCTTGGGTCTGGTGGCAACCCGGACCTCGTATGGACCGAACGCGCACCGCCTGCCACCTGCATCGCCTGGCGACCCGACGGAGAAGTCTTTGTAATGGGCCACGAAGACGGCTGCATCTCCTTCTGGCACATCCGTGATGATGACAAGCCAATCATGGTTCGAACGCTGGATAGCCTCGACGTCGAGAAGCCTGTATCGGATCCTACCCTCCTCGATACACATCAGCCTTCGAAGGAGCCCATCTTTAAGTTGGCATGGTCAGGGTTCCCCGAAAAGGGCTGGATGGACATGGCAAGCGCGACTGCTGCCAGCTGGCAATCGCAGCCGCGTCAAACCAACGCAAATGAACCGGTCAACGAGCCTGTCAAGGGTACGGTGCTCACAGTCTTGGGTGGCGCTAAGGCTGGTATCGATGCACCCGGTCTTTTCTGCGCCAACTTGCCGCCATACAGCAACTCTCTATCCGTCCTAGGCGGCGGTGCGGTCGAAGCGAACCACAAGCTACGCACAGCGCTCCACAATTCGCTCGTGCCCTCGTCAGAGGCTATATACCCCACTTCGAGCATCGTCGAAGACTTCATGTTGCTACCCAGGAGCAATCCGCACTACTCTGGTACCTACGATCCTTCCGCTGTCGTGTTGCTGCTTGCCGCAGATCCTGCGCTGCCCACTCTGCCGCCACCTGCTGCTGCACGAGGTCTCGCATGCTTTGCATTCCCGCCTCGATCCAAATCATCTGCATCGTTGCAGTATCCGACCTCACCAGTCCATCTACGGGGCCCATCCTTAGACAGCGCGCCGGATCTGGTATCTGCCCCTCCCAGTGCTCAGAAGGAGCTACATCTTCCCTTGCCACTGACGCTATCCGGTGGAGGTGCTGTCCTCGGCGCCAAGCTCGAGATGTTGACGCCTCACGCCTATCGAAAGCTGGTTGGGCTTCTGGATGTGACCGGCCAGAATCAAAAGCAAGAGCAGGCAGCCGGAGCCTCCACGCTGCGCTCCACCTTCGATGGCAACAAGCCTCCGCTCAAGCTGAAGGGCGGCAAAGCCTCGGCGAGCTTGTCTAACGAAGGCAGCGATGGCATCTCGGACGTGCTGCGATCATCCAAATTCCGCGTGTTGGTCACTTGGCACCTCGATGGGACCGTGCGCTTCTACGACGCAAGCCCGCACTTGTTGCTCATGGGCGACGTCGACGAGGAGGATGTGCGGCAGCAATCACCATTGCCGCGCATCTGGCTGCAGTCAAGTTTTCCGTCGCCTTTGCCTCACCTCACCTTCGATATCCGAAGTTTGTTGCAAAGCCCGTCGATGATGGGACACCCATCGTTCGATAGGGCGCGCGGCAGAGCCAAGGTGCTGGATGTCAGCTTTGCTGCCGAGGTGCTCGAGACCGCTGTAGTCTTGTCAACCGGACAAGTGCTCCACTATCGATTTGGGTTTGCTCAGTTCAGTGAGACAGAGGCGATCCAGGAGCAAGTCGACGAGTCGATGATGAAGCTAGAAGCTCAGCGGCCAGATCTTGCCATACCGCCGGTCAGGAGCCCGAGCAGTGCAACGAGGTCCTCGCACTCTCATGACTCGCGGCGCCCTGGATCCACAGCCGCTTCTTCCAGACTCAGCACGGACATGGCTCAGATCCTGAGGGATCTGAGCATCGACGATCCGCCATCAGCGCAACAGCCCACGATGAGCGCGCCCCCCTCGAACGGGGTGCCTCCCCCTCGCCCTCGCCGCGATCCGAACAGAGTCTGCATACGGGGCATGCCCGCATCTGGCACGGGCCCCGATCCCGCGCGCGCTGAACAGCCAATGCTCGCATCTCCGGCTCTCAACTCGACCTTTTCGCCACGTCAACCCAACAGTTCTGTGCCTTCAGCGGCAGGCGAGCATGACGAGATTGTGTTCTTGGCGCACCTCGCGGATCCAAGGTATGATGGATTCAAGCCCAGTCTGATGGTCGACCCGTTGCGAGGTGAGGTCTCTGCTTGCGCCTCGAGCGACATTGGCTTCATGGCGGTGGCGTGCGGGACAGCGTTGGCGGTGATGGATTTCCGCAGCACTGAACTGATCCTTAAAGAGGGCTTCGGTGGTGAGACGGAGTCTGCGCACGGGAAGCGCGACGAAGACAAGAGCATACGCAAGATCCTAGAGGCCGAGTCCAAAAGTCCGATCGTGCACCTCGCCTTCAGCGTCTGTCGCGTCAGCGATGACCCTAGTCTGGCCCCCCGTCTGATCGTGGTGCGAGCGGATGGACTGATTACAGCCTGGACGCTGCAGAAGACCCTCGATATGTGGCTCGTGGAGCGCACGAGCTCGCACAAGTGCGAGGAGCTCAGCAACGTGCGAGCGATTCGCATCCTCGATAACAACGGTCAAGCTCGTCAGGCCTTGCCGCACGATCTGCAGCAGGCTCTTCGGGAGCAAGAGTACGGGTCCATCGGATCGACGCCTGGATCTGCCATGCCGTCGGCCGACGTTTTGCTCGGCTTCACGGATCGACAAGTGACACTGCGCTACGGCGTGACTGGCCCTGTCGTTGCGCGCGCTGACATTGGAGAGCGTGTGCTGGGCTGCGGAGTCATCGAACGGGCAGGCGACAAGGTAGCCGCCGTTGTGACACCGACAAGCATTCGAATCTTCAGTCTGCCAAGGCTGGAGTCGATCATCCGGCTGCAGCGACATCACCGCGAGGTGGGCGAGTCGTCGGGCGGTCGACCCTCGGTGTCGTTCGGCCCGCAGGGAGACTTTGTCGAGGTGTGCAGCAGCCTGGATGTGCGCATGTGGACCATGTTCGCATCGCTGCGAAGACCAGGCTTGCCGAATCTGACGCTGTACGACCCTGTATCGAGTCAGGCCATGCCGGGGCATCCGAGTGCAGCCATGTCGGCAGCAGGCGTGGCCACCAGCATTGCGGGCTGGTTCGGTACCAAGACGACCGGCGTTCTTTCAGTCTCGGCTCATATGGATGCGGTGCTTGCGGGACCCAATCGTCCGGATGCGCCCAAGCTAGGCGATCCTCTGCCGCCACGCGATTACCGCCCAATGGCTGCAGTGCGGGTGCCTCGGGGGGAAGCCAATGCGCGAGGAACACCCGAGGAGACGCGCGCTGCGTTGCCGCCTCTAGCTTCGGCGCAGAGGGAAGCAAGCAAGGCCAAGCAGGTAGCTGCAACGACGGACTCAGCCTGGCAGACGGGGTACCAGAACATCGACCTGCTCAAGGCACGTGGCGCCATGATGAGTGGGATTGAAGACGGCCTCACTTCGCTGGAACGCGGCGCGAGCAATTTCCTCAAGAACACACGCGAGGCGGCGGTCAAGGGCGCGGCCAAGGATAAGATGAACAAGATGTTCTTCTGAAGCGGTACGTTCGCGCGCGCTTATAACTGCTGCTGTTGACGAGGATCGGAATGCAAATCGAGCTCGACTCAGACGACAGACTGTGCCTGGTCGATTGGACTGAACGGGCTGAGGAGGGGAGCAAAAGCATGCCAAGTGGAATTAAGCGAACCGGTGGATGGAACGTGGGCTGCTTGGAGCAGCGGTCGCTTAGGAAGATTAGCCGCAGTAGACACACGTCTTGGAAAACGTGCCATCAAAGATACCTTTTGCTTACAGCAAGAGCCGGATTTTGACTTGACTCTTGTGCCGCTCGCTCGCTTCTGAGGCAGTTGACCGTTTGACTCGCAGATCTGCATCTAAATCTGATTCCGACTTGGGTTCCGACGGCACGCTTGTTGCCCTATGAAAAAAGATTTTTTGGCTGCAGAGCTGCATGATGCTGATGCTCCTTCTCACCTGTCACATTTGCGGCTGTTAGAAAGCAGAGAAGTAGCTCGGCTGTGGGTCAGGCTGGACCCTCGATGTGTGGTAGCGTGGCCGCCTGACTGTGCCTTTTTCGCACCGTAAAAGTTGATTCGCCCACAAGCACCAACGGCACAACGCCACTTTCTTCGTGCCGAACAGTGAAGAACACAAATCGGCGGATGCACAATTGATTGCCGCTCACCCTGCACCCTTGCTTGCTGCAACTCGAACAATCGGCTCTCTCTCTCTCTCTCTTCACTTCCATCCCCTTTCCGACCATCACTATTCGACGCACGCATCCGAGACGAGCCTCGCTCGCTTTATAGCCCAAGGAACCGGAGGTCAACCTCGTCGCTTTTGCTTCATCCTTCTCGTCTCGGCGCACCCAGCCGCGACGCTGTCGTCCATTCACACAGCTGCAGTCCTCCTTCCGTTGACGCGCGCAGCGCACACTAGCCAAGATGAAGTTCGGCAAGACCTACATGGAGACCATGGCGGATCCCGCCTTCCCCGAAGAATGGAGGAACGGCGCTCTCGAATACAAGCACCTCAAGAAGCTCATCAACGGTGTCGTCGCCGAGCTCGAGTCCATCGGTCTCGGTGCGGACGTCCTTCGAGAGCTTCTCGTCCGCCCCGAAGACGAATCAGGATCTTCGTCTCACGACTCGCCCAGAGTCAAGACCAAGCCCCTTCCCGATCACACCGACGATCCCGAATCTGCCTTGGCGGACGAGTCCGGTGACAGCTCAGAGCAGGAAGATGCGGATGCCTCCTCCAAGAAGCTCACTCCAGCAGGAAAGTGGGTTAGCGACTTCTCTGTCGAGATGATTCGCCGAGGATCTTCGCCAGCAACCCGCCTCGGTGTCACGGACGGCCAAGAGTCGCAGGTCGCCGGGACCAACGAGGCCTCGGCGAGCACTTCCCAAGCGCCGCCAAAAGCGTCTGCCCTTCTGGCCGTGCCCACCTCACCGAAGCCGCGCAGTCTCAGTCAAGGCGTCCAAGAGCTCAACTCCTCTGTCGACAAGATGCAGCTGCAGTCCGAAGCACGCGGCCGCGCATCCTTCAGCTCAGGATCCCCTTCCAATTCTAGCCACTGGGCAGGCCTCGGTAGGAAGGATCTGGCTGCGATGGGTCTGAACAAGAGGACTTCTTCTGCGCATGCTGCAGACGCGAACGGCCATTTCCACGAGCCAAGCCCAGGCACTCATGACTGGAGCGCCAGTAAGTGGAGGGAAGAGGCCAAGCTGGATTGGGATCCTAGCTCGGGCCCCGCCAAGAACGGACGCTCGACCCTCTCGCCGCCTGCACGCTCGCAAAAGGAAAGGAGCGCCAGTCCAGCCAAGCATCGATGGGTGGAAGGCAAGTTTGGTCGTCGTGCGCGTGCCGAGTACGAGCTCGGCGGAACACCAGATCATCCAGTACCTCGCATCCGTCTCTTCGTCGAGTCACCACTCCCCTCCGATGACGAGGAAGAAGAAGACGATCATGCTACGAATGGCGATGGCGGCAGCATCTCGGACGACAACAGCAGTCAGAAGAGTCTCGAAGAGAAGATTATCGAGCTGCCTGCCTCGACCACCAGACGCTTCTCCTCCATCCCAGAAGACGGTCCCGAAGGCGAGACTCGAGAGCAAAAGGCGCAACGTCAAAGCGAGATCCGTCGCAGACGAGGCACACGATCTCGCGAAGTCGTCATCCCACTCACCGCAGACACGCAGTTCCTCGATACGCTGACGCACGCGCTGCAGAACCTCTCCAACATCCAGTCCCACCAGCGTGACAACTTTGTGGTCGAGACCGAGTCGCTCTGCTCAGCCATCGCTCGCGCATCCAGTCCGTTCGCATCTAAAAACGACCTCTACGTGTGGAGGGAGATCTTCGGGCTTTGGGTCGACATGCAGGTATTTGAAAGTCAACGCGAAAAGGACCGCGGCGAGCTAAGCATCGACGAAAGCGAGGCTCGACTGAAGCGATTTGCGGTCGAGCTTGCCAAGCGCGGCTGGATCCACGATCCCAACGCGCCTGCGGCTTCGACCAAAAAGGGACGGTTGGTCAAGCTCAAGCTCGGTTCAGGACCGAGTAGCCAGGGTCTCAACAACCAGGCGAGCGCCGCGGCGATCGAGGATTTCCTGCGCCTCAACTTTGCGCTGCTCGACGTGAAGAAGTTCCAGCGAGTGAATGTCGAGGCCGCGCGCAAGATCCTCAAGAAGCACGACAAGCGGACGGCGTTGACGGCGAGCAACGATCTGCGCGCGTTCATGGCGCAGCAGGAAGCGGCGAGGCGGGCGATGGGCATCAACCCGGTCGGCAGTGGCGGTGTGATCAGCCTCCCCGCATCGGCGTTCCAACACGCAACAGACGTGTCGAACGCCAACTCGACGGCACTCGTCTCCTCTGCCGCCCATCCTTCCTTGGCTGCTTTACTGCCTTCTGCGACGACGGGGATCCTGTCCGAATCGCTGCCGCACATCCTCCTCTCGCTGGTCACCACCACGCTCCTTCCCATCCTCCCCGCCGTCGACGACTACAGCTGCGCCATCTGCACCTCGGTCGCCTGGCGACCCGTCAAGCTCGACTGCTCGCACCTCTTTTGCCTCAGATGCCTCGTCAAGCTCCAGCGCCAGGGCAAGGACGATTGCCCCCTCTGCAGAGCCCCCGGTGCCGTCAAGACCGCCGATCGAAGGAATATGGACGAGGAGTCGGACAAGTATCTGCAAACGTGGTTCCCGCGCGAGGTCAAGGAGAAGAGCAAGGACAACGAGAAGGAGCGCAGGAAGGAGGATCTCGAGGCCATGGGGTTGCGCGAGAAGGAGTGTGTGATTCAGTGAAGCGATTCGTTTTTTGGCTTGTCATCTGTTGTATCAATACATACCCGGCTGTATCAGTCTTTTGGCGTCATCGCCTAGCGTGCTGTACCCGTTTGCCGTGCATTGAGTGTGTCCTTCATTGCTTGCAACGCAGACGCAAGAGCGGTGAGGCTAGCACTGCTGCAAATCGTGAAATATATATTCACATAAAGAGCTGTGTTCTATCTGCGGCCATAGAACCTTGAAAGCACCGCATCCCGTCCGATCTGCGAAGTTAAGCAAGGTATCGCCTAGTCAGTACTGCGGTGGGGGACCACGCGGGAATCCTAGGTGCTGCAGTTCCTTTTTTTTTGTTGCTTCATGCAATTCAGGGTCCAGCTCTCCAAAATTTTGCCCAACCTTGTTGTTGCTTCACTTCCTTCTTCTCATCATCACCATCACGCCACTGCTCTTCCAACGGCATCATCATGAGCGGGTCAAGTCTGCCTTCGGCAGCTGCGGGACCGTCATCCCTCCGCACCGCCCCATCCTACGCCGGCAGATGGTCCAAACTTCAACCGCCACTCACGCCGTTCATCAGCTCGCTCCTCTCCTCCCTGCAATTTCACCAGATGACCCCCGTGCAGGCATCCACCATCCCGCTGTTCCTCGCGCACAAGGACGTCGTTGTTGAAGCGGTAACTGGGTCGGGCAAGACACTTGCCTTTGTAGTGCCGGTGTTGGAGATGCTGTTGCGACGCGGGAGCAGGTTGAAGAAGGACGAGGTGGGGGGATTGATCGTGAGTCCGACGCGGGAGTTGGCCGAACAGATCTATGGCGTGGTTACGATGTTTCTCGCTGCACAGGAGCAACCTCTCGAGGAGCAGGCAGATGAAGAAGAAGCCGAAGAGGAGCAGGATAGTGACAGCGATTCCGACACGCCCGCTCGAACACCAGCCAAGAACCCAACGACACGACGAACAACCCGCATCTCAGGCGCCCAACTCGTTGTGGGCGGCTCGAAAAGCACCCCGCTCGACGACTACCGTTTGTTCCGCGATACCGGTCCCGACATCCTGATCGGCACCCCGGGTCGACTGGAAGAGCTGCTCACCCGCAAAGGTGTCAAGAAGGGCTCACTCGAAGTGCTCGTCCTCGACGAAGCGGATCGACTGCTCGACCTAGGTTTCACCGAGACGCTGCATCGCATCCTCTCTCTCCTGCCCAAACAGCGGCGCACCGGTCTTTTCAGCGCCACCATGACAGATGCCTTGGGCGAACTGGTTCGTATGGGACTCCGCAACCCCGTGCGCGTCGTCGTCAAGGTCGAATCCAAGACGCAAAAGGAGGAAAGAAGGACACCGGCGAGTTTGCAAAATATGTTCCTCGTCAGTCGACCGGAGAACAAGCTCGCGCAACTCCTCCGTGTGCTCCTGTCGGAGGGACGGGAAGGGGCCAAAAAGTTCATTGTCTACTTTGCAACGTGTGCGCAGGTCAACTACTTCTCCCTCATCTTGACGCCTCTCCTCCGTCAGCAGGGGATAGCACTGCATGCGCTGCACGGCAAACAAACACCCTCAAAACGCAAAACCTCTTTCGAATCGTTCGTCACTTCGACTTCAGGAGGAAAGGGAGGCGCAACCGTGTTGTTCTGCACCGACGTCGCGGCACGAGGGTTGGATCTGCCGGATGTCGAGGTGGTGGTGCAGTACGATCCGCCGGTGGATCCCAAGGTTTTTTCGCATCGATGTGGACGCACCGCGCGTGCTGGGAGGAGGGGGAGGGCGATCGTGATGCTGCATGCTGGGCGAGAGGAGGATCTGGTTGCGTACTTGGGCGTCAAACGCATCCCGTTGGCAGCGTATGCTTACCTTGATTCGAGGCTCGAACCGACGCCAGAACCAGAGACCGATCCCGAAGCACGGGAGCTTGAGCAAACCATCCGCAGCATGTCGCTCGGCGATAGAGAGGTGTACGATTCGTCCCTCCGTGCATATGTTTCATATGTGAGGGCGTATAGTCGGCACGAGATGGCGTACATCTTCCGGCTGGCGGATCTGGACCTGGGTGGGGTGGCGAGGGCGTTTGGCCTGATCCGCTTGCCTGCGATGCCCGAACTGCGCGCGCAGAAGGCGAAGGGCATGGTGTATGACGAGGTGGAAGGTGTGGATTTTGCCAACATACCGTTCAAGGATAAGGTCAAGGAGCGGGCTAGGCTGGTCAAGATCGAGGAGGCGAAGGCTGCGAAAGTCCAGCAGGAGGAAGAGGCGGCGAAGAAGGACGAGGGCAGCGGGGAGAGCTCAGACGAGGACTCGGATGCGGATGAAGGCTCGAAGAAAATTCGAAAGCGCAGAAAGGCTACCACAGGCGAAGCATGGTCCGCGCAAAAGGAGCGCAAGGAGCATCGCGCCATTCGCAAGGAGAAGCGCGCCGCCAAGAGGATTTTCCTCAAAACCCATCCCATCGGTCAACAAAAGGAGGAGGAAGAGGAGGACGATTGGACCGAGGAATATCGCAAACTCAAGAAGCAGAAGCGGCAGGCGAGGCGGGCCAACGGCAACCACGACGACGATCAGGAGGGATCGGACAGCGACGACGACAGTGCGAAGGACGCCGTCAAGGAGGAACCGTTCTTCGTCATTTGAATCACCCTCCCCTCGTTCAGTCTCAATGCGATCGTCCATGCAAACCCCTCACCAGTGTCCCTTGCAATCCTCGTGAAAGTGCGATTCCTAGTGGGCTAAAAGTACAGTGCTTCTGATGCACAGCGTCTATGAGTGTCAAAGAACGGGGAGCCTAAGGCGCTCCCTGAAAACCAAGCGACCCGTAACAAAACAGCAATATGAAAACCCGATCCCTCTTTCAGCCGCCTCACGTGCGGATGTGGATCTTGGCACTTTCGCTCTGGGACACCTGTTCCTCCTCGAGCGTCTCATCGAGCGAAGCGCCCAATGACGGACCCGCAGGCCCGTCCTCCATGGCGCGCACCACCTCTCCTTCCAGGTCCCGACCCAGGCCGCCCTGCTCGCGCGATGAGCGTCGGATGAACATGGGTGGCTTGTCGGCCAAGGCGAGCTCGGGCGCCGAGAGACCCTTGGCAGTCGGTCGCGATTTCGACGGGATCGGGTCCGCTGCGACCACCTTAACGGGTCCATGGCGGAGCAGGCGTCGCCGGCTGCTCTTGCCCGGTCGTGGGGTGGCTTTGAACGAAGTGCTGGGTTCGTCGTCGCTCTCGGCCTGGGAGCCGGCGTTGGACGCTTCGTGCGAGAGAGACTCGAGCGCGTCCCCACCGCCGATCTCCTCGTTGAGCTCGGCAAAGGCGACCGTGAGCGGAGGCGCGGTGGTCGCCACCGGTGTTTCCGTGGCGGCGATCTCAGCAGCGACAGCCTCGCGTTCGGCGACGGGGTTGAACGAACCCCGTCGGCCAGATTGGATCGAGAACGCGCCGACGACCGTCTCGGTCGAATCGCGCTCGATCAGCTGTGGCGGCGAACCCGGCTGTCCAGCCGTTGGGATGGTCACCTCCAATGGCGCCTCGGGCTTCTTCATCCCAAAGTAGTCGCCGTGGCTCGGCGCTGCAACATACCTCGAGAGACTCTGTCGCGTCGAGGGATCGAACAGCCACTTGACCAATGTCGTTTCCAGAGCAGCGCTCTTGACCGGCTTGGAGAGGTAGTCCGACATGCCCGCCGCCAGACACTTTTCGCGATCACCACGGATCGCGGAAGCGGTCATGGCGATGATGGGCGTGGTGCGCACGTCGACGCTGTCCGACTTGCGCAGACGCTTGGTCGCCTCGTACCCGTCGCAGTTGGGCATGTGGCAGTCCATGAGAATCAGATCGTACGAATGCTTGCCCACCTCCTCGATCGCCTCCAGTCCGTCCTTGGCCACCTTGCAGCTGAAACCCATCTTCTTGAGCGTCTTGAGCGCAATTTGGGCGTTGATGAGATTGTCTTCTGCCACCAAGATCCAGATGTCCTTTCGAGGTCGCTGCAACGGATTCTCGCTGACGCCGAGACTGCTGGTGGCTTCGTCCATCATGATCTCGGGGATCGCCTCCTCGTCGGGTGAAGAGTCGCCGCTCGCCTCGAGCGTGCGCACCTTTTCGAAGGGAATGCTGAACCAGGCGTTGGAGCCCTTGTTTTCGACCGACTCGAGTCCGATGGTGCCGCCCATGAGGTCAACGAGGTTCTTGCAGATCGACAGACCCAGACCAGTACCACCGAAGCGACGAGCAAAGGAGGGATCCGCCTGACTGAAGGGCTGGAAGAGCTTCTTGAGCGTGATCTGCGAGATACCGCACCCTGTGTCGCGCACCTCGAAGTGGACGTGCAGGCTCTTCTGGTCCTCGTGCGTCTCGATGACACGCAGCGTGATGGAACCTGCAGCGGTGAACTTGATCGCGTTGGTCAACAGGTTGGTCAGCACCTGGCGCAAACGGCCCGCATCGCCCACGATCTGGCCCGTGAAGTTGAGCTGACATTCGTTGCGGAATTCGAGGCCCTTCTTCTGGGTCGCGAACGACAGCATCTTTTGGGTGTCCATGATGACCACATTGAGGTTGAAGGCGGCCCTTTCGAGATCCATCTTGCCCAGCTCGAGCTTTTCAAAGTCGAGAATGTCGTTGATGACGGTGAGCAGAGCGTCGGCGGATCGCTGGATGTTTTCGGCAAAGTCGCGCTGTTCCTTGGATAGCGGCGTGTCGCAGAGCAGCTCGGAAAGACCAATGACACCGGCGATGGGCGTTCGGATCTCGTGACTCATGTTGGCGAGGAACTCGGACTTGATGCGGCTGGCTTCCTTGGCAGCGGTTTCGGCAGCAAGCGCCCGTGACCTCTCGTGCATCGACTCCTCGAGCTTAAGCTCGGCGCGTCGACGATCGGTGATGTCCATCGAGGCACCCACGACACCGATGATGTTGCCCTCGGTGGCTTCGTGCTCGTACGACTCGTCGCGCTGGGGTGTGTACTGCGTGCGGAACCATCGACCCTCGATCTCCATCTCTTGGACGACGGATTCACCATTGAGAGCACGGCCGATCGCCTCCCGAATACCTGGCGAATCCCAGACCTCGTAGATGCTGCGACCGATCATGGTGCGCTGGTTGGAGCGCTTGCCTGGACCGCTGACGGCGCTCTGGCTGTTGGTGGCCGATTCGGCGTCCTTGTTATCTTCGCTGCGCGCGTTGGCCGTTCCACCGCCGAGCGATCCGCCAAGCGATCCCCCGGAGAGCGAGTTGCCCGAGCCGGAACCGTCGCCGTCCGAGCCGTTGGGCGTACCCGGAGCCAAGCGCAAGGAACGGACACCCGGTCCTTCGGCGATGGTGATGATCGCCTCGGGATCGATGGCCCAGATGGTGACGTGCGCGTGGTTGATGACGCTGGTGAGCTGCGCCTGCGACTTGCGCGATGCTTCTAACGCCTTGACCTCGCTATCGCAGTCGGTGCAACTGCCGTACCATTTGACAATCTTGCCTGAGGCGGAATCGCGCATGGGCAGGGCGCGGCCGAGCAACCACTTGTAGACGCCATCGTGTCTTTTGACTCGGTACATGACCTGGTAGGCTTCGCCGGTGCGCAGACAGTGCGACCAGCGTGCGTTGGTCTCGATGATGTCGTCCTCGTGGATGAGGTGCTGCCAGCCCGTGCCAAAGAGCTGCTCGTTGGTGAGGGCCGTGTAGCGGTTCCATTGCTCGTTGTACCAGTCGACACTCCCGTCGGCCTTGGCAGTCCAGAGCATCTGGGGCATGCTGTCGCAGATGGTGCGGAAGTACTCCTCTCCTTTCTTCTCGACTTCCATCTTGTAGTTCTTTTCGGTATCTGTGACGTCGACGATGGTGATGACACCACCAATGTGCTCTCCGAAGCCTCCTGCCTCGCGGATGGGCTTGGCGCTGACCTCGAAGACGCGGCGTGAGCCTGTGTCGGTAGCGATGCATCCGATGCGCACAGGCTTGGCGAATTGACCTAGAACGGCGGCACGGTAGATGGGCCACTTCTCCTCTGGGAACGGCTGACTGAAGTCTTCGGTGTAGCAGTCCATGGCATCCGATAGCCAAGACATATCGACCTCGAGACCGTCCTTCTTGGGTTTGGGCGGCTGGGCGGGCTTCTTGGGCTTGTCCTGAGGGTTCTGTCTCATGAAGTACTTGAGAATCTCGTCGCAGGCACGGTTGCGGATGACGGTGGATCCATCGGAGGACATGGCCATGATGGCGGTCTCGATGGTGTGGAAGACGCCACTCTGGAGCTGCTCGACCTTGCTGATGAGCAGGTCTGCGGGACTCATGCGACGCTCAGCGAGACGGGTGGGCATGATGCTGATGGTGAAGTAAGACTCGTGAGGAAGCGTCGCGCCCCGCGGCTCGAGTGGCTCGGAGCGGTTGGGGGTGTTGAAGGCGGGACTTTGTTCTTGAGCCTCCTGCTTGTCAGCGTCGGTAGAGAGGTTTTTGGCAAAGTGGCTATTGAAGGTTTCGGAGAAGACCTCGTCGGTGGGATGCCAGGCCGAGATGGACATTTCTGCTGAGAACATCGTTTCGTCGTCTTGTAGGAAAGTGAGACGTGTGAGCACGGGCGGCGCCCAAGCTGCGGTGGCTCTGACCTGCGTCGCCTCGTGAATGGCGGACATGAACTCGCCACGGTGCTTTTCTGCAACGAGCTTCTCCATGGTCTGACCCATGCAACTGACGGCTGTCATAAGGAAGATGCTCTCGCAGGGGCGATTCATCATTCGAATCCTGCGATTGTTGTCGAGAACGAGCATGGGGGTGGGCGCAAAGTAGAGCGCCCTGACGGACTCATCGAGATCAAACATCTTTGTGGATGAAGACTCGCCAAAGTAGGAAGATGAGTTTGCGGGGAAAGGGACGAGGCTGGCGGGAGGCGAGCGAGGATCGGAGCTGGGTGGGTTGAAGCGACGCGAAGGGGCAGGAGCCGAGCTCGAAGTGGCGGGGGAGGCTGGATTGCTGTGAGGAGTTGCAGGCTGTGTGGTAGCTGCGTTGTTGTTGAAGCCAGTGCTGCTGCCAGAGCGAGGCGGGGCGTGGATGACGCGAGGCGAAGAGACGGCTCGTGTAGGCGGCAAGGGGATGTAGTGAGGGCCTGTGAATGGCTCTTGGAAAGGAGTGAGCGGTGCGCCGGTGAATGCGGAAGCAGTGGTGCTGCTGCTGGCGGTGGAGTTGGAGGGCGAGAAGGGGCCTGCACCACTGGAACTCTCGAAGCGCGCCCTCTTTGTCGAGGGAGAGGAAGCGCTGCCGGCAGGAGCTGCCTGAGCAGAGGCAGCGGGATCCGAGGCCGACTGCGAACCAGCAGCGGAGGGGGTGTTGGGAGACTCTGTTACAGGTCGCTTACGTGAGGGACGAGGAGGCTGGAGAGGATCCTGACGAGCGGGTGGGCCTGAAATGGTGACAAGAGGATCCAGATACTCCCAAGTAGTTCTGGGACTCGCTTATGAGGAGTCTGCAGAACTGGAGTATCGTGTGTTGAGAGTGACGATTGCAAGAAAGAACGGGCTAGAGTAGCCGATTGCAGCTAGATCAAAGTATGCAGATCCAATAGTGGGATGGTGGATGTGATGCCGAGAATGGTGCCGTATCAAGAAAGGAAGCAAGCGAAAGCGAAATCGAAGCTAAGCAAATGTCGAAGAGTGGATGAAGACCTGCTTCTTGGATCGTGTGCGTCAATGAGCGCAGGAGTGTTGACACGAACAAACGAGTGATCCGAAGGGGGAATGGTGCAGAGATGATGGCGAGAAGGAGGATAAGTAACTGCTGTGACAAAGCGGAGAAGGTGAGAAGAGGCAGAGCAACAGAGCTTCGGCAAGCAAAAGCGGGCAACGCAGCGGGGCAGAGAACCAAAGGCAGCAGAAAGCAGCTTGCGATGAGAAGAGCAAACAGCAGACAAAATTGATTGAGACGACTAACCAGCAGCCGCGATGAAGACGGAAATTCGCAAATCCAATCCCGAAACATTCTCATCTCTAGGCGCAAGGCCAGTCTACATGACAACGGAATTCAAAATCCAAGATGGAAAAAGACCCTTCCTTTTTGGCTTGCAGGGCAGACCCTTTTTTGAAATGAGTTCAACGCGCCGCGAGCTGAGTCGAGCATGACCTGACTGAGCCTGGCTGTACCGCTCGCAAGACTGGCGGAGCTCAAGGCGAGTCTCGGCAGGAATTCTGTCGTTCCGTCGGTCGATTTCGGTCGTCTACAGGTCGACTGCGAAGCGGCAGCGATCGCGATGAAACAGAGTCACCAGTGTCAGATGAGCAAGCTCGTCGGTCGGCGCCTTGTCGCCGTGCCATCTCTGTCTCGCAGCAGCTCAGTCGGTGCGCAGAAGAGCCAGAGCGTGACCGGAGCTGCTGCATAGCGAGCGCAGGGGAGGTTCAGGAAATCTGCGACCCTGTTCGGTTGACAGCCTCTCCCGCTGCTCGAGTCTTCGACCGAATGGTGTTTGAGTCGTCTTCCAAAGGCCGGCAGTGAATCGCTCTTCGTAAAAACGGCGGCGACGTGCTGCAAGGCCAGCGTCGACGGTTGCCCGACTTTCAAAAAGGCAAGCCAAAATGATGGCACAGAAAACGCTGCAGAAATTGACAGCAGCTCGCATCGCGAGATGAGAAAACATTGTCGTCTTGCTCTCAAGCTCAAAGCGTCTCTCGTCACAAGAGTACACAGCCCATCGAAGGCATAATGAGAAAAGCGACGTTGCATACAGATTACAGAAAGGAAAACGAAACGGCAAGAGAGCGAGACCGCTCAGATGCGGGCGGGGGCGTGCTGGTGGGGGAGGTGCGAGTAGAGGGCCGAGGTCAAGAACTCATCCGGAGCCGGGGCGCGGACCTGGTCAGCAATGTAGCGCTTGGCCTTCTCGACGCTGGCGCCGATCTTGGACACCTTGGCCGCCTCCTCGTCCAGGATGCGGTCGACGTAGGCAGGAGTGATCTCGTTGCCCTCGGCGGTCTTCTGCTTGTGGTACACCCACGACCAGAGACCCAGACGCGAGATCTCACCCGTAGCCGCGTCCTCCATCATGTTGGCAACGGGCACACAGCCGAGACCGTTGAGCCAGTTGGCGCAGTAAACAAGCAGAGCGGCCACGTTGGAACGCACACCCGCCTCGGTGATCTGACCGGGGACGTTCGAGTTGAGCAGGTCGAGCGCAGACACCTTGACCTCCTCGCGACGGACGTGGTACTGATTGGGACCCAGCATGTTCTTGTCAAAGATCTCGAGGGCGATCTTGACAAGGGCAGGGTGAGCAACCCAGGTGCCGTCGTGACCCGCCTGCACCTCGCGCAGCTTGTCAGCACGCACCTTCTCCATGGCAGCGTCGTTGGCCTGCGGGTTGTCCTTGATGGGAATCTGAGCAGCCATACCACCAATCGCGGCAACACCACGCTTGTGGCACGTCTGGATGAGCAGGTTGACGTACGCCTGCATGAACGGCGACGTCATGGTCACAGCCGCACGGTCGGGGAGGATCGAGCCGCTGTTGTAGCGCTGACGCTTGATGAACGAGAAGATGTAGTCCCATCGACCACAGTTGAGACCCGACGAGTGCTGGCGCAGCTCGTACAGGATCTCGTCCATCTCAAAGGCGGCCGTGATGGTCTCAATGAGGACGGTGCCACGGATGGTGCCGCGCTGCATCTTGATGTAGTCCTGCGAGAGGTTGAACACGTCGTTCCAAAGACGAGCCTCCAGGTGGCTCTCCATCTTGGGCAGGTAGAAGTAAGGACCGAAGCCGGTTCGGACGAGCTCGTGGGCGTTGTGGAAGAAGTAGAGACCGAAGTCGACGAGCGAACCCGACATGGGCTTGCCGTCGACGACAATGTGCTCCTCGTTCAAGTGCCAGCCACGAGGGCGGACGAGCAGGACAGCCGTCTGTCCCAGGGGCTTGAGCTTGTACTCCTTGCCGTTGCTCTGCTTGAAGTCAATGGTGCGGTGGATAGCGGCACGCATGTTGACCTGACCGTCCATGAGGTTGGCCCAGGTAGGGGAGGTCGAGTCCTCAAAATCGGCCATGTAGGTGTAGGCGCCCGAGTTGAGAGCGTTGATGACCATCTTCTTGTCGACGGGGCCCGTGATCTCGACTCGGCGGTCACGAAGACCAGGTGCGGGGGGAGCACATTGCCAAGTAGGGTTGTTTCGGATGTGGGCGGTCTCGGGGAGGAAGTCGGGCAGAGCGCCGCCGTCGAACCTCGACTGACGGAGCGATCGTGCCTTGAGGAGCGACTGACGAGTGCTCTCGAACGATCGGTGGAGCACAGCGAGGTACTTGAGCGCCTCGGGGGTGAGGATGGAAGCCTGCTCACCCTCGATCTTGCCGAGCACGCGGACGCCTTCGACGGACATGATGACGATGCTGTTTCTTTTGGGTGTTGAGGAAGTGCGATACGGGTTTGCTGTTTCTGGTGGAAACTGAAATGGAAGCTGCGAGAGGATGAAGTATGCAGCGATGAAGGGGGATGGGACGTGTGTGAATGCAGAAAAGGAAGAAGGTGCGGGCCTGCCTGATCTATATACTCTGAGGCAGCAGAAGGCGAGATGGGACCTCTCGATCGTTGACGCTATGCTGCCTTGTGCGAGCCTGACCCACAAAAGACTGTGTGGAGAGGGCAGGCAGACTTCCGGCTGGAGAGCCGGGGAAGCGGTCACCTTTTTGGAGCGAGGAGAGCGCTCAGATGCCTGTTGAACGGATAGATTCGGCAACTCGCGAAGGGGGCAAGAGCGTGAAATGCGTGAGCAAAAAGGCGGGGCTGCAGGCCATGCATGCACGCACCAACCAACCTCCACCGCACTTGGCTCCAGACACTGACCTGCTGCCGCGAATTTTTGGACGGATCAAGAGGAGATAAAGTCACTTTGGATGCTCTCTGACCCGGTTTCAAGGCCAGCAGCCGCCCGCTCATTCACGACTTCACTTTGCCGGAATGTCACCCGTCCGTCCGTTTCCCAAGCCAGATGAATCTTCTCTATCGACGCAAAACAATCTTCGACTTCAAAAGCCCGAGCTTTTGATTGGATGAGACCAGACGCTGCCTTTGGGTGGTTATTGTCTGCCCGCCTGATCGATGTTGTTGCTATCGCAGCCTCTTGTCGTCCAAGGCAACTTCTCTTGAAGCCAGCTCGATCGTCATACCGCTTCGTCTCTGGGAGCAAGCGAAGGCCGAGCGTGCTTGTCAGCAAACGTTCTAGGGCGCGGGGCAAAGGCGTTGGTCGTACAGAAGGCGCTTGCTTGGAGAGATCTGCCCTGCAGCGAGCGCTCATGTCGGGCCAAGAACAAGATGGGAGACCGTCCAGACCGAAGCACCCGCCCGCTAAAAATCAAAAGTCGAGAAGAGGGCTTGCAACCGAGCGGGCATCGACGTCAGAAGTCACGAGCGGGTCGCTGCCGGTACGGAGGGCGAGCGAGCGAGAAGTTTGCTTTTGGTAACGGGCGCTGAAGCGGCGCAAAGGTGACTTCCGGCTAAAGCCGCATCAGGCTCTCGACGTGCTATCTAGCTCGTTTCGTGCGATAAAAGCTGATCTCGCGATTGTATCGCAAAGTTGCCCGATTACGAAGATTTCGCAATCAGCATCGATTGTCACTGAGGAAGACCTTGCAGCGTCCATACGGGCGTCTCGTTGATCTGATAAGTCGCTCCTCAATCTGTACAGATCAGCATGCACAGACAGTAATACCGTAAGGGCAGAAAAGCTCGCGAATCGGGTCGCGGTAAATTGAAAGATGCTGTATCTGCAGCGCCTCTAAAGAGAGCTCGAGACCTCGGTGATACCAGCCTAAGACAGATGCAAAGCAAAGAGGGGTGCGGTATAGAAAAGCGTCAGTGGTATGTTGCACATCGCAGCGGATAGAGCAGCGCGCAGACTGAGCGAGCTTCTGCTCTGATCGAGAAACAGAAAGCTCGCCTACGTCGCCACCTGCAGCAGAATATTGAACTCACCTGGAGAGCCTGGGGGTTGGCACCGACGACTTTCTTGACGGGCTGACCCTTGTTGAAGAAGACGAACGTGGGCATGGCCTGGATACCGACCTCCTGAGCGATCTTCTCTTGGACGTCGACGTCGACCTTGTAGAAGCCGAGCATCTCACCAGCGGGGGTGTCCGAGATCTTCTCAAAGATGGGGCCGATGACCTTGCAAGGACCGCACCAGGTGGCCCAGAAATCGATGACGATGGCCTTGTCGCCAGAGATCTGTGTAACGGTGAGGTGAAGTAACAAGGAGAAGGCAGGGCGTGTCAGTCGAATCATGCGCATAGAAGAGATTCCCGTGGTTCACTGCCAGGCTGCACGGCACAGGCAGCACAATGCTACACTTACGAGGCTCTGGAACTCCTCGTAGGACTCGATAGACTTGACAACCATTTTGAATGTGTATGTGTGGGTGATTCGATGGATGAGATATGCGAGAAGGAAGCGGCGATCAGCGTCTGAGATTATATACGCGACTGCACGATTGAACGTGCGTTCGCCGCCCGTCCCACTCGAATCCTTCTGCAAGAAGTGTTGCTCACGGGCCGCACTCACACACAGGCTGCTGCCTTCTTCTGGCAAAAGTGGCCGAAAGACGGCGCTCCATCGCGTTCCAAAAACAAAAGCTTTCGAACATTTCCTGGCCGGCGAATGCTTTGAGCAGTCAAGCACGTCAGAGACCCGATCCGCTCTTCTTTCAACTGAGCCTCGATCGGACTTTAGCTCGATTTTCTTCCGCTGTTGTTAAACCCTGTGCCTCTGCATAGCCGTCCTTCCGCACGCTCACCACAAGTTCGAGACCAACACTTTACCTCCATCGTAACGCCGGGGGTACAAGGCTCACTGAGCTTTCGAGAAGCATCTCAATCCTTCTGTATACAAGCCAGCCTGTCCAGGATCCAGGAACGACCGGCAGATCCTAGCACGCGGCGGGTCCACGATGGAGATTGGCGACCATTGCACCTTCTCCACCTGTGGACGCCTTTCTTTCCTTCCAGTCTCCTGCCCATTGTGCACCACCACCTACTGCGAGTCACACTTTCTGCCAGAGCAGCACCATTGCGCCAAGGCAGCGTCGACGAGCAAGGTGCTCGACGATGACGAGCTTCTCCGACGCATAGCAACCACAGGCTCGTCCGGCCGTCTACCGTGTCAGAAGCAAGGCTGCAAGAAGCTCAGTTTTGAGGTGCAGAAGCAGCCTGCAGCGGAACTAAAGGCCCGAGAACCGCCAAGAAGAGCATTCACACACGCAGCTCCCCGCTGTGAACGATGCAAGGGCCTCTTCTGTGCCACTCACCGCTCAGCTTCCAGCCACGGTTGTACGGCCGCAGCGCCTCTCACCGAGGGCCAGCTCAAGCTCAAAGCCATCGACGACCGCAAGAAGAAGGCAGCTGCCATTCTCGCCAAAAACTTTCCCAACCGCAAGACATGAACCATACTTTCTCCATAGCTTAGCTATGTTTGCACTCGCACAATGATACCCACGCATCTCAACACTCAATCTCAGCACAGCATCCAGTTCCAACACAGCGGGCGACCTTTGAGATCAGAACGTGACATTGACGCAGGGAAAGGATATAGATATGACTATGCTTTTGCTTGAAGGATTCTGTCGACCTCCTCGCAGCTCTCAGCGGTGACGCAGAAGGTTCCACCCAAATCCAGCGCTGCGTCTACGCCATCGAATGTGCCGCCAGCTCGGTCCACGTGGTCCTTGGCAGATGAGCTTGCGTCCTTGTACGAGCAGCGAATTTGCTGTGGGAAGGGACACGGGCAGTGCGATGGCTTCGAGACGCACGAGAGTGTTCGAGGACAGAGATATTGTGTGCATTGGGCGGCGTCGACTCTTGCTTCGAACCAGCTTGCATCTCCCGCCTGTTGCAGCAGACAAGACGAGAATCAACGATCGAATAAGTCAGCACGGCGAGCGACTGAAGGGAGAGAGTTTCTGAGCTCCGACTTACCGGAGGAGGTTCTTGCTCTCGTGATCCGAACATCGATCCGCCTCCATTGCCGCCAAAGAACTGCTGGAAGAACTGGGCTTGGACCGGGGCCAGCAGGAGCATCTTGATGACCAGAAGAAGCGCGAATGCCAACGAAGCCACCGATAACCTTGACATCTTTGACAATGTGTGCCTCTTTGCTGCAATCGTCTTCGTAGCTAGAGGATTAGTTGGTTTAGGATGAGGGGTGTTGCTCGTGGGGTCGGTGGGCTTGAGCACGCGGCTGCGTGGATGCTCAGCAAGGCTGCCCCGTCTTCCGAGGTTCGGGAAATCAGACCCTGAAAAGTGGAATTTTTTGAAAGTGGATGAGGTCAAGCACAAAATTTGGCTCGCTCTTCTTCCACCAGCCGTGAGACACTCTCCCTTCTTTCAGTCCTTCATCACCTTCCCCGGACACAAAGCAGTCGACAGCAAAGGTCTGCACAAGATGGCAGAGGATTCAGGACCGTCACTCGAGCCACAGGCCGTCAGCAGCGTCTCATCCCAACATGACTCTATACCCAGCCCCGCCCCGCCAGTAACCGGAGCAGACGCAGAGGTACCCACAAATCCATCGCTATCCACTTCCACCGAGATTCCAACAACCACAGTAGAATCCACTGTGCCGATTGATGCAGCCTTGATAACAGAAGCTGCTGCGGAGGCCAGCACAGATGCATCAGTTCCGCCATCAGGGCCATCCTTCGAGAATGTCGAAACACCAGCAGCGGCCACAACGAAAGCAACAGAAGAATCCACCACAGTAGAGGAGGATGATACCGACTTTGTTCCTCCCGATATGGAACACATCGTCAGTACTGGAGCTGCCCAAGACGCTGCTTCTTCGATGCAAGCACTGCGAGAGCTTGTGGCTCAAGCAAGAGCATCCTCGGGACAGCAGCGCGAAGCGTTACCACCAGGCTTTGGCGATGACGAGATCGCAGAGGACCCGTCAGCACCACAGGAACAGCGCGGAGAAAAGCGCAAGGCAGAGGATGAGCTCGAAAAACTCGTCCAGTCAAGCACTGGAATCGATGAGGTGAAAGCAGCCGCCGAACAGAGCCAGCACCCAGAGACCAAGACGTTGCTGCAGAAAGCCCTTTCTTCCATCTCTGGGCTCGTTTCACGCCGGCCGAAAGCCGACTCTGCGGTCAACTCACCGACAGCGACAAGTTCCGAGCAGGTCAGCGCGGTGGCAGATGCAAAGCCGCTTGCCGACGGTGACGACGCTGGCGACGCTGACGATAGCGATGACGAGTCCAGCTCCGATTCGGGATCTTCGAGCAGCGATTCATCCGATGATGACGATGATGACGACGACAATGTCAAGGCAGCCGTCGCCCTGGCAGCCGATGACGATGACGATGAAGAAGGGGGCGGACCGAGTGGCAGCACAGCGCCAGTCACCAAGAACGAGATTCTCGCTCCGCAGGTGGACCAGCCAGCAACACAAGAGCTCTCAGAAGCGGAGAAGCTGACTCTACGCAAGCTCGGCAAGGTGCACTCCATCGTAGACAGTGTTGTCGTGGTGGAACAGGATGTTCACCAAAACAAGCAAGCCGATGGTGCGTCCGCCAGCGGCGCCTCCGTCCCCATCGATAGCACAGGCCGTCAGGGAGAGCGTCAAGGCGAGTACAGCGTACTCGACACGGGTAGCTTGCTCTGCTTCGAGGACGGCAAAGTGCTCGGTCTCGTGTTCGAGACTTTTGGGTCGATTCACAACCCTATGTACTCGATCCGCTTCGCTTCGGCAGCGGCGATCGACCGCGAGCTGGTCAAACCTGGCGAGACGGTCTTCTACCTTCCCAGTCAGAGCACGTACGTCTTGACGCAGCTGCTTCGACAGATGAAAGGAAGCGACGCGAGCAACATGTGGGACGAAGAGGTGGCCGAAGACGAGATCGACTATTCCGATGACGAGCAGGAGGCGGAAGCCAAGCGCCGTGCGAAAGCCATACGCTCTGGCCACGTCGATGATCAGGGCAACCCTCTGTCTGCGCCTTCTGCTCGAGGAAACAAACGTCAAAAGCAGCACGGAGCGGATCAGCCACCGAACAATGCGCCAAGACACCCTGCAAATGGGTCCCTTGGTCAAAGGCCTGGACATGTTGGTCCCGGCTCAAATGGCGCCGCTGCGCGACCGAATGGCCATGGACCAGCATCTTTGCCAAGGCGCAGTATCGGCGGACCAAACTTGCCGTTGCCACCAGCCCCAGCAAGATCTGTCCCATCAGGCGCCGGTTCGCCGCAAGGAATCGCCTCTTTGCCACCAAGGCCATCGGCTGGACTGCCCTCCAAGCCAGCTTTTGCTTCTGACGCATCGATGTCCGCGCATCGACCCTCGTACGAGCTGGGCAACGGAGCTGCTGTCACCGAACAGCATTCGGGTAGCGCTTCAAGATCGAGAATGGGAAGCACAGACAGCTCTGTCAGTGGATTCGGTCACAGCAGGATGACCAGCGCAGCAGCCAGCAGTCTGCCTGCCAAGCCTGTTGACGCAGCAGCTGCGGCGACAGCAGCGTCATCCGCTTCGTCGCCCCCCAGGACTAACGCAGCCGTGTCGCCATACGGAGCCCAGTCACCACCGCAGGCTTATCGTCCACCTTCGATGAGGAAAGGCCCGTCTGCCAATCCTGGCGCTCCCAACCACCACCAGGGCTCGCCTGCCTGGCACGCTGGCTTACCAAATATGTCGGCTCCTCCTGCAGGACAGCCTCATTATGGCGCAGCGCGAACTCCTGCGTACGGCTCAGCAGCGGGAGGACCGGTGGCGGTTCAAGGGGGCGGTCACTACAATCCGGCGTATGCTGGTCACTGGCAGCCCTCGTACGGCCCAGCAGCGACATCAGCACGTCCAACGCACGCGTGGAACGGGCAGCAATCGTATCAGGCAGCACCTATTCACATGACGCCAGGCTCGATGAGCCATCAGTCTTACGGAGGCTACGGTGGCGGCCATGCAGGATATGGCGCTCCCCCGAATGCGTCTGGAGGTCAAGGCAATGCTGGCAACACCTGGAGCGCGCAAGCGTATCCTGGCTCGCACTACCCAGGCTACACGGATCAGCAGCAATACTATGGAGCTCCGAGCAACGCAAGCAACACTGCAGGCCACAGCAATCAGGGCTACTATGCAACCTCAGCTCAAGCGTACGCATACGGAAACGGCGGCTATGCAAGCCCAGCTGCGTACGGCGCCGCACCCTCCAATAGCGCAGCAGCGCCTTCGACACCCCAGCAGGACAGCTACGATCCGACGAGCCCTTCGTTCAACAGCATCAGCGGCCACGGTCAGAACCAGCACGGCGCTTCCAATTCGTAGCGATTCTGCAGCGCCTCACCTCGGCTGTGTGCTCGTCTTGATCAGAGGCTGACAAGCCACTGCTTGGGCTTTGCTGCTGTCTGTGCGTTTGCCTGCGTGGTGGGTTTCGCACGGGCCGCCTCGCCGCTTTGCCTGCACCTTTGTAATTCTAGACTCTCCCTTTGCAAATGACGCTTTAGAAAGGGACACTTCAGCGCTGAGTCTCTGCTTTCGCAACTGCCGATACAAGGTTCAAATGAGATGGACACTTTGAAACCATGTGGGTCGAATACGCATCCAAAGCAACAGGAAGAAAGGGAAGTGATTTAGAGTTTGGCGCAGCAACCAAAATCGAGCTCAGCTTCCTTTGTTTCGCTCGCGTGACTGCTGAGTGGCAACGACGCGAAGTGACAGAGGTCTTCTGAATGCAGCAGCTCTGGCAGCACTCTACGCCAGTCTGGATAGACTGTTGCTCGATTGGCGCTCTGCACTGCTTCCTTTCCTCTCAGCTCTCATTCTGTCGCATGTTCCTTCAGCCACTCTGATCTGAGACCTTGGCTCTTCATTACCTCGCGTCTCCAGTTCACCCCACGTTCATCTCGCTATCCTCGCGTGCAAACGACGATCATCTTCACACCCTTCTTCGTCCAAAAACCATTCCTTCAGCCTGCCAAGCGAGCAGACAGCTCCACGATCAACGATGAGTAGCTACCGCGGCGATCACTACTCCCCTCCGTCACGTCAGCAAGGCTCCCACGGTCGATCAGGATACCAGCAGCCCTTCGGCGACGCACCTCCCGATTCTCTGGACCCGCTGGACCCGTTAAGCAACGTGCAAAGACCTAAAGGCTACCCCGAGCGAGATAATGGGTGGGGCAGACGACGACCTCGTGCCGACAGCCAAGCTGCTCCCTCGCGACCGGTCGAGCCGTATCAGAGGGCTGTACCCTCGGCGTCCGAGCCTAGGACGTTGCCACCTCCGCCAAACCATGCATGGGACACTTGCAGTCCAGCATCGGAAGCGCTTCCACGACACCGTCCACCCGTGGCTGATCCCAGGAGACCTCTTACTCCTCCTCAACGCTATGGTCATGGGAGCGCTGTTCCATCGCCGTCCGATCCGAGGACGCTTCCCCCTCCGCCTGATCATGGATGGGACAGCTCTGCTCCGGCTACGGAGGCGCTTCCACCCTCTCAGTACAACAGACCACCCATGGCCGATCCAAGGCCTCGGATACCGCCGCCACACTACGGACGGGCAGCCCATTCAACTCCCACCCCCGGTCATCCTCCTCCTGTCCATCGCGAGAGTGACGGTCGCAGATCTAGGGCCGAGGATCAGCAGGTCTTGCACTCTGCACCTTTTCCAGCGTCATCTCCCGGCTTCAACGCCAGACCAGCAACCAGTGATCCAAGGCGTCCCTCAGCATCGTCGAGCCACGGCTGGGAGCCTCAACCGGCTCTAGTGTTGGACGTGCCGCCAAGCTATCCAGTCATCTCACAAGAAGAGGTCAAGCTCGAGTACACGCTCCGCATGATCGAGGGACGACTGAACCAGCAGCTCGCGGTTCCAGCGCCAGAGTGGGAGGGCGTCGACACCAAGCTCATCACGCAGCTGATCGAAGAGCACCAGGGCCTCAAAACCCTCAACACCATGCGGCCAAGAACGATGCACACGGCCATGTCACACTATTGCGTCATGATCGAATGCATGGCTGCGAATCGAGCGCATCCTACGGCGCAGGAAAAGCTTACCACAATTCGCAACGGGGTTCAGAACATCGTCTTCGACATCTGCGAGGACGAAAGCGTGGGCACCCGCAAGCAAGGCCATCGGGCCTTGTTGGAGCTCAGCTCTCGCGATATTACGCTCCTCACGAGCAATCTCACAGCTCTGGTAGAACTTATGCAGAATCACGACGACGACGAGCGTACCCTCGTGCGTGAGGTCATCCTCAAGCATTTCCGATCGGCTCAGCAAAGCGACTATCCCGAGGCCAGTGTGACCAGCTGCTTCGATCTGATGTTCGGCGATAAGCTGGAGCTGCGTGGCCTAGTTGTCGACTTCTTCGCGTCTGACTGGGGCCAGAAGGTGGTGGACACGATCGTCGGCGAGCTTACGCATGAGGCAGCTCTCGCGAAGCACCTTGCAGAAACTCTGCCGCTCGCGACCAAGTTTGCATTGCCGAAGGTCGTCTCCCTTCTTCACGACTTGCAGAGCATCTGGGTTGGACCTGATGACGAGCTCTCAGAGTCCGACCGAGAGGCAGCTCGCGAAGCAGCCGTTGCCGTTCTCTGGAATCTCGGCTGGATCCTGATGGTGAAACACAACCTCAGCCCGGTTCCTCCCGGTCACAGCAGCGAAGACGACCAGAGCGGTACGAGCTCTATGCTTTCACCTGCTCTCACCGATGTGCTTGCAGAATGGGATGGGTCTAGCAAGATTCCGCTCATCACCGACGGCTTGAAGACTTTCAGCAGCCTCCTTCAAGTAGTCGACCGCACGATGCTCGGTCGAGGGGAGCAGATCCAGCTGGCTGCTGTTCAAAAGCTCTCCGAGGCCAAAATCTTCCTCAACGAGCTCGACGCTTCGACCACATATCTGTTCTACTACCTGCCACTCGAAGAAGGGGCGATCGAAGAGCCTGCAGCGCTCGTACACCACTTCTCCGCGGCACAGAAGCTCGTCTTGTTCCGATCAGCATCGAATCTGGCAGCGCGAGTGGCATCGACCGCAAAGCAATGCCCACCAGAGCTTGCTTTTGCCGGAGGCAGCACTGCTTCAGACATTTCGAAGATCATCGCTCGAGCGCTGATGGTAAGTATCTCGTCATCACACGTCTCGTTCCACGTGCAGGCACCCTTACTGAAGCAATGCTCCTTCTCTCTTTGATCTAGACCCACGTACCGATTAACGGCGTCTCGTGTGTTCGTATTGGCGATGCAGATCGTAGCCCTGCCGTCACAAGGGCTCGAAAGGCGTATACGATGCTTGCGAGCGAGGCCCTCCTCACTGCGCTCGACCAGTGCAGGTCTACGATTGAAAGGCCAACATGGATCGACGGTCACTTTCAAGACCGCGTGAAGGACATCATCGGTCTCGCACGCGAAGTGGAAGAGAGGGAGCTGTACCCAGAGGAGGTGCGCGAATCGGCGGGCTCTGTGATCAGACTGGGCCAACGGTGCCTCAGAGACGCGCGCAGGAGTGACGCCGAGCAGCCCATCCCAACGTGGCTGATACCACCTCCGCCATTCCCGCAGTGGGTCAATCCGCTGAAGGCACAAGAAGAGGCGTCATCATCCAACGCGGAGCTGGGCAAGGGCAAAAGGCGAGCCGACTCTGAGGACGTTCGACGTGTTCGCGGACGAGGTGCAGTCCGTGCGTTTGGCGCGGACGCCCGGGACGCCGATGTCAAAGTCGAACACAAAGACGCAGGTCCTCCTTCGCCCACCGAAAAGGGCATCGCGATCAAAGGCAGTAGTCAAGCAGGACGACCAGCGGTCGAGTCGCGCCGAGACGTGAAGACGGAGGATTGGGGGACCCAAGACGACCAGCCTTCGTTGTTGGACCGGATTGACGATCGCAAGATGTCCAATGAACGCGGTCAGTCGTCGACATCTCATTATCGAGCCAGGACGGAGGATCGGAGGGATTCTCAGGAGTATCGATCGCGTCGAAGGGACGATGATGCCTATCGTCGGGGTCGACACCGTGATGAGGGCTATTACGAGCACTACGATCGTGGGGGACGGGATTGGAGGAGACGTTGACCGGGATCGGCTCGTACGACGCCACACTTCCAGTGAGCAACTCTCAAAGACACAGCACACACACGTTTGACCGGCACGATCTGAAAAGAGAGAATGAAAACTGACCATTTTGATGGGAGAGAAAGAGAGTGAAGTGATAAAAAGGTCGATGACTGGAGCACAGCAGAGAGATGTGCCGACAACGACGGATCAAGACGAGCGGAGAACGAGGAATGATCTAGACAGCATGATGACGAGAGACGCCTACTTCTGGCCGTAGCCCTTCTTCTCGTCCTTGCCGGGGGAGGGGAGGGCTTGGTCGGCACCAGCAGCAGCGCCGCCTTCAGTGTGAGCCCAGTCGTCACCGTTGTCATCGGAGCCAGGGCTGTTTGAGCTGTCGTCACCACCGGCACCGGGCTGCGCCTTGTTCTTGTCGCAGTCGTCAGGCTTAGCGCCAGCGTCACCACCGTTGCCGCTGTTGTCGGCGTCGCCACCGTTCGAGCCGGGGTTGTACGAGCCGTTGTCCGAGCCTTTGTCGTCAGGACCCGGGTTCGACGAGTCACCGTTGTCAGCACCAGGGTTGGACGAGTTACCGTTGTCGGTGCCAGGCTGCGACGAGTCGCCGTTGTCAGCACCAGGCTGCGACTTGTCCTTGTCGCAGTCATCGGGCTTGGGAGCAGGCTGCGAACCGTTGTCGCCACCGTTGCCGTAGTCGGTGGGAGGAGACTGGTCGCCGTTGTCGCCAGGAGCCTGCTCGTCACCATTGTCGCCACCCTGAGGAGGAGACTGGTCACCGTTGCCGCCCTGAGAGTAGTCGGTAGGAGGCGACTGGCTGCCGTTGTCGCCGTTGTCGGAAGGGGGAGACTGGTCGCCGTTGTCGCCCTTCGAGTAGTCGGTAGGAGGAGACTGGCTGCCGTTGACGCCGTTGTCGGAGGGAGGAGTGCTGTCGTCGCCGCCCTTACCAGCATAGTCGTCAGGCGAGTTGCCCTGGTCGTCCTTGCCAGACTGGTCGCCGTTAGCGCCGGCATCCTTGTCGCAGTCGTCGCCGCTAGCGCCCTGACCAGGCTGAGGCTGCGAGTCGCCGTTGTCGCCACCGTCTTGACCGGGTTGAGGCTGCGCGTCACCGTTGTCACCACCGTCTTGGCCAGGCTGAGGCTGCTGGCTACCATTGTCGGGCTGAGGCTGTTGGCTGCCGTTGTCAGGCTGAGGCTGCGAGCCAGCGTCCTTGTCGCAGTCGTCACCGGGGGCCGGGGCAGAGCTGTCGTCGCCGCCACCGGGCTGAGGCTGGTTGCCAGCATCACCGCCGCTGGGGCCGTTAGAGGGAGCGCTCTGAGCACCGCAGCCGAACTTCGAAACGTCGCTGAAGCCCATGTGCAGGTAGAAGTCGCAGCTGTTGTCCCAGCCAAAGTCGCACTGCTTCTTCTTGTCGCAGGCGTGGTTCGAGTAGTCCTTGGCGTCCTCGGAGCACTCGTCGTCCGAGCAGCCCACGGCCTTGGTGTCGACACCGAACTGCTTCAGAGCCGAGCAGATGTCCTTGCGCTTGGCGTCCTTGGCGAAGCAAGGCGCGTTGTCAGCCTCACCGCCACCCTGCTTGGGGAACTTGGGGCAGTTGTCAGGGGCCGAACCCGAATCTTGACCTGAAGGGACGGGGATGGGGCTCTGCTTCCACTGGTCGGGGCTGATAGGCTGACCACCGTTGCCAGAGTTGGCGGGAGGCTGACCTTGGCCGGGCTGACCTTGAGGAGTACCCTGGTCGGGCTGACCTTGAGGAGCACCTTGGTCGGGCAGAGCTTGGTCAGGCTGGCCGGGCTGATCAGGCTGAGCAGCGGGCTGCTGACCACCACCCTGACCACCCTGCTGCGACTCCTTCTGGGCGCGCTCGGCGTCCTTCTGCTCGCGCTCGTGCTCCTTCTGGAGACGCTTGGCGTCCTTCTCCTGCTGCTTTTGCTGCTCCTTCTGCTGCTTCTCCTGTTCCTTTTGCTGCTTCTCCTGTTCCTTCTGTTGCTTCTCCTGCTCCTTCTGTTGTTTCTCCTGCTCCTTCGACGAGTCGTCCTGGCCAAAGGGAGGGGGAGCCTGACTGCCCTGCTGCGAGTCGCCCTGAGGAGGTGCAGGCTGACCGCCGTAACCCTGCTGGGGCGGGGTCTGGTCGGAGGGCGCCTGACCGCCGTTTTGAGAAGGAGGCGCGCCGTAGCCGTCGTCCTTCTTGGGCTGGCCGGGGGCCGACGAGTCGCCATAGCCTTGTTGCGAGGAGCCATCGTCCTTGCCCTGGTCGGGCTGCTGAGAGCCGTTGTCCTTGCCTTGGTCAGGCTGACCGTAGCCTTGCTTTTGAGACCCGTCGTCCTTGCCTTGATCAGGCTGCTGGGAACCGTTGTCCTTGCCTTGGTCGGGCTGACCTGGGGTCGATGAGTCGCCGTAGCCTTGTTGCTGCGAACCATCGTCCTTGCCCTGACCAGGCTGACCAGGGGCCGACGAGTCGCCGTAGCCCTCGGGCTGGCTACCGTCGTCACCGCCGTAGCCTTGCTTGCCGTAGCCCTGTTGCTGAGCGCCGTCGTCGCCGTTACCCTGAGGCGAAGAGATGTCTCCACCGTCATCGCCACCGTCGCGGCGGAAGAGGCGGCCGGCGAAACCGCCAAAGCCGCTGGCGCGCTTCTGAAGAGCAATCGCCTCGTCGCGACGGTTAAGGTTGGAAGGGCGCTTGTTGGCCGTTACGGGCGAACGGGCCTCAGCAACCGAGATGGCGGCGCTGACGACCACAAGGAGCGTCACGAAGGAGGCTTGGAACTTCATCTTGACGGATGGAGATGTGAGGGGACAGCTCGAATGCTTGCCAGAAGGATTGAGGGCTGTTGGGTGAGGAAGGTGCCGAAAGAAAGTGTTTGTCGGTATGCAAGAGAGAGGCGATGTGTGAAGAGTGAGTTGAGAGGAGGTGAAGGGAGAGGCTGCCAACTGCTCGCTTTTTATGCCGTGGGAAGCGAAGAGCTTGATTCAGGGAAGGCACGTCCATCCTGCGAGACGGAATGACAGAGCCCACCATCTGCAGCTGGCGTGGGATTCGAGATCGTCACCATTGACACCGAAGGAAGAGCTTGCACGCAGCAGCGGTTGTCGTGCGCCCTATCTCATTTGCCTCGGCCAATTGTCGGTGTCGCTGGATGAGAGTTTCGGACCGCACTCGCTGTCGTCTATGAAGAGAGTTGAGGCAACTTTCCCATCTCGGGATGACAAGGTGGGCAAGGCGTTGAATCGCTCCTTACCCACTTCATACGTCGTAGGCGGTCGCCAAGGTGGGAGATCGAGGGGCGAGGCTTGAAGTGGGACGAGACAACGCGAGATGAAGCACGCTCCTCGAAGCCAGGGTCGTCCGCATGTTGGCACTGGAAATGTCGCTTTGAGAACTGGTCATGTGGCCGTTGAAAGTCCGCCGTGCTCCTCGCCCGGGGCTTACCGTCGACAGGAGATGAAGTGATGATTGATTCGTACCGCACTGTCATGCTACAAGCGACCGTCTGTAGCTTGATGGATGTGGGAGGAGGTGGCGTGCAAATTTGAACCCACCGACATCGAATTCAGCACTCAGCTGGCGACACCCGAGCAACTCGACAAATTGCAGCGTGCACGGTGTGTCGCGACTGGCTGACGCTGTTTGCAGCTACTTCCACTTAGACATGTTGTTCGTGATCACAACTACAGCCTTTCTTGACGGCGACGTGCGACGACGGCGAAAGCTTCCGATCTCGTGCAACAAAGTCTGCAAAGCCGGAACTCGCTGCCGACGATACGAAAGAGTCGGCGATCAACGTCCCTGCTCGCCCACCAGTGATTGAGCGATCTCGAGGTCGTCGCATCTCCGCCTATGTCCCACCCCAGAGATGAAGGGGTGGAGCGATTCTGGTTACAGCCGGATCTGGCCCGGCCCCACGCCGTTGCCCTCATTGTTCGGATCCGGGCGCTGGCAAGGTGCAGACAGGAGACCTTGCATTGTAAACGCCAGTGGCCGTTGCGAGACACAGCCACAAATGAGACACCGATGTTGCTGATCGCCGTGACCGCCGACGACTTTGAGTTGGATTAAAGTGGAGAACAGAATACATCGGCCGTCCGTCCAAGGAACCGAGAGCGTTGTTTGAATCACACTTCGTCGTCAAGCTCGACGCTGAAGCTGGTGATCTGCGGCAGATAAGCGCATGCAGCAAGGTCGAGGAAGTGCAGATCGTCAAAGATATCCTTGCCATCGAATCCGCCGTGCACAAACAGCCTCGAATCGCGAAGCCAAGCCTGGTGATAGCCTCGCCCTTGCGGCTTCTTTCCACACACTTTGCGCGGCTCCCACTGCAAGTTGACGAGATTGAGCGTCAGCAGCTCGGAAGTGTACGTCTTGCTGTCGTGGCCACCAAAGATGAAGAGGTACGAGCCAACTTGGGTCGCAGTGTGGCCAAGGCGATTGTGAATCTCGTCCGTCTTGACCTGGTACCAGGTGCGGGTCTCGAGTCGAAGTATGTGAATGTCGTTGAACGACATGTGACCATCGCTGCCACCGATGACGATGAGCTTCCCGTCAACCAGGTTCGAGGTGTGGTATCCACGGCCAATGGGTACTTTGCCGCTGCACTCCATCCTGCGCCACTCGAGTCGCGAGAGATCGTTGACGTCAAGTGTGTGGACATCGTTGAGTGCTCCAACGCCGTTGCCTCCGCCAAAGACGATGAGCTGACCTTCGTAGTAGTTGCAAGTATGTGCTCGTCTTGGACTGGGAGCTGTGCCACCGACTTCAGGTTTGGACCATCTCAAGGAAACGGTGTCGAAGATGTAGAGGTCGTTGAAATAGTGAGGGCCGTCTCCACCAGCAAACACAAATAGGCGTTTGTTGACCATAGTTGCTGAGTGTGCGCGACGTGCTGGAGGAATGTCGCCCGTGACTTTGGGTCTGGACCAACACATGGTCTCGGTGTCGAAGCACCAAAGGTCACGAAAGCAGCCGCGGTTGTCGCATCCTCCAAAGAGCCAGAGCACTTCGTCGCATAGGTTGGCAGTGTGTGCGCGGAAACTGCGGCGAGGCACGCTGCCGTGGACGGGAGCTTTGGACCAGTACATGGCAGGCGGAGGGGCAGGTCGAACGCTGCTGGCCGAAGGCAGCTGAGGCAAAGTGCGATAAGATGTTTTGAGAGAGCGAGTCGCAGAGCTGGCTGCATCTGGGCGCGCTGATCCAGAGGAAGCAGCTGGTTCGCGATGACGGCTGGACGTCGGTCTCCTGCTGCTGGACTTGTCCCTGTCGCTTCTGTCGCGTCGAGCTTGCGACGTTGGGGTTGAAGTGGATGCTGACTGTTGCTTTCTCTGTGTTGCCAACGCCAAGCTCGCATCATCCGAGGCTGCTTCAGATCGGCGTAAGTCCCGAGAGTTTGCTGAGGGAGTAGCGCTGTTAACCTGCGAGCTTGCCTCAGCAGCAGCTCTTGGGAGACCTCGCTCATCCTGCTCACCGCTTGAGGAGTCTGCTTCAACGAAGCGTTTGCTCCGACGGCCAGTAGCGTCTAGCGCCAACGACTGGTCGAACTTGGCTGCGAAGGTGGCATCCGCCAGATCATTGTCGCTCTGAGACGCAGCAGCAGCCGCAGCGGAGAGTGCGGTGCGAGACTGGGAAGCGGGCAGTGCAGAAGACTTCGAACGCGATGTGTGAGAAGGTGCGGAGTCAGAGAAGGCTGAGGCTCGACCTAGCATCTCGATGGGCTCGGTGAGATCGGAAATGCCGCTGCCGTCCGCCGAATGATAGGAGCCGGGCGTGTTTGCAATTCGTGCGGTGTCTCTGTGTCGTTGCGTTGGACGTGAAAGAAAGTCGTCACGAGAGTGACTTTCTGTGGGGCGATTGTCGTCATTCACGTTGGCAAGACGTTGGGAGCTACCAAGGTAGGGAGACACGAATGTCTCGTCTGCTGATTCTGAGCTGAGCTCTGCGCCACTGGTGAAAGCATAAGTACCGCCGAATGAGTCCTTGTGGCTCAAGCCGCGATCAGCGTGCGAAAGGTGAGCTCGACGCGAGGAAGCTGTGTCGGAAGGACCAGCGAGTCTTGAGGTGGATGCGTCATGCGGATCAGCGGAGCGCCGAGATGCCGAGGGAGCTTCATGGGGCGCTTCGCTGCCAGAAGAGCTCTGCGAAGCGCCCGTGCTGAAAGAAGACTGCTTCTGAAGACGAGAGGCGGTGGAATGGTGCGAGGGAATGTAGGCGCGTGTCACACCATAGTCTCCCTGCATCTGGGATGTAGATGCATCCGATGTGTAGTAAGCTTCACCTGCACGAGACTGGTCCATGCCCAGCACTTGGACAGTGGTGGGATCTCGTTGCTCTTGCGACGACGACCAGCCCTTAGTGGACGGGATGACCATGAGAGCTGCTGACTAGAACGACAGCCGCCAAGACCAGCTTCGGAGGATCTCCTTGATGATGTGATGAGGGAGCTGAGTCGGCTAGCATGCGAGCATGGCCAAAGCTGAGAAAGACAAGGTGAGAGTGATGATGGTGAGTGAGGTTGTGCGCTCACACGCGTGTCAGAAGATTGAGAAGCTTAATTTGACCGTGCGCTTAACCAGCAGAAGCAGCAGCGCCAACCCTGAATCGGCTTGGCCGTTCCTGGTTCATCGCTGCCTCTGCTCGGATCAGCCTTCTCTCACATCACACTTGTCACTAGGATCCCAGAACAAGGCAGCTCAAAAGCTTGTGCTGCTCTGATCAGTCTGAAGACCTTAGAACAGCGAGCAATCTGCGCTCATCTGACCGGCAAGGAAAGTGTTGGTCTCGAGGACCCCTGATCGGCTCCGAATCATTGCTTGGAATTCCAAAGGCTCGAAACCTCCACCAAGACCAACATCCTTTCTTCTTTCCTTCTCCCTCTAACGGATAGCGACAACCACGTATCGGTCCCGCAGCCCTTCCTGCACCCTCGCCCCGAGTCTTCGAACAGCAGCACTGCCCATCATGAGTGCAGCTTACTCGAACTCGTCGCGCGCTCTCGCCTTCCTCTCCGAGACCTCCGAGGATGCCATCGCTACCCTCAAGGGCCTCGTCGGCGGCGTCGGCTCAGCAAAGTACCTCGACACCTCAGAGGACAAGCTGTCAACCATCGCCACACAGATCGACTCCAGTAGAGACGAAGATCGCATCGCAGCGCTCACCCGCATCGTCGCCATGATCTCCAAGGGTCGCGATGCATCTTCCTTCCTTCCAGCCGTCCTCAAGCTCACCTCGTCGTCCAACCTCGACGTGCGCAAGCTCGTCTACATCGTTCTTCTACGCTACGCCAACAGCAACCCAGATCTGACGCTGCTCAGCATCAACAGCTTCCAACGCGACCTCTCGGATCCCAGTCCGCTCATTCGAGCCATGGCACTGCGCGTGCTCAGCAGCATCAAGGTCAGCATGGTAGCGCCCATCGTCATCATGGCAGTCACAAAGGCCTCTCGCGATCCGAACCTGTACGTGCGCAAGATCGCTGCTCTTGCCATTCCAAAGTGCCATCAGATCGACCGATCCCAGCTCGACAGTCTGCAAGAGGTTCTAGCCACGTTGTTGGCGGATCGCTCGCCGTACGTCTTGGGTGCCGCCCTTTCTGCATTCCAACGCATGTGTCCGACAAATTGGCAGCTGCTCCATCAGAACTACCGCAGGATATGTCATGCGCTCTCGGACATGGACGAGTGGGGTCAGATCACTGCGATTCAAGTGCTATCGCGATATGCCAGAGCAAATCTCGTCCAGCCTCCGATCAGAGGTACGTCAGCCCTCAACGCTGCGAATCTGACATCGAGTACGAAGCCGTCGACCACCAAAGAGACGTCTGCCGCTCCACCGAAGACTGGGAGCAGCATCCCGACTGACAAATCAAACGATGTCGATGGTCTCGAATCCTTCCTGTCGACCGAAGCCAGCACATCAATAGCCTCCGCCAAGCCTTCCAATGCCGACAAGGCAGAGTCATCCACACCACGCTCTCCATCCGACCTCGACCGTGATCTAGAGCTCCTTCTCAGCAAGTCGCATGGCTTGCTACGCAGTCGCAACCCCGCCGTCGTCCTTGCAGTGGCACGATTGATCCTCTACCTCTCACCCACTTCAGACCACATACTTCTAGTGCGTCCCCTCGTCAGACTAGTCCGCTCCACTCCCGACATCAGCTACATCGTCCTTCTCAACATTCTCGCGATCGCACGCCAGCACCGCTACCTCTTCGCGCCTCACGTCACGTCCTTCCTGCTAGGCCCGTCGCACGAGGAGCCTCTCTTCCTCTCGCTTCTCAAGCTCGATGTCCTCGTCGCCGTCTGCAACACCGGCAACCTCGATCTGGTCCTGACCGAGATCGCGAGCCACATGCGATCCGCAGATGCGAGCATCGCCGCGCACGCCGTTTCGTGCCTCGGCGAGCTGGCGCTGAGCAAAGAGCTCGAGGCGGGCTCGAGATGCCTCGCGATCCTTCTCGACCTGCTGCGCAAGCGCAAGTCAGGACCTCGCATCCACGATTCCACCATCGCACGTGCCGTGTTGGTCATCAAGAACCTCTTGCAGCTATCGAGCCTGACGGGGGAGCACGCCGTCGAGTCCAAACGCACTTCAGCCATCGTCTACCGCCTAGCAGCGTTGCTCTTCGGTACACCACCCAAGAGCGCCGAAGACAAGTCGAAGCGCAAGACCAAACCAAAGGTCATCGGCAAAGGCGCGATCATGCACCCGGACGCAAGAGCAAGCATTATTTGGCTCCTGGGTCAGCATGCGCGCTCGTCCATCTCCGTTTCCACCCCCGCCGCTGCGGCTCTCCCAAACGGCCAAGGGCAGGAGAGCAAGACGCTGGCCGAGCTGGTCATCCCAGACGTGCTGCGGCGGTGCGCGCTGAACTTCGCCAACGAGTCGCCAGTTGTCAAGCTTCAGATCCTAACCATGTCGAGCAAGGCATTTGCGTTTCTCCCGACGGTGCTGATGTCCACGCCGGCGTTGGGCGAGGGTGGGAAGGGTAGGGGGGAGGGGCTGGCAGGTACGGTCACAACGTTGCATTTCTACCTACTGAAGTTGGCGAGGTACGATGCGAACTTCGATGTCAGGGATCGGGCGAGGTTTTTGAAGGGGTTGACTGCGCCGCTCATCACACAGAAGATGGTAGTTGGCGAGGGTGAGGGCGCGACGGAGGATACGATCCAGGGAGCGATCGAGGCAGCAGCGCGGGCGATGGGTGAAGGCTCGACGGAGGACGGCGATGCAGATCTCAAAGGCGTCCGTCTACGACGCGAGCAGGTCATCCACGTGCTCTTTGAGGGCAAACTTCCGTCTACCACCACCGACACTACAGTCACAGAGAGCGATGCGACGGGCGGCCCAGAGCTTGCCTCGCTCTCGCTCGTCCTCGGCGGCAAATTGGTCAAAGGTTGGCTCGACACCATCCTCCCACCCTGGACGACTACGCCTACCCCATCGGCGCTGCGCGAACCCCCCGCCGCACAATCGACCCAGACCACACTGCAAAACACCTCGCTGGCAAACGCAAAGTCCTTCTCCTCGTCCGACTTTTCCTCGCTTCCCGTGTCAATGCCTGTCACGCTGACGCCGAAGGGGGCCGTCACGCCGACCTCGAAAGGCAGCACAACCCCGATCGAGCTCGAAGCGGGCACCACGAGCGTGCAGACCCAGCAGCGGTACAAGGATCTGGATTCATTTTTGGACGAGAGCGACGAGGACGAGGTGCAGCAGCCGTATCTGGATGACTCGGCGCCTGAGGACGAGGAGTTTGCTGCTGGTGAGGATGTGTGGGATGATGATGACGAGGAAGAGGAGGACGAAGAAGACTCCAGCTCAGAGGAGGACGACGAGTGAGAGAGTCGATACGTTTGGCCGAGATCACGTACAATGTCTTTCGATTCCAATGCAACGTCGAAGCTCGCAAGAGTTGTCGTGTGTGAAGCGAAGCATGGTGTTGAGTACGTGCGAGCTTTGAACCGTTGTCGAACAGCGCGCGCCATCCGGAATTTCAAATAGCCGACTCTTCCTTTCCGGCCCGAAAAAGCGCACCACGCGCCGGTATGCACCTTTCACTTTCAACAAACCACCTTCTCCTCTCTCTCACCACCATCTCCACCATCATCCACACACACGATGCAGATCAAGGACCGCGTATTCTACGTCACGGGTGGCGCCTCCGGTCTCGGGGCCGCGACCGTCGTCCACCTCCACAACCTCGGGGCCTATGTGGCGATCATGGACCTGCAACTGGATGCATCCTCCTCGCTTGCCGCCTCGCTCAACTCTTCCTCGGGCGCCCAGCGTGCTGCTGCGTTCGAGGTGGATGTGTGTTCCGAGGAAGACGTCAGCGCCGCGATCGCTGGGGCGGATAAGTTGTGGCCGAACGTCGTGGTTGGAGGCTGCGTTAATTGCGGCGGTGTGGGTATGGCGGGTAAAACGATCAATCAGGCCGGCGAACCGTTCGATCTCGATACGTTTAGGAAGACGGTCGAGATCAATCTGGTTGGCACATTTAATGTCTCGCGTCTCACGGCAGCACGTATTGTTCGCGACATCCCTAAGCCTATCGCACCCCCAAACGAAGACACCGAGGATCGAGGGGTGATCATCAACACGGCTAGCGCGGCCGCACTCGAGGGGCAGGCAGGTCAGTGTCCCTACAGCGCAAGTAAGGGTGGCGTACTCAGTCTCAGTCTGCCTATGGCGAGGGACTTGGCTTGGTTCGGGATCAGGGTGATGACCCTGGTACCGACGCTATTCGAAACGCCCATGATGAGCCAGTTGCCCGATCGAGCGAGAAAGGCGATCCTCAGGACTTGCGAGTTCCCGGCGCGGTTTGGAAAGCCCGAGGAGTTTGCCCTGGCCGTAAAGGGGGTCGTGGAGAATCCAATGCTGGTAAGTCTCCGATGCACGCGAGATGCAGAAGAGAGAGATGAACTGACAGAGACGAAGTTGCATCTTGACGTGATGAACAGAACGGATCGTACATTCGTTTGGACGGCGCTTCCCGTCTGGGCAAGCTCTAACCTTCCATCAACACCATCCACACAAAGCGTTCACGATGCCCCTTACGAACATCCGCACCCGAAGATGGAATACACAACATTCAAACCATGCACACACACAATCTCGGACAGCTGTGAAAAAACATTGCGTGCGAGAAATCTACTCGTCATCATCAAACTTGATCGAGTGACTACCGTAAACATCGATGGCACCACCCCGGTAGCTTCCGCGCTTCTTCTTGTTCTTCTCCTTGGTGAACCCTTTTCCTCGTGTCACAATGAGATCGCGGGAGGCGCGAGCGCCGTACTCGTCGCCGTTGACGCCGAGCTTGCCGGCGTACGACATGTCGCGCATGCCTTCGTGGAGGTAGGTCACCTTGTCGGCTTTGACGCGTTGGAAGGGGGTGTTCTGGGTGCTGTTCGGCTGGGATTTGCGCGAGGAGGAGGGGGCGGGTGGGAGAGGTGTAGGTGTGGCAGGTGGAGACACGACTTTTTGACGCTTCGAAGGCGGGCCTTTGGGTGAGGGGGAGGCGGCGGAGGATGAGGAGGAGCTGTCTCTATTCGAGTCCGACGATGAGGAGGATGAGCCGCTCTTGCTCGAGTCCGAATCGGAGTCCGAGCCCGAATCGGAGCCAGAGGAAGAAGACGAGTCGCTGCTGTCAGAAGAGTCGGATGAGTCGTCATCGTCATCGAGCGGGGTGGACTCGATGACAGCCACCTCTCTCCTTTCCTCTTCGTCGCTCGACGAGTCGGACGAATCCGAGTCCGAGTCCGAGTCCGAGCTCGAGCTCGAGTCTGAATCCGAGTCCACCTGCACCACCTCGACCCTCTGAACCGTCACCTTGTCCTGCTCATCCTCATCGCTCGATGAGTCGGACGAATCCGAGCTCGAATCCGAATCGTCCGAATCTGAATCCGAGTCCACCTCCTTTTCGACAACTTCAACCTTCGTCACCTCCACCTCATCCTCGTCGTCATCGCTATCCGAATCGCTCGACTCGTCATCGCTCTCCTCGCCATCGTCACTGCTGCTATCGCTATCACTATCGCTATCGCTGTCACTCGAATCGTCCGAACTGTCGCTCGAGCTATCGCTCGGGGTCGCCTCCCTCTTCCTCTTGTTCGTAGGCCCTGTGGAGCTAGCCCGAGTCGGCGTAGCCACGCCGTTGCTGGGCAGCTGAGCCTCGGCCTCGTCCTGCGAGTCGGAGACCACCGTGCTGCTGGCGACATCTGTGTCCTGGTGCGGCGGCTCGTTGCGGGTCGCCTTGAGCTTGCGGTCGTCCTCGTCATCGCTATCGTCGCTATCCGAATCACTGTCGCTGTCGGAATCCGAATCGCTGTCGCTGTCTTCGTCGCTGTCGGAGCTGGAGGAGGAGCTGGAGGAGGAAGAGTCGGACGAGTCTTCGTCCATGGGCGTGGCCGCGGCGGGTTCGGGTGCGGCGGCGAGACCCGGCCATGAGCGACGCGGAGAGTTGCGCACGTGGTCGACCAGCGCAGAGGCGAGCGTACGGGGTGGCGCGGGCGAATCGGGCATCGTAGCAGCAAGGGACTGCGCGGCCGAGGGAGCATGTTCCGCAAGGAAGGCGTGAACGATCTGGAAGGTGTTGCGGAGGGCCTCGTCGGCCGCGGCCGAGGTGGAAAGCGGATTAATCTGAGGCATGTCAGGCTAGTAAGAGCTGATGGAAGGCTCGAGGGGCTGTCGTGGTAGTGCGGGAAGAGATGCAGCAGGCCTTGTCGTTGGCTAATGAAGGCTGAAAAGGAAGGTGCAGACAGTGAAGGTGGTGTGGTGACTTGAGGATCCGACCAAGCCTTACAAAGAGGTGAGATGGACGTTGGGCGGATAGACGGAAGACAGACGATGAGAACAAAGCTTTGAATCTCTCTATCTCTTGACTCTGGACTCTGGAAGAACTAGCGAAAGGGTTCACCGCCACTCAGCGCCAGCATCCTCCCGCGCTGTCAAAGGGCGCAAAAGAGGGTTGTCAACGGCCCAGCCGAGCGCGAAAAAAAGTTTGGCGGGCAGAAACCTTTGAACCCTTGAAGAGATAAAGCTCGATTTCCCATTCTGGATTTGTCATGCTTATTGTTGCAAATGCTCATGCCTCCACAGTCTCGCCGTGATGCACGGTTAGAAGATCAGCCCTCAACACCTCGCTGGCTATTCACCGTGACCTCTGAGCTTCTCCATACACGAGGAGACACGCTCTCCGATCTATACAGCAGCAAGCATGTCGGACGCGCCAGCATCGGAGGCGCCGCTATCCGCGCTGTCCACATCGTCGCTCGGATCGGCGCCCAAGCGCATACGGCATCGCGAGATCCAAATAGAATCCGCGTACGAGCTGCAACGGGTAAGCCTCCTTTCCTCCTCCCCATATTCCTCCGTACCCCTCTCTGCGTTCACTGACATCTCCACCTTTGCTCTGGCAGAACGCAGCGATGAAGGGTGCGCTGTTCTACACCGTCCTCGGAGCATCATCCTGCTTCATGGCGCACCACCTCTTCCCAGGCTTTCGACGTCAAACCCTCGCCCTGAAAGGGTTCATCACCTCCGGCTTCACCATTTTCGGCTTCGTCGTCGGCGCAGACACCGTTTTGCTTTCCCACGAATCCCAGCAGAGGTCCGAGGAGAACATGGTTCGTAGCCGCGCACGCGCGGAACTGGGCAAAAAGGGCATCGTCGCCAGCGAAAAGGAGATCGAAAAGTGGAAGGACGAGTACATTCAGCAGAAGCTCGAGGAGAGGCGATTGCGGAGGGAGCAGGCGCTACGACAGATGGACGAGGGTCAAGCCGGTGACGGCTCAAGATGAGGTGAAATAAAAATGTAAACAGCATCGCAAGGCTTGGCGATGTGTGTGGATCATTACGGGCATCACATGAGGGGTATAACACTGGCACTGACAGCACGAACCACCGACGTGCCCGGCTCGCGCATCAGCAGCAGATTTGTCGTCTCAACCGGATTGCGTGGCTGCCTCCGACCCTTGTCCTCCACCTTCAATGCTTCGATCCTGCGCTGACGATCAAGCACCTCCACCCAGGCGCGCAGCGTAACAGCTCCGATACCGAACCCTTTGCCGTTGCCCAACGAGTAGTCGCCGTCCAGCACGGTGCCAATAGCGTTGTTCCAGTCGGCGCTGCGATCGTGCAGCTCCTCCGGGTCGGATGCTTCGACGAGGTACTTGCTCCAGGCATTGTCGGCGGGAATGCGGGCATCTTTTCGTTTCGAGACGGTTGAGGTAGCAGGAGCACTGCGTCCAAGTTGCATGATCTCGCATCGTCGCTCGATCAGCGTCTTGAGATGCTGCTTGTCGATCTTGCTTCCTCCAGTACTGTTTCGATTGATCACTGCCGCTGGATGGTCGATGGGATCGAGGTGCTGTATCCAGCTCAGATGGTCGTCGAACGAGGAAGCAAGCATCAGGCTGCTGAGTGGCATGACGGTTCCTTTTCGGATGGCGTGCAGCTTGACAGCGACCATGGCCGAGGCGAGCGAGGAGGCTGAAAGTGCAGCCTCGACCTTCGAGATTCCGGCATTGGCGACGAGCCAAGGCTGAAAGTAAGCAGCCAGTCCTGAGTACAGTGGCGCTTCTCGGCTGAATAGCCTTTCCGAGTTGCTTACGATCCATTCCGAGTGTCGTGAACCACCGAACGGATACGGCCTCGCTGCACCCGTTCGATCTCGTGCGAGCTTTGTCGTGACTTGCTCTGCCGTATGTGTCTGCTGAAAAGCCTGCCAATCTTTGTGTGACGGGAACAGATACTCTGTTCTCTTGCCCTTCGGTCTCCTGCCCCACTCTTCCTGCCCTGACAGGGCTGCCTCCTTCTCGCTCACCGCGTACGTCTGCGTGCCAATCCAGTTGTGTGGGTAGCTCAACATCCCTGCCTCTGCTCCTTGCTTGCTCGTCCCGGCAGCTGAAGACAGAGCTGCCAACTCGAGTCTCTGGTGCTTCAGCTGATGCTGACCTAGCACTCTGGCTCCGCTCGAAGCGCCTGATTGATGTGTAGCGACAAGCGACAGGAAGAACGCCATTCCCCATCCGCGCGGAACGATGAGGGTGTAGCGGTCCACCGACGGCTTTTGCACGACCCGATCGCGGACAATGACAACAGGCACAGCATCGTCGCGCGAATCGGGCTGCAGTCGAGATCCGGAGATCGTATTGAGAGCCCTTCTGGAGTCGATTTCGCCTTTGCTGAAGCGTGGCGGTTTGGCGCCCATCCAGAAGAGCTCGTCCGATTTGACTTCTTCAGTATCTTTCGACGCTTCCGATGATGCATCTGCATCGGTCGAAAGAGGCTTGAGCTTCGGAGGATACGAGAGGCGCGGATCGTTTACTCGCACTTCGACCATGGCGGTACCCGTACCGTCTTTCTTGCTCAAGAATCGGCGAAGTTTGATCTCGTCATCCTTGCCGCTGCTGCCTTGCGCCAACCTGAGCACCGCTTGCAGTAATGGAGCAGCGCGAGGGCCGATAAGCTCGAAGATGTTGTAGCCTTGCTTCCGCCTCAACTCGGCTTCGTCGTCTAGCAAGGTAGAACCCTGTTTTGAGTCAGCTAAGCCATTCGTATCTGTTGTGATCGAAGTCTTAGCGCTTCCGGCTCGATATGCTTGCCGTCTGCGCTTCTTCTCGAGTTTGGACAGAGAGCTGTCCTTCCCTCCTGCTGCCAGCCACGGGTCGGGCGCCGAATCCAATTGAGATGCATACGTCTGCACCACATTCGTCGCAGGTGCTACGAGCTCGAAGAGTCCATTCTTCTTCTCGTCGACCATGATGATACCGGCTGCTTTGAGGGCTCGACGCACGTGTAGATCAGCCGCTGGGTGAGCAAAGACCAAGGCCTCCTTGCGAATGTATGCGAGTTTGTCCTGAACGAGCGCGCTCTTCGAAAAGCAACGAGCACCGGAGAGCAGGACGATGCGCACGGGTGCGAGCGCCGCCGCTGTGGAGCTATGGTTCGGGTCCGCTCCCTGGTGTGTAAGAACGGTGTCGAGAACTCGAATCGATTGTGAAGTGTCGGTGGCAAAGGCGAGGACGTTGGCGAAGCCTGCTCTGCTCAAGCTGTCGCTCAGTCGTCCGAGCAATGTCGAGTTCACGGCGTCGCTGGACAGACCGTCGCTGACAGCTACGCGAGCGCCCAAGCGAAAGACCGAGGAGTAGCTCGCATCGTGCACGGTCACGAATTCTCTTGCACTCCTCCAGCTCGCCCGATGACTCTTCATCATGGTCGTCTCGGGCAGCACAAAGCCCCATCTGCCGTATTTGGTGCCCTGATCTCTCTCCTTTCCCTTGCCCTTTTCCGTTGTCATCCTGAACCTCTTCGCGTGCCAGAGGTGTGTCTCGAGCCACCTCCTCTGCGGGTGAGACGCTCTCTCGGCCAGCTTCTTGCGCCTGAGAGTGGCTTGGATGACACCATGACTAGGAAGCCTCTTCCTGATGTCGGACCGTGATCGAGCCTGGGTCGTGCTGCTGCGGAGCTCCGCGAGTGCTTTGGAGCGAAGTCGTGATGGCAGTCGGAGAAGATTGTGCGAAGCAGCGCGCCTGCGCGCATGTCGAGGAAGTAGTTGCCATGCTCTGGTGGTGGTCGCTGATTTGGCCGACTTGATGGAGCGGAGAAAGCTCTGGATCTGGAAGGCTCGTGAGGATACAAGCGACTCCAGCTCGATGCTGGTTGGCAGATTCGATGCTGTAGTGGTTGAGGAATGTCCAGGAATGGGGGTGGAAGATTTTGAGACCGTCCGTGAGCTGCTGGCTGAGGAGCTTGTGGCTGCCGCGGACTGAGTCTGGATGAAGCGAGCAGTATGAGCCCGCTCTTGCTTCCGCTTCTTCCAGTTTGGGCCTTGACCGTCGGCGACTTCGGCAGCGCTTGGGGTCTTTGAGCTCGAGGCTGCCGACGGCGCTGGCCGCTTCTGAGCCGGCATGGCCTATGATGGCAACTTCTCGAGCCGACTTGAGACCGACGGTGGGAACTATGTCCTTGCTGTCGGAAACATGGGAGGGCGCTGACCAGCGTTGCCGAGGATGATGGAAGGAGGACCTTTGGAAGAAAGCTCAGCTTCCAAAAATCTCAAAATCTCGAAAGGGTGGAGCGAAAGGTCAGGGTCCAAAAGCCAGTGTCCCGGCCGAATTACTCTTTCCCCTGAGCAGTCGCGTGGCTGCCAAAAGGTGCATTGGGCAGCAGCAGCAGCAGTTCAAGCGAGCCAGAGACCACAGCGCAGAGACAAACACAATTCATCTTCCAAGGAGCGGTCGGTGCTGCTGCAGCCACGGGACCTTTTCTTGGCCGTCCATAGCTACCACCACTACCACCTCACCCTACTTTCATCTTCTCGTTCGACATCGTGCCTACGGGCGACGTACCTAAACCAGTGCTGGCGGCTTCATCCTAACAACAGCGCCTCCTCACCGCTTTCAACATGGCTTCAACACAGAGCAGCGGCCTTCAACGGCGCCGCGCTGCTGGAGGCGCTTCCGCATCCGCAGGGCCCAGCAATCCCGCCGCTCGCATCAATGCCGACACTCCATCGCACTCCCGCACTGCTTCACCTGTTCTCGGCGGTGCTTCGACACCCACCTCACCGCACCCTCCCACTGGCTTTCCCAAATCCTCCTACGGATCACGCTCAGCAAACGGCTCCGTCACAACCTACGACGAGTCGGTGGGGCATAGAGTAGCGTACGACCCACGCGATCTCACGGACGAGCGAGAGGTCGGGGAGAATCCTCGCCTCACACTGATGGAAGAGATCCTGCTCCTGGGTCTCAAGGACAGGCAAGGCTACTTGTCCTTTTGGAACGACAACATCTCGTACACCCTCCGCGGGTGCATCCTCATCGAGCTTGCCCTCCGACGCCGAATTGCCATCACCAAGGATCCCATGCGCAAGCGCTACGGTCTGTCCGAGCGGGTGGTCGAGGTGATCGATGGCAAGATGACCGGCGAGGTTCTCCTCGATGAAGCGCTCAAGATGATGAAGGCGAGCGACCGGATGTCTGTCGCCCAATGGGTGGATCTCATGAGCGGCGAGACGTGGAACGTCATGAAGATCGGCTACCAGCTCAAGCAGGTGCGCGAACGACTCGCAAAGGGGCTCGTCGACAAGGGCATTCTGCGGACCGAGAAGCGCAACTTCTTGCTCTTCGACATGGCCACGCATCCGTTGAACGACACCAGCTGCAAAGATGCGGTGCTGCGGCGCGTGCTCACGCTGCTCACGTCCAACTCGTCGAGTGTACATGCGGACACGTTCTATAAGGAGGACGCAGCGGGGGACGGAAGACCGGTGGCGTTGAGGGTCACACGAGCACTGTGCTTGCTCTGCTGCTCGTTTTCGGCCAATGTGTTGGAGAATGCGCTCAACCACCTTTCGTACGAGGCACACGAATCGGCGTTTCAAAAGGCAGACGATCTGTTGGAGGAGTTTGCGAATTGGCCCATGGCCCCCAGTTCTGGTTTGTCAGGTGGCGGAGTTGGGGGTGGACCGGGTGCAGGCGGTGTTGCGACGTCATTCTCGTCTGGCGGGTCCAAGTCGAAGGCGAATGGAGGGGCGAGGATCGGCGAAGGGTCGATGCTGGGAGAGAGGGCTTTTGACGAGGGGAACGTCGGTGCGTCAGTGCAGGAGCTCGCCAAAGCGTTGCAGAAGGAGATGGACCAGGAGGGCGACACGTTCATGTTTGAGTGCATCGCTGCTGTTTTGAGCGTGCTCAGTCGAATGGACTCGCTGTTGTAGCCTGCTCCTCGGTGGCCAGTCTTTGCATACAATACACATCACGCATCTCTTGCGTCGTGAAACAGACTGATGATTGCAAAAAGAACATTGAGACTTCAAATCGACATCATATCATCGTCCTCGTCCACAGGCTCGTCCATCATCTCGCCCCTCGCTGTTGCCGTGAGCAACTCCCTCCTAACCTCTGGCGAAATGCCCTCGTGCTTCTGGACCCTCAACAGATCCAGCAGCGCCGACTTCTGATCCGGTGTCAGATCCTGCTTGTACCTCTGTGCGAACACGAGCATGCTCTGGTGCCACAAGACGGGCATCCTCCTCTCCCTCGTGATCTTGTCCAGCTCGACGCCCGAGTTGGGCTCTGCGAATCGGATAAAGTGGAACACGAGCGAGTCGACGACCTTGTACGGCAGCGCGTATTTCTTATCCAGCAACACTCGAATGAAGAGCGAGGTGGGTCCCGAGTACTCCATCTCTGCCAAACGCAGTAGTGCTGCGGCCGAGTGCAGGACAGGAATCGAGACCTTGGCGAGAACCGACGAGACGATGGCGGCTTCCTTGAGCGTCAGCGTGCCGGATTCGCACATGGGGAAGAGGAAGCCTTTGAAAAACGCAGCGGGCTTGTAGATGGCCTTCTTCATCGCTTCGTACGTCTGGTACGAGACTTTGCCGTCGTCTTGGATCTCGTCGCGTACCTTGTCAAGGAGAACGAGTTCGTAGAAGCGCTGCATCTGGTCGGCCTTCATGGTGGACACAAAGATGCGGACCGCAGCGAGGGTGGCGTGCGGTGTCCACATGGCAGGATCGGTGATGTAGAGGATCGACTCCCATGCTGGCAAGGAGGGCACGATCTTGAAGGCCTTGGGGAGAGGACCGGACTTGTAACGGGAGAGGAGCTCGCCGACCTTGCGGTAGACTTCGATGACTTTGGGGTTGATGCCTGGTGGCATGCGTCGCTCTTCGAGCTGCTGTTGGGTCGGTCCGTCGCCTGCTGCTTCAGCGGCTTCGATCTTTTCCATGATGAGATCGGCGAGCGTCTTGTTGCCGTGTCCACCAAATCCACCTGCGCCGCCCATGGGAGCATCGTGCTCGTCGTCGCCGCCATGCTCGGCCTCGAAATTGTCGAGAAGCGCTCGATCTGACGGGTCGATCTCGAGATTGGCGTCGTACGATGTCCAGCCATTGGCACCCATCTCTGCTTCATCGTCGTCCAGCTCTCCCAAATCATCGAGGTCTGCATCTTCATCGTCCGAGTCGTCAGGCATGGCTGCCGACGCGGATCCTCTCGGCCCATCGCGTGCGGTCATGCCATTCGAGGCTGAAGTGGAAGCGCCAGCTGATGCCGAGGCAGGGTTCTGCAACTCCAACTCTTCACGCTCAATCTCCTCCTGCTGTTGCCGTGCGAGTCGCAAGATGTTCCTCGATAGCTTGGGGTCGATGTACTTCTTCTCCTTGCTGGCTGCGCCCGCCTTTCCTCCTGTGACCATACCCTTGGGAGCGGCATACTGCTTTTGATCCTCCTCATCGTCGGATGCTGATTGCGGCTTGGCTGTCTTCTTCGATCGACGTCCGGGCGCCGATACGAGACCAAATTTAGAGGTCAATTGGTCTTCTTGGAGCTGCTGTGGGAGTGGATTGTGACGTTTTGATCCGCCCTTGGCGAGCTTGGTGGTGGGGATGCGTGGCATGCTGGGCGATGCTGCTCCGGTGAGACTGTGAGTTGAAAGGCCTAGCTTGCGCTGCTACGAGTCTGCGCTTGTTTGATGAGGCTGAGGTGGCGATCGAGAGACTCGTGGTGCGACGTGTTGGAGAAGGAATGGCAGTATCAGTGATGAGGAGAAGGAGCTCACTCCACAGACCGCTGCTTCAAGCGTCCTCCCAGGAAAAGTTCTCAAATTTTTCGAAGAAACCCTGTCCACGGTGGCCAACACGCTTTCCGAGAGCCGAGCATAATGTACCCAGTGTGTTAGCATGAGTAGCCTCACAGTTGTAAAACCGCCTCAGCCACGCTAAAAGCTCGAGGCGAGGCTCGCTTCCAACTTGGACAGGGAAGAGGCCAAGGGAAGGCGAGAGCTGTCGGGTGATTTTCCGGACCAATTCTGGCCCTTCTTCCGCTCGACTGGGGCCCGGTTCAAAAGTCGAGTCAATTTGCGGCGGCTTCATGCAGTCGACCTTTTTTCATCTTGTTCCCGCCAAACCACCCAGCCACGACGCTCGCCTTTTTCTCCTTTTTCTCTTAAATTAAAATCCTTTTTCGAAACGACCCCTTTCCATTTGGCGCTGCTTCCTGCAAGCAAGTTGTTAGTGGGCTCACCCTGCGCCTGTTGCAGCTGCAAAGTTGGATTGATTTCGATTTGTTTTTAATTTTACGTTGTTGTGCGTTATGCAGTGGCACCTCTCATTCGTCGCCGCCAGAAGAGAGCTGGCTGGCTGGCTGGCTGAGTGACAGGTCAGTGTGCCGTTTTGCCGAGGCGTGGTTGCGCAAAGACAATCTAGAAGCGGGCGGGTTCGAGTCCATTTTCGAGGCTCGTCTGAGTGCGTTGGCAAGCCGCCGTCCGTGTCCGCCGTATGCAGCCGGCCAATCTGTTGTAGGCGCGTGTCTGCCTGCCTCTCTCTTAAGGTCTGCAGAAGCCGCACGGAGCGGTCTGATCGCAATCTCACTCTTTGCGCGAGCTGGACAATCGGCTTCGTTCCTTCTTGCTTTCCATCCCGCTATCATCCCATCCGCGTCCCGTCGTCCCTTTCTTACTACTTGCTCTTCTTCACTGCCTTTGGTGACACGAGCTGCAGCATTCGGTTCGTGACAGTCATCCTCCTGTGTCGAGGCCTAGTCTGCACAGCTTGACCCTGCATCAGCGCGCATCTCCATCGACGACGTGTCATCCACCACTGCAGGTTCGACCGTCCATCTGCACTACCACCACAACAAGCTGGCAAAGCTTCTCAGCGCACCTCGCATCAGCATCAGCCACACATCGTTATCCTCCAACAGCCTTCATCTGATAGGTGATCCTGGCACGAATCGAAGCTCGGCCACTGCTTCGTACATAGTCAGACCCCTCGATTGCCTGCTTTCGTCTGCCTCGACCTCTCTCTGTATCAACAAAAGCAAGCTCCGTAGCCAAAAATGTACAACCATCGCTCCATCGTCCCTTCGGCCGGGGCACAAGGCCCTCCTTCTGGCCCACCCCCTCCCGGTCCAGGTGGAGCTGGCCCATCCCAAGCAGCTGCAGCCGCCGCAGCCGCCGCGCAACAAGGCCCGCATCCTGGTGGTCCCGTTGCCGGTGGTCCTGGTGGTCCCGCTCCTGCCGGTCCTCCTGGAGCCGCAGCTGGTCCTCCCGGCGCAGCTCCTCCCGCCGGAGCACCCCACACCAGTTCTGCCAGACTCGCCGACCTCCTCGACTTTGTTCGCCATGAATTCGACCTGCTCGGCAACGACACCGCCAATTTCAAGGCACAACGCGATGACTTGGAACACAGAGGTATGTTGCCTAAGCGATTTGCATCTCCTTGCATCCCGATCCAGTATTGACCCGTTTCCTTTGCCCTCGCCTCCCACAGTCACATCACACATCAGCGAAGTCAACATGATGCAGAACCATTTTTACGAGCTCGAAAAGCGACACACGCAGATCATCCAACAGTACGTACCCCGTTCACCCCTCCAGTTCTCGCCATTGCACGTCATCTGACCTTCTGACGTTCGTGCCACACAGATACGAAGAAGAAGTCAAACGCCTGCGCAGCATCCTCGACTCTCGCGGCCTGTCTTCTGAGCACGGCGCTCCTCCCGCATCCTCCGGTCCTATGAGCGGACCACCCCATCTGCCTGCTTCTGGCGCCTGCGGTCCACTCCCCATCGCCTCTGCTGGTGGCCCTCCCCCTCCCGGCGGCCCCGGCGGCGCAGGCTCCGCAATGTTCAACGGCAACGGCTCCGAGTATCCTCGCGGCAACGGTTTCGATCGCGACCGCGAGCCTCTTCGCAACCCCACGCCTTCCGGCGGCAAAGACGCCAAACGCATGCGTGTCGACTACTCCGGCCCGCCCAGTCCCGGTGCGGATCGGGACTGGATCAAAAAGGAAGAACGTCCGTCCCGGGAGGAAGACAAATGGGACCGTCCCTCCGGAGGAGCTGCGCCACTAGGACCTGGTCCGGCGCAATCCCCACACGGCGCCCCACCCCTTCCGCCAGCCAACTACCGCGACACCGCCGACTCGCCCACCGCCGCCGCGGCCGCTGCTGGCAACGTCACGCTCGCAAGTCTCTCCGATATGGATCCGGACGAGATTCCTAAGGATCTGAAAAAGGAAGGCGCCGATTGGCTAGCCATCTTCAATCCCAAGATCAAACGTACGCTCGATGTCAACCTCGTGCACACGTTCCTGCACGAATCGGTCGTCTGCTGCGTCCGCTTCTCCGCCGATGGCAAGTATTTGGCTACGGGGTGCAACAAGTCTGCGCAGATCTTTGACACCAAGACGGGTGCGAAGACGTGCGTGCTTACGGACGCGAGTGCGGGGTCCAAAGGCGATCTGTATATCAGGAGCGTGTGCTTTAGTCCCGATGGTAAGTGTTTGGCGACCGGAGCGGAGGATAGGCAGATTCGGATCTGGGATATTGGCAAGAAGAAGGTCAGGCATCTGTTTGCCGGGCACAAGCAGGAGATTTACTCGTTGGATTATTCGAAGGATGGGAGGATCATTGCGAGTGGGTCGGGGGATAAGACGGTGAGGATTTGGGATGTGGAGAATGGGCAGTTGCTGCATACGCTTTACACCAGTCCGGGGTTGGAGCATGGGCCGAGCGAGGCGGGCGTGACGAGTGTCAGCATTAGCAGCGATAATCGTCTGGTGGCGGCAGGAGCGCTAGACACGCTGGTGAGAGTATGGGATGCCCAAACAGGCAAACAACTCGAACGACTCAAGTCGCACAAGGACTCGATCTACTCCGTCTCCTTCGCCCCGGACGGCAAATCCCTCGTCTCCGGCTCGTTGGATAAGACGCTCAAGCTGTGGGACCTCACCGGCACGGCCAAGGCGGTGAGCGAAAACCGGGCGGACGAAAAGGGCAACGCCTCGTGCGCAACCACCTTTGTGGGACACAAGGATTACGTGCTCAGCGTATCCTGCTCGCCGGACGGGCAGTGGGTCGCGTCTGGCAGCAAAGATCGCGGCGTTCAGTTCTGGGATCCCAAAACCGCCCAGGCCCAATTCGTCCTTCAGGGCCACAAGAATAGCGTCATCGCCATCAACCTCAGTCCTGCCGGTGGTCTGCTCGCCACCGGAAGCGGCGATTTCAACGCTAGGATCTGGAGCTACGATAGGATCCAAAACTAAGTCGCCAACTTCGACGTTGCTCTTGTCACACATCTGTACTTCTTAAAACTTTTCAAAAACTGCTTTCTGTCATCACATCCACTCGCAGTGTGTCACACCGCCACTGATAAGACTGAGAGCACGAATTCTGATCATTGTCCCATTCGAAAACCACAACTGAAAAGCGTGAGTCTAGTGTCGACCAAGCACCTCCTTGACGAGGACAAAGCCGACGCCGGCGCCGAGGCCGAGCATGTAGGCTGGGATAGCGCCGATGCTGAGCATGTGTCGTTCGTGCTCCGACTCGTGCCTGCCTAGCAGGGCATAGAGGTCCAGCTCCGCGTCTTCATCCTCGCTCGACGATACCGGGGTGGCAGGAGTGGCTTGAGAGTAGTACGGATTGAGGGAGGAGAGATACGTCGCCCAAGACGAAGGGGAGATGAGCGACTTCCACCCTCTCTTCTCTTTCGGCGCCGTGGTCGACTCGGGCGCGTCTTGCACCTCGAATTGCTCCACTCTCTCAGCTGAAGCAGTGGGGAGGATGGCAGCAGCGAGCATCTCCTCCAGCACCGTCTCCTCATCTTCGACGTCCTCCTCCTCGGCGGGAGCAGCGAACATGTCTTTGAGCCCAGACGAACCCTTGACGGTCGACTTGCGCGAAGAAGGCCGATCGAAGGCTTCGAGTTGAGCCTCGAGATGCGTCATCCTTCGAGCGAGACTCTCGAACTTCTTGCGGTCGACCAGCACCATGGATCGTTTCTTGATGCTTCCGGTGCCAGATGGGTGCGGTTCGAGCTGTGTCAGTGGTACGAGGAGCTGAGCCTCGGCAGGAGGAAGAGGAGAATGGAGGGCGGGCTCGACGGCTGCCTCGGGCACGATGATAGGTTCGACGGATGAGGAGACGATCTCGAAGGAGTCTTCGTCCGCAGCCGAAGGCGTTGCGTCGGTTGCTGTGGCGGCAGGTGGTTCGTCAGCGGCAGCATTGTCAAAGTTGTAAGGCGCTTCCTCAGCAGCTTCGTCTGCTGTGATCTTGGCGATCGCAGGGAGGGCGCTTGGCTCCTCCGCAGCTGAGTCATCGGACGGTGGGATATGCGGAGGCGATATGTCCTCAGCCTCGTCGATCGGCTCTTGAGACGTGTCCAGCCCGGTCGAGACCGGAGTGTCCATCAAGACTGGGTCGGCTCGTTCCGCAGCGACAACGTCGCCGTCCTCGATGGCTGGATTGTCTTCCTGCTCGGAAACCCCTCCGTCAGCCGGCGCCTGCTCATCTTGGTTCTCATCCGTGACGGAGGGCGCAACGTGGACCGTGACGGCGTCCACCTCCTCCACAGTAGCGGCTGGCGACCCCTGCTTGAACAAAGACGACAGACGCTGCTCCACCGACGCCCCGCGGCGCAGACCATCTCTCCCCTCCTGCTCCGAAAGAACCGTTTCTTCGTATCTCTCGACTGGCACTGCGACCTCTTCCTCTGGTACCGTCTGCTGCTCGATCTCGAGCGCCTCCATATCTGCCTGCAAAGCTTCGCCCTCGGCTTCACTCGCCACACGCTCTAGTCCACGTCTCGGCAACATCGATCGCCGGGCAACACTCGAGTCGAAGACGCCAGTGAGACCCTTGCGGCTCGAGGTGCGGCCAAGAGTGCCGCCCCAGCCCTCTTCGTCTTCGGCCGTGGCGTTGGAGCTGGACGACTTCTGTCGCAGCATCGCGGTTCCACGTAACGAGGAGAAGAGCTCGCTCTGCTGGGCGTCGGCGTTGAGCAGGGAGAGGACGGCTTTGCCGCGCTTGCTTCCGAAAGTGGCTTTGCGGCCGACGGTGCCGCGGATTGAGCCAGCTGGTTTGCGGACTGGTTCGTCGGGGAGATGAAAGATGTACTCGTCGCCTTCGTTGTTAGCCTGTGCAGTCTCTTCTGCAGACGCCTGCTTCGGAGAGTCCTGCAAGGGCTGAGGTGAATCCTCGAAGTGAGGAATAGCAGGCGCCGTGTCTCCTGCTGCCGCACGCAGGCGAGCGGTGCCAAAGTCGGGCTTGGCGATCTCGTTGTCTGTCGTCTGATCGGTCGACATGAGAGCCTCAACGAGCTCGCGTGAGCTCTCTGTCCTTGTGTGGAGCTGGTCCCTGTCCAAAGCAGCCAGCTCGTCGTCGGTGTACAGCGAAGCACGGTACGGACGGCTGGGTCTCAAGATGGAAGCGGTGGTGTGCGAACGAGTCAGCTCGCTCTTGGTCGATGTCTCTACCTCAGCACTCTCGTCCGCAGTGGTTTGTTCGGCTGCTGCGGGGGTAGAGTCATCACCAGCCAAGATGGCCCGAATAACGTCTTCGTCCAGCACGCCGAAACGAGGCTTGTCAAAGTCATCGTCTTGGGTGAGGTTCAGGTCGCTCTCGTGCTCACTGCATTCGGAGACAGAGCTCTCGCCGTCCACCGAAGCGGTGTCGGCAGAATTGTGTCGGATCAACGAAGGCATGCGCAAGACGTTGTCTGCGCTTTCGCTGGAGCCTTCGCGTCGCTGATGCAGCTTGCCTTCGCGGTCATCCTCAAGAGCCCAGCTGACGGCTTCGGTATCCTGAAGATCTTTGAGGCCAAGCTCGTTCGCGAGGTCGAGAGCCTCCTGCTCCGTGAGACTGACGAGCAGCGCCTCGACATCCTCTCGCTTGGTAGTCACCGGACCACCTTCGAGCCAAGGGAAGTCAGCGGTCGACCTGCGTGGACGCAATGGACGACGGAGCGAAAGCTTCTTCTCCTCAGCCTCGGCGAGAAGCTGCTGCGCCTGATCGCGGACAAAGCCTTGAGCGTAGACGGCATCGATCGAGCGGTCGGACAAGGGCATCGACTCGGTGGTCGGCGAGGTCTGGAAAGCCTCGATCATGCCGCGTACCTTGCGGCTGTCGCGCATGCGCTTCAGCGTGAGCTTACTGGTGGTCTTGGAGCTGCGAGCAACGCCATCTTGCTGCGAAGCATCCTGATCATCGTCAGGCGAGCCGTCTTGGTCCTCGTCTTCTTCGCGCTGCACTTCCTTGGCGGACTTGGGCCAGCGCAGGGAGCCCGACTCGTAGCCCCAGATTCGACCACGAAGAGCATCACGTCGAAGCTTGCGGACAGCTTCGATCATGAGCTTGCGCCATTTGAGGTTGAGACCTTGGCGCTCGAGCTCCTTTTCGCTGAGACGGAGGAAGGCTCGACCGCCCATCCTGGAGCTCCTCACGTAGGCGGTCACGTCCTCGACGACAGGTCGAGGCACTAGGCCAAGCACGTGCGTGAGGTAGAGGGCTACCTGCGAGGGCAGCCATACTTTGGGGTTGTGGGGCAGGTTGGCGACTGCTTCAGCCAAGCGTTCGGTTTCCGACTCGGATCGAGGTGCATGAATGGAGACAGACATCAGCTCAGGCGTGCTGATAGAGCTAGGCATGCGATGGACGGTCTTGCTGCGCTTTGGCAAGTCGAGAGTGTGCGGGAAAGGGCTGCACACAGGCGAGATGGCTGAGTATTGCGCGATGGGCGAGGATGGAGAAGTAGGAAGGTTGCGGCCCGCGGCAGGAGGCGGAGAGGTGGTCAAGCTGAGGCCGAACTCGGAAGGTCTGCTCTGCAAGCCCTTGGGACGCGATCGGGTCGAGGTGGACATGGAGGTGGAACGTGAGAGGTAGGAGTAACCTTCGAACACTTGCCCTCCCGGGCTGAAGCCGGCCACGTTGGGAGCATTGGTGGCAGTGGTAAAAGTGCCGCTCTGCTTGGGGTTGAGCGAAGAGCGCGGACGCGATGGAGTCGAGATAGCAGGTGGTTCGTCGCTCGCCATCTTGAATGAGGTTAATATAATCAGATGAGTGCGAGAGAATCGATGTTTTGCGAAGGTATGGGTGCCGGCTCTACGGCGGCAGATAAAAGCTGTCGTTATAAGTGTTCGTGGAGGTCGTTGAACAGGTCGTGAAGGGATTCGTTATGAGCGTGATAGCATGGAGATGCGACGGCAATTGGGATGGTGGAAGAGACTCAAGATGAAGTCGGCCGCAAGTTGTCAGATGAAGGAGGCAGCGGGAGCAGGCCTGCACAGCGCATGAAGAGACGGCTGCTGAGTGGTCTGCCGAGAAGACGAGCAGCGGCTAGGAGCAGAACAAGCACAAGAGAGCGGACAGGGGAGCTGTAGGGGCGGTCAGTGCTCTCAGCTGTCAAGATCGGATAGCCAGGCTAAATTTCAACTCTACGACGCACTCAGCCGAGACCAGAAGTGTTGCTCTTTCTCCAAAAGACCCCTTTCGGCAAGCTGCTGAGCACTTTATGCGCCTCGACGCGTGCCCTGCAGGGCGTGCGTGTTGGTCGACAAGCCCCTGAGCGACAAAATTCAAGCGCCACCATCCGAAAACGTCAACTCGATCCGTATCAGCTTTATAGATAAGAGCATCATGTGTTCGATACGTCAAGCTCAGGGGCTACAACGCCAGGTCTGGCTTCAACAGGAGACGTTTGAAATGCTCCTTGTGTCATTTCCCACGCTGTGAAGTCGTGATGACTGGGCTTCGCTAACTTATCGGCTGCAGCTGAGAAATCCCTAAAGTCACACGACAACAGACTCGCATGCTGTCGGCTTAGCCGCTCTCCACCTGAATCACAACCGAATGGGGCCGGAGCAGTCGTGACAGGAGCACAGTTCCTTGAGTCATCTCTCTTTGACTGCCGAAATGTGGGGGTCTCTGGGCTTCGTATCATGGCGCTGCAAGCGCTCGTACTACAAAGCCTTGTGACGCAGAAGCGCTCGCAACTGGAAGAAATTTACTCCACCTTTCGAAGGTCGAGCGGCACGGACCCTGTCGTTTGTCGCTCTCGACCCCTGACCATCATACCTCCTATCATCGTCGACCAGAGCAAGGAGCTGATCTCTAACCTTCTGCTCACAAGTGGACATAGTGTTGGCACGCTGGCGGGCCCTCACCAGACATGACGTCTCCTAGGCTTGCCACAATGGGTATGTTCATCATTGACGAGTTCCAATTCCTCGATCCCACCTCGGGCAAGGACCTGGGCAACAGGGGTCTGGAGGATCAGATCGGTGGAGGGGGCTGCTACTTTGCGATAGGAGCGCGGGTCTTCCTACCACCTTCAAGCATCCAAATGGTCATTGATCGCGGGTCCGATTGGAGGGAGCAAGATCAGGCTGTACTGGACCGATTCGATCGCTCTTCCATCGAAGCTGGTCCGTCGTCCATGTGGCACTACAGGTCGAGACCGGGTGGCACAACGAGGGCGGTCAATATCTACAAGGGCGAACATCGCGGCTTCAACTATCTTTCGCCAAAGATTCGACTCGAGCCGAAGGATTTGTTGCAGTGCAGCACGGCTGATCCGAAGAGTCTGCCCGAATGGATCCATTTCATATGCTCGCCTGAGAGAGCGCTCGAGTCGATCTCGCAGATCGATGACATACTCGCCAAGGACAGTTGTGCAAGAGCCTTTCCCAAGCTGGTCTACGAACCAATACCGGACTCGTGCGTCTTCGAGAACCTGCAGGACTGTCTAAAGGTGCTGCCGAGATTGGCCGTGTTCAGCCCGAACCACGAAGAGGCTGCGGACCTGCTTGGGCTGGGCGAGGAATGGCAACGAGCGCTTCAGCAGGCTTTGTCAGACACAGACTGCACGACTGATCTCATCGTACGCTTCATCACGAACAAGCTCGCTTCTGGCTTCACGAAAAACCTGCAGCGACCAGAGGAAGGCGAAGGCAAGGAGCACGGACCATTCGGGCCTATCATCTGCATTCGTAGCGGCGCATGGGGCTCTGTGGTGGGTCAAGCAGGGCTCGGATTCCGACACGTTCCAGCATGGCACACATCACCCGAGTCGTCTGAACAGGGACGTAGTGCGGAGGGCAAGGCTGCTCCCGATACGAGTTCTTCTCGCATCAAGGACGTGACAGGCGCAGGAAACTCCTTCCTCGGTGGCTTTAGTGCACATCTCGTGCAGACACAAGGAGATGACGAAAGAGAACCGATGGATAGGCTGGTGGAAGCAGCGAGGCATGGAGCGGTCTCTGCTTCCCTGGTCATCGAGCAGCTTGGGTTGCCATCATTCGATGTCAAGGACGGCCAAGAACTCTGGAATGGCCATACAGCTGCAGAACGTCTCGATCTGCTGCGAGCAAGGCTCTCGTAGCAGTCTGTACATCACCTATAGACATGCAAATCAGCGTACAGAAGATAGCACCCTGGGGTCTCACCAACGTCGGAGCGCGGAACTCGAGGACAAGAGGAGGATTTTTTCACGACTGTCAGACCGACAGATTTGCCAAATCTGCACAAATCGTTCTTCGCCACCCTGGAGCCAGAAGAACTTGATTGGCACGGATCAACGAGCGCCGACATCTCGAGATTAGAGTTTGTGCCCTACCTCGCGTGACATCCTCCCAATCCTGACCCCCCACCTTCACCATCATCAACTTCTTGAAGCATACGTACACGATGGCGCATCCACAAACGGCATTCGCCCCACAAGGTGCGACAGTATCGGCCTTCTCAGCGCTGAACATCATCTGGCTGCTGCACGCGGCGCTCGAAGGGCCGGTTGCGTTCATCGGCCTCTTCCTCACCCGCGGGCTTGCATTTAAGGACGAGATCAACAACACTACTGCTGTGATCATCAAGGTGAGCTCTCTTCCTTCTGTCCCATCCTGTCTTCTCAGGTCTACATACTGATTCGGTCGTTTGGTTGTGCAGCTCTACGCAACGCTCTCGCTGGCGCTTTCGATCGTGTGCATCCTCTTGTACGGTCTGCCGGATTATCTGCCTGGCAAGCGGGCCGCGGCGATCCTGCTTCTGCTCTACCACGGTGTGGCCTCGAGCGTGCTGCTGAACGCAGAGCCTTTTATTGACTTTGCGTTCCCAGCGCTGCTAGCGAAGCACGGCGTGCGGGTCGAGTCGGTCGCGGGTGTGGCTCATGGCTTCCTGTCGCTCCTGACCGTGTCGTGGTGGCAGGCGTCGCTGAGCGCTGTTCGGGCTCAGAACGGGACCATGGCTGCAGGGCCAGCGGCGAGTGCCAAGGGCGGAAAGGGCAAGCGCAAGTAAGCATGGGCGAGCATGTATTGACTACAAGGCATCGAATGAAGATTGATACCATCTGTTCCGCTACCTGTGAGAGAGCACGCGCTGACGGCAGAGCGCCTGATTGTGGGACACGGCTCTTTCTTGGGCAACACCACAGAGGAAAGATTGATCGAGCCGATCGACTTAGCTCACAAAAGATCGGAAGATTCGTCACTCCTGAACGGGCCGACTGAGCGCCCGCACAGGCCGACCAACCTCTCTGCCTTCTCTAGCGCCCTGGGCCTGGTGCATTAGCCCGACTTCCTTTGCCTTCTCGCATGACAGCGCTTCGCACGGCATTGTGCGCCACCACGCACGACGGTGTGCAACCGCACCGCCTCTCGCGCATTGTCTGCGCCTGGAAGCGTTGCTTGGAGGGGCTCAAGCGGGCCAGCGTGTCGCTGTGAAGACTACCGTGCAGCAACGTCGACCTCACAGGTTGTCACAATGGCGGAGCTCGAACGACGTCACGCTGCCCCTCTGAATGGGAACGTTTTGAAAGCAGCCCTCGGGTGTGCCGTGGGGGCATTGTGTTTTTTTTCGGGAACTTGCGCCGCAGGGTGACGCACAGCCGAGCCAGCCGAGCCAGCGGGGCCGCCGGCAGCCGTGTTGCTTTCGCTCTGGCTTGAAGAAAATATAGCACTTTGGCCGCGGCATGGTCCGTTCACCAACCTTCCCGTCGGGTGCCGCGAGTGTGACATGCACGCACGCAGGCACAGCCTCGGCCCAGCTGCGTCATTGACGAGCGCTAGACCAACACTTTACCCAAAAGCTGTGGCAGTGTGCGTGTCGTTCCTGCCCAGGCGACGTTTCACGTTGTGCGGCCCGTGTGCTGGAAGGCCTCCCGGAAGAGGCGAGGCCTTGGTGCTGGACCGTGAGTGTAAGCGAGCACAGGCCAGCCCCAGAAGCTTCTACCTGCTCGTGCTGGAAGACATATATACCGACACTTGCTGAGCCTCCACCCGCCGTCAAAGCAACCAACATCACAACTCCATACACCCCACACCACCCACACTCACAAATCTATCAAAATGTTCGGCTTTGGTAACCACGAGGAGGCGGCTGACTTTGTCTGTAAGCATCATCCTGCCCTCACTGCTGTTCACCGCCCTGCTGCCTCTCTAGAACATTCACTGACCGTCTCTTCCACCATCCGCTTTTCGCACGCACAGACAACCAGGACCCGCAGCAGCACCAGTCCAAGTTCTCGCACGAAGCCGTTGGGTTCGGTGCGGGTTTCGTCGCCATGCGCGAGTACGAGAAGCGCCAGGAACGCAACGGCGAACCCATCAAGCACGGCATGGCCAAGGAGATCCTCGCCGGCATCGCCGGCGCCGAAGTCGACAAGCTCTTCGAGACCAAAGGCCTCGACTTCCTCGACCGCGAGGAGGCCAAGCGCCACGCCCGCCAGCAGGCCGAACAGATGTACGACCAGCAGTACAACTAAAGACCACATCCACCTGGTTGTAGGTCAATCGCAATGAATGCATGTTTCTTTCAGGTCGTGGACGATGTGTCGTGTGCGATCAGGGTCGATAACAAGTCTTCTGGAGCTTGACATCGACTTTTGAGAAAGCTCGCCCTCCTACGCATCCGTCCCCAGAGCGTGCCCGCTATCCTTACAAGTTGGTTGTACATTGGTATCGAGATGGCTGCTATGGTATCGAGATGGCTGCTAGAGAGACACAATCGTACAACGCAGCTGTACAAGGTATGTTGATCGTCAAAAGAATCTTTTGTGAGAGCACGACAATGGAGTTTCTAGAGGAGCGCGATGCCTATTTACGTGCTGGCTGCGGATTGGTGAATCGCACGTGGTCCTCGTAGAACTCGATGACCTTCTGCGGGCACTTGTCGTTGCAAATGTCGTTGTCCACCCAAAGTCGAGGGCCCTTGCCATCGTTGTCGCTCGTGCCGGGGAACATCTCTTCCATGGTACTGATCCACTGCGGGTGGGGTCCGAACTGGACGTAGCTCTGCAGCCGACTGTCCTTGGGATCGCGCTGCATGTTGAGAATGCTCTCGACTCTGTTCTCCCAGTCGTCTTTTTGTTGGTACATGTTCAGATAGCGCTGACGAACGCGTTCGATAGCCTTGCGTTGGCCCGCCGGATTAGGGTCGTCGCTGTTGTCTTCGCCCTCGTCCGTGTCCGAAGTAGGAGGCGCACGTCGGCTCGATGTGGACGTGCGCGGCTTTTTCGCGGGGCTCGAGTGCTTCGACGATGCTGCGCTTGCTCGTCCTGACTTCTTTGCTTTGCCCCTGCTGGACGGCTTGATATCTTCCTCTGCAGACTCTTCGTCTTCGTCCTCGTCGTCCTCGACATCGTGCTGAGACTTGCGCTTGCGGATCTGCTCAAATTTCTTGGGCTGCGACTTGGAAGGTTGGTCTTTCCAGTAGTCGTCCACAAGCGTCTGTCCACCCTCGACAAGGTTCTTTTCGGGCTCCCAGGTGTTGTCTTCTTCTGGCCAGCCCTTCCATTTGACCAGGTACTCGCATTTCCACTGTGCGATTGGTCGACAAATGGAAAAATATCGCAAAATCAGCCGGTGTACACTTACATGCATCATGTCCATGATCGCGAGCTCTGATCGGCATGGCAGGCAAACTTACCGAATCTGTGTCTTTCGAACGACGATGTGCGCGAATTGCCTCGACCTCGAACTCCTCCTCTTCGTCTCCCTCCTCCTCGTCTTCATCGTCTTTGACTTCGAGGGCCTGTGATGCCCCCTTGGACTTGGAAGAGCGGCCGTTACTTGCTGGCTTCTCATCTTCCATGTCTTCGTCGTCAGACATGTCGATCGTAATGGTAGCAGCCTGTCTGCGACCGTTGGATTTGGAAGGGGAAGCGCTGGCAGAGGCCGTGGCGCTGCGGCTGCGGCTGCGCGGAGTTACAGCCATCTCGGTGAAAGAGGTGTCGACGGTGGTGGATAAGGAGGTAGTAGCGGGAGAGGACGCTCGCTTCGGGGGATCGTCCGGTGCTGTGGATTTCCTTCGGAGGAGAGCGTCTCGAAGTGTTGAAATCAGCTTGGCGGGCTCGAAATGAGGGCGACGCTGGGGAAAGCGTCGGATGCGGTGATGGTACGAGGCCGCGAGCAGGAGGGTCGAGTAGTAGCGTCAAGCCTCAGAACCAGCGACGGATGCCACTGGATCGACAGCGATAACTTTTGCTGCTGCTGAAGTTGCGGCGTGAGGACCTTGAGGATGATGGGGTCGACGGAGACAATAGTCGCCTGTTGTAAAGACGCAAGGAAGGCCTCGATGTTGCAGTGAGAGAATGTGTAGACCCAGAAGGGCGATCATCGATGATGGAAGTGTGGAAGACGGATGGAGGGCTGGAACAACCGGAATGCTGAGCTGGGTGCGGGTCAGTGAAAGAAGAATTGATCAGAGCCCATCAGACCCTGCGCTGCGCTGAGCAGAGCGCTGCCCCTCTTTGTTCCATCACAGCTCTGTTTTTTGGCCCATGCGACGACGGACGCGACTTTCGCAAAGGTGCGAGCGAGCTGCGCTGCGCTGCGCGAATTCCAAGCCTCATCAACTCTACACGAGACATGCGCACAAAGCGGGGAGCGCGACGGCCCGATTTCTGTGAGATTTGGTCTCGATAGCGATCTGCGCTGGAGCCTCACTAGGCCTGTGCGTCTCCCAAGCAGGACCTCTACTCAGCCTCGACACTCGAGAGCAGTCATGCGTATCGCATCTGCCGAACTATCGGCTCCTTTCCCATGCATGCCGTGAGAAAGTCGGAAGGTCCGAGATGACGGAGTGTGATGGGATTCGGCGTGATGCCGCTCTTGGCGCTTCCATCCTCGGCACGCTCTCTGGCTCAATGGTTATGGGCGCCAATCAATTTCAGGGTCCAATTTGAGCCCGAACGCCCCGCGGGAAGGAGTGACTTGGAGAGAGGCATGTGCTTTGTTCATTACAGGCGCACCGCCTTCCTCGATAGACCTCATCAACTTCCTTCCAAGCAGTCGCCTAGCAGCATCACGGTCACATCGCGCAACAACAGAGCAGACAATAGCCTCATACTCGGCCAATTGATCATGGCCCCTTCCACCCATACCTAGCCGACTCAACAGCAACTCACTCACCAGAGTTGCAATCGACGCCAGAACTCTCGATCTCTCGCCATGTCTGCAGCGGACGGCTCAATCACGGTGTCGAGTGTGTCTCCGCCTTCCGACAATGTTGAAGACGTCCCACGCCCCAACGAATTGGCCCCTCAAGACTCGAATCATGCAGCCGAAGGTAGCACTGATGCGATAGAGGAACAGAACGGAGAAGAAGAGAATGGAGAAGCAATCTCGTCTGAGCCAAAGGTCGCGGAGACCATGGCCGTCACATTTGATGACACATTGTCGGACAAGCCAAACTTCGAATCGAAGTCCACCGAGGAAGAGCAGCCAATCGCCTCGGACGCGGACGAAGATGACGGTGACATCTCGCTGGTCGGCTCACCCAAGGCATCTGACGTGTCACTAGCCGGTCCTGCTTCCACTTCGCACCGCCGCATCGACTCTGTCCCGCCAAAGAAGTACAGCGTCTCTCGTGATCCAACAAGCGCACTGACGGCTTCCCTCGCCTCAACTTCGCTGCAGAATGTGATCCAAGAGGAAGAAGCAGACATGTCGATACCTCACTACGACGACAGCGTCGAAGTCGACCTCGCTTCTCGCTCTGCATCGCCGCATCCTCCGACTGCTCAACACGACGAGCTCGCATCGCACCCCTCCCCCGTCGTTGTAGATAAGGCGGACCTCAACTTTGTCGACATCACACTGGACGCACCCGAGGACGATGCTTCGCTCAGTCGTGGCTCACTAGGACCGTCAGGTAAGACAGCAGAGCAGGTTCGCAGCGATGCCATCTCTAGTCAAGACCTCCAAGCCGGCAACGTGGAGCCCGTACCAACGTCGGTGCCCGATAGCAGTCGAGCGGTGAACGAGCTCAGTCCAACAAGGACTCCACAGGCTGAGGACGAGGGCAGCAATCGGAGCGTAGAGGGCCGCTACAGAGGTCGAAGAAGTGCACCTTCCAGCAGACCCGCGAGCCCGACACGTGGTCCAAGCCCAAGTCCTTCACCCAATCAATCTCAGACGCTGTCACATGACGCGAACGAAGGCGTTTCATCTAGGTCCACTTTGAACAAGAACGGTCTCTCGATCACGCCGGCACCGGTGCTGCTCGCTGCAGATGAGAACGGCAACATCAGCGTCATCCCCGATTCTCTCATCAGTCCTCGATCCGCGCCCAAAGATCTGGCTCCTAATGATGCAGAGCCATCGCAATCGGCACAGTCCGACGAAGTAGCAACATCATTATCTGAGGAGGTGGAAGCTGTTGAGGCTGCCGCATCCGCTATCGATGGCGAGGCCGCACCATCCTCATCCACCCCGCCGAACGGCGCCAACCTCACCACCACCACTTCTCCCGGTCTGACCGACAAAGCCGACCAAGTCGACCCTGCCAGTCGTCGCAAATCCTCCTCTGCCAGCTCGCACCCCGTCGACTCACGCACACGCATGACCACGCTCCCCGCCAAACCCAAGACGGAAGAAATCAAACACCGTGCCGACTTTGAGCGCATGATGATCGCCGCAAAAGAAGCGGAGCGCAAGAAGCGCGAGGACGACGAAGAGCGCCGACGGCAGCGACAGGACGAGCAACGCGAGGCGCTAGGTCGGTGGGAGAAGGAGATCCTGCCGTCCTGGTCTCGCGCGCGCAAGGATGCCGAGCTCGAGCAGTTGTGGTGGAAAGGTGTGCCGCCGAGTATCCGAGGAAGGGTGTGGGCGTTGGCGATTGGCAATCCGCTGATGCTGTCGAGGAGTCTGTTGGAACAGACGGAGAGGAAGGCGGCGGGGAGCGAATCGATTATTCCGCGTCGCGTGCTGGATCAGATCGAAGAGGATGTAGAGGAGACGCTACCGAGCTTGCGGCTGTTTCAGGCGAATGGACCGCTGCACGACGACCTGGTTCGCATTTGCCGCGCATTCGTTCTGGTGCGTATAGGTCAGCTGGCTCAGCTGGACCTCGCGGGGAATGCCAACAAGGCTGCTGCGCATCATCACGCACACAGTTCCGAGCTTCCCGGCAGCGGCGAAGTCGACAATCACTACGAGCCACAAGACGAATACGCCCGTCGCGGCATCGACATCTATCAACCTGGTCTCGCCTCTCTCGCCGGCGTGCTGCTCATTAACATGTCGGTCAACACAGCCTTCATCGCGCTTCTCAACCTGATCGAGTCGAAACCGTGGCTCAAAGCGCTCTACTCCCTCCTGCCCACGCTCGTCTCCCCTTCCGCACCGTCGAGCCCCGTCAAAGCGCGCGCCAGCATCGCTTCCACCACCCGCACCCCGGGGGGCGCCTACACCCTCGCACCCAAAGAAAAAGCCATCCGGAGCTTCGAACGCGTCCTCGAGACGCTGTTGGGGGATCAAATGCCCAAAGCGTACGCCAACCTTCTTGGGCACAACGTGCGACTGTACCGCGTGGTGCTGCGCGACTGGGTGTCGACCCTCTGGGCGCGCTGGTTGGACGTCGACACGGTGATGCGCATCTGGGATGTCGTGTTGTTGGACGAGACCGATTCGGTCATCTACAGGGTGTGTTTGGCGTTGGTGCAGACGTTGGAGTCGCGGTTGTACGTGCCGGATCAGGCGGAGTTGGAGAGTATACTGCGCGGGACGAATCGGGCTGCGTTGGGGGTGTGGAGGAGGGAAAAGGAGATGAAGGGGGAATTGGAGGTTCATGCAAGAGGCATGGGGAGTCCGACGAAGCGTCGATCGAGCGTGTCAAACACGTCCAGGGAGGCACTTCAATCCGCGCCGTCAGCGTCGTCCCTCGCGTCGGATGAGGTCGAACCCCCGAGGCGGAGCAGCTCCCTCACCCACCCCGAACCAGCCGACGCGGAAACGGAGCAGGTCTCCCCGCGCGACTACATCTACGAACAGTACAACATCGAAGAGCACCACATCTTTGACACGCTCGAAGCACAACGCTCCTGGTGGAAGCAGTCGACGCTGCAGCGTCTGTTGGAGCGCGAGTTGAGCGAGTAGCCTTTCGTCACACTGCTCAATCTCATCTTCACATGTCTACACGAGTGAAAGAGAAGCTGAAGGTCATTATTGAGATCGTCGTCAAAGGGGGTCATGATGTACCGATACAAAAGTGTGAAAAAGTGTGATAAGAGTGAAACGAAAGTGTTCTAGCGCATGGTGAGGACGCTTCTGGTGGGACTATTGATGAGGTCTCCGTTCCTCCTTGCTGCCGTACCCCTGAGTGTGGCGGTATGCTTCTCGAGTTCGGAAGCGGATGAGCTGGATCCGCTACTCCCATTGCTAGGATGACCGTTCCTAGCTGGCTTGGTGTCATAAACGTAATAGCTGCTGGAGCCCCTGGTCGGTGCCTGTGCGGGGGGCGCCTTGTGCGAGCGAAGCAAATCGCTCTTGGCTGCAATATCCTGCTCGAGCTCCTCGTGTCCACGTCGGAGCTCATCGAGGATCTGGTGTCGGAGGCCGTCGGAGGCGCCACCGGTGACGACGGGCGACCCGTGCCCCGCAAGAACGAGCTCTTCCAGGTTGGTCATGGTGTTGCTGCGCGCGATCTGCGAGTTCTTCAGCTGACGTTCGAGTTCCTGGACGTGCTGCTCGTACTGTCGTCGGGTGCGGCTGACCAGTTCGTCCGCCTGGAGATCCTTGCGGCGTGCGTTGGAGAGCGCTTCGTCCCTCTGCTGTGCCGCTTGGCGCAACGACGCAGTCAGCTCCGCAATCTTGTCCTCGAGCTTCTTGGTCGTCTTCCCATCGACCCCGACCTTAGCCGTCGAGGGCGCAATGTTGCCATAGGTCGAAACAGAACTTCGCAGTCCGTTGCTCACCGACGCGGAAGCCGCCATTCCCCCGTCACCGGCGCGTTGCAGTCGCGTCAACTCCCGCGTCAAATCCTCGTTCTCGCTCGCCAACCGCGCCTTGCTCTTCTCCAACGTCTTCGTATAATGCGCCAGCTCCCCGAGCTTGCTCTGCGCATCCGCAAGCTGCCGGTCTGTGTACTTCTTCGCCTCCTCCAGCACATGCACGTGCTCGACGATCGTCTTGTTCTGCATCGACTGCAGCTTTCGCATCTCCTGCTGCGCAAGGGTGAGTTCGTGCTTGAGTCCGCTGATCTCCTTGTCCTTGCCAGAGACGAGCTGTTGAAGGCTGTTGGCGTTGCGCTCAGCCTGCTTGTGCGCCGACTCGAGCAGTTCGCGTCGTTTCGACTCGGCACTGAGCTCGACGGAGATCTGGTCCGCTTTGTGCTTCCAGTTGGTTTCGCGGCGTTCGAGCTCGAGCAGGGCGTCTTCGAGGTCCTGGTGCTTGGTGAAGGACGCTTGCAGTTGTTTTTCGAGCGTGTCCTTGGTTTTGAGCGCGTCTTGGAGGCCACGGTTGATGACGGCGGATTTGCTTTGCGCTTCGAGCAGCAAAGCCTCCGCTTCACGCTTCGCTTTCTCGGCAGCAGCGACCTTAGCGTCAGCCTCGCGGACTCGCGATTCGGCTTCCCGCACCTGGGCTTCAGCGTCTTGTCGCGCAGCACCGTGAGCCTGGACCTCCTTCTTCGCCGCTGAAATCTCTGCACGTAGCGCCGAAATTTGCTCGAGGCTCGAGTGCTTCGAGTCCAGTAGCTCCTTCTGCACGCTCGACATTTGCTCGCGAAGCGTCTGCAGCTCCTGCTCCTTCATGCGGTGGATCTCCTTGGTCTTGACGTCCTCGGAGCTCTTGGCCTCCATCAATTGTCGCGTCTCATCGAGTTCGCGTTGCAGGGTGATCTTGGCCTCGGTCGTCTTGGCGTGCTCGTCTCGTGTTGACTGGGCTTCGAACGTCAAACTATTGAGCTTGACGTTGAGGTCGCCCAATTGCTTGGAGAGCACGTCGCGCTCTTGAGACAGACTCGAGATCTGCTTCTGTAACTGGCCGACCTCCTGCTCCTTGTCCTTCACGCGTGACTCGTGGCTTGCAGCGACGCGCTGCAGCTCGGAGAGCTGATACGACGACTGGCGGGTTTGATCCTCGAGCTGGACCGCGCGCTTCTGTTCCTCTTCGCGACCTTGAACCTCGGCCATGAGCTTGCTCTCCACCTCCTGCACGGCAGCGAGCATCCGCTTGTGTGCACGATTGAGGTCCTGCTCCTTCTCCTGGAGCTTGCGTTGCAGGTCGTCCCGGTCGGCAACAAAAGCTTGTCGCTCCGAACGATATTGCTCTGCGTTGGTGCTGTGCTGGCTGAGATCGCGCATGAAGGTGTCCTCTCGTTGCTTCCAAGCCTTTTGCTCGGCCTCGAGGCGCAGGAGGTGGTCAGCAGCTTGGTCGAAAGCAGACTTGAGCTCAGCATGCGCTTGCTCTGTCGCCCGCTGTGTCGCGATCGCCTTTTCGAGCTGGCCTTCGAGCAGGTCGACATCGCCCTGCAAGGCTGCCAGATCATCTTCGAGAGCTGACTCACGCTCTTTGGAGCGAGCCAGGAGCTGGTCCTTGTCGAGCATGAGGTTTCGCTCCGACTCGAGCTCTTCCTCGATCTTGCGCTTCTCGGCCTCGAGCTGGAACTTGAGAGTCTCGAGCGCCTCTCGCTCCTTCTGGTCTCGCTCCGCACGTTCGGTGACCAGTGCCAACTCGAGCTGCTTGCGCTTGAGCTCCTCATCGTGTCTTGTGGCTGTGAGCAGTGGTCGGACACGCGTGTACAGCTGCCACCATGGCCATTCGCGGAGCTCCACATAGAGACGTGCGTTTCGCTGGACTGTTCGCACAGCCGCTGCCCGGTTGAGAATCTTCTTCATCTGGCGGCGAGCTGTAAACATTCGACAGGCCGCGCCGAATCGGCTGAAGATGTCGTAGAGATGCGAGTCACGGCGCTCTTCCATCTCGGCGAGCACTCCCGCCTTGAAGAAGATCTTGGACGTTCCGACCTTGAACAAGGACTTGTCCAACTCGAGCGCTTCGACCATCCTCTGACAGGCTTTGCGACCATCCATGTAGCCCTGTGGGATGATGCCTGGCGTCAAGACCTCGTAGCGGTTCCTGAACTCGGAGAACAGGAGTCGATTTGGATAGCCGAGACGAGCGATGCGAATGCCCTCGAGGACACCGTTGCATCGCAGCTGTTCCAGCACCAGTGGCACGTCCATCTTGCCCGGCTTCTTCTCCGAGTTGGGGACGATGCAGCGGACAAAGTGTGGTTGAGTGGATGAAAGCTGACCCATGAGCGAGTTGAGCTGTTCCTTGTGCCTCTGGCCGACGGTACGGAAGGCACCACGCTTGACACGACGCTTGGGCGCCGTAGCCAGCGAGGTCTCCTCGTCCACCTCGGCAAACTCGGCAAAGAGTGAAGCGATGAAGCGGTCGGAGGATTCGGACATGACGCGAGTGAGGTTGTCGTTGAGGGGATCCTTGTTCTTGTCGAGCCATCCGTCTGTGCGGTACTCGACGTCGCCAGCGTAGTGCTTGACCACGAAGCCTTGCGAGAAACGAGTGCGTCCAAACTTGGTGGAGCCGTGGGCCAGACCTTTCTCGGCGGCCGCGGCCGCAGCAGCAGCGTCTGTGGCAGAGCCGTCCTTGTTGGTGCCCCACGTGCGATAAAGCTTCTCGGTAAAGGTGGTGTCGGAAGCCTTGGGCATGATGCACTCCTCGTCGAGGCAGGACAGGATGCCGATGGGCGAAGTGGATTCGATGAGGTCGATGGTTGGCTGCAAGTCGAGTCCAAAGTTGACAAAGTCCCACTCGATGTTCTCGCGAGCGTACTCCTCCTGCTCGAGAACGAACATGTGATGGTTGAAGAACTGCTGGAGCTTCTCGTTGGTGTAGTTGATGCAGAGCTGCTCGAAGCTGTTGACCTCGAAGATCTCGAAACCGGCGATATCGAGGACACCGATGAAGCTGCTCTTGCTCGTGGGGCGGTCAAGCGCCTTGTTGATGCGTTCGACGAGCCAGCCGAAGGCTTTCTCGTACAGGAACTTGCTGAGCGCTGCCATTTCTTCTGACACCTGGCGCATCGTCCTTGACGAGGTGACCCACTCTCGGCCTGCCTTGACGCGCGGTCGGAGGAGCGCGTTGGAGAACTCTTGCTCTGGGAGACCAAGAACATGGCAGATCTTTTCGATTTGCGGCATGTTGGTGATCCTGGCCTGCTCGGAACGGTCTGTTGCGAGCTGGATGTTGCCGATGTGTAGGATGGCTGCAGCGACACGGAAGAGGTTGAACTGCTCTTCGGGCGAGAAGCCGACCGTGTTGAGGGCCTCACGCAGCAGCTTCCATTCGGCTCGGTCATCGACTCCCTCAACGTCCTTACGCGTTCCCTTGAGGTATGCGTAGTCGTCCGGCAGGCTGGTGAGCAAAAGCTTCTGTTTGAGCTCCGACTCGCCGCCACGAAGCAGCTGGTAGAAGATGTGGAAACTTCGCTCGTTCTCGCTTCGGATGGCGACTCGGCTCTTCTCCAAGAGGTACCAGTCGATGTTGGCACCAGCGATGGCGCCCACGGACGTGAACTCGATGCGGACGAATTTGCCGAATCGACTCGAGTTGTTGTTACGGATGGTCTGCGCGTTACCAAAGGCCTCGAGGATGGGATTTGCTTGCAGAATCTGGCGTTCCAGCAGACCAAGGCGCTTTGAGGTTACTGGCTCGACGCCGTTGATTCGGTCCATGACCTCGCGGGACGAGGAAGGTGTAAGAGAGTTGGCGGGGGATTGAGAGCCGTGAGCGGCAGGGTCTGCAGCAATGGCGGCGAGGTACTGGATGACCTTCTTTGTGTTCTCGGTCTTACCAGCGCCAGATTCACCAGTGATGAGAAGACTTTGATTCTCACGGTTGTCGATCATATTGCGCATGGCTCCGTCGGCGAGAGCAAAGACGTGTGGAGCATTCTCCTCCCTCCTTCGCCCCTTGTATGCAGCCACGATCGCGTCGGTGTAGATGGGTAGCGGGTGGTACGGGTTGACAGCGACCAAGAAGAGGCCGGAGTAGGTATAGATGAGGGAGCTGAAGTATCTCTGCCGCAAGTTGTGCACAACGCTTGCTTCGTTGAGAAAGGTGAGATCTGCAATATCTTCTGCTTTGTCGAATTTGGGAGGATTCATCTTGCTGAGCTCGAAGGTGGGGACGGTACGGTTGGATCCATCTTGCAAGGCGCAAAGGGAATGCTCTCCTTCCTCCTTGATGACCCATGCGGAAACGTAGCCTACGTTGGCATCCGGAATCCAGACGTATTTCTTGGACGCAAACTCGGCAGCTGAAGCGGCGTCTGAGGCGGACTGACCGACGCCCCGAGCTGGGCGAGGCATGGCTACCGCCATTTGCGCTGCATTGTTGGCTTCGACGGACGGCGAAGCGCGATGTGATGGGCGGAAGAGGTTCGACTTTGTGCGTACTACGTCGACCATGGTGGCGTTATGTTGGCTGTGCGAGGCACGCCTTCGGGAGTCTGTCTGCGAAAGGGACCTTCTTTGGGAGCTCCTCGGATGTCCGAATCTGTTCTAGGTTCTGTCCTTGATGAAAGCTCGCCGTCGAGGGTCGGTGTGTGGTTCCTCAGCGAGGGGAGTTGGATCGATTCTGGAGTCCCGTGTTTGGTTGAGCTGGCGACGGATAGGAAAAGAGAACGAGACAGTGTGATGAAAGGAGGGAGAGCCTCGGCGGCGATGATGCTGAAGATGTTGGAGGTAGGCGAAGAACGAGAGATGATGATGGTGATGGCGACTACAAACAGCTTGGGTGAGCCGGCGAGTTGACGAAGAGAGCGCAAGACAGCTGCAGAGTAGAAAGAACAACACTTGAGCCAACTCGCTCCACCTCGCCTGGCTGGCTCTGCTCCTGTGCCCGGCTGTGTTTCAAAAGGCGCGCCCTAAATTGCCAGATGAACTCCACAGCAGAGCAGTCAACCGGGTTTTGTGAGACACCCCCTGAACGAATAAACAGATTTTATTATAGCCAAAAACAGCAACACAAGGCAGGCAGGCAAGGGTCTCTCAGCCGACAGGGGCCTCGTCTCGATTCAGGTTGATTGCGCTCTCTGCCATTCTCACTCGGGCCCCTGACTGGCGGCGGAAGACCCGTTCCGCCTATGCTACTCGGGGCGTCATCGCGCAGTGTAAGCCTCTTCGGCAGAAGCCGTTGCGAGGAACAGACGTATTCTCACGCTGATGAGAGAGCATCCATCGCTACAGCCGGGTCCCTGCGTCACTGGAAAAGGGCGAGACCAACACCTGCTGACCCTGGCTGGCTGGCCGGCTTGCTACACGCGCGTTTGCGAAATTCGGCAGCACACAAGCAGCCCCTTCAGCGGCTGAGACGCGTCTCGAAGCCCTGTGACTTGACGGCGACTTCACGCACGGAAGCGCAGATCAACCGTTTCTTCTGGCGTGGAACAGTCAAAAATTTCGATGTCCTGCTCAGAGGCAAGAGGCATGCTGGGACCGCGAATGAGCGCAAGGACTGGACCCTGCATGCACAGAGACTGACTCGCTACGCCGACCGCTGGTTTCCAGAACAAGTCTCAAGTGGCCGTGGTGTGGTTTGCTCTGCTGTCTCGACCAACGTTTCGCTCATGGCCACACCCTATCACCTCATCATCGACACTTGCCCATGACGACTCGATAGCTACGAGCAGCATGCCTTTGCATCTGTCTCAACACAAATCGTATCACCCTTACAACCAAGACAATCGAGAAAGGCTTCGACGAGACCAAACGCAAGCTGCGCAGCAGGACGAGGAGCGACGTCAAACTTCCTTTGCGGATCGTGATCACGCCCGACTCGAAGCTCTTCGCGCAGCTCGAGACGGTTCCAGAGCAAATTCTTCCAAAAACGAAGCATCCGAAGCAATCTCTTCGTCTAGTCGCATCGACCGACCCACGTCAAGAAAGGAGCAAGCCAGGGGTCACGCACTACTCCGGCCTGAAGACGAATTGACACCTTGGTATACCACATCACAGCTACGCAACGGCGCAGACACCCGAAAGACAGAGGATCAGCGTCTGGAAGACGCCTACAAACAGTCTTCCATCAAGTCCTCCAACGACCCACTCAAGGCGATGCAAAGCTTCCTGGCCAAACGCAAAGCCGCTAAAGATCAACCTCGGACTTCATCATCACCAAGATCCGTGGCTGATCCCCTCTTGGATCTGTACGAGCCAGAAGCTGTTCGAGCCGCAAAGACGTCACGCAGACAACATTCAGACCATCGCAGCTTGCATTCTCGCAGTGATCCAGACAGGACGTCCACGTCTCATCGTCGCTCCGACAGAGGCGTGACTGACCACAGCAACGATGTCGATCAGAGGAGTAGACGACGCAGAAGCAGCAATCACGCCAAAGGTGACGGCTCAAGAAGCGGACAGCGCAGATAGCATGCCGGACTTTGAGGTCACCGGCAGCTCCTCGCTTCCGCAAAAGGCATACACCAACACATACCGACCAGGCTCGCGCTCGTCCATGTATCCCGAGCTCTTTCAGGAGATGCTCTGCAATGTGCTCGAGTCCGAGTCCTATCTCTTCTCCAACGCCGAGCTCGATCTTCTTTCTGCCTTCTTCATGCTTCCATACCCGGCACGCTACCTGTTCGTGCGCCTCCTCCAGCGAAAGAAGGTTACCTGGTATCGCCTCGACCGTCTCGAAGCGTACCGCGCGGAAGTGCAGGATCTCAAAGAAGCAACCGAGCAGCTGGCGACGCCCGTCTCTTCTCCTCCCACTGAGGGGCCCAAAGTTGAGGTCGCTAGGATGGAAGAGGAGGATCGACGCAAGATAGCACTTGATACGGACAAGGAGAACGCTGTGCTCACGCTTCCCAGTCTTCAGCGCGAGCTCAAACTAGACGAGGAGACAGGCTTACCTCTCAAGCCCACCTACCGCCATAAGCAACCCCTGGCCGAATCCTCGATACCGGCGAACGGTGCGATTCAGAATGCTATCAAGCCGAAGAGCAGCACGCAAGAGGCATCGCTACATCGCTTCGTCATGACCGAGCGCGACATGAAGGGCGGAATAGCCGAGTCCCTCTCGCTGCTCACCATCGAAGAGCTCAAGGTCATCGCAAAGAACATGGGCATCGCCAAGATTGGCACCACACGGGCGCAGATTGTTGCTGCGCTTTCGGCAACAAAGTCGCAGTCAATGCTATTCAGGAGCCCGACCAAGCCGACGAGTCGGCCACTGAGCGGAAACACAACCGCCAGCACAAAGCAGCAGCAGCTTACTCTGAACTTCACGGGCGCCTCCAAGGCAGGTCAACCACAAGCATCACGCCTCAAAGATGAGCTATCAGCCGCGCTCGGTGGAGGCTGTGTTCAGGTCCTCCCTGCTGTGCGTTCGCTGGTCGATCGTGTGGCGCTCGTCTACTATCGTGGCAACCTTCTCGGCAGTGCAGCGCTTACGACTGCCATCTTGTCGCGCTCGCGGATCCGCAATTACCCCAACTACACCTACAGGCGCACCAGCTTCCTCTTTCCATCTCGAGACCACCTCATCGCCTTCGAGCGCGCCCTCAGCATCGAAGCTGAGATGGAGTACCTCATCCAATTCGGCAAGAGCGAGGCCGACTTTCAGACCGCACTTGACCTCTTCGAGTCAGTGTGGGCCGAATGGAAGTCATGCGTGCAGGAATGCGTTTTAGCGCATCCGGAAGGCATCGACAAGATGGTCTACCACCGCATGCGATTCCATCCCGGATGGGTGCTGACGAGGGTTGTGTACAAAGGCGCGACGGTGCTGGCGAGATTCAAGCTGCGAGAACGGGAGAAGGAGGTGCTGCAGGCACTGCTCGATCAGAGGGTCTTTCGACGTGGTCGACGTGGCGACTGGTACGATCGGCTGGCGCTCATCACAGCGCTCTACTCGGACGACCAGCGCAAAGGCAAGAAAGAAGCGCTCAGCATCAGCGTACAAGGCATGCAGGATCCGGACACCCATCTCATCTACCACGACACCTTGCAACGGCGAATCGCGCGGCTCGAGTCGCAGCTCCGCGTTCCTCGATCCGAGCAACACGACTTCTCGTATACGAAGCTCAAGAAGACGTCGGAGGTGCACTTCAAGAGTGTCAGGCTAGATGCGATGGTGGAGACCGACACTCGCACGAACGAACCCATCACGGCTCTCTCGCGGTTCCTGCAGGCAGGAGATTCGCCGCCGACGTCGCCAGATGAGCCCCGATCGAAAGGCGGCAGATCGTCGCCCGGTTCCCGTAGCGGCAGCAGCAGTCCGACTAAGGGATCGCCGGTCAAGCGCTCGTCTAGCGGATTCGAGATCCGCAAACCACTCTTCAAGCGGGTCAAGATCGAGTCCTTCGCCGACAGTGCTGCAGTCAAAGGCGATCCAGACTCGCCATTCATATTGTCGCCCAAAGCCGAGTCGCCTGGCAATGTTGTCGATCAAGCCCGCCTGACTCCCGTCTCGGACACCTCCTCAGATCAGATCCCAATCAAAAAGGAGGATCTAGACGATATTTCTTGGGATGACATCACCGCCCCCGCACCGGACCCGACGGCCCTCTCCATTCTATCCAACGGCGAGTCCCCAACGTCCGTCGCCCATTCCACCCGCCGTTCGATGCGCAGCGTGTGGCGCGGCCTCGACAACGCCCCTGTCCACGTCGAGCAGCTCTGCCTTCAACACTACGCTCTTCAAAACTTCAAAGGGTATCACTGCGAGGGCAAGCTGCTGACCATGATCTTTGTGATGGTCATGTGGGACATCATCTTCCTCCCTGACATTGCTGGATCGTTTGAGACGCCGTACCAGTCTGCGCCGCTGGATTTGGGCAGTGATTCGTTCCCCATCGTCCGCAGTGCGCAGATACGGGAGCGGCTAGACTACGTCTCGCGGACAGGCGGGCTGGATCTCATCGAACAGGTGGATGATCGCGAACGACCGAACAAGACCTGGGCCGTCGGCTGCCGTTGGGACCTGTTCAGCAAACAAGACCTTTTGGAGGTGGCAGAGTGTCTGGGAGGGCATTCGATCAGTGTGGTGTGCCAGATGCTGTGCGAGGAATGGGATCACTGCTCCTCGGGTATGCCTGATCTGGTCATCTGGAGGATGGAGGATAAGGTGGTGCGATTTGTCGAGGTCAAAGGGCCGGGAGATCGATTGAGCGAGACGCAAAAGGTGTGGATCGACATCTTGCTCAGGGCGGGGATCGAGGTTCAGGTGGGCATTGTTAGCGAATAGACCACACACGCAGAGTTGCTTCGGATCGTCTTTTGGGCAGACTGTGATGTGTGCTGAATGTTTGCGTGGTGTGTGTGCTAATCTTCGTCCATGAGCTCGTCCGCGTCCTCGTCGTTGGCCAGCGTCTCGTCCCCCGCAATAGCATCATCAACTCGACTCTCATCCGCCTCATTCCCCTCCGCCTCCTCTCCCTCAACCTCGGCATCACCCTTCTTCCCCACCACCGCGGCCGCCTTCTTCTTCTGCACCGCATCCCTGTACCCCCGCAACCCCTCCTTCAACAACCCTACCTCTTCCTCCGTAAACCCGGCCTCCCTTACCGCATCTAACACGTGTTGCGCGCTGATGATCTTCCCACCCTTCTCCCGCACACTGTCGTGAGCGATACTGGTGAGATAGCTGATCCACACGGTTGCGGAACGGACGAGCGCCTGTTGGGTGTCTTTTCGCAACGCCACGCTGTCGGGCAGCTCCGATTTGGCACAGCGGACAATGTTGGAACGAGGCAGTTCGAAGGATTCGATGCCTTTCAGGGCCACTTCCTGCTGTTTCAGGACTGCTTTGGAGGAAGGTGGGACGACGAGTGGCGCATTGGACGAGGTGTCGTCGATGGAACCGCTGATGGATTTCCGACCTCCAGTTTTGGCTGCGGGCGTGCCTGGCGCTGAGGCGGATGATGCCGCCCCTGTCGACTTTCGTGGCATGTCGAAACGCGGGTCTATGCAGAAGGAGTCGATGCTGTGGATGTCCTCCTCCGAGCGACTGATGAGGATTCGAACGAACCGATGCTGTTGATCTGACGAGCGACGTTGGGTTGAGCACAAATGTGATGGTGGCGAGCCTGGCAGATGATGTAGCGGTGTTTGATGGAAGACGGAAACTTGAGAAGACCTGAAGAGCCTAGCAGCGAACAACACTTTTTGGCTCCATGCTTTACGCGACACCCGCGCGGCTTCGAGGGGCGCGTCCAATTTTCGCCGCTGTCAGATCGCAGCTGCACGCTGTACTATCATTTCGGACCATGCTCACGAATCACACATAAACGTCAGACACACTCGACTGGTAGAGGGGGTGGTGAGAATGAAAATGAAACGATGTCGACCAACACTAGCACGATGGCAGTGACACCTGGACATCGGATGAAACGAAGGAGTGAGAATCGAAGTACATGGGGGGATCAGAACGAGGGGGGCGGAAAGTGAGCAAGGGAGATGACAGAAGAGGTGGCGGAAGGCAAGGGAGGCCATTGCAAGGGGATGATCTCGCGCTGACTTCGGCATGGTTGAGAGCGTAAGGAGGACCTAGAGGCAGACCAGAAGCCGGATTGGGTTTCAGGTCGGGACGACAATGCATCCTGAGCTTTGTGTTGAAAGTGCTAGGCTAGTGTCGCGTCGTAAGCGATCGCAGATTTGTGTTACGAAGAGTCGCGAACGCTTGAAGGGTTACGAGTAGTAAGGCTCTGGCGAGGGTCAATCTTGTGGCGTGAAGTACCTGCTCGAGGCCGAGATGAGTCGTTGGTGGTGCTTGCAGATGCTGGTGCAGGTCCGGGATGTCGCTTCTCCATAAAGACGTGATAGAATACAGGGGAACTTGCGATACGACCAACGAGAAAGACATCGAGTGAAACGATTACGACAGAGCCTGCAAAGGGGCACGCTGTCCGAGCATGTTGGTGAATGCCCCAAGACGAAAGATCAAGAAAACAGTAGAAAAGAACAAGTGCGATCACTACCCGCGCGCGCAGGTGATCAAGACGACTTGCGGTCAGGGCGCTTGAGAATTTGACGCGCTGACCTATCGAGAAACGGAACCAGGATCGTGCGGCAGACGTGAAAGGATGCAAGGTGGTAGTGGGAGCGGGGCGCTCGTTGCTGCGACGAGACGGCCTAGATCGCGTGTGCGATTGTCTTTGAGGTCACGCGTCCTCGCCTCAGCTGAGTCTAGCACCTCCCAACATGCGAGCAAGAAGACTCTCGACAGTGGCACCCGGCTGCATGCTAGGCTTGGGCGCAGGCGACTCGGCTGCAGCAACGGTGCTAGAAGGTGCGACAGCGGGAGTAGGCGCCTTGGAGGGGGTCGAGGTCATTTCGGCGGGAGCGGTGGTGCCACGCACGCCACGGGTCAGCTCTTCAACCTCATCGTCGCTACCGCCTGACTCTCCGCTGCTGCCCATGGCGAGCGAGGAAGGACGCATGGTGCTTCGATCAAGTTCCGAGCTGTTCTTGCCGAGGCGATTCTGGAATTTGGGAGCGGGCAGACTGGCGGGCGAAGGGGAGTTGTGGAAGTTGGGACCGGCGTATGCAATGGCAGCGGCCACTGCGGGATGCTGTTGATTGCCGTTGCTGTTGCCCGCTTTCTTGACAGGGGTGGAAGGCGCGATGTGGATCGGAGCGCCGTGGGCGGGATACTGAGAGATGAGATGAGCAGCGTGGTTGCCCGCAGCACCGCCGTTGCGCTGAGATTGTGCAGACTTGGATTTGCTCATCTGATCTGCCTTTGCAGACTCGAAGAGATCATCGATGTGGAGAGCGACGTCGTTGCCGCGGCCTTTGCTTGCGCCTTTGCCGTTCTTCTGCTGTCCGCCGGAGCCGAAGCTGCCGGTGCGTGGTCGTCTCTTGCCCGCTTTGCCTTGTGCGTGGCCGTTGCCCTGTGCGGAGCCATCATCAGCTCCAAAGGTCTCGACATCGCGAGCATCGGCAAAGACGTCGTACTGGGGGCCGGTGCGCTTCTTGGCACCGAGAAGCTCTTGCTGCCAAGTCAGAGCAGGTGAGTCGCGGCCATCTTGCACTTGCTGAGGATGGGCGAGATTGCCGTCATGCTTGGTCGCGGCGTGCTGAGCTGACTTTTTGCCGCCTCGTCTGGAGCGGCTGCCTTCATGCGACGCATCGGCGTTGGATTTGGAGGCATTCTTGAACAGCTCTTGTTGCCAGGTCATCCCGGATGCTGCCTGTTCAGGAGCCTTGTTGTTGCTGTGCTGGTTTTGTGCAGGTTGCTGAGCGTGTGCGAGAGGAGCCGAGGGCGCCGACTTGGAGAGAAGCATCTCTGAGGTGTCCGCCTTGGGAGAGGACTTGGACTTCTTGGAACGCGAGCTCTTGACGGGTGTAGATGAACGTTCGTCGGCTGCAAACTTGGCCTCCTTGCCCTTCTTGGCCTTGGAGGAACCATTCTGCTGCTTTGATGCCTGCATCTCTTGGGCCATTGGCTTGGTCAGGGTGATGAGGCCGGGAACGGCGGAGCTGTTGTCGGTGGGTTTAGAGAGGTCGGCCTGTTGTTGCGATTTGGCTGATTTCTTCGCCGCTGACGCCTTCTTTCCAGACAGCCCGTTGTTGACGTTGGATGACGCTTTCGCCGCAAGCTTGTCCGTCTTTGCTTGTGTAGATGGCGAAGCGACAGCAGATGAGGTATTGTGGGAAGAGTTGCGCGAACTCGGTCTGGAGTGAACGGATGGCGCAGTCGAATGAGTGTGTGATGGTCTCATGGCCGCGATCATGCTATGTTCCCGGACTGGAGAAAGAGGCAGAGGTCGAGAGGAAGGTGTATGCAGATATGGAGATGAGAGCAAGAGATCCGTACGATGGATCCTGACCAGAGTGGATGTGGGTTGATCGCTGGTAGATGGTGCGACTCGACTGAGGGGAGATACTTCAAGCCGTTCGCAAAGCGCTGTCGAAGTGAGTTGTGATCGAGCGGAAGTCCTTGAGAGCGCTGCTGAGCCAAGCCTTGTATGCGCGAGCGAGAAATAGGCGTGGTACGAGGTGAGACTGAAGAACGGAAGTTGCGAACGTGAACAAAGTAACCTGCGAGTCGAGACCGATTTGCGAAGATGCGAGAGTCAAGTATGCAAGAGCTCAAGAGAAAGTGAAATAGGTGAAGCGAATGTCGAAACCTGTCAAGGGGAAATGAGGGGAAGACAGAAAGCGTTGACATTGACATAGGGGAGCAACTCAGTGATGACGCCGAGGCTCGGGTTGAGCGATGTCATTCAGCCCGACTGACTCGCTTCTATGGCCTGCCTGGCTTGGGATTTTAGGTTGAGCTCAAAGGGCTTGATGTGGCTGCTCAAAGCGTTGAGCGACGCTCAATTCTGCAGCATCAACTGCGCCAACGTGGATTTTCGACGACCTTCTCCATGTGAGATCGTTCAAAAAGTACTCGTACGAATCAAGCATTCCATGGTAGTGATGCCCTCCATCCTGACCTTGAGTGGGCTCAGAGCTCTGTGCAAGCCCTATCTCATTCGCTGACAATCTATTCAATCGTCTGACAAGGTCTGCAGGTGGGCGCCGACATCTACAAACGCCAGTGCTCTGTTCAGATTGAGAGGTAACTTAGGCCGTGCCAATGCGCATCGACCGCGAACAAAGGGGCACACTTCATGTGGGGTCCGAGGTACGGCCTGCAACGCTTGCGGTAATCTTCAATTGAGACAAAGGCCTTGCAGAACAAAGGGATGTTCAGCACACAGCAACAGCAAAGCTTTGGGTCACACATTCAGATCACACGGTGTCATGATGCTGCGAACATGCGAAAGATTGCGGTATCTGGAGACAAGGACAATAAGAATGCGAAGTGTGCCAACACGGCGGTGAATGTAGTGCTGACGTGACACAGACGAGCACATGAATGCAAATATAGCGGCCGGTCGGGCGACTATACGACTGCCATGTGTATCGCGCTCAGTCAACGGGATCAATAATGCCCTCTGGGCCAATCGAAAAGACAGCGTCGGCCTCGGGAAGGCATGGCGAGTCGGCAATACGGCAGATACGCTGGTTGCCACGACCCTTGCGCAGAGAGAGTCGCGTGGTCGAGGCGTGCGCGACAATGTTGCCTCCAATGGGCTTTTTGGCATCAGCGGTGAACGCAGTGGCTCCATCGACCTGAGCCACGACCTGGTTCGTGATGACGACAGCGACACCGAACTCGTCTGTCAATCGCATCAGACCACGCAGGAACTTGGCCAGGTGCATCTGTCGAGCGGAGAGCTCACCTCGGCCAGAAAAGTCGGTACGGTAGAGCGAGGTGAGCGAATCGACGATTAGAAGCGAGAAGCGCGACTCGGCCATCATCGCAGAAGCCTGCATCAAGAGTTGAAGCTGGTGGTCGGCATTGTATGCTCGAGCATAGGCAACGTTGTCGAGTACTTCATTTCCATCGAGACCGTATCGTTCGGCGACGGCCAAGAGACGCACAGGTCGGAAGGTGCCCTCAGTGTCGATGTAAAGGCACTTGCCCTCACCACCGCCCATGTCGACGGGCAGTTGGCAAGTGACAGCCAAGGTATGGCAAAGCTGACTCTTGCCTGTCCTGAACTCGCCGTACAGCTCGGTGATGCTTCCGGTTTCCATACCACCGCCGAGGATAGCGTCAAGGTTCTTGGAGCCGGTCGTGATTGAGATGAGCTCGTTTCTGCGTGCGTGGAACTCGGTGGCGGTGGTGAAGCCCATGGGCACCAACTTGGCGGCTTCGGCCAGGACCTTGTCTGCTTTTGCCTCCGAGATACCCTTGACGAGGAGCAGGTTCTTCTTGGGCGTGAAGGCGATGCTCTCGACCGTGTTGTAGCCCGCTTCCGCCAGCTTCTTGCAATCAGAGCCTGAGATGCCAAAGTCCTCGAGTTTGCTGACGGGGAGGGGACCGAAAGCCTCGCTCATCTCCTCCTCGCCCATCTGAGATGGATTCTGAGCGTTCTGAGACATGTCGAAAAGTGTCCTTCAAGGGAGTGCTGAGCGGGTTGCGTCGTCTAGCGGTGACGATATGGGAAGCTTGGTCTTGCTGCGATCTCGAGCGTGCTGATGGGATGAGAGGATGAAAGGCGGCGGGAAGCCGTCAGGATGGGAGTCACGGCCAACTTCGTCGTCGCAGGCTTGGGACAACGTGCGATGCAGGAAGAAGCGGATTAAAGGAAAGGAGAGACAGGTAGGTGATGGAGGTGGCGAGGGCCGAGCTTCGACTCAGCCACCGTCGTGTGGGTTGGAATTACGCTCCTCACGCTCTCAGGCCCTGTCGGTGGAGCATTCTCCTTTTTTGCTGCAGCCCAAAAGTGTTGGTCTTCTGTAACGCGTGAAGCGGCGCGTAAAGCAGGTTCGAATTCGGTCCTGTGATTTGACTCAGCACCGACCTTTTTCTGTTGCCTCGTTTGTGAGAAGGTGTAACATCCTCCAAGAATAATGCCCTTCCTCGTCCTTCTCTTCTCAATCGCTGGGTACTGGACTCAAGACTTGGACAGACTGGCATCGAATGCCCGGCGCGATCATCAAGAGCGAACGCTCATCCATTCGAAAGCTTCTCTCAGCCGAATGGACTAGTGCATTTCAAGATGTGGGTATCGATCATTGGAACGCAAGCAATGGACGGTCTTCCTCCTCGAGCGATTCTTCCACCTGTGACGTGCTGCCAGCTGATGATGCGGCACCTTCTTTGTGCGCGAAAGGATTCTGAGCGCGGACGTGCTGATCCTTCCAGACTGCGTTCCACTCTTCGCCCGTGAACCAGCCGATGTAGTGCTCGTCTCCAAATCCGCCGACCCAGTAGACCTTATCGACGTTGAAAGTGGCCCAGAAGGGGATATGCGGCGATTCGGTGGCATTCGGCGCCCAGTGACTCGCGTCAGGATGGTGGTCGAGGTAGCAGCGCAAAGCCTTGTCGGCAAGATGTGGATATTGGGTGCCGTTGAGCACGTCGAAGTGACCGAACAGAGTGACTCGCGCCTTGGAAGGCATGCCCCGTCGCCATGAGGGTCGATGCCCCTGCCACTGATCGGGATGGTGCTTCGAGGTATGGCGCGGATCTGGAACAGCAGGATCAATGTCGGAAACGATGCTCGCCGTCGCATTCTTGGTCTTGCTATTGAGGACGTTCCTCCACGTCTGCGATATCGTCAGACCGAGGTACAGCAGCGAACCTGTAGCCGCACATGGCGCAAAGTACTCCGGTCCCGTAATGACGTGCCCTGCTAGGTCGGCAATGGGATGATCGAATGGGTATGTGGTGGACAGGGCGGATACGCCGAAGTTTTCAGAGCCAGACACCAGCTTCACCGCTTGTGACAGAGCTATCGTCGGAGATCGGATAGTGGGACGAGGACGAGAGCATCAGCTTCGGAGGCTTATGTGTGAACGGCGAGGTAAGGTCTGTTCACTCACCTTGATCCTTGGTCTCCCATGCGTGAGTAACGAGACTGCAAAGCACCAGCACAACGATGACGGCGTCCCAGCAATGCCAAAGGCTCACTGGTCTCAAGAAGATCATGATCGGCTCAGCACCTGACGTTGAGGCCAGATCGTGGATCGGACCGTTACGAAGAAAGCCAGCGTATGCGATGATGGATGACTGCAATCTGCTCACCAGACCCTGACCAAATCTGATAACGAAAGCTGGATGCGGCGTTTGCACGCACCGGCAAATTGTCGGGTCAACAGAGCGGCCTCACAGCGCAGCGCCGAAGTCGAAAGAGACGCGCTCACCGCCTGTCAGACGACACGCCTCGAAATGCGCGCTTAGACACCAACACTTTTGCGCTACTGGGTACCACGCTTGCTTTGCCTCTCTACCTGTTCCACCCCTTTCAACCTTGCCCGGCAGCACTGAGGACGGCTATCATCATGAGCGAGGTGAACAACTCAGCGGGCTCCTCGTCGGCAACGGGCTCGACCTCGCAATCCGCAGCTGCCCAACTTCCCGACCCGTCACTGCCAGCGCCCAACCTGGGCGAGGATGAAGTGGGCTTCACCGCAGCCGACTTGATTGCTCAGCAGTCTCGACTGGAAGCGCAAGCGAACGAGGCGATCCCGTTCCAATTCGACACGTGCACATATGACAAAGGATACATTCGACAGCCGGTCTACGCCTGTAAGACCTGCGGCGGGGGCGGCGTCTGCGCAGGCTGCAGTGTCTCTTGCCATGCCGAGCACGAGCTCGTCGAGCTATTCAACAAGCGCAAATTCCGATGCGACTGCGGTACGCCGAATTTGTATCGTCAGCACGAGCCCAATCGTGCCAACCAGCGCAAACGAATCACGGAAGAGCTCGTCTACCCCGAAGGCGCCAAGCCGTGCAGCTTGCGGAAGCCAGGCTTCAACCCGCAGAACGACGCCAACGCCTACAACCACAACTTTGACGGTGGCTTCTGCTACTGCGAGAGAGGCAAGACATATGATCCGGAGAAAGAGGACGAGACCATGTTCCAGTGCATCGTGTGCGAGGAGTGGCTTCACGAGAGCTGCACCTCGTTGCGTCCAAGCTCGTCCACGGCAACACCAGAGACGGAACCGCCTCTGATCGATCATGACCTGTTCGATCTCATGATCTGCGACGCCTGCGTTCGGAAGCCAGACAACGACATTCTTCGACGCTACGCCGGTGCCAAGGGATGGATGACCCTTGCGCCAAGTCAGGCGGTGGCAGAGGTGAAGGAGCACGACTTGATTGCCAAGATCCAGGTGCCGACCGAAGACGAGCTGCGCGAGGCAGGTGGACCATATCGCGACGGACGCAGCTGGCAGATTTTCGGGCTGGCCATGGAGCCGGAGAGAGCCATCACAGAGACGGAGGTCAGTGCCGCCGCTGATGGCGCCTTGTTATCTTCGGTGGCTGATCTGGCTCGCTCGACAGTGGTAGCAGCTTCGAGTCAGACGGAAGGCGCTTCGACAGTCAAGGATGAACCGCAAGCTGAAGCCGACAGTGCAGCGCCTGAGCTTGAGGAACGAAGAGAAGGCAAGCGACGCGCTGAGGACCAATCCGTCGGAGAAGCCGCGGAAGGAAGCGACAGCAAGCGAGTCAAGGTCGAGCGTGAAGGACCGACGGCAGGGCAGGCATCCGAGGCCGCCGGTACATCTGCGCCGAGTCTCCTCAAGCAGGAAGACAAGGAGACAAAGTGCACGTTGCCCACGCCGCTGGCTGTTGTCTCTTCGCTACCGTACTCCAAGGTAGACGAGTGGACACCAGCCTTGAGCGAAGCAGCGACACCACATCGATACGACATCTTCCTGAGCGAAGACTTCCGCGATCGCATCTGCCGCTGTGCAGACTGTCTCCCGAAATGGGCTCACCTCCCGCACGTTCTGGACGCCGAAGAGACGTATGCGCCACCGTCCGACCCGCATGCATCTGTGCGCGATGACGACGCGGCCTCGATCACGTCGTCGACGTACGACCTGGGCATGGCAGCGCTGCGAACCATGCCACGAGAAAAGATGATCAACACGATGCACGCGTACAGCAAGTTTCGCGATGCGCTGTGGGAGCACCTCAAGCCGTTTGCAGGAACAGGCAAGATGGTGCGGGAGGAAGACGTTCGTGCGTTCTTCCAGAAGAAGCTCAATGCAGAGCAGTGATCCATACAACAGTACACATGTTCTTATTCATTCACGCAATGCTGCTCATGACGCTGGAAGAGACTGGTGTTCGCCATGCGGATACGCACATCCGCGGAGCTGTCGGATCTGCGCTCAGAGTCGATCTCGCCAGTATGCAATCACCTGCTGATCAGTCTTGATGGAAGGTCTCCAAGCGTGCACCCTTAGCGAGCTGCAGGAATGAGCAGAGCAGGGTCTTGAATCTGAGCAAGGGCTGGGCGAAGAGTAACACCGAGAGCCAAGAAAAGACGCTTGTCATGAAAAGAGACGGACCTTCTTCGAAGACTTGGTGCGTCTGATCGGGCCGGATTTTTATGCAGCTGAGCTGCAGGTCGATCCTCCTCCGTGGAGCGCTCACTTCATCTTTGTGCTCGTGTTTTGACTTGGGAAAGCAAGAGCACACGGCAGCTGCTTCCCGCTTTGGCCTCGGAAAATACAAAATTTGAAAGCCAGCCTTACACAGAAATACTGGAGCACTCCCCTGTGGCCTTTGCCATTATTGCCATTTGCTTGAGACGGGAGAGAGAGAAGAAAGGACTGCACGTCTGCTGCGGAAAACTTTGACTCGGCAGAGGCACAGTCCAACAGCCAGGTGAGCTGGATTGCCGCTGTGCCCTCTGACAGTGACAGACACAGTCATTTTGACAGTGAGCCGGAAGCAACACTCCGGAATGGCGCTTTGGACGCGCCCATATCTGCTAAACGCTGCTGACCGTTCATCTTGAAGCTCGCTTTCGGCACGCTTTGTGCGAGTGCACTGCCCTCGTTGCGACCTGTGCTGTCCAAGTTGCTGTCCTCTCCAAAGACGGCAGAAGCTAGCGTGAGTAGCAAGTGGAAGCGAGGGTCCGAGAACAGAAAAAGGAGACGAGTCTGTGAGGTTTCAGATGGACGTGTTTTGCAGGCGTGTGTGCAGCATCATGACGGAGATAGACATCCAGCCTCCGACCTGTCTCTCTTTTTGCTTGCTTGGGTGAAATATGTGACCAGTCTTGGCTTCCGACACGTTTTGGTGGCTTTGGCTCTCTCTCACTCACATCACTCACTTCTTGACCCGGCCTCACCGACGTTCCTCGCCATCATCACCTCCTGCATTCCCTCCTCCTCTGAGTCACGGCGTCACCTGTTCCGATCATTCGATCGGCCGTCTTCGCCACTTCACCCGACACCAGCCTAGGCTGACTTATGGACCCGGCATCCTTCCACAGAGAGTCGCAGCAGCCTTTGACATCTTTCCAACCGTTCGCGCGCGTACCTCTCTCTCCCTCTCTCTTTGCACATCAATAAAGCTGTGCAGTCGAAGTCTACGACCCATCAACGCCCTCGCCCTCGTATACACGCGCTTCATTTTTCAACGGCGGACAGGAGCACAACGCCGCACCTTGCATTGCATTTCATTTCAACCTTGTTCTGCACCTCCATCACGCGACACAGCCTCGCCTCCTGTTCGTCTCTCGCGGAGGCTGCCGCGCTGCAACGCACCAGTGCAGGGTAACCACCGACTACTTCCCGGTCGTACGGTAGCTCCCAACTAGCACGCGCGTCGCTCTGGCGACCCTGTCACCCATCATGTTTGGCAAGGCGAGCTCAAAGAAGAGCCGGTCCAAAGCCGGCTCTTCCGCAGGTACCGCAAAGCAAGGCAAGCTCGGAGCCTTTCGAGCAAAGTTTGCCAACTTCAGTTTAGATCCTGATACCGTCTTCAAGAAAAAGAGGCCACCACCTGCTCCTCGCTCCGTCTACTTCAATGAGCCATTACCACAAGAGGCCTTCGACGCAAAGGGTCGGCCACAATACCCTTTCGTCTTTGCCAGCAATCAAGTCTTGACCGCCAAATATACCCTCTACAACTTTGTCTTCAAGAACTTGCTCGAACAGTTCCGCCGCGTCGCCAACCTCTTCTTCTTGCTCATCGTCATCCTTCAGTTCTTCCCGCAATTCACCACCATCAACCCAGGTGTATCCATGTTGCCGCTTCTGGCGGTGCTCGGTATCACCATGATCAAGGACGGCTACGAAGACGTAAAGCGTCATCAGTCGGATCGCAACATCAACCGACTCCGCATCAAGACACTCGCCGGCGGTGGATGGCAAAACCCAAACGTGATGGAGCTCAACGGACGAAGCCTCTCTGCTCTGTTCACCTCCTTCAAGGACAAGCTCTTCGGAGGCAACAAGAAGCAGTCTTCCCAACTTCAAAAGAAGCTCGCTCACCAAGTCGAAGCTCACTCCGGAGAGGGTCATGCTCCCACCGGCGTCGATCCTCTGCCTCCTATCGAGAACGCGCCAGGCGGCGGCACCTCTGATGCTCCCTCTCATCTGCCCATCCCGGGAGAAGCCGACCGTCCCGTTCGCACTTCCCACGCATTGACGCGACGCACGACAACCAGGCACAGCATGTTCGACACCGAATACGAGCAGCTCGAAGATGGGCGCATTAAGCACAACGGACGCATCCTCAACGCAGACGAAGAGAAAGACTTCTTTGCCAAAAAGGCGCCGCGTTGGAAGCACAAGACCTGGGAGAACCTCGCCGTCGGCGACTTTGTCTACCTTACCAACAACGAGCCCATCCCTGCCGATATCATCATCTGTGCCACCAGCGAAGAAGAGGACGCTTGCTTCATCGAGACCAAGAATCTCGACGGCGAGACCAACCTCAAAGCGCGCCATGCCGTGCCCGAGCTCACCTCACTCCGCAGCCCCGAAGAATGCGCTCGAGCTTCGATGCGCATCGATGCGGAACCACAGGACACCAACATGTACCGCCTCAATGCCAGCGTCGTGCTCAACGACCGCCTGGACAAGCACGGCAACCCGCTCCAGTGCCCCGTCACGCTCAACCAGATCCTCCTGCGTGGTTGCAACGTGCGCAACACAAAGTGGGTCATCGGCGTCGTCCTCATGACCGGATGGGACACCAAGATCATCGCCAACTCGGGTGTCACGCCTTCCAAGCGCTCCATGGTCGAGAAGCAGATGAACCCCATGGTCTACTTCAACCTGGCCGTCTTGGCCTGCGTTTCGGTCGCGTGCGCTATTGCCGACTCCCTACTCGAGCAGTACTACTTTGACCGCGACGCTTACTGGGAGTACGGCGCCATCTACAGCGACGACAACCCACGCATCAACGGCCTCGTCGCCTTTGCCAACTCGCTCATCACTTTCCAAAACATCGTGCCCATCTCGCTCTACATTTCCTTCGAGTTTGTCCGTCTCGCACAGGCCTACTTTATCTACGACGACTACGACATTTGGTACGAGAAGACCAACCGCCGCACCACCGCCAAGTCGTGGAACCTCTCGGACGACCTCGGCCAGATCGAGTACATCTTCAGTGACAAGACCGGCACGCTCACCCAGAACGTCATGATCTTCCGCGAGTGTGCCGTCGCTGGCAACATCTACCACGGCGAAGCCGGCTCTCCGCATGTCGACGGCTCCGACACCACGACCACCGATGTGCCGCCCGCGAAGAACTTTGACAAAGACGACGCTTCCACCAACGATGGGTCGGGCAGGAGGATCTCCGGATCGTACCAGGCACACAACAACAAGGTCAACGTCAAGCCCCTCAATCCCGAGATCCCGCCCTTCCGCGATCAAAGTCTATCTGACGCCTTGCGAGACTCCGAATCCGAGCAGAGCAAGCATCTGGGCAACTTCTTCCGTTGCCTGGCGCTTTGTCACACTGTTCTCGTAGATAATCTCGAAGATGGCAGCATCGAATACCAGGCGCAGAGCCCTGACGAGCAGGCGCTCGTTCAAGCCGCCGCGGACGTCGGCTTCATCTTCATCGGCAAGGAGCGTCAGACGCTTCGCATCTTGACTCCCTACTCGTCCGAGCCCGAAGTCTATGAGCTGCTTGTCGTCAACGAGTTTTCTTCGGCACGCAAGAGGATGAGCGTCATTGTGCGTCGCGAATCGGACGGTCAGTTGCTCATGTTGGCCAAGGGCGCAGACAGCATCATGTTCGAGCGCGCTCGCGCAGGCCAGGAAGAACTCAAGCAGGAGACCGACGCCGCTCTCGAGGAGTTCGCCAACAAGGGTCTGCGTACCCTCTGTCTCGGTGGAAAGGAGCTCACCGCCGACTACTACGACGACTGGAGCCATCGATTCCACGAAGCGTCCGTTGCGATCGACAATCGCGAGGACAAGATGGAAGCTTGCGCCAGCGAGCTCGAGAAGGACTTTGATCTGTACGGCGCCACCGCGATCGAGGACAAGTTGCAGGACGGCGTGCCCGAGACGATTGCCGATCTCAAGCGCGCAGGCATCAATGTCTGGGTCGCAACGGGCGACAAGCTCGAGACGGCCATCGCCATCGGCTACTCAACCATGCTGCTCACCGAAGACATGAACCTGGTTGTCGTGCGCGGAGGAGAGTACGGTCAGCCCAACTCGGCGTACGACCAGCTGCGCAAGGCGGTGATTCGCTTCTTCGGCGGTCCCGCCGTGTTGCAGGAGATGGACCACCAGCCACCTGGAGAGGAGTCGGAGAGCAGGCGCTCTTCGTTCATGTCGCGTCGACCATCGATGAACAGGAACCGTCGCAGCAGTGTCAGCCAGGTCTCGCTTGTCGGTGAGGACAACGGTGAGCGCTCCGGCGGCTTTGCTCTCGTCATCGATGGAACTGCACTCGGACACGCTCTCAGCGAGGAATTCAGCAAGGATCTGCTTCTGCGCATCTCGACCCAGTGCAAGGCGGTCATTTGCTGCCGAGTCTCGCCTCTGCAAAAGGCGCTGATCGTTCGTCTCATCAAGGATGGCCTCGGAGTCATGACGCTGGCGATCGGCGACGGTGCCAACGACGTCAGCATGATCCAAGCCGCCCACGTCGGTGTCGGTATTGCCGGTGAAGAGGGTCTGCAAGCCGTCAACTCGTCCGACTACGCTATCGCCCAGTTCCGATTCCTCAAGCGTCTCGTGCTCGTCCACGGTCACTGGTCGTACTACCGCAACGCCAACATGATCACCAACTTCTTCTACAAGCAGTTCATCCAGGTCGGCACGCTCTTCTGGTTCCAGATCTACTGCGCCTGGTCGACCACGCAGGCGATCGACTACGTCTACATCCTGCTCTGGAACGCCGTCTGGACCGTGGCGGGCGTCATCTTCGTCGGCATCTTTGACCGCAACATCAACGATAAGGTGCTGATGCAGGTGCCCGAGCTCTACCACCAGTCGCGCAAGGGAGCTTACTTTGGTCTCAAGCCCTTCCTCATCTTCTTCCTGGACGGCATCTACCAGTCGGTGGTGCTGTTCTTCTTCTTTGCGTACACGTACCAGACGACCTCGGTTCGCAATGACGGCTACGACATCAACCTCTACGAATGGACGACCGGCATGGCGATCGCCTCGGTGCTGGTGGCCAACCTGTTTGTCGGACTCAACACGCGTGCTTGGAACTGGTTCGTCGTCGTCGGCATCTGGGCTGGTACGGTGGTCATGTTCGCCTTCGCCCCCATCTACGCCGCCTTCACGTCGACCTACTCGTACGGCAACAACAGCTTCCTCTACAAATCGATCCAGTTCTGGGTGCTGGGCTTCCTGACGCTCTTCCTGTGTCTCCTGCCGCGTCTGCTCTGCAAGTGTTTCCGCCAATCGTACTACCCGACGGACGTCGACATTTTGCGGTACGTGGACAAGAAGGACAACGACCACGACTTTACGCGCGATCCTGCCATTCCGCACGCGCATGCCGATGGCGCCGTCTACTCGGACACGGCGGCTGGTCGCTCGAGTATGACGCACCACACGTTCGCCCCGCTCGTCCGCGCCGCGACATCCAACTCGCGCTTCGACGCCGCCGTCGACGCCACCGCACCGGGCGGTGTGCCTATGCACGAGCTGCAGCCCACCGCTTCCCGCGCTAGCAGCACGCACTTCGACATGCTCACGGGCGAACAGCGACCCAACCGCGGCTTTAGCTTCTCGTCCGATGAGCCGAGAGCGCGCGATGCGTCAAGGAGGAGGAGCGTCAAGGACCGACTGGTTCCCGATCTATTCAGGAGGAGTCTGCGCAGCAAGAAGGAGGAACGTAAGCGCCTGACCATGATCCACCAGGAGGAAGAGGGTGAGGCGGTCGGGGAGCAGCCTGCCGCGCCGCCTTCTTGAGTGGTGTATGCCCCTGGTTTTTAGTGTAGTATCTCCATTTCGTTATCCTGGATCTAGCAGCTATGGCGTTTCTTGTTACAGCCTTAATATCGGATCTACATTCATTGAGCGTCGTGCATTGTGCATTGTGTGTGATGTGGGATGCCTGAGCAGAAGTCGATAAGGCGGCCCGATACAACAGGCGAGGGTGACTTTTAGAGCCCGAATTTTCGGACCGCTTTTTTGGGCCTTTTCGACGCACCGACTTGTGAAGTTTGTGGTGGCGCACTGCTTTGCCTCCCACACAACAGCACCGCTGAAGCGTGATAACCACACACATTCCCACTTCATCAAGTCTGTTGCCCACACGCCGTCGTTGACTGCAACGGATGTTGGTCGGCGAGCGCCTTTTCTCGGGGCTCACGCCGGCCAGGCCGATGGTGGGCGTGTGACAAGTTCGCAGGGGGTCCCGCTTGCCAGATGAAGTGCTGTCTTAGGGGTTGGCTTCGTCAGAGGTTGTGGGTTGGCAACTGTCACAATGCGGCCAGATGAAGGTGCAATTCATTTGCGGGAAGGTCACGAAGAGGCTGTGCAGAAGCTGTCGGGGGAGAGGGTATATATACTGCTCTCCACCCTTGTCGCCCTCGATCAAGAGCTGTTCCGATTCCTGCTGGTCGACCACCTTCTCAATGTTCTCCGACACGATGTTGTTCGCTACGATCTGCCTCGCTCTCGCCCTGGCCTCCACTCCAGCGTTTGCCAAACCGTCATTCACGATCCTCCTTCCCTGTTCGGCGTCCGCCTCATCGCACGCGATCGTTCCGGACGCCTCGTGCCAACTTGTTTCGCCCAACGGCGCCTTTTCCGTCGCCAGTCTCGCAGCTACTGAGCCCAACGTAGCCCTCGGCTTCTCCTCCACCCCCGACTGCGCCTCGACCTACACTCCCGACCGCGACGAGCTGGTCCAGTTGCACCAGAACCAGACGTGCCGCTCGTTCGTCGTCAAGGCCGATCCCGAGTATCACTTGCTGGACGAGTCGAACAACTCGAAGGACAAAGAGAGCGACACGAAGGACGAGAAGGGCGACACAAACGACAGTCAGGCCAAGGACAAGGAGAACGCCAAGAAGGACGCTGAAGGGGATGGAAGAGGGTGGATGAGGAAGCGGTTCTTGGAGGTCAAGGACGGAGCGGAGGAGAGGGCCGTAGGCTACGGGGATGATGTGAGCCTTGATCAGGATCCTCAACTGCCTGCGGGCCATGTGCCGTTGAAGTACGTCATGCTGGTTCAGGTCTGATGGACGGAGGCAGGGGAGGCGGGGGATGTACGCATGACGACGGAGCGTTTTGTTAGGTCCCTCTTCGTTAATCTCCCTGGTGTACGTTTCACCATAATCGAGGCTGCGCCTTGAGTCATGTTCGGATCGGCTCGATTCACTTCAAAAGCGCTGAGCGCAAAATGTCCCATTTCTGACCTGAAGACCTTCCGACTCCGTGTGCGGCGTGAGGGTGACAGCCGAGAAGTCTCTGAATCGGAATGCACAGCAATCGGTCAACTCCGCACAGCCTTATCCATCGACCTGCATGAGTGACATCTCCATTCCCGATCAGGAGCCCTTCCGGTTCCGCATGCAAGCCTTGTTTTGTTCGCGTGACAGGGTGAAACTCGGACGCGTCTCGTCTCGCTTGACGCGTGGCTGCAAAATTTCCCTGCCGAGAGAACCAACACCAACAACCCCCATCCCCCATCCCCCGTCGCCGTCTTTTTGACCGGTAGATGCTCGGTCTGTCCTTGACCTTCGAGACTGTCGACGGGAAGGCCTAGGTCAAGGATGTGTATGACGCACAAATTGAAGAGTCTAGAGCGGGTTTTGGATGTGGCATTTGAGGAGATTGAACTCTCACGATGCGCGGAACTGACGGCGATGCTGCGGGACAGTGGCATGCGGAGTCCATTCGATTTGAGGGGCCTAGGCGAGCTTCAAGTTTGGCATCTTGTGCTGATAGAAGACGGAGCTCTTTTGCATCGCCTTACCTGTTCTGTTCGATCAGTGTGCCCGGCTTGGACTCGCTTCCATCCGTCTCTACCATCGAGCCGAGATCTTTGTTCTGTCAAACACGAACGTTCAAGCACGTGAACCCGAACAGGCTGTCGCCCAAACACACCGTCCGCATCGATACAGAAGGCATGCTTCGAAGCGAACTCCTCCGACTTTGTCTCACCATCGACGAAGTGTAATCTCGCCAAGGGATAGGGTGAGCGAGGCATGTCAAGTTCGCTCGCCTGCACCGATGGAAGCCCAGTTGATGCATGCACACCTTGCAGCTCCATTTGTAATGACTGCCTCGGCGTTCTTTGAATTGACATCTGCTGTCACCAATTCAATTGCTGCAAAATGAATTACCAGTGTTGGTCTCGCCGAGCAAAGTTTCGCCCTGTCTGACATTCGGCTATCCTCTCTTGCCGTCGTCAACCACATTCCAGGTGCTGCACAGTTTGATCCTCACCTAAACAGGTTCTCGCATCCTCATCCCTAGGGATCGCAATGTGCTGCTTCAATGGAGTTTGTGGAAGAGATGGAAGTCAGAAAGTTGTATCGCCGTGTCGTCTTACACCTCCTCACCCGCGCAAAAGGGCTAGAAGGAGCCTTATTATGGTTCCGGCCTCGGCGTGCGTAGACCGTTGTGGGAACAAGGCTGCACGAGATCTGGGCTCCGCCTCATTTCATGCTGTCATTTGGCATGAATGCGCGGCACTCCTCCCGCTCCCTCAGGAGAAGAGGCTGAACAGGAGAGGAGCCTCGCGAGTGAGAGAACGCGTTCGCTACACGAGGTATGAGCAGTAGCCGCCATCATCCGCCACCAAGCACGACTGCTCAACCGTAGCGCCTGTGTGGAACGCGAGCACTGTTCGGGCTCCGCTGCGTACACCGCGCCTAAGCCTCCTCCCCCCCTCCTCCCCCTCGCTTCGGCGGCAGAATCTGTCTCGTCCGGCTTTGTCTTTCGTGTGTGTGGGAACGCTTTTTTGTCCGACGCCTCCTCCCTGCCCTATCTATCCTCCCCACCTGTACATCACCTTGCTCCCAAACAAGCTCCCTTTCATCTTCGTACACGTTGTTTCGACCATTCATCCTTCCTCATCTTCTTCGCAACTACCTTGAACTGAGACGCAGCGCAGTTCAACACGGACTTTGCCCATCTCCAACGATTAGAAGCGCGCATACAGCCAGCAGCAATCGCGAATACATCAGCAGCTTGCAGTACCACAGCACATCCAAGGCAAAAGAGAGCCTTCAAACGCGCTCTACGGCATCAGCACCGCTCTCAATATCGTCCGTCGACGCTTTTCACCTCTGCATGCCTTTGTGAGCGCCGCATACATCCGACTCTGCACATTCGTGCTGGTCCTTTGACCCTCCGCCAAAATGGCTGGTTCCAAGCACAAGCCCAATCTCTCGCAGAGCTCCAACTCGAGCTCCGAAGATGGCACCACCTCGCGCGCGAGCTCCAGCAGTCATGCGCAACCCTCCACCTCACAACAGCCCACACTGAGTCGGTGGGAGCGCCTCCGCCGACCGTCGGCGGCGAGCTCGACCAAGCGACCCACCTTTGCCGATGCGAGCTCTAGCACCGTCACCTCTCCCACGTCGCCCTTTTTTCCGCTTCCCAGTCCCGGTGCGCAGTCGTCCAACATGATGCGCACCGCAAGCGACGACAGCTACATGCACATCCTCGCGGCGTCGGCTGCGGCGCGCAAGGCTGCGATGGACTCCGGAGCGGTGGTGTCGGATACAGCATCCGTGAGCTCCTTCACCTGCTCGCTGAGCAAGGAGTTCGATCGACAAAGGACGGATGTGGCGACGTTGAATGCGTCATTGCCAGACCTACCGGCGTCTGCGCAGGCGTCGATCAGGGTGCATTCAACCAACGGAGGTGGGGACAAGAAACAGGCTTGGTTGGATACCACCTTCAACAAGCTCTCTGCACGCTATCGTTGTCCCAAAAAGGCCAAGGCCCCCGCATTGAAGCCGAACAAACCGCACTTCTTGGATCTGAGCAGCATCATCTGTCCCATCCCCGCGCGCCCGCATCGCGCCACGCCAGAGGACGAGGGCGAGGCAGGCGATCGATCTTCCAGCAGCTCCTCATCGTTCGCTTCCGGACCCGATTCGTCGTTCGAAGCCATGTCCGGATGGGACGTCTCCTCGGCCGACACATCGTACGAGCTCCGCACGCCGCAGGCCGAAGACGACCGCGCATGCTATTATGACTTTACCACTCCGCGTCCTTCGCAGATGCAACGCTTCGCATCTGCTCAAGCGGCCGCTTTGGGGAGCGGAATGCGTCTTCCTTCGCCACCACTCATCTCGCCCCTCATGCCCAATTTCGCGTTGCCCACATCGGGCGCTTCTACACCCGGATTTGCTCCCCCCAGCGCGAACAACTACGGCTTCCCGCCGCCACCCCAGATGTCCGGCCGGGGCGTTACCGTGGATGATATTCAGCATAAGCCAACGCTTTCCGTGCGCACGACGACGAACGGAGGAACGCTGCCGGCGATGCGCCAGCTGCGCAAGCAGAAATCGTTCGACAACCCCGCCGAGCTGCGTCGTCGCCAGAAGCAGGAGTGGAGTGTGGGGGGACCGAAACCGCCTGGTTTCGGGGGCAATGCGGGGTTGACCATTGGCATCCCTACCCAGCCTGTACGAGGAGGGGGGCTGTTGTCGCCACAAACGACGGTGCATCCGCTCCAAAGACGATCGCCCGGCCCATCGCAAGCGATGCTCCTCCCACCTCACAGTCGCGTCGCCGACATGGCCCGACCCTCCGCAATGCAGCGCGGCATGTCGCACGACACCTCCCTTTCTCCACCACGACGGCCCGGTCTGGCCCCGCGCGCCTCCAGCAGCGCACTGCGCACCCTCGACACCTCCCGCCTTGGCCTTGCACCGGCGATGAGCGATATCGATCCTCATTCCTCTACTGGCTTCTCCCACTCTGCTCGCCCAACCCCATCAGGTCGACGAATGGTCAGCTCGCCTCTGACCAGCCCGACGGGTGTCCCGCCGCCGCTGCTGCCCGCGAGCTCACGGGAGTCCTTCGGATCGAGCGCAACAGAGTCCTTGCCACCAACACCGTTGTCGGGTACGTTCCTGAGGCTGCCTGGCGAGCCACCGATTTCGCCGCGCGAGACGAGGCGCGAGCGCGATGGCTATGGAACCGTACCGCTTGGGTCAGCGTTGGGTTTGATGCCGGGTAAGATGGTTAGGGCGTATTCGGACTTTTCCCACCCCTTGCCAGCGGACGAAGTGGGTAGGGTCAGAGTGGGATCTCGTCTACGGGACGACGAGGTGGGACGAACGCACATGACGCCTCGTCAAAAGCCTCGACCGGAAATGCGACGCGAACATACTTCGAATGCGATCCTGACGAGTCCCCAGAAGACCCGATCCCCGCCATCCGCGGCGGCGATGGAGGCGTCCTTCTCGGCGAGCGCCACCATCACCCCTCGCTCCTCCAGCTTGAAAGACCTCCTTGCGGCAGAAGCGATGGGTGGAGACGTCGCAAGTCTCGGTCGAACCAGCACCGACTCGGGTCGATCCGATTCCAGTCTCGCCTACACCAAGCCCTCCCCTTTGATTCAACAGGGAGAAGCGAGCAGCTTGCACAGCATCACCCCGACCAACTCGTACAGTAACATCGTCCACACGCCCACAAAGTCGCAGTGGAGCCCCGAGAGTCCCGCTCCCAAGACCCAACCGGGCGCATTTGTGGGGGCCAGACAAAGGGCCAATAGTAGAGCCGACGAGTTCGCTGCCAACTTTCGCAAGTTTACCGGCCGCAGCACCGCGCCCATGCCCACGGCGACCGGCGCCAAGTAGAACCATACTGTATTTTTAGAAACCATCGCATTTGTATCAGCTGTTATTCTGCACTTTTGGTGATCGGCTGAGGCTCGATGTGAGTGGTCCGATGGCGTGCGAAAGGACGGATAAGCGCGCCAAGACTTGGCACGCACCCGGGGTTAAGCCAAAAGGTCCCACACAAGCAACGGCAAGACGCCGAACAAGCTTGGTTCATGAACAAGATTGGCCAGCGGCTGTGCAGATGCTGAGCCTGTTCGGGTGCGGTTATGGATAGCTTGAGTCTGCGAGTGGGGGATCACGGATGGTTGCCGCTTCTATTGGCAGCAAGACTTCATGTTAGTTCAGCTCAATGATAGCATCCGAGAGCCTGTCCGATGATTTGGTGCCTTGATAGGAACGCATCCGACGGTAAGTCGCATCGAGGCGGAAGGTATCTATCGCGCGACAGCGGGCGCACGACTGGTCATCCTGGGTCAGTTCTGCCGATTCGGATCGGGTCTGCCGAATCCGTCCTTGGTGAGCTCTCGTCGGAAGAGCGAGGGTTTCTCGCGCGACAACATGCCTGATCCGAGGACAAACAAAGCTGGAACGAGAGTAGAGCGGCTGCGGCGATCTTGGCCGTTCCGAGTGCGGTCGGGAGCCGACACTGCAGAGCCGCGCCAGGTTGCGCGCGTCGCCGTGGCTTGCCGAGCCCAGCGGGCTAAACAAGACTCTCTGCATGTGAGATGTTGACCCGCAGACGTCGCTCCATTCCTGTGCATCCGTCGGAGTGGCGAGCTTGAAGCTCGTGGCTAGCAGAAAAGTTTTGTGCAAACGGTCGAAGCGAGTGACGCGATCCGCTGGCAGCATCGGCAGGCAAAAAACGGAGAAGAGCGGCGCGAAAAATAGCGGTACACGACCCCGGATCCGGCACCCTACCAGTGTCAGGGTCGGGAATTTAGCGCATTTCGAATGGCGCATGATGCGATCTTCGCGACGAGAAAACAAGACTGAGCTCAAGGAATCGGAGTGTTGAAAACCGGGTGAACTACGTGGCTTGCACGGTAATGCACCCATTGGATCGAGTCACAAGCGTGCCGCACTGGACCATGAAGGATCTTGCCGAGATCCAAGGTTTTGGGCGCGTTTGTGCGCGGTGCATGTTGCATTGCCAGGGCGTCTGCAGGTCTTTCTCACCGTGGGAATCTCGCCGCTGTCCTTCCTATGCGAGTTCGGTTCGGCCGATTTCTGCCAAGCTCCCAAGCCTCTTTCCCAGTGTGCTGGTTCCGATGTCTGCGCAAGACGCCACGGATGGTGCTCGCGCATGCGCTGTTCGATGCGCATCGTGCCAATCTGGGTCTGCATAAGCGGCAGAAGCGTAATTGCGCCACGCTCGTGTTACGTATCACAAGCCTGGCTTGCTGGTCTTCAAAACTACGCCCCATACCAAGCCGCACCGTGGATCGACGCATCAGCTGCCAGGGGCAAGCAGAGGTCACCTAAGTCTCCGCAATCGCCGCGACGGGCTTTGCCAGGCTGTCGAGCGCCACAGGTGCGCTCAACATGGCTGTTGGGAGGCTGGAACATCGCCGCCGAACGGGACGGAGATGAGCACATTGCCAAGAAGGGAGGCTAATGCAAGCCGCGCAGCACCGTCTTCGCGAGGGCGAAGCGCACCAACGGGAGAGGACTGAATGCAAAAGCGCACGCGGCAAAATCTAAGGTGTGGAAACTAGGGACACGAGGGGCATGACAGAACAATGGCAAGCGAGTCCCTTGCGATGCTACATCCGCACAAGGCCGAAGGGGGGCTCCAATGGCTTTGCTTGCTGTGTGACATGGCTCCACGCTATTGGCGGAGACGAATCGAAACAGCGTGCACAACAAGCTCAAAAGCTCGCTTGGCAAGTTGACCGGCGAAATAGACTACCCTACACACGTTCGTCGGGGGAAGCAAAACGACGTCTGTGGTGCGGGCGTGGGAGTACCAGAACATTGGCCCCCTTCTGGATGACGATTGCCCAACCAGAGCCGTTCTCTCACTCTCTTTCTGCGCAAATTCGAAATTCGATGACGTCCGGAATTTAGACCCTCGATTCTGGTGGCGCATGCTGGGCTCGCTTAGGACCCTGAAGGAAGGCTGGATCGTGGGTTGCATGGCAACCACCGTCATTGTTCTCGCTGCGGCGATGAACGTGGAGAAGCGGGCTTTTCAAGACTGTGCGTCGCTCTCCTTTGTTCTCCCCAATCTTGGCCCCTATTCTTCTCTCTCCGTTCGCCGCAGACCCCGCCGTCATTCTTGATTGTCTGATGTGCAAGCTGTGCGAGGACCAAGGCGGTGACCACCCACCGTCGATGTTGGGTCGGCTCCTAAATTTCATCTTGCGGGACCTTTCTCTCGTTTCTCGGTTCGAGCGGTTCTATGGCACTAGGTTTGCACTCTGAGCTTGCCGTCATTGCCGATTCCGGTGTTTGTCCAGGTTACGATTTGTATTGCCAGAGTTAGGCTCGAGACGACGACCTTGTCCCCCACCCCCGTGACTGCCAGATAAAACGCACGCCTCGAAGACGACGAAAGGATGCCGCTGGTCAAAGCAGGACAGGTGCCAGGTCCAGAATCAACCCGCCGTCATGTCATCCTCGAATGGCTAGCACATGGGTCTGGCTCGCTTAAGCGGAAAGAAAAAATAAAACGCAAAACGGGACAGTCGGTCGGGTTTCACCTCCTCTACCAGGGTGCCGCAAGCAATTACGACCCTTTCGCTCGGCTCTCTCCTTCTCCCTCTCCCCCGCTCCTGCTGGTGCACCTGTTTCTGCAGCTGCAATCTCTCTCGCTCTCTAAACGCGATGCGCGCAAAAGCGGTCATGCCGGCCACCTCTTCCGTGACGTAGCTTGTACAGTATAGCCCTTGCCCTTGGTACCACCACAGCTGAGCTGAGCTAGACTCTCTTATTGTCAACAAGCTTCGAACCCTTTCGGCTATAGCAGCGTGGCTTAGAGAGTCGATCGTGAGACCTGCAGAATCTTGTCCTCTCGCGCCATCGGAAACGGATCGAATGGACGCCCCTGCCCTGCTGTCTGCATTTTGAGACGGCAGAGGGATTGAGTGCGGTGCGGTGCTGGAAATGCTTGGCTCGTCGCACCGTCCGTCGCACCGATAAACGGCATGTACCGCTAGAGTCACACTGATCCAATGCCCGTCGGATTCCCTCCACTTTCATTAGCTTGCAGTGCCGTACAAGGCTGCGCTTTTCGCGTCGAGCATGGACAGTCACGGGCGAGGAAAGAGACTCGGATTGCACCCGAAAGCGGATCTTTGGCTCGTGTTTGTTCTTCCCGTCTGCCCACGGCGTTTTGACAAAGGGTCTTGTTCTTGTGGCGAGCAGCGCGGGTCGGTTGAACCTTGTCACCCCTCTCCTCGTCCTCCTCCTCCCTTTTCTTTACCCTTCTTGCTCCTCCTCTTGTCTTGCTCCCCCACCCACCCTCTCGGGTTCCGCCTGGACATCAAGACTGCACCGCTCAGTCTTGGGTCCTGCTGAATGCAAGAACGTTTTCCGACTCGTGTTCGTCCCCGTCCTCGTCCTCGTTTTCGTTTTCGACTTGTCTCCCGTCTCGCTCTTCGGTTGTTTCGACTGCAGAGCACTTGTCGACCCCTTCGTTGACAGTCGACCTCCCATCCTCCTACGCCTCGAAACTTTCACCTTCGACCTCTGACCCTTTCCTACATCCTAGTTTCGTCTCTGTAGCACCTAACGCCCTTCATCAGAGTCGAGGCACGTCACCATCCTCAGCTCGGGCCTCCGGATTCGACGCTGCCCAGTGGCCACATCCCTGATCCAGCTGCCAACGGACCCAACCGCTCCTCGCTGCTGCTGTGGCTGCTTCCACCTTCGCCACCGCTTCACGAGCTGCTGGTCGCACTGCAGAGTCGCCCTCCATCCAGATTCAGCTTGGCTCTGAGGATTTGCCGACAACCTAGCACTGCCCCCCTTCACTTCACCGCACCGCAGAGCAGCCAGCTGATCAGAGTCTAGTCGTTTCATCCGACCTACGCTGACTCCTCGTATACTAGCAGTCACAGGGACTCGGTTGTCTTCCGAACGACACCCTCTACTCTCCCTCTTCACCACTTTGTAGCACTCCTCGCTTCAGCTTTGCGCCTGGCCTCGCTACCCTCACTCTGGCCATCATCTCTCTTTCCGACCTCCATCCTCGCCTCTTGTATTGTCGTCGTGCTTGCCACAGCTGCAAAGCGTGTTACGAACATTCCCCAATCGCATCCTCACTCACTGCGACCGTCCGTCTCGCATTCGACTCTTTCCGCCACTCTTTTGCGTTCCGTCGCAAGTCAACCTTTGCCTCACAGCCATCAAGGTCCATTCACCAATTTGGCTCGCTCTCCAGCATCATTGATCCCATCCGTCGCAAATCTCTGCTTTTGACCACCCGACCCAATCATCTGCCCCACCCTTCATGCCACTGATCATGCGACCTCCCGCCAAAACCAACGACGACGTCGTCGATGCTGAGCGTCTTCGACAGATCGCACGTCGTAAAGAGCAGAACCGCAATGCACAGCGTCGCCTTCGAGAGCGCAAAGAGGAATACACGATGCAGCTCGAAGTGCAACTCGCAGAGCTTCACCGTCGATCGCAGACTCAGGAGGAAGAGAGTCACTTTCTTCGAGAGGCGCTCGCCCGCATGCGTGCTGAGAATCAGACACTCGCCGAGCAGATCAGCATGATCCATCAGGCGGTGCCCTCGACCCAGACATCGCATCCTCTTCCACAACGTGCTTCGATCGACCTTGGCGTCGACCACTTTGCGCCTCTCAACCGCAATCGAAACCGATCGCAAAGCTTCACTGCTTCTGCCATGCCTCACTTTGCTTTTGCTCATAGCACTGCTCCGTGGGCAACGTCGTCGCAGCAGCCCATCCCCGGTATGCACGCACCGTTCGGCGCCAGCGTCGGTACCATCGCCCCTGGCGCCACACATCGCCTGCCATTCTCGACGGCGTCTCCACTGACGGGTACTTCGGCCTTCCCAGGCAGTGTGCCCATGCCGCAGCACGACTTTGTTGAGGACGTCGCTATGACTCGCGATGACGATGCTAGTCGCAACAGCTCCCTCTCGCCGGCATCGCAACGACGCGATAGCAACATCATCAGTCCTTTCGACGTGCGAGCCCACCTCTCTCGCCATGGCAGCGGCCAGACCGACCTGACGTTGCCCTCGGATATGACAGACGCCGATGGCGGCTCTTCGTCAAAGATTGGACGTATCTCGGACGATGGCAAGGTGGCTGGTGTTTCTTCGGGTGCCTCGCCGTCGCCGTCGCTCGCATCTGCCGCGATTCCGTCCAGAACCATGGTGACGGCCGTCGGAGAGGAAGCCAGCTCTGCAGCAACAGGCTTGTCGACCAGCTCCGACGATGTGATGGCCAGCTGTCTCGAGAGTATTCACTCTCTCCCTCAAGCCAACGCCGCTTCGCAAAAGACCAACTTTGACAACGCTGCCGCGTCGTGGATGTCGTCGACTTCCAACGAAGTTCCTGGTCAACTGGCGCTCTCCGACTTCCGCAACGCCGACCTGTCTAACATGTCCAAGCCTCTTGGTCTCACCCCCGGCGCGCTTGGCTTGTCCAATATGATGTCGGCTAGCGGTGCCGGTGGTGACGGCTGGTCCATTTCGCCCTGGATCCATCTTGCGCAGACTCCATCGGGGTCTGCCGGTGCGGCCGCAGCGACCGACATGGAGCACAGCCACTCGCGATCGCACACTACAGATGACCAGGGCTTGGAGAGCGGCATGGCATTCGACAGCAGGAAATCGCTCGCTTCTCGTCGTGGTTTCTCTGGCAGCCTCAAACTCGAATCGCGCGCCACCTAGCCACCGACTGGAACGCGAGCATCCACCTCTCTCACATCTCGGTCGCACAACAATTGACCTCGATCCAGCCTTCCTTTCCCCGTCAGCATTCCCCTTCTCGCATCCGTTCCCGTTTTCCGAACAGCAGCATCTGTACCACCACCCCCAAGCATACTCGAACCTGGCCACCATCGGCTGCTGTACGCGCTTCGTCACTTCTCGTTCTTGGTGACATGCACGCACACCCTTTTCCCAACCTCCGTCGCTCTTTTCCCACTCGTGATGTGCTGTGATCTCTCAACAAGCACCACACTCGTTTTCTTGTTTCACCATGTTAGTCGCATCGCATCGCATTGTCTGCATTGGTCCTTTCTAATCATACTCGTCAGGGGCCGCAGCAGGATGCAGCTGGATTTGTCATTCTCTCTCTCTTTGCGTGACTAGGTGTGTGGGTCTGTGTGAGCAGTGGGTGCTCGGAACGCCTTTCAAGAGGACACTGTTGGACATCAGGGCTGCGACAGGATGAGGAGGCGCGCAGTTGGACGTCGTGCATGTGCAAATTTTCCGCATGATGTTAGAGCGCGATTTAGTGTGAGGGCGAAGAATTGGAATTGACCCTTGATCGGCAAACCGGGGCGCTGCGTGGGCCGGTCGTTCTGCTGAATGTGAAAGGTGGCGCGCGGCTCTTCGCTTGCTGGCACAGGGGAGAGCCGCTAACTCCACTGGCAGGGTTGGATCGGAAGGTCTGACCCCTCCTTCCTCGCGCGCCCGTCGATCTTCTCGTTTGGCTCAGCTTGCCCGACTCTTACTCCACAACACCCCGCTTCTCCCTCCTTCTTCCCCACCAACACCCATCAAGCTCTCTCAAAAATGGTCAACCAGGCATTCATCGTCGCGGCCAAGCGTACGCCCTTCGGCGCGTTCGGTGGCAAGCTTTCCAACTTTACCGCTTCGCAACTCGGCGGTCTGGCTTCCAAAGCGGCGCTGTCGCAGTTGCCCTCGCAGACGCAGGTGGATGCTACGATCTTTGGCAACGTGCATGCGTCGGACAACACGGCGGCTTACCTGGCCCGTCATGTGGGGCACCACGCCGGTTTGCCTGTCACCGTTCCCGCTCTCACCGTCAACCGTCTCTGCGGTAGTGGATTCCAAAGCATTATCAATGCGGTGCACGAGATTCGTGTTGGTGATTCCGACGTCGTGCTGACCGGTGGAACGGAGAGCATGTCTCAAGCGCCCTACACGCTCAATGGTGTGAGGTTCGGAAACACGCGCTACGGTGTGGACCTCAAGCTGGTCGATTCGCTAGCGGCGGCGTTGACCGATCAGGTGCCTACACCTACACCTATGGGCATCACCGCTGAGAACCTCGCTGCCAAGTACGGGATCACTCGTCAGCAGTGCGATGAGTACGCGCTGCAAACCCAGCAACGCTACCAGAAGGCGCTGAGCGAGGGGGCGTTCAAGGACGAAATCGTTCCCGTGGAGATCAAGACCAAGAAGACCACCGAGAGCTTCGAAGCGGACGAACACCCGCGTGCCAAGACCACCGTCGAGAGCCTCGGCAAGTTGCCCTCTGTGTTCAAGAAGGAGGGCACGGTGAGTGCCGGTAACGCCTCGGGCATCTGCGATGGTGCGGCTGCCAACGTCGTCGCCTCGGAAGAGGCGATCAAGAAGTTCGGTATCACCCCCCTCGCCCGTATCGTCAGCTACGGCGTGACCGCGTGCGAACCGAGCATCATGGGCATCGGTCCCGTTGAAGCGGCCAAGCTCGCCCTCAACCGCGCCGGTCTCAAGATCAGCGATATGGACCTCATCGAGGTCAACGAGGCCTTTGCCGCACAGTTCCTCAGTGTGCAAAAGGAGCTCGAACTGCCCAATGACAAGACGAACGTTTTCGGTGGCGCCATCGCCCTCGGTCACCCCCTCGGCGCCAGTGGCGCAAGGATCATGGCCAATCTGACGCACAACCTGATCAGGTTGGACAAGAAGTATGCGCTGGGCGCGGCGTGCATCGGTGGCGGACAGGGGATTGCGATTGTCATCGAGAGGGTGTGAGCGCTCACCACCAATGTTGTTATAGAGAATCTAATGCAAGCTGTTCGAACTAGCCAGAGGGCGAGACGTGCGTGCACTGGGTCTGTGATGTGAGTGTGAAGTGCGAATGCGAGCAAGTGCTCGCCCTTGTGGCTCCCGCGCGCCGGTCTCTGCAATCTCGCCTCAATCCGACTGTCAAGCACCACACACGCGCACCGACACACAATGCCGCGGTTTCATCAGAATGCATCTGCATTGACTCTTGTAGACATATGGTCGTGTCTCTCTACGAGTTGTGTCTCTCGTGTTTTCCTTTCGTGGGGTAGTCGAACATGAATCGCTAGATCCGTGCCGACTGGCCAGCTAGTCAGTTGTTGGCGTTGACAATGTCGACGAACTCGGGCTTCAAGCTTGCACCGCCGACGAGGAAACCGTCGATGTCAGGCTGCTGAGCGAGCTCCTTGCAGTTCTTACCGGCGACGCTTCCGCCGTAGATGATCCTCAGCGTCTCGGCGGTGGTCTTGCCGAGCTTGTCGGCGGCCCACTTGCGAATAGCCGCATGAACCTCCTGCGCCTGCTCGCTGGTGGCCACCTTACCCGTGCCAATGGCCCAGACGGGTTCGTAGGCAACCACGATCTTGGACCAGTCTTTAACTTGGGCTGCAACAGCGTCGAGTTGACGAACGACAACGTCGACCGTCTGGTTCGCCTCGCGCTGCTCGAGCGTCTCACCGATGCAAAGGATGACTGAGAGGTCGGCGGCGAGAGCAGCGGCGGTCTTTTCGGCAACTTGCGCGTCCGACTCGTGGAACAGCGTGCGACGTTCCGAGTGACCCAGGATGACCCAAGGGATCGAGGCGTCCTTGAGCATGTTGACCGAGATCTCGCCCGTGAAGGCGCCCGAGGCCTTGTGGTACGCGTTCTGCGCGGCCACCTTGACCGAGGAGCCCTTGAGCGCCTCCTGAACGGTCAGCAGGTGCAGCGCAGGAGGCGACACAACGACCTCTGCAGCCAGCAAATAGGATGAAAGCACAGAGATGGAAGGTCAGAGTCAGCACACCGCTCACTTTTAGGGGGAGGAATCTTTTGAGAGAAACGCACCAACGTTGCTGTCGAGCTTGGCCGAGGTGAGCGTCTGGGTGAGCTCCTTGGTAGACTCGAGCGAGCCGTTCATCTTCCAGTTGCCGCCGACGAAGAATGTGCGTGCCATTGTTGCGAATGTATACGATGTGGTTAGGGTACGTGTGATTGTGATGGTTCGAACGAAACGAAGCATATGTGGGTCCTGCGCATAGGTTGGTTCGTGCTTCCTTCCAACATTTTCCGATCCCACGATAATCAGCTCGGAAAGATCCCGGGCGAACACCTGGCTGCCATGCGTCGATCTAAAGCGCGTCGATCTAGTCCAATCCTCCACAAAAACACACAGCCCCTTTAGCGTGCGTTGGCGCGCTTTGACCAGGCCACACGCACGCCTTTCGCCCGGGAGCCCTGCCCAAAAAAGGCACACGCACACTGCTGATTCCTTCCAAGACCAACACCACACTCTTTCCATCACCGATACCAACACCTTTTCCGGGACACACGCACACAATGTCTTGGCAAGGCTACGTAGACACCAACCTCGTCGGCACGGGCAAGATCACCCAGGCCGCCATCATCGGCTTGAAGGGCGGCGTTTGGGCGACCAGCTCTGGGTTCAATGTGAGTTTTAGATGCGGATGATAGAGCGAGGAGCGGGGCGGTGGTGCGAAGAGCGCGATCGGAGGCGAGCCTGTGGAGCAGGGAGCAGATACAGCGTTGCACCAGCAGCCATGGTGCCGTCTCATCGGCCGCGCAGCCGGGCGACCGGGATGCATCGATGGATAGCGAGCAAGAGTGTGCTCGATGCGCTCCGTCTGCTTCAGATGACCTCGCATGCCCCTTTCGAACCCGGACACGCAGTACTGACCAGCACAATCCATCCTTTTCTCTCTTCTTGCCTCCACAGGTGACCGCCGAGGAGCAAAAGGCCATCATTGCCGGCTTCGAAGACCCGTCCGGCTTGCAAGCAGGGGGCGTCCGTGCCAACGGCAAGAAGTTCTTCACGCTCGGTGTCACACCGAGGACGATCTACGGCAAGCAGGGCGTAAGTTGCAACCCTCCTTTCTTTCTTTCCCGGTCAGGATGGCTGCTGACATGATTTTGCGCGTGTGGTTGAACAGGGCGACGGATTGGTGGCGGTAAAGACGAACCAGGCGGTGCTCGTGTGCGTCTACGTCGCACCCATCATCCCCGGCGAGGCCAACAAGGTCGCCGAAGGTCTCGGCGACTATCTCGTCAGCGTCGGGTACTGAGATCTTCCTCAGAAGCAATACAAGTTTGTCGATTGTATCATGTCGGTGGACAGAAGCGAGTGTGTTTGCGAGCATGAGTGGGAAGTGGAAAAGAGTCAGACTGCACGATTGTGCGCCGTAAGGGTCGTAATGTTTGGTAGGATCTTCGTCTCAACCCTGTTCACCTCGAGGCAGCTGTCGCCGATCACACCGCAGACAGAGAGCGCATCAGTCTATAACGATACTTGAGAATTGCATGCACTTCCAAGCGCATACTTTTGTCGAAGGTCGAGCGGGTGCGTGTGCGTTCCGCTGCCTCCTCGCTCTACGCATCCTTTTCGCTGAGTTCTCCCGCACCCAGCGCGACCTCGTCGAGCGGCACGACGACCTTGGTCCCATCGGCCAGCGTCCTTTGCAGCTTACCCTCTTCGCTCCTGCTCACCTCGGTCGGAATACCTGGGCCGAGAGGATCCTCTGTATCCGTGACGTCTGAGATCTCTGGGCCTGCGGAGCCGAGTGAGCCTCGACGACGGTCCGCAGTGGTCTCCGGAGCTTCGAGCTGGCCCAGCGAGGGCCGACGCGCGTGGGCCTTGCTGACGACGTCTGTGGCGGGTGCGAACGTAGATGTCCCGGGAAGAGGGCTGGTGCTGAGCGCCGACTCGTCTTTCTCGGTCCCCGTCTCGTCCTCGTCCTCATCCTCGTCGTCATCGGACCCGCTATCCTGCTCGCCACCCGTCCGCTCCTCCTCGTGGTACTCCTTCCGGAATTGTGCTGACCAGTCGGCAGGAGTGAGGTTCTCCGCAAACGGGTTTGCGTTGCTGCTCCCACCACCGGACGTAAAGTCGAAGCTCTGCGTCGCCCCTCCTGCACCACCATCGCTAGGATCGGCAAACGGTCCCCAATCATCGTCCTCATCGTCATCGCCCAACTCGCCACTCCCACTCCCCGAGTGGCGCGGCGCAAACGCATCATCAAATCCACTCCCCTCCTTGTCCCCACCGCGCTTCATCTCGCTCGACAACCACGACGCTTCATCGTCGCTATCGTCGTCGTCCGACCCCGCTGCACCGCCAATCTGGCTCGAAAGATAGCTGGCAAAGCTGCTGCTGCCCGCACCGCCAATCCCTGCATCATCATCATCATCGTCCGCACCGGAACCGAACGACATGGACATCCCCTCGTGTCCACGGTTGAACGCTAACGGCCCACCTTCCTTCTCGCGAATCTCCTCGAGCGTCTCGGACACCACCTGACGCCACTCCTCGCGTTCGGTGAAGGATTCGACGGGTCGCGCGATCTCGAGCGGGTACCGCTCGAGCAGCTTCACCGTCTCTTCCGCGATGAGGTTCATGTGACCCATGAATCCAAGACGGATTCGGCGAGGACCAGCGACGGACGTCTCGTTGCGCTTGCGACCCTCGACGATGCGTGAGGTGAGGTGGCCCTCGTCGAATACGGCGACGGTGAGCTTGCGGTTGAGACCGACGTCCATTCGACCGTTGAAGCATTGTTGCAGAATGTCGTAGACGACGTTGTGAAGGAAATTGTTCCAGGGGTAGTCGAAGAACAGATCGAGCAGCGAGGGGAGGATGCCGCATTCGAGGAACTTGCGCTTGAGCATGTCGCCGACGACGTAGTCCTTGGCCTCGTCGATGGGACTGGGCGGACCGGAAAGTCTAGGTGCCGTCAGCTCGGCGAGGGACAGCCCAGAGAGCGCAGAGCGGATGGAGGCAGCATCGCCCTTGTCTTCTTCGACAGAGTCGCTCGTCGTTACGCTTTGACTTTCGTTGGTCGAGCTCTTGCTCGAGGACTCGGCCTGTGCGTCAGTGGTGCTGTCGCTGCTGCTGCCCTCCGTGTTGGTCTTGTCGGCAAGGGAGACCTCTTTGAGAAGAGCCTCGTCGTCCGCTTCGTCTGTGGAGTCGGTGGAGGCACCGGCGCTAGACTTGTCGCGGCCGTGTCCAGAAACACGAGGTGCTAAAGAGCTGCTGGCTTCAGCAGCGTTCCCAGCAGTCGCCTCTTCACTCTTTGACTGCTCGTCTTCTGTGGCTTTCTCTTGTGGAGTTTCCGCCTCTGCGCTGGTCGAAGTGTCTCCGACTTCGGGCCCATCCGCACCTTGCAACGTGCGTGCCAGCGTCTGAAGACCCTCGAGACCACCCATCAAGACGCCGTCGTCCGAGTACTGCGGTCCCTCGCCAGGCGCGCGGTTGAGTAGCGCCATGTTGGAACAATGCAGCAGCTCGGCGTACAGCTCGGTGATGCGATACCTCTCGAACGTGAGCGGGGCCACATCACCGACCGAGGTCGGGATCGTGACATCACGCTCCCTCGGCTCCTTGACCAGCTGCTGAAAGTCGGACAGACGCTCCGACAGCACTCGCAGCATCGGTCCGAGATGCACGAGGCCCATCTTGTCGACGATCTCGGACATGGCCTCCTCCATGCCTTGCACATCCTCTTCCTCTTCATCAAGCGCCTCAATCGCTTTGTTGACCGACTCTTCGTCCGTCTGCTTGTCCGCGCCCGTCGAGGCACCAGGTCCACCCTCGGTCTTTGAGCCAGCAGCCTCTTCTTCTTCTTTCTTCTGCAATCGTGTCTCTGTCAACTCGCTTTGCCTCTTGACCAGGTGATTGTGCAGGGTGCGGAGAAGATGCTGCTCAAAGTAGTCGCTGTTGTTCTTGCGGATGAGCTCGATGAAGACGCCGATGCACGTCACTAGCGTCGAACTGCAGGTCTCAGCTGTGATGGCTACAGTAGGCGCCGCGACGGCCGGGAATAGGTTGTCGGGACGGAGTGTTGCCGTTGAGCCACGGTGATCCATTTGCCCGGGTGATCTCGACTCGGACGCGGGGAACTCGCGCGGATTCAAGGGTCGTGCGAACGACTCGTCGTCTTCATCATCCTCCACTGCGGACGAGGAGATCGCACCCTCCGTCAGCGTCGACAGCGACGAATCACCTTTTTGCGATGGCTTGCGCAACCCGCTCGCCGAGAGTTGCGATAGCTGTTCGTCGGCGACATCTGTGAGACGACGATGCAACTGCCGTGGCAGCTGCGAATCAAGCATGTAGCCGACCATCTTGCGGACGATAGGCTCGCTCGCTAGTTCGCGCACGAGGCGGTTGTTGATGCCAGCCGTGTTCTCCTGCGACTCGTTGAGACCGCCGCCCAGCTCCTGGCCTTGGCCCTGGTTGAGAGCGGCAGGCGAGGGTGCGGACAGAGCGATGATGGCCTTGAGCAGCTCCGAGACCGTGTTGTGGATATCCACCGAGTAGTTGGGTGCGAGAAGGTCGACGGTGCGCGATATCAAGTCTTGCGACGAGAGCCAGTCAATGATGTCGGTGGTCTGGCCAGGTGTCCGCACGGTCTCCTCCATCTGGATGATGCGGAAGAGCAGGTCGACGACGGCGGGTGTCTCGAGATGCGCAACGAAGCGCTCCACGATCCGAGGCTGCTCCTTGATGAACTCGAGCATCTCGATGGGCTTGCGTTCGAGATAGGCGCCGTTTACCTTGGCCCAGTAGCCGGCGAGCACGCCGCGTCCTGGCCCATTGTCGAGGGCGCTGGTGGCTCGCAACCTGCCGTCAGCTTCCGACTCAGACTCGGAAGGAGACCGAGAGCTGCTGGCGCTGCCTGACGCCGAATTGGAAAAGTCGGTAAAGTTGGTGACGCTGAGATGACCAGCGGGAGAGGTCGAAGGAGAGGCGTTGGCGGAGGAAGAGGATGTGGCGGCGTTTTCGGCAAAGAGAGGATGTGAGTGCATGGGCAGAGGTGCCTGCGATGGCGATGGATTTGAAGTGAGAACGGCATTCCAGAATGGCACGAGGTACTCGTGGGGATCCGAAAAGATGGCGTCGATGATGGGCCACACCTCGCTGCAGCTAAGCACCTCCGAGGCGACATATGGATACTTGAACTTGACTTTCTCCTCCCAATCCTTGCCTCCTGCGCCACCCACGGTCGCGGTGCCGACGACATGCTCCATCAGCCTCTTGACGATGCGTGGCTGTCGAAGAAAGTTGTTGAGCTTTTGATTTTGCGACTTGCATTCTTGCAACAAGTCATCCTCGTCCAGAACATCCTCGAGGGTGACGTTCGGTTTGTCGAGGAGCGTGTCTAGCGTCGAGACCGACGAGAAGCCAAATCTCCACTATAGATTTGAACGCGGACCATGGTATCAGGTGCATGATGGAGGAGAGACAGGACACGATTTCAAGAGGTGGGTCAGTTTTGCCGAACGACAGCGAGTTTGAGCCGGTCTACGACGCTGGCACCGATTCGCATGCCCCGCTAGAGCGCAATCGGATGCCCAAGAGCTGGCGCCGACAAGGGCACGCAGAACACTTACAAACATGATGCCCTATGTATCAAGTGTCAGCAGGACGTTGCTGGAACGTCGAGCTACGGAACAGCTAGAGAGCCAATATTGATGCAGCGGCGATGGTAGGAGCGAGCGATACCGATGAAAGCTGATCTACATGCAAAGTCGGGGGCGCAGTTGCAGCTTGGATCCGTGCTTGATGCTATCGAGTGGATCCGAATGCCTCTGATGCAAGTACGATGCGACACGCGGACGGACCGTGAGGAAATCTTGACGGGTTGCAGAAGCCGACAAGCTCTGCGATCAGCTTGCTGCCTGTCGATCGATTGTGCCGAAAGAAGAGCCGGTCGAGGACGGTCCGTGCAGAGATATGAAGGATGAACAACCAAATGAAAAGCCCGGTGGAAGTATGCAGACTGGCGTCCTGCTAACAAAGGATGAGACGAAGCAGCAATCCTTGTGTGTGGCGTAACAGAGACGGTCCAGATGGAGATGCCAAGAAGGAGGAGACGATGGTCGAGAGTGATCAGAAGAGCAAGACGAAAGATGGCCGATGCCAAGTTGAAGAGCCGATAAAAAGGAAGACACACGCAACACTCGTCAATCTTCGGTCGGTCTGCTTAGCTCCGTGAGTGTGTGAGAGAGTGCAAGAAGGGAAGGGTCCTTCCATGCCAGACAGCGCGTCAGCCTAGCGTTAAGAAGAACAGGAACCACCAACGCGAGGCTCGCGGCACGCAGAAATTGTTTTTCGTCGATTTGATCCTCACAAGCAGCTATCAACAGCAAATCCAGAATTGTATTCCGCCCTGCAAGCAATTTCAATCTCACCGTAGTCTTGGCTCTTGGTCTGACGCTCTCAAAGCTGAAAGTATCATCGACCTCTTCCTCATCTTCATCACCTTGATTCGCTCTCTCAGACTCTTCGAGAGCGGCACAGAGCGTAGATCTCAAGGTCGAAGCGCAAGAGGCAGTGTGTTGTTACAAGAGTCGGAAAGTGGTACAGAGTGGTGGGTAGCCTGGTCTCTATCAACGAGGATGATTTCTTGGTGAAATGCAAATTGTCTGCGTATGGTGCTGCATCGCCTGACGACGCTCAGATGTCATCGAGGCCCGGATCATCGCTGCCAGGAGCATCCTCGTCGCTGCCATCGGCGTCCTCGTCTCCGAAATCGGCATCCTGGTCGTATGGATCCGGCGTAGCAGTCGCACCGTCCCGCGCGGTCCATGGACTCGCCATCCCCATCTGCATCTGGCCCGGAAAGTCATTGGGCGTGAATTGGCCATTTGACACGCCCGAGCTGGCTGCGAGCACGCGCTGTAGGTGCTCGGGATCAATGGGCAGGCGTGCAGCCTCGGGTGTCTTGGGCGGGAATGCGGTTAGAGCCGATTTGGCTGTGATGGGAGCAGCGTCCGGCAGATACTCGTCAGCTTCGTAGTCGCCATCTGCATCCGCATCCGCATCTGCGTCAGCAGCCACGCCTCCGTCAGCCCAGGCACCTCCAGAATACGGAGCACTTGCGTCGACGCTCTGCGTGGTAGAGGCCGAACCTGGCTGGCTGGACTGCCACATGCTGGGCATAGACTCGGTACCTGTGCCGAGGTCGCTTCCACCGCTCTGATTGCTCCCGAGAGCTGCGCCGTACAGGGCGCTTCCAGGCGGCGGCGCAGGTCTGTAGCGCTTCTTGGGAGGCGATGGTGTGGGCGTCGCGATGGAAGAGCGTCCTGGGCTGTTGACCTCCTGCGCTTGTGCGAAATCGTTTGCACTGGTCGACGCCGAAGCCACGGCCGTGAAGCTCGCCCGCACCACCGGACGTCGCCCAGCAGTCGCCGCTGGGCTTGCACGTGCGCTCGCCGCGTCGCTTCTGCCAGGCGTCTTTTGGACGCGGTCGAGCACGGAATAGCCTAGATTGGCCATCATCTCGGCAGGAGTGAACGTGCCGCTACCAGAGGGACCTGGTGTGCCGTTCGATTGCCCGACGGTCGATCCGCCGCTGTGTCCATTGGATGGCGAAGGAATAGGCTGGAGGAACGACCGAGACACGAGGAAGGGCGTCCACTTGAGCCTATCCGCTCGCACCTTGAGATATCCTTTCGACTCGTAGTTCTTGAGATGGGCGATCACGTAGTCTCGATCGAAATGGATGCGATAGTCGCGAGGAAGCGAGGCGGCTGCGTTCTTGTCTCGATCCTTGTACGAAGGCGGCTCTGCCGCAGGTGGAGGTCGAGGATGCAGAGGAGGTCTGCCTCGCTTTCGCGGTTGAGGTTCAACTGCTGCAGCGGAACCGCCAGCGAGTGCGAGACCAGTGCCTTTCGCGGCTGCAATTCCGTCCCGCGCGCGATACTTGCTTGTCGCTGGCGTCCTGCTGTTTCCGTTGTTGCCATCGTAGACCACGATCATGTCCTGCTCGCGAAGCACATAGAAGATGTCCTCCAGCTGCATGGCCGTACCGCGGCTGATGTCGTCCATGGTCACCTCGTCCGGTGCGATGCGCAGATAGTAAAAAACCGCCAGAGTCCAATAATTTCTGTAGCTCAGCAGGCCAAGGTCACTGAGTGGCTTCTCGGGCGAGCCAACTCGTCCCTCCTTTTTTGACAGCAGGAAACTGATGTCGATCAGAAAGTTCCCCCATCCTCTCCTCTGGCGCACCGGAAGCGTCATGATACAGGACACGTTATAGTTCATCGGGCTGCGCTTCTCCTTACTGAAGTAGCCGACAAAGTGATCGCCCATGCTGTCTCCTTCGGTCACGATGTAGAAGAGGAATGGCTCGACGTCGTAGTAGAGCGTCTTGTGGTCGAGGAACATCTTGGCAAGCAGACAGAGGTTCTGGCAGTAGATCTTGTTCTTCCTGCCATCGACCTCGTAGACGCAAATGTTGCCGTCCCGGTAGATCTCGTCGCCTGGTGGGTGTCTCATCTTGCACTTGAGCCGGTGTCGTTGCGCCATGAAGCGACTCTTCATGTACTTGAGGCAGAACTCGCAGATCCAAAGCCGTCCGTCTGGCACCATGCTGTACTCCTCTGGATATGGCGCCTGGTACCATGTATCGATGTCAAAGTCGCCGAAGCGAATGCACTTGATGGGCGAAGCGTTCCCGGTCTCTGCACTGCTGGCCGACGTCGTGATCTCGACCTGTGAAGGTGCCGGCGTGCCTGATGGTGACTGCCGAGGGACGAGCTGAGTGCGAGAAATGCGAGGGCCGCTGCCGGGCGTTTCCAGGGAAGAGATGGAGCTCGGATGGCGCGGCGAAGCAGCTGCAGAGCCCCAGGCTCCCGTCGCTGCAGGACCTGGCCTTCGGATGATGCGACTGCTGGATGAGCCCGGCAGGCTGGCCAGAGTGCCACCCAGCCTCGCTTCGGCGGCTTTCTGTGCTCGTTGAAAGCGCTCCGTGTCCTGCTGCGTTGGCTTGTACGGCAGCGTGAGGGCATCCGAGCCTTGCAGAACACCGCCAAAGGGATCTTCCTCCTCGCTGCTCTTCATGGCATCGCGATCACTGGCTGCATCTTCATCGTCGTCGTCCGCGCCTCCTCTCGCGGACTCTCCATCGGCTAGCCCGCGCTCTGAGGGCTCTCCATCCGACGAGCCTGAGCCGTCTTGGTCGCCATCGATTGTGTTCCTGCTGCTACTGGCAAGCCTACCGGTGCCTTTGAGTTTGGACGGTGTCTTGCGATTCGACCCAGACGCGCTCGCCGATTTTCTTGGTCGTCCACGCTTGTTGCCCGTTGGCGTTCCAGCAGCTTTCCGCGCAGAGCCGTTCAAGGTCGTGAGCCCATCAGGAGGTTGATCTGTAGACCGTGAGGACCATGGTGATCCGGGGGAGAAGCTGAGAAACGAGCCAGCTGCACTGAAGAGATTGTTCTTGAGCGTGCTGACGACGGCCAAGCTGGAGCCCGCCAGCATTTGTGCCTCTTTGCCCTTGTTCAGCGAGGCTTGTGCGGTGAACAGCGAGTCGATGCTGCGGTCGGGGTTGGAAGGCTTCTTGGGTCTTCCAGATGTCGAGGTGCGCATGATTTGACCGTCAGAGTCTGAACGGAAGGGTGTAGATTGCAGAGATGCCGTGCGACCTGCGGGTATCGTTTGCGCCTGCGATGCCCAGTGCTGATGCTGATGGCCGGATTCGCACGTTGGGCAATGCCACTGTTTTGGCGGTTTCGAGAGAGGAGGGGACAGACAGTAGAGATGCCAGCCCCGGTCGCATCGGTCGCAGAACATGAGCTGAGCCTGTTGGGACGGAGCAAGACATAGGTGAGGCATTCGACGAGTCAGTGAACGGGTCCCACGAAATGAAGTCGGAAGTCGCGCTGCATTGTTCTCTGCGTCATGGTGGGCGGAAGTTGCCAAACTCACATCATCGCCTTTGTCACGGCATATTTCGCACTTCTTGCATTCGATGCATCGCCAATCGTAGGACGATGCTTCGCGAACCTTGGTCGGCTGACGGCCCCACTTCAAGCAGGAGGGATGCCCGCTGCTACCGCATTCGGAGCAGGAGATGAGCAGCTTGAGCGAGTCGCCTTTGGGACCTCGATCAGCCGGTTGGAGGCAGAAAGCGCAGAGGTCGTGTGGAGGAGCTCTTTGCTTCAAACGCCCTGGTGTCGTTGCTGGTCTCTTCTTGACGGCGCCTGGAGCAACCAGCTTGCGTTTTTTGACAGGACTCGGAGATGGCACTGCGATCTGCGTTGTGCTGGCTAACTTCTTGGGTGACACAGAGCGCCTTACTGTGGACGGTCCTATCCCCAGCGAAGACACCGCCGGATCGTGTAGCTGTACGGTCATCATCGCTCTGTTGTTGGGCGATGAGCGATCAGAGAGCATGACATGGTGGGTTCATGGCCGTTTGCTGCTGTTCGGCGATGGTCTCGATGGGAGCTCCGATGGGCGAGAAGAGCAGCGTTTAGAGCGCGAGGAGCGACAATACAGCTCTGAGATCCCAGCTGAGAAGACGAAGCGCGCGGTGCTGCCAAAGATGGGCGAGGCGAAACCTGGTCTTCCAACGACGGTCAGGCCGTGAGAAGGTCCGCTTTCGAGCAGGCAGCTGACGTTGAACGACACCCTGAGCGTATCGTTGGATCGTAAGAGACTGTGACGAGTCGCTGAAGGCGGCGTCGACCGAGCTGAGTCAAGCCAGCACAGCCAGTCGGTGAAGCCGAACGTGATGAGTGGTCAGATGAGAAGACCGATCTCTGACGTTGGTGTGGATCTCAGCTGATCGATCGAGCCTTGGTCCAAGTGGCGTTGTATAAGAGCTTGCTCCTGGCGTGAGCGAAGCCTCGGGGTATATGGTAGGCTGAGAGTTGCTGTAGGAGCTTGACGTTGGGATAGAAGCAGGACCGAAGCGGCAAGGCCGTTTGAGAATCGCGACTTGAGGCTTTGGTCGGCTGGCTCTCCACTTTTGCGCTCTGGCCGTGCGCGCTGAACGCTAAGGGCGTGCAATCCTGGCTACGCCATTTCCAACTGGGAAATTTCGCGTCTCGCTTTTGCGACGCGCTGTGACTACTTTGGACCCTGATCCAGCTGCCTTCAGTTCTCAATCGTGCATGGCGTAGACGAATGCCTCGTTTCATATGTGTGGCAAGCCGAGCAGGCACGGACATTGCAGCTGCAGGTACGAGTCAACAGAAAGGATGATGGAATTGGTAGGAAACCCATCTCAGAAGGCGGAAGTGTGGACCTCAGTAGCTCAGGTCGGACCAAGCAAGCGCATCGAGCAAGCCCTGCCACTTTGCCCTTGCATAGTCATGCTCTTGCAAAGCCCGGTCGGCGAGCGTCGCATCCTGAGCTTGTGCCGCTGCCCGTGCCGCGATCCTGCCAATCTGGTCGTCGACATTGACCTTGAGCTCTTCCACCAGTCGAAGCAGAGCTTTGCGTTGGCGCTCGCATTCTACCCGGAACCGCTCGCGCTTGTTCGTCTCGGAGTCCAGCCAGCTCGCAGACGTATCGACGCTCATCGAGGCGTCGACAGAGGTTGAGCCGAATGCGTCCGAGCGGGCTAGTGTGACGTCGTCGCTGTAAACGTCGTACGCACCGGGCTGCGCAGGACCGTCGTAGTCGCGTAAAAGTTCACCGTAATCCGCCTCGTTCTGGTCGTCTTCCGCATCCTCCTCTTCCTCCTCTTCGTCCTCTTCGACGATCGCTCCTAGCGGTGCGCCTTCGCGCTTCGCCCTGTCTCTCTGCTTCTTGCGTCGCTCTCGCCGTTTTCGCCGCGCAAGTCGGTCCTCGCCCTGACTGCTTGTGCCGATGAATCGTTCGTAATTGTTGACCACCTCGGCTCCAATGCGCCAAGCGGCGCCGAAGAGCTCCTTCACCTTCACCTGCTCGATGCGATGGAAGCACAGCTTCTCCATCCGCTCGAGCGCCTCGGTGTGAATCTGGATCGCGCTGTCGAGCGAGGTCGCGCCTTCGAGAGCTGCACAAAGTCGCTCGCTGCCGTCCAGCAGCACGTCGCTCTGCAGGAAAGCGATCAGCGTTCGAACGAGCCACTGAGCTTGTCGACGGAGCGCCCAGAATTTGCGCATGTGCATCGTCTCGGGCTTTGCCAGCTTCAGCGTCGCTGACAGCTTCCACTGTGCATATCTGGCTTGGAGTAGCGTAGTGAACATGGTCTGGTAGAACCGCATGCAAGCGGTGGGGAAAGCAAACGTAAGTGGCCACGGCACCTCGTATTCGACTTGTACATCGGCCAATCGGCGAATCCGGGTTCTCTGTCGGATTGCTGCTGCGCTGTCGGCGTCGTCGTCACCAGTGAAGAAGCGCACCAGATTCGCATCGATCCATACCTGTCCAGCGCGGCCCGGCTCGTGCGCCTCGAGCACGTCGATGAAGGTCGAGTTGAGACGGTGTTGGTGAACGGCACGAATCGTGCCATTGGGTCGATCGAGATCACGAAAGAGCGAGTCGAACCAGCTGGTCATCTCGGCGCCCTCTTGCATAAGAAAGAGTCCGTGGCACGCTCTCAGGTGGGTCTGCAATGCGTATCCGCCATCGGTGACGGGCGAGGAGAGCACCTCGAACAGGCGCTTGCGGACGATAGCAGAGATGGGCGAAAGATGCTCCTGGAGTGCTTGCCCGAGCATGGGCTCGAGAAGTCGATTCGATGTGCGCGATCTGCGATTCGCTGATCCGAGCTGCCACGACGGCTCAGAGTCCGGCTGTGAGAGTGGTGTCTGCGGCAAGGTCTCCTCTAATGGCTTTGATTCGGCGCCTTGGGCGCTCTTGGGGAATAGGAGTCGTCGAAGGGTGGCCTTGGCTGCCTCCGGTGTTGCGGCAGCGTGTTTGACTGAGGCGTTGCCGCCGGTGAGCGCGTGCTCGACATCGCCTTCTTGGTGCCTTCCTCGCCCTTGCTGGAGTACGCTTGCTGGTACTAGACTGCGAAGGCCAAGGATGCGATCGAGGTCCCCGTCTGGCTGGACTTCGCCGAGCGCATCAATGCCCAGGCTGCGGAGCAGTCCAACACCCTTTGCCGTTGTCACCACGTCCTGCACGATGGATTGCAGGAATGCAGGCGGGCTATAGCCTTGGTCGACAACGTCGTCCAGTGTTGCATGGCCCCTCGAGTGCTTGGCATTGTACCCCGAGGTCCAGAACGTGCTGTCTGATGTGGACAGTGACGCATCGTGCTTGATCATGTGCTGGACGAGGCGATCCTTGAAGAGAAGGTCGTCGGCGCGATTGACAGCAAAGCTGAGGCCTCTTTGCAGCAGGCGACAGACGGACCGCCATGCGGGTCGGCAAGCAGCGAGCAGACAGGTGCTGAGGTCCGCAAGAACGTCGTCGCAATACGCGACCTCGTCCTGTTGGTGAACGAAGCCGAGAAGGGCTTGCAGGCCGTCGATGAGGGCGCGATCGCTAGAGACATGCGCCGCGAAAGTATCCGGCGCGGCTTTACGATTTGAGATGAAGCCCAACTCCTCCAGAAGTCGGGCCAAGAGTAGTACGGAAGCTGCCTCGCGATGCAGAAACTCGAGCAGCTGTGTCATTGTTGCATATCTGTCCGTCCGGATGTTGATCGGCTGCAATGACATCGAAGCAGCGGCAATGTCGGCGTCCATCTCAGAGAGTCGGGAGTGCAAGCGTTCGAGGAGAATCCGCAATTGCTCGGCGAAGGCTTCGACGGCGGGTGTGCGGGTGAGGGCGTTGACAGCTTGAATGCCTTGTGAGATCGCACCGCCCACGAATCTCCGCAGAGATGTCAAAGTGCTCGCGATCGAGGTGATGGCTCCCAACTGCTCGCTCAGGCCACTCGGTACGCTCTGCTGTGGCGGAAAGAGCGCGCATGTGCAGCCTAGCAGCGCAGAGACACTCTCCCTGACGACATCTGATTCGGAGAGGTTGGCTGGCGTGCCACTCCCAGCGGCTCTGAGTGCTTGTTGTCTGTGTTGATGAGCACGAGACCATTGCTCGCGCTGTGCGTAGTCCTGTGTAGACGAGGCTGAAGGTCGTATCGAATCTGAGATCGCTGTGAGTCGGTCTCTCCTTTTACGAATCTCTTTGTCGCTGTCGTAGCCTTCCCCGATCCTGAGTCGCTTCTCGTCGTCCGAATCCAGACTCCAATCCGATAGATCGGAGGTGTCTTGATCCACGTCATCGTCGGCCCAAACGTCGCCTTCCAACGGCTCGTCGACTAGGATGCCAAGCCATTCGCGTTTCTCTGCCTGCCTCCGCTGCTCCGGTGTCAGATACTGTGCTCGATTCGATTGTGTCGCGTTGAGCATGAGATTGGCAGTAGTGCGTGCGGTGACGTCTGCCGGCTTGGAGAGCTGCAGCAGGAAGCGAACGGCATCCGCGACGTTATCCGGTCGAACCAAGGGATCTGGCAGATTGCGGGCATTTGCGGATCCTCGTCGCTTTTCACTCTCGCGAGCCTGATCCGTGAGACGCACTGATCGCTCGCATGATACGAGGAGCTGCGAATAGCATCGCTTGAGCGCGGTGGCAAGTTCGTAGTCGAGGTGGATGCTGTGCTTGAGCGAAAGTCCTTGTAAGGCCGCGGCAATCTCGTCGTCGTCCGCGGGTGACCACGAGTCCTTCTCGACGAAGTTAATGGCCTTGGCCTTTTGTGATGCTCTCGATGAGCTCGATGGCGTTGATGGTGCATCCTGTGAATCCAAAAAGACGGCCAAGAGGTGGTCGACGATGCGTTCCTGGTCGATGCGCTTGTTTGTCTTCGATCTGCTCGCTGTCCTTGTCGAGCCGGACCTGACAGCTCCTGGCAGAAGACCGCTCGAGGACGAGCCTGCGACGGGCGTCATGACGTGCTTGGAAGCATGCAGCTGAGGAGCTGTCCGTTTCGATGATGGTGTTGGTGGAAAGCAGTTGCAGCTGGTGTGAAGTGACTCTGGCGCGGGTCTCGCTTTGCAGACCAACACTTTCAAAATCTCAACGCGTGCCTACTCTATCGCGTTAATTTTAACAAATTGTCAGATCTTCGGTTGCCGCTGGAGTGGAGGCGAGAAACGCTGTGTTGGTCCAAGCGCCGTTGCGGAGCATGCAGATGCCATTCGGATGCAAAATCTTGCTTCAGCCAGCATGGCAGGTCAATATATGCACAGGTGCGGGACGCTTGAGGTCCACGTCAACTGGCTGTGCAGTTGTTCCACGAGAAGAAACACACGAGTATGCGAGAAGGAGAGGAAGAGCCTTGCCTTGAATTGGCTTCCGAAGACAGTTCCTGGGCCGTGCGCGCTGCCGAAGCTTCAGGCAGCGTTAGACGTAGCCGACTCAGCAAACAGAGCTTCGGCTGCGCTTGAAACGTCACGCAGCATGGCTCAGTGTTGCTCTCACGCGGTTGGCTACAGTAAGAGCAGACCTATAAGAGACCAACACGAGATCCTCTCATTCCCTCTCACCGACCACTCACATACACGAGCATATCGATACACAATGTCCGGCTTCGACTTCAACAAGATTGGCGACATGGCGCAGGGCTTCCTGAACAGCCAGGGCGGCAACAACAACCAGCGCCGCAACGACAACGACGACGAGGGCTACGGCAACGGTGGCAACCAGGGCTTTGGTGGCAACCAGGGCTATGGCAACAACGATAACCAAGGCTACGGCCGCGACGACAACCAAGGCTACGGCAACAACGACGACAACCGGCAGCAGCAGCACCACTCTGGCGGTGGTGGTGGCGGTGGTTTCGACTTTGGCTCGCTCGCCGGCCTCGCCCAGGACTTCAGCTCTGGAAACCACGACAACTCGCTCTTTTCGCAAGCCGCCTCGTTTGTGCAAAACCAGGGCGGCCGTCAGGACGTCGACGAGCAGCAGCTGCTCCAGGACAATGACGAGGTGCACAACCAGCCCGGCGCCAACTCGTCTGGCCAGATCGGCAACGCCGCTGCGTAAGTCATCCCGTACACGAGTTCATTCAAACAAACACAAAAACTGACGATATGACCATCTTGATGTGGCAGTCTGTCGGCAATCAAGTCGCTCCTCAGCGGCGGCGGTGGACAGCAGCAGCAACAACAGCAGGGAGGTGGCTTCCAGCAGAAGCTCATGAGCATGGCCATGAGCCACGCCGCCGATCTGTACGATCAGAAGGATGCTCAGGGTCAGGCACAGGGCAGCAAGCAGGACGCCGTCAACTCGGCCGCTCAGATGGCGATGGGTCTCGCGATGAAGAACCCCTCGATGCTGATGGGTCTGATCGGCGGCGGCAACTCAGGTGGGTTGGGTGCCCTGGCTGGCATGCTCGGCAAGTAAGAGCGCGAAGAAGCAAGTCGAACATCACGAGACGTAGTCAAAAATTGAAGGGGTCACTGGCTCGACCTGAAAGCTGCTGGTATGATGGTCTGTGTGAAGAAGAAGAGAAGCATCGGGCTCAACGTGCGATGCGTTTGTTGTTCACACCAAGCGCATAAGCCGGCCGTTGAGCAAAGCTCAGACCTGCTAGATTGACCGCTGTGCAGCTGTCTAGCTGAGTGCAAGAGCAGCCATCTGGGCGTGTGAACAGCAGCTGGGGAGGAGATCCTGAGCTTGCCAAGGGAACAATGCAGCGCTAGACCCAGACAGAGTGACGTTGAACCGGATCGGTGGCGCAACACGGGGTCTCAGGTGCCACCTCTCCATCTATAATAAAGTCTAGCTGAGCTGACCGACCCGTACATTTGGGCTCCCCATCTGGATCATGCAAAGCTTTCATTGGCCGGAGTCCCGTATCAAGGTCGGATGCAGATGAGAGATCGACGAAAGTTGCAAGTCCGAAGGATGGACATGACGGTGTTGGTTGACATGGCTGACGGGGTTGTTGCTGCACCTTCCGAAAACGGAATATCTGAAATGCTAAAAAATGCATTTTTTGACGCGGCGACTCGGGTCGAGAGCCAGGGTCGAGACGCACAAAGGGAAGATGGCGCGTACCTTGGCTGATTTTGGAAAAATCACACACCCAAACCGGCTGAATGCAGCTAGCTGCCCACGGTCCAACACCCTTCAAGCGAACCAACACACGCATGCACTCTCCTCGCTCAAGACCTGACTGACCCTTTGATGACTGTCGAACAAGCAACATCTTGACTCCCGATCACCACGAGCACCTCGAGCAACGACATCCTCTTCAGAGCAGTAGCAGGCCGGCGCACTTATACATACACTCACACGGAGCGTCCACGGTCGAATAGAACCCCCACACCCCACCTCCTCCTCCTCGAGCTACACATGGCAGCCATGGCGCACGGCCAGCAATCCAACCAGTCGGCGACGTTCAACGTCGGCGAAACCTACAAAGTCGTCGATGTTGTCGGTGAGGGAGCCTACGGAGTCGTGTGCTCGGCCATCCACGTTCCCTCCTCCTCGCGCGTCGCCATCAAGAAGATCACGCCCTTCGATCATTCCATGTTCTGTCTCCGCACCCTTCGCGAGATCAAGCTGCTTCGTCACTTCAACCACGAAAACATCATCTCCATCCTCGACATTGTCAAGCCGTCGAGCTACGAGAGCTTTTCGGAGGTGTACCTGATTCAGGAGCTGATGGAGACGGACATGCATCGGGTGATTCGAACCCAAGAGCTCAGCGATGATCACTGCCAGTACTTCATCTACCAGACGCTGCGTGGGTTGAAGGCGTTGCATTCGGCCCAGGTGTTGCATCGCGATCTCAAACCCAGCAATCTGTTGTTGAATGCCAATTGCGATCTTAAGATCTGCGATTTCGGTCTGGCTCGTTCGGCCAATCAACCGGAAGCAGAGGGGACCGGGTTTATGACCGAATACGTCGCAACGAGGTGGTACCGCGCACCAGAGATCATGTTGACGTTCAAAGAGTATACAAAGGCCATCGATGTTTGGTCTGTCGGATGCATCCTCGCCGAGATGCTCTCCGGCAAACCCTTGTTCCCAGGCCGAGACTACCACCACCAACTCTCGCTCACATTGGAAATCCTCGGCACCCCTTCGCTCGACGATTTCTACGCAATCACCAGTACAAGATCGAGGGACTACATCCGAGCATTGCCGTTCAGGAAGAAACGCAACTTCTCCCAGATGTTCCCCAACGCAAACCCTCTGGCGGTGGATCTGATGGAGAGGTGTCTAACGTTTAGCCCAAGGAAGAGGATCACCGTGGAAGAGGCGCTGGCACATCCCTACCTCGAACCGTACCACGATCCAGAGGACGAACCCACCGCCGAACCCTTGGATCCCAGCTTCTTCGACTTTGACTACGTCAAAGAGCAGCTCAGCAGGAGCGAGTTGAAGAGGCTCATCTACAACGAAATCGTTCGTTAAGTCTCGTCTCAAGGCAATACTCGGATTTTGGAAGATCTGGTTTCTTTTTTCTGTCACTCTTTCCGGTTCGACTCGCAATGCACGCTCTACACACACGCCTGTCTTGATCGTGACAAAGCTTGAGGTTCTTTTGCTCGAAAAGGGATATACATTGCGATGCCAAAGAACTAGAACATGATCTCGGCATCCTGTCGGAAGAGCTGGCTGATCGACTCTCCGTGGTGACTCCTTCGGATCGTCTCGCCGATCACGGCGCTGACATCCATGATCTCGAGCTTGCCATCGCTCGTCTTGGCCTTGTCCGTATTTGCGATGGTGTTGGTCACCACGAGGCGTTCCAGACTGAGCTTCTTGAGCAGCTCGATCGATTGGCCGCTCAGCAGACCGTGGGTTATGATCGCGTATACCTTGGCTGCTCCCGCTGCCTCGAGGGTTTTTGCGGCCAGGGCGAGCGTTCGACCCGTGTCGACCATGTCGTCGACCAGGATAGCCACTTTGCCCTTGACATCGCCGACGAGGATCTCCATGCGCGAGGAGTTTTCATCCTCCGAATCGTCTTCCGCTGCTGAGATGCCTCCTGTGAGGTCCTTTTTCGATCGCCCGCTGCGAACCAGATGCCCCTGCTCGTCGGTCATGATCCACTCGCCCGTCTCGTCGCACTTGATCCCGTTGGCCACTTCGCTGTAGACGTGCTTGGAGCTGGTGGTCGACTGCAACGTCGATGTGGACGATGCCGACTCGGCAGAGACGCTGAGCGCGTTGAGCTTGTCCGTAGCCTGCCCGACGGCGGATCTCGAGTTGAGACCCGTACCGTCCAGCAGGAAGGAGCTCGACATGGGCGTGCTCACTCCCGAACGGAGGTCGTCGAACGAGCTCCTGCTCGACAGACCCAACGCCGTCTTCTGCGCAGCACGAATGCGCTTATGCTGCTCGCGACGGCGATTGCGGTTGATCAGCGCAAAGTCGACACCCAGCGCATCGGCGAGCGACGTAGCACGCTTCGCACCACCCGCATCGGGACTGACAATGATCGCATCCCTCCAATCGGCCACCTTGGATCGGATCCATCGAGCGACACTCGGCTCGCTAGTGAGGTTGTCGACGGGAATGTCGAAGAAGCCCTGGATCTGAGAGGCGTGCAAGTCAAGCGTGATAACGTGGTCTGCGCCCGCGACGGTGAGCATGTTGGCGACGAGCTTGGCGGTGATAGGGGCACGGCTCTTGTCCTTCTTGTCGTGACGAGAGTAGGGGAAGGAGGGGATGACGGCGGTGATGCGGCGTGCCGAGGCGGTCTTGCAGGCCGAGAGGATGATGAGCAGCTCCATGAGCGAGTCGTTGGGGTCGGTGTAGGGCGAGTTGCCCGTTTGGAGGACGTAGACGTCTTCGTCACGGACCGAGCTGCCGATGCGGACGTCGATGGACTGGTCTGCGAACTTTTTGCAGACGCAGGGCGTGAGCGGGATGCCGAGACGGTCAGCCACGAGCTGGGCCAGCTCGGGATGGCTGTTGCCTGTCAGCAGCTTGATCGAATTAACGCCTGGCATGGTGATACGTTTGCAGAGTTGCCCGTGGAGAAGAGGAGGAGTAGGGGTGCGATTGACTTGCTGGACCGGCGACAGCACGAGGATCGGCTACTGATGAGACCAGGTTATTGGTTCAAGGGTGAGATGGAGGAGGTGGTCGGTGACAGTCAAAACGAAAGGGAGTACGCAGGTCCCACCAGCAAAGTGATATGAAATGTGACTTCTCAAAAGCTCCTCACTGCCTTGCTACAGTCACACCATTTTTTGTGTGTTGTCACAAGCTGCCTCTCTTGACCTGAAAGCTTCCTGCTTTTCTTCCCGACCAGCCTTGAGAAGAGGGGGAGGACCAACTCTAAACCGTCCAAACGCTCTGAGCGTGGGGAAAGCCAAGCTCAAGTTGAAATTTTTCTTGACCCGGCACCGAGCAGATCGGGCTCGCTTTGGACCCTGATTCGACCTCAGATCGGGGTATGGGAGACACCTCGAGACCTTGGACCCTTGATTTCTCACTGAGAACGCTACAGGCCTCTCGTTCAGCTTCGCTACCAGCTGACACGGACCAATCCTATCGTCGCGATCATCACAGCGAAGGCATCATCACAGTATGGCCTCGACGACAACAGCGACAGCACTTCGTGCTGCGAAGCGGCAGCTGCGCAAGTCCATGACGCAAACCCTCGCAGCCATGCGTCCGGACGAGATCGCCAAGCAGTCGCGAAAGGTGACCGAGCAGGTGCTCAAGTCGCAAACCTATGCTCGCGCTCACTCCATCAGCGTCTACATTCATACGGAAGTCGGAGAGGTCATGACAGATGAAATCTGTAGATCGGTGCTCAAGGATGGCAAGAAGCTATACGTGCCTCTATTCGCATCACCAGCGCCTCCGGCGGTAGCCACAGGCCCAACCGTCCCATCGGCGCCGGTGGAAAGCAAGACGGTCTTTGCAACGGATATGGTCATGCTCCGACTACGAGATGTGGGCGAGTACGAGTCGATGGCCGCCAATCGCTGGGGTATCCGCGAGCCGCCATTGACGTATGCCGATGGGACTCTGCGAGAAGAAGGTGAGTAACAAACTGCCACTGTCTACCTGTCACGATACCAGTAGCTGACCCTCGATTTGTTCCGTGACTGCTTCGCTGCGATCCAATCAGCACTCGACGAGTCCACCGGTGGAGATGGCCTCGACCTGATCCTTGCGCCGGGTGTAGCCTTCGATCAGACGGGTGGTCGATTGGGTCACGGAAAAGGATACTACGACCGATACCTGACAAGAGCCGAAGAGTGGGCCACTGGACGTGGTCTTGCAGCTCCAGTCACCGTGGCATTGGCACTACGAGAGCAGGTGCTTCCAGCATCCGAACGCGTTCCCGCCGACGAGCGAGATCGTGTCCTCGACGCTATCATTGCGCCTGACGGCACCATCCTTCCACCAACACCATCACGGTGGTCTCCATGAAATGGCATAGTCTCAAACAACATGTTCAGCGTCGAGCTGATCGCTCTCGTCGCAGAAGAGAAGGATCGACGTATGTGCCGAATCTGCTGCTCGAAAATGCCCGGCAAAGTCGCCGGAAAAGGGTCTGTTCCTGGCGTGGTCCGGCTTTCGAGGGCGTTGCGGTCCTCTGGCATGGAGACAAGAGAGCTGTGTTCTGTGGTGTTTGGAAGCCCTGAGCTCTGATTGGCGGCAGCGACTCGGAAGGACGTGCGCCGCCGCCGGTTGCGTCGTGCACAACTCTATCAGCAGCTCGCTTCGTACTCACTCAGGGTGCAGCAGCCGGCTATCTTTATTTTCAGTCGGAGCGCAGACCTCCGGCAGAAGCAGCGAGAACAACGCTTTCTGCGGCACGAAGGCAAAGAAAAAGAAAAGAAAAAAGGCTTGCGCAGCCTGTGTGCCCGTGTTCTTTTCTGTGCCCACTGTGCCGGGTCTGTGCATGCTTGTTGGACTTGGAAGAAGGCGCACACCCTGAAGGTCCTCCCTTGTCTGCCTCCCTTCCTCGCCACGTCCATTGTCCCTCGAGCGATGCTGCCTTGCCGACTAGCGCTGCGCTCTGCTACCTCTTCCTTCCGAACCACCACCATCGCAAGATCGTCTCACAGAACCATGTCTTCATCCTCAGTTGCCGGCGTCGTCGTCGGTGTCGACACCAACGGCGCCTCTACCGCCAAGAACGTCGATGTCTCTGCTCAGTGGAAGGCTTCGCGCGCTTCCTCGTCGCGCAGCAACGAGCTTCGTGTCTTCTACCCTGACAATGGCACTCCCGTCGCCGCCGTCTCGCTCGGCGAGCAGAAGGCTGCCCCCACCACCACACCCGATCTCACCCCTTCCGAGAAGACCTACCTCCGCAACGAGCAGCTCGAGCGGGTCCGTCTTGCTGCTGCCAAGGGTGTCAAGGCCATCCGCGACCTCGGCGCCGGACCCGAGGACAAGGGGGACAAGCCTGTCGAGAGGACCATTGCTCTTGACGCCATGTCGAGCCCTCACGCTGCCGCTGCTGGTGCTACCCTCGGTCTCTGGTCCGTCAACCACTTCAAGACCCGCGGCAAGAACGCTGCCCACGGCAAGGATGCCGCCGTCCAGGGCGGCAAGGAGATCAAGGTCGTGCCCGTCGACGGTGCTGCTGACGAGTCGGCCAAGAAGTCGCTCAAGGACGCCGGCGACGACGTCCCCAGCGTGGCTCCTCTCAGCTGGTACACCGGCGAGGTCTACGCCGAGGCGCAGAACTGGGCTCGCGAGCTCAAGGAGACCCCAGCCAACCTCATGACTCCCACCATCTTCGGCCAGCGCGTCACCGCCGCCTTCAAGAACGTCCCCAACACCACCGTCATTGTGCACGACGAGGCGTGGGCGCGCGAGCAGCGCATGAACTCTTTCCTCTCCGTTGCTGCCGGTACAGATGAGCCCGCCAAGTTTGTCGAGATCATCTATAAGGGTGCCCCGGATAACGAGGAGCGCAGCGTCGGCTACGTCGGAAAGGGCATCGTATTCGATTCAGGCGGAATTAGCCTTAAACCCGGCGCCGGAATGAAGGCGATGCGCGCTGATATGGGAGGTGCAGCGGCTGTCGTCGCTACCACCCTGGCGATCGCCAAGCTCGGTCTGCCGATCAACGTCGTATGCGCTACTCCTCTGACGGAGAACATGCCGTCTGGCAAAGCCACCAAGCCCGGAGACATCATTATTGCGCGCAACGGTCTCTCGATCGAGGTGGACAACACCGACGCCGAAGGTCGTCTTGTGCTCGCAGACGCCCTGACGTACGTGTCCGAGACGTACAAGCCGCACACGCTGGTCGACGTGGCCACCCTGACGGGCGCATGCATGATCGCAGTTGGCGACGTCTACTCCGCTGCCTTCACCGAATCGGACAGTCTGTGGAAGGAGCTTCGCGTCGCCGGTGAGGCCGAGAACGACCTCTTCTGGCGCCTGCCCTTGAACGATGCCTTCCTCAAGCAGATTTCGACCTCCAACGCCGACCTGTGCAACACCGGCGGTCGTCTGGCTGGCGCTTCGACCGCGGCGATCTTCCTCAAGCAGTTCGTCGTCGGTCTGGGAGAGCGCGGCGGTGCCGCCCCCACCGTGCGCTATGCTCACCTGGACATCGCCGGTAGCATGGAGGCCACACCAACGACCATCAACGACTACCAGCCCAAGGGCTTCACCGGTCGCCCCGTCAGGGCGCTGATCGAGTTTGCTCGTCGCATCGCTGCCAATGGCGGCGCCAACTGAGAGGGCAGTCAGATCGAAGCCAGGCCCACGAATCAACATTTTCTTACATGCATTACATCTGCACCTCCTTTGATCATGTTCCATGTGAGAAAAGAGATGAAGCCTGAAGATGTCCTTGAGCTGAACGTCGACAGGGATGAGAAGAAATCAGGACGCCAGCTGCAACCCCACTTTTCTTTTTTCTGAACGCGGCCGGAAAGTGTGGAGGTTTGGAAGCGTGATCGATGCGTTGCGTGTCTGTGCGCAGTTCCAACCTATACTGAACCCACATTGCATGCTTTCTTCCGCACTTCCGCACTTCCACATACCCGCACCGCTTCGAACATGGTGACCACCTACAAGCTGTCTGCCACCTTGGAGCAGCACGGAGCGGACGTCCGTTGCGTGGCTGCTGGCAGCCCCGAGGTAAGCAAAGACTGTCGAGGTGACATCGTGCTCACCGGCTCCCGTGACCGACACGCTATCATCTGGCATCGCACCAGCGGCAATCAGTTCGACTCAGCACTCGAGCTCGCCAATCACGAAGGCTTCGTCAACGCCTGCGCACTGCTTCGATCCGACGCAACCTACGCTATCACTGCCGGCCAGGACAAGATCATCTACGCATATCAGCTTCTCACCTCCGGCAACCAGATCACAGTCCAGCTTGATGCAAAGACCGCCGAGCCACAGCCAGCGCGCACATTGATAGGGCACACTGAAAACGTTTGCGCGCTCGACGTCGGACCGCACGGCCAGTACATCGTCAGCGGCAGCTGGGACAAGACCGCCAAGGTGTGGAGGAATTGGGAGTGCGTCGCAACCTTCAAGGGTCATGAGCAGTCGGTTTGGGCCGTTCTCGCGGTCGATCAAGACAGAGTGTTGACAGCATCGGCGGACAAGACAATTCGTTTGTGGTCCATCTCGAGCCCTACCAAGCCGCTGGCGGTGTTCGGCGGGCACACGGACGCTGTGCGTGGCCTGACGCTGCTCGAGGGCGGAGAGTCGTTCGCAAGCTGCGGAAACGATGGCAACATTCATCTCTACTCCCTGCACGGCGCTTCCTCGTCTGCTGGGAGTGCGCCGATTCAGCCCGTGCAGGTTCTGTCCGGCCACACGAGCTTCGTGTACAGCCTAGCAACCATTCCGGGCGGAAGGGGCGAGCTCGTAAGCTCGGGCGAAGATCGCAGCGTCCGCGTCTGGCGAGACGGCGCACTCGTACAGACTATAACACTTCCTGCCATCTCAGTCTGGTCAGTCTCTGTTCTTGCCAACGGAGACATTGTCGCCGGCTCTTCGGACGCAGCGGCCCGAGTATTCACCCGCGATGCATCGCTCGTCGCAGACGAAGCGACACTGAAGGCGTACGACCACTCGATCTCGACTCAGGTGCTCAATCAGACGCAGGTGGGCGATATCAAGAAGGACGACCTGCCAGGTGTCGAAGCGCTCTCGCAAGCAGGCAGCAAGGAGGGACAGACCAAGATGGTCAAGAACGGCGACGTGGTCGAGGCGCATCAATGGAGCGCATCTTCGCAGCAGTGGGTCAAGATCGGCGAAGTTGTGGGTGGCGTGGGGTCAGGTTCGAAGAAGCTATACGAGGGCAAGGAGTATGACTACGTCTTTGACGTCGATATCGCAGACGGCGTGCCGCCACTCAAGCTTCCGTTCAACCTCAGCGAGAACCCATATGCAGCAGCACAGAGGTTCTTGGAGAAGAACGACCTGCCACAGCAGTACGCGGACCAGGTGGTGCAGTTCATCGACAAAAACACGTCGGGCGTCAGTCTGGGTGCGCCCCAGTACGCGGATCCTTACACGGGGGCAAGCAGGTACCAGCCCTCCGGATCGTCGTCTGGCGGCGCTAGCTCAGCAGCCGCGCCGTCGAGCGCTGCCGCGGTCGCAGCACCGAGCTTGGACGACACCAGCAGGTATACCGGAGCACGCAACGTCGATCCTTACACCAGCTCGGGGCCATCTGCATCGACTGGTGCCTCGAGCGCAGGGGGCGCGGCTACTTCGACAAGCTCGATCCTGCCACAACGAGCCTTCTTGTCCTTCAAGAGCGCCAACTTCTCCGCGATCAAGAACAAGCTATCGCAGGTCAACCAGCAAGAAACGGCCAAGCTATCAGAATCGGAAATTCGTCAGATCGACCAGCTGGTCTCTCGACTCGAATCTGGATCTTCGTCGGATGCTCTCAACATCGATGCACTTCGTAAAGCCGTCTCGTCGTGGGGCGCTGGCTCCCGGTTGCCTGCTCTCGACCTCATCCGATGCGCTGCAGCTGCCGGCACCACGACGGCACCGCTCGAGATCGCCCGCGAGGTCTTCGAAGCGTCCTCCTGGGCGTCTGACTGGCCCATCCCCGGCTCGCCCGACGCCAAGGTTCGGGATGTCAACTCGATGCTGGCCCTGCGCACGATCGCCAATCTGTGGAGCGATCCGCGCGCACTCGGCGAGCTCGAGGTGAACGGAATGAGCCTGTTGGGCAGCCTTTCCGAGACGCACTATGCCAGGATGAGCAAGAATGGCAGGATCGCATTCGCCACGGTCGTCTACAACGCGACCGCGCAGATGGTTGGTGGGATGGGCAAGAACAGCGCAGCAGGGATCACGTTGGGACTGGTGAACGAGGTGTTGGCGCAGGAGAGCGAGGAAAGCGAGGCGGTGTATAGGATTTTGGTGGCCTTGGGTAATTTGCTCTGCTCGTCATCGGGTAGCAATTTGAATAGGAACGCGTTGGACACGGCCCGTCAGTCGATGCAGAGACTGTCGGGAACGGGGTTGGGCAAGGAGCAGAGGATCGCGCAGATCATCGCCGAGGTCCATGGCTTGTTCTAGAGCAATGTACGAGGCGTTGAATGATGTTAGAAAAAGTCGGTGATTCGAATGACAAAGCGTCTGTGGTTGTGTGTCTCTCGGGAATCCATTGTTAGAGTCGCTATTGTGAGGAGGACAGCAGCGCTGGTGGATGCTCACAGAAGACGATTCGGTCGCAGTGCGTAGTTGCGAGGCAAGCAACGGGCCGGCACTCGTGACCATCCTGTCGCTCGACTCTGCTCGATACGATTGTTCGGGGCGGAACGAGCGAGCCGTGTATAAAGCTCGCTAGCGTGAGGGAATGCGGGGAAGCGACTAACGATGGACAAGTTTGTTCTCCGCCTCCGAGTCGCCGTTGGTTGTCGAGGCAAGGTCAGGGAGTTACTTAGCGCGCGAAAGGGTGTTGGTGCTTCCACATTCCTCTTGGCGGCAGCATGGAGGATTCGAAGATTGTGGCAGCATACCGCAGCGAACATAGTGTCAGTGAAGCTTCGGCAAGCTCCCGCTGTGGCGCAAGCGCTCAGTCTGCAGCCACCTGCGTGTTTTTTGTCACACTGCCTGATTGCTCGCGCTCTGGGCTTCAAGATCGTTCCGATTGACACAGTCGTATTCATGATGCCAGATGACTCGCAGCGCTTCAAGAGATGAACAAGCTAAAGGAGCTGCACTTCAGAGCATATTTCTGCTGCGGTCCATGTGTCATGACTTGCAGCTGCAGCTGCACTGCATTCGCTCTTGCTTCGACGTTTAGTTTTTACTAGAAAAGGCCTCCTGACTGCTGCCGATGCCTTGCCTGCCTCGCCTTGCAGGACACCAAACTTTGAGCACCGAGTGAGCCGAGTCAGGAAGAGACGGAGAGATACCTGCCCTGACCAGAGCAGCGGCTTGTGCCTTCGCATCTTGTCTAGGCGAGGCCTCGGCGGCAAAAAAGGGAGTCGCTGGGTGGCCGATGCTTAATTCCGCAAGACGTGTGCTTGTGACCGCGTGCAGCGACCAAAACAACTTGAAGCTACGCTGCCAACGCCCTAAAGCCCTCTCCCTGCCCAGCTCAGCTCTGCTTCGCTTTATATCGTACAAGAGACGGCCCAGTCGACAAAGCGTCTCAGTCATGAGTGCAGATAGGGAGGGAAAAGAGAGTTCGGATTGTCCGATGGTGCAGCGCGATAGCCCAATTGATGGCAGAGGCGGTACTCGACCGCTGCTGATTCCATCGGCAACTCAAGAAGCAGGCCCACCAAGAGCAACTCGCTCGCTCAGCTGACCTCTTGGTCTTGGTAACCCCCTCGGAGGACCCTGTTTGGGCGCCTGATGGTCGGCTTCCCCGCATTTTCGTACGCGCTTGGCTTCCATTAGTGCCTCGCTTGTCACTTCACACGGCGGCAATTCTCCACCATCACCTGCACTGGGCTCTGGCCCAGTAAGATGGCTCCCACGCTGTCGTCCCAAAGTTCATCCGTCGTACAATCTCATCCCTCGAAGAGAGCGTCGTTCCTCTGTGACAAGCTTCGAAGCGGCGTCGCTCGGCAAGACGAATGCCCCGCCAGAACCCTGAGTGACTGTCTCTCGCTTGCACTCCAAGCATCTCGAGGCGAGCGCACCGTGCCGCACTCCCGCTGTCAACTTTGCGCAATGGCTATTTCCTGTTGGTGGCCGTTGACCCTGTGCGTTTTTGACCGGTGGACGGTCACTGCTTCAATATGGAAGCAAGACTGCTTCTCCTCTCGCACTGTGTACGGCCTATCCGTCCGACTTGGCCGAAGCTCAACCTAACGGCGCGCGTGTGCCACATTGCGCGGCTGGTCTGACTCCGCCCCTTTGGCATGGTCTAAGCTCGCAAACGTGGGACCAACCCGTGACCACGCTACCTGCCGCGCGTACTTGCGCTTTGGCTGGCCAACCGGCTGTGCCTTCACTCGACGTCCCCTATGTCAGGTAGCAGGCTGAGCTCGCAGCATATATACAGGACCTCGTCGTCCATTGACGTTTCTTCCTCTTCGAGTCCTCGAGCTTCCGCCAACGCAGCCTCATCCCCTTTTGACTGAGTATCCTCCCCTGCCTCGCGCCAACGCACCTCACCATGGCATCCAAAGAATCCGAAGTGGGCTCCAACGAGCATCCTACCTACCATCAGGCCGATGGCACCAATGGGCACGAGCTCGGGCGTCAGATTTCGGTCACCCTGACGCCTCAACAGTTCGAAGAGCTCTACCTCCAGCCCTCCATCAAGTCTCGCGGTCAAGCCGGGCTCGTCAAGACCTTTGCCAACCCCACCGCGCTCGGAATCGTCTCGTTCCTCCTCACGCTGTCCCCCACCACGGCCTGTCTGATGGGTTGGCGGGGTGCCTCCTCCAACTCGCTCCTCGCCCTCGTCGGCGTGTACTACTTCCATGGCGGTATGGCGTTGTATGTTGCGGGCATGCTCGAGTTTGTCATTGGCAACACGTTCCCTGCGCTCGTCTTCTCGTCTTTCGGAACGTTCTGGCTCTCGCTCGCTGGCTTCTTGGACCCTCGTTTTGCCGTCCAATCCACCCTGCTCACGGGCAACGGCGGCAGTCCGGCTGTGTACTACCTCCCCTTCGGCTACTATCTGCTCTTCTGGGCCGTCTACACATACTTCCTCACCATCGCCGCGCTCAGGACCAACGTGGTGCTCGTCTGGATCTTGCTCTTTGTCGCCCTCACCTTCTCCACCCTCGGAGCAGCGTATCTCAAGTTCGGTCAGGAAGCCGCCACTGCCGGCGCCAATCTGATTGTGGCTGCCGGGGCACTGGGTTTCGCAGCTTGCATGGGTGGCTTCTACATCCTCCTACACCTCTGCCTCGCCGCGACCGACTTCCCCTTCAACATCCCCCTCTTTGACCTGGGACACTTGTGGCCCAACAAGCAGCAGTAACGCTCCGCTCCGCATCGTCGAAGCGCATCTTGACTCCTTTCTTGCGTTCCGCACTCTGTATTTTCTGGCTAAATACTGGCTCGGTACCTGTTCGTGACGACGTCTGACGCAATCTCATCATCATTGAATTCGTGGGAATGCGATCGAATCTCCGCGGTCTTGCAGTTTCCATGAGATCCCATCGATGTGCTACACTACAGCTTTGGCAACTTGCTCCTTTGCACGCGGATCAGCAGTGCGAATCCCACCAGGGGCAGAGCGACTGCGACGCCTGTCTTCTGCAGCACGCCGCTTTTGCCCCAGCCCCAGGTGGTTTCGAGGACACCGAGGGCCGCTGTGATCAAAAACAGGCTCACCACCACATACCCGCTGAGTCTATGCCACTTCCACAAGGCCTTTCCCTTTGCTTCGCCACCTACGAGTTTGCCTTTCCACCACACACTTGCTGCGCCCAGAGCGGCCTGGATCCACGCTGCTACGACGACGAAGGTGCCCAGTATGCCGTGGTATGAGAGAAAGTGCCCGGAACCAGGTTGGTCGTGGAGATACCACATGATGCTTGCTCCTGCAGTGAAGAGGGGGAGGACGAGGAGGAGGTTCAACCATTGATGTGCGCTAAACGCCTGTTTCTTGCGCTCTCCCTGTTGTGGGGTTGTGCGTTGAAGAACTACTATCGCCTGCAACAGCAGTAGAATTGTAAACGACTGAATCAAGGGGTGATACCCAAAGAGAGGCAGCGAGGTGATCGACATGGTGGAGAAAACAAGCGACCATACGACAGCCACAAAGAGCAGCGCAGAGGCTTGAACCCCAAACGCCGGTCGGGAGAGGTTCTCCTGTCGAACCATCACGAGTGGTGTTACTGCCTCGAGCGGCTCGTGCTGCGACGAGGGGAGGAGTGGTGCGCTGGCCGTGTCGTCCGTGGTGCTCCGTCTTGTGGTCATGTCTTTTTCCGTAGTCTATGGACGGATAGCGATGCGATCGACTCAAAGGTGATGGTGGATGACCTCCACGACCACACGCAGAGACAAGGCCGGACAAGATCAGAAGTTGGGGTCGAAAGGCTGACCAAATCTCCATCGCGCGCCGAATCGCCAGTTGCTCATCCGCCGATTCGACCACGTGCTTTTTCGGCAGATGCATAGCCGCGCATTTTCCGTCTGACCCCCTCGTCGACTCGGCCCGTTCTCAACACACCAAAGCAACCACACACTGCAACAATGGGTGAAGCGACTGTATACCGTGACAATGAGTGTAAAGACAGTTGCGGACCAAGAGAGAGTGACGTGGGAGTTGGACCTTATGAGAGAGTGTATATATGCAATTGTTCAAAAGAGTGTGGTTTCTACGAGCGATGCGAAGCGGGTTCGAAAAAGGCGGTGAAGCGCTTGATCTTCTTGAGACGCGCCTGGTGCTTGTTCTCCTCGCTGCCGGACAGGCTGGGCGAGGCGGCGGAGCGACGGTTCATTTCCTTGTTCGAGCTGACCGACAGCACGGATGTGCGACCGCCGCTGGCCGAGAGCCGAGCAGCGGCTTTCTCGATGGCGTCCTCCTTCTCGCCATCGGCGTCGTTGTTGTGGGCGGCGGTCACGTCTTCCTGCGCCACAGTGTCGACGCTGGTTGCAGCCGGGAGCTCGCCGGTCGAGTTCTTGAAGCGCATCGAGGACAAGCCTTGGCCGTTCCTTCGCTTGCCGAGACGGTTGAAAGGGCGGCCAGAGGTCGATGATTGACTGGCTGAGGGCGGAATGCGCGAGGATTCTTGGCGGCGGAGAAGGCGGTACGTGTCGACGACACCACGAGAAAAGAGGTTGGCGCCACGTCCACCATTGAGCTCGGTCTTGAGCTCGCCGTCCGGACCCGATACCTCGACCATGTCCCAGTCCTCGTCCTCGTGCTCGCTCTCTCGAATCGCACCGTTGCTGGGGCGTCCGATCGCAGAGGGGACCGTCTTGCGAGGCACTGCCGAACGACCGGCGTACGAGCTGGCAGGAGAGCTCTGCGCTTGGCTGGCGGAATGATCGCTGCTCTGCGAGTCAGAAGTAGTGGTGGTCGCGTCTCGACTGTGGGGTTGAGCGGGCTCGCTCTGCGTGTTGTCGAGCGCCGACAGTCCTGTCATGGAGTCCGCCTCCATGCTGGCTTCATGCTCAAGATGGGCGAGGACGGCAGCTGCGTTGCGCGCTGCTGACTCGTCGTCTTCCTCATCGTGGATAGAGACGTCGGCGATGGAAGGCTCATCCAAGGTTGCTTGAGGCTCCTTGTGTCCCGTGATGGCTTCTGCGCTCGGCTGACGATTGACCACGGGAGGAGCAACCGCAGCTTTGGTCACGATTGAGGCAGGTGGGGTGTCCTTTGCAGGCTGCTCGGCCGGTAGAGTAGCGGCTTCCTTGGCTGGAGAAGCGCTGTCGGCAGCATTGTCTGCACCTTCGTCCGGTCGATCGGTGGACAAGACGGAAATGACCGAACCAGAGTCCTTGCGGCCACGGAACGAGTATCCATCAAAGAGGTTGCTGTGCTCGGATGCGTCCGGGTCATCCATGCTTTGATCCGGGGTTGCGGCGGCGACAGCCCCTCCGTTCTGGTTCTGAGTGACGGGAGCATCAGCAGTCACCAGCGGGTCAGCACCACCCTCCTCGCCTGCAGCAGTCGCCATGTCCATACTGGCGTCGTTCTCGTGGGCTACGGTCGGCTGCATCTCCAGGAAGGTCTCGTCAAAGTTCTGGGTGTCGGTCTCGTTGTCGGGGTCGATCGGCGGAATGTAAGGGGGAATGTAGCGCTTGTGGAAGATGTGATCCCACTCGATCATGGAAAAGTAAGGATGCTTCCGGATCCGCGGCTCCTTCATTCGCAACTGCGGATTTCGCTGAAGCAGACCGCGAAGGATGCTCTTGGTGTCCTGATCCAAGACTCGGTCTTCCGGGAAGACCAGAGGATCGCGGAGCACCTTGGCATACATGTCGGCGTGCGTGTCGGCCCAGAAGGGAGTGATGCCAGTCAGCATCTCGTAGAGCATGGTGCCGAAGCTCCACCAATCGACTTCGTACGAGTACGCTTGGCCCTGCAAAACTTCGGGAGCCAGATACTCGGCTGTGCCGCAGAAGGTGGTGGTGGTCTCCCGCTCTTCGAGGAAGCGACTGGAAGAGGACCTGGATGGATTGTCAGACGCATCGTCGGAGGCCGACATCCAGTGAGCGGATCTCGATTTGGGCACGCCGGTGCTGGAATGCGAACGGCCAGGTGACGTTGGTGGTGGCGTGACGCTGCCAGTGGATCTGCTGCGGCTGCTGAACTCTTTGGAAAGACCAAAGTCGGAGAGCACAATATGGCCATCAGCGCCGATCAAGACATTCTCGGGCTTGAGGTCACGGTATATGACACCGGCCTTGTGCAATCCCTCCACGCCCTCTACAATTTCAGCGGCATAGAAGCGAGCACGGTCACGACCGAGTCGTCCCCATCGCGAGAGCTGCGTTGCGAGATCTCCTCCTGGGTGAAAGTCCATGACAAGGTAGAGGTTGTTGCGGTCGTGGAAGGACCACCACAGACGCACGACGAAAGGGTCTAGGACGTCCTTGGCCATGCGCTTGAGCACGGCCTGCTCAGTGAGCGTGTGTTGAAGTTCCTGATGAGCAAGCACGTGCCTCTTGTGGATGGACTTCATGGCGTACAAGCCGCGCGAAGATGCATGACGAACGAGCAGCACCTTGCCGGCACAGCCCTTGCCGAGCACGCGAATCATCTCAAAGTCGTCGACCGTGACCTTGTTGGAGCCTTTGCGACGACGCTGAGAGCGACTGCCACTGAGCTTTGCTGCGCCTTCGGACTTTCCGTTGGCGGCATCTTCCGAGTCTTCGGCGTCCTTTTCCTCGGGGATCATTTCGATGTTGGTATTTGTGGATCGGCTGTCGTCAGCGACGCCGCGCTTGTCCGACGAGGGTATGTCGAGAGACCCTGGTCGCGAGCCTGTGGTTGCGCGGCTGAGTCTGCCAGCTTGCGTCCCTGAGGCACGAGAAGAGTCATCGGCCGAATCGACGTCGAGGTCGTCCTCGGTAGGGTTGCCATCTTCGAGGTCAGACTGACCAGGAGCGACACCGACGTTGGTATTCCGCGGTGCGACCGACGACTTGACATGCTCAGCGAGATCACTGCGCACCCTGCGGACTCGACGTTCGACACGGACGCTTTGGAAGTCGTCGTTGCCCACTTGCACGAAGCGTTTCCACGCCTTGTGTTGGCGTGCTGCGGTATGGTTAGCGAGGGCGGTAAAGTAAGTCGCGAGCTGGGTGGTGATGGAGTGCGAAGTGAGTTTGGATGGGGCGTCGGGATTGGGAGAGAGCGGAGCTGACGGTGGGGGAGACGCAGCTTCGATTCCGTTGGTCTCGGGAGAGGACGTTATCGATTCGCCTGCAAAGTTGGCAAAGGTGGATCGAGCTTTGGAGGCTCCTGGAGACAAGGTGCGGGAAATGGTTTGAAAAAACTTGCGTCCGCTCAAGGAGGAAGTCGAAGCGGGCAGAGCGGGCAGATTCGGTAGCGAACTTGAAGGCAGCGCATCTCTGATCCTCTCGTCCATCTCGGTAATGTCGGTGGCGGATCGGATGAGGGTGAGGTTGTGAGTAGAAGTGGTGACGTAGAGGGTATAGGAAGCGACGACCTGTTTGCGTTTGCGGCCTTCGCGTTTGTCCTTGGCTTCAGCTACGCTGATACTCCATGGCGCATCGCCGGAGCGGCCGAGCGTGGAAGAAGATGCAGGGTCGGTCAAGGTGGACTCGAGCTCGGCACCTCGAGTTCGAGGGCTCGCAGTGAGCGAAGTAGGATTGCCATCCTCGTCAAAGAGGCCACGAATGCTCGTGCGGCTACTGCTCGATTGGACAGGAGCGCCATTGTTGTTTGCGCCGCGGCCCGACAGCTCTCTGAGACCAGCAAAAGTGCTGAACTTTTTGTGGCTAGCAGAGGGAGCTTCTACGGGAGAAGTGGCTGGGGAGACCATGGTCGGCATCTTGCTTGGTGTCGGATGAACTCCTTGCAGTGAGGTGCTCGAATGGACTCGATGATGAGGCTCGAAAGGATGAGGAAGTCACGGCGGCCTTGACGCTTGAGCGCCAACTTGCTAGCTTGACCCCAAGGAAGACGACAAGGGCATCAAAGGGCTGCGCAGAAGGTCGGACCGGGGGATCGAATGGGTTGAGTGCGCTTCAGCCGCGGGTATGAGGTTGCAGTGTTGAGTGAAGGATGCGATCGGGCGGACCGAGGTTGTAGATGATGAGGCCAGTCGTGATCAAGACGACTGACAGCGAGTGTCAGGGAAGTCAGCTCGCAGATGGATGATGATGACGGTGCTTGTTGCAGACGGAATTGAGGATCAAGTGCGAAGTCGAGAGTGCGAGTGTCAAATGCGGGAACGAGACTTTGCGTGCAAGAGACACAGAGCGAAGCAGAGACAGGGTGGGAGTGGCGGTGAAATGAAGTGACGATGCGAATGTGAGGAGTTGAAGAGGAAAGTGACGGAGATGGTTGATGATGATGGTTGAAGTGTTCGAGTGTGATTGTTGAAAGGGTTCAAGTGCTTCTCAAGAGGTGTGTGTGTGTGTGTGTGGGAGAGCAGAGCCAGGCTCCAACAAAGGGGCAGGCGGCAGGCTCTCTTTCAGTCTGAAATCGCGCCCAAGCGAGTGTTGGTCTTTGCGGAGACTGAGCCAAAATTGTGAGGGCGGCGTGCGGCACTTTGCAAAATGGCGGTTGCGGCTGCGGAGAGTGAGACAAATTGGAGATGCATCGATTGAGCCCAGCTGCTCGTCAAGTGCAGACAGACACATATCCACACGCAGACACATACAGCACCGGCTCCATGCCAACTGTCGAATCTTCGCTCAAGGGGAACAGGATGCATATTCAACCTGCAAGACAGCGTCGGCCGGTCCTTTCTGCACTCGACATGCTTTCTCTTCAAGTAGGTGCAGTAGGTTGATTGCGTCAGGATTGAGCTCGAGAGGCACCTTTTCAACACGGACTGCCTCCACCGACACGCGCTGCCAAAGATTGACGCTTAGACAGAAGTGGGGCGAGGCGAGCAGCCAACGGTCAGCTGCAGAGGAAAGCGCTGTTTTCTTCCATCGAATGTAGGTTGCTCGGGTGTGAGAGGCTCAAAATGTTGCACGTTTTGGTTTCAAGGTTTGAGCGGTTGCAGATGCGGGGCGGGAGATAGGCAATTCTTCTGACTGAGGATGCGCTGCCTGTTCTGCGCAAGCTGGGCTTGTGTGCGTGCGTGCGTTGATCCTTCCGCCGCTTCCATCCAGGGTCCATCGTCGAAGCGGAGCTTGATCTCACTGCGGACGGTGCGGGCGATTATCATTGCAATTGAGGCTGGCCTAAATCGGAGCGCTGTCGACAGCGACGCAAAAGAAGCTTTCCTTTCGCAGTCGGCCTGGTGGCGTGCTTCCTGTGCAGCTGCACTTTGGCAGCGCAAGAGGACAGCAGCACCATATTCTCTTCCCTTTGGGCGGCTTTTCCGCGTTCCTCGCCAGACATGTCACATTCTCACGCTCTCGGGCCCACCGTGGCAGTCCATTGCTCAGCCTGGGCCTACGCTTCAACTCCACCTGCAACGTCCTCCCTCTCGGCCAATGGATGGAACTCTTCACGCAAGACTGCTCTTTTTGGCTGTTCCCGGCGGTGGTCGATCCCGCGTCTGCAAAGAAAAAGATACAAGGGTCCCGCTTCGCTTAGCGTCGATCAGAAGGATCCTAAATTGAAGGGGGTAAAAAGGGGTGCAAAATTCGTGCATGAAATCTCCAGATGATCTGCATTCGGTGGTCACAGTCGCACACTGCTCAAGTGCCCTTGCCAAAGTCACGCACGCTTGTCGTTCACTTCTCTATGAACACAAGTGGAACGGTCCCACCGGCCATGCGCAGCGGCGATAGGATCGCATCGATGGTCAGACATCCCACACTTCACGATGTCGGAGAACGACAATGCAGATGCAAGAAAGTGATTGCTGATGTGCAGTGGCAACGACAGACACAGGAGAGACGGAAGGATCAAGTGCAGACGAGACATGCGAGAGGTTCGAGACTAAGGGTGAGGTGCGATGCTGTGAATCAGTGATCAGAGAAGGGCTGCAGTCCAGAGGCGAGTCGGGATACGGATCAGATGAATGAGAGAGAGAGGAGAAGGGCGATGACGCTGCTGTCGTACTTAGAACCCGTCCAGAGCAGAGAGGCTGGTGTCGGCATCGCCAAAGCCTTCGCCAAACAGCTTCTTCTGTCTGCCTCGAGCCTGGTCTCGCTCCCATTCGCGATCACGTTCGCGTTCCATCTCTCGTTCCTTGCGAACCTTCTTCTTGAGGCGCTCCTTTTCGCGCTTCTTGTCGCACGTGCACATCGTCGGCACATTCACCGCCAACAGGTGCGGCGACTCGGAGCAGCTTTCGCCTGGCGAGTTGGACGACTCGCGCTCATGCTGCGAGTCGCGTGCTACCGACAGGAGCGAAAAGGCGGATCCGTCGCGCGATCGAGAACGAGACGAAGACCGTCCTTCCACGCTGAGTGAGCGTACGCTGGCGCGCAGTGGCGAAAGCGATGAACGCAAGCGCTGGCCCTCGTCTTCCATCTCGGACACTTCGTTCGAGCCTGGAAGATCTCCGCCGTCCAATTTGCGGGCAAGCTGCGGCGACAACATGCCCAGAGCCGATCGCTCCGTCTTGGTTTCGCCCTCCTCCTCAGCATCCGTGATCTGCGCGGATCCACCAGACGAAGTGGGGGCCGAGGACTCTGTGCCCGAATCCTTGAGACGCTGTCGAAGCGATCGGCAGTACCGACACTTGGTCGACTTTTTCTTGACGTGACCGTCTCGGCTGAGCGAGCGCACACGGATCGCGCGAGGGTCATCGTCGTCACGGTTGTCCATGGCGGAATCTTCGTGGTCTTCAAAGCTGGTCCTGATCTTGGGCGACAGGCGCTGCGAGTCCGTGTCATTGTAACGCAAGCTCGGTCGGCGAGACGACTCTGGTGTGGTCGCTTCGGATGTCGAGATCTCGCCGTTCGAAACAACTGCGAGACGACTGCTAGACGGCATGCCTGCGAAATGCTTGGGTTCCCAGTTGACAGTGTTGACCGTTTCAACCGAGGAAGAGAACCTCGCCTCATCCGCGAAGCCCGTGGTTTTGGGAGTATTGAGCTCCTGATTCCAGTCGTCGGTGGCCTCCGCCGTCACCTTGACGCGGTTCGGCGCGCTTCCGTTGGGGCGCATCCAGGTGGGCCTTGACTCAGCAGTGCTGCGCAAGCCAGCTTCGTGGTGAAGGCTGTCGGCCGTCATTTGTTCAAACGCGCTGAGATCGGGACTGGTGCAATTGCTGCTGATCCAGCTGTTCTCGTTGCCTGGCGACTCGATTCCGTCGGCATCTCCGTCGCTGCTCAGACTGCTCCAAGGGTCGACCGAAGAGCAACGCGATGAGAGGGGAGACGAAGTGACACCGAGCAGACCCGACCAGCCAGGAGACGATGCGCCACCACTGCCGTTGAGAGGAGAGGGCGGCTGAAGACCCGAGATGCGCGCTGCGTCCTTTTCCGCCATCCTCCTTTCCAGTCCCAGGCGACGTGGTGCTGAACGCGCTGCTGCGTCAGGCACCTGTATGCTGATGGAATTCGGCTTGCCCGACAGTGGGCTGCTTCGACCTGTCTCGGCCTGGGCGGGTTCTCTCAAGGGAGAAGGTTGTCTCACCGGACTGGACGCTGAGACCGCCGTGTCGCGCAAGACCTCGACGACGCCAAGCGCGTTCTCCTTCGTCGCTGTGTCGCTGCTCGGGGCATCTTTGCTGTGACTGCGGTCGGCGATGCTGGAGGACGAGTCGTCCGAGGCAGCAGCAAAGTAGTTGGCGCTTGCGAAAGAGCCCATCGACTTGTGTAGGCTGGGGCTGGGCATAGGAGTAGCGTCCGGCGAGAACTTTCGTGTTGTCGGCGGCGTGGCGGGGCTGGACAGGTCCTTGTGCTGCGAAGCTGGCTGCGGCTCGGCGGGAGCGGGCGCAGTGACTTCAGGTGCAAGGCTGTTCTGAAGACCCCCAAAGGAGCGGAAGCCGTGCACGGGCAGACTCACCTTCTGCGAGGTGGCTTGCGGCTGCGATGCTTCGTTGCTCGAGGGGGCGTCGCCTCCATTGAGGGCCGAAGCATGCTGCAGGGATGACAGGGCAGAAAAGTGAAGCGACTTGCCGCTGGCCATGAGACCAGACTGCTGTTGTCGTGGCTGATAGCCAACGGAGGCGATGACCGTGCCGTTTTTGATGCAAGCCCAGTTCTCGAGTGAGGGGTCCTGGAAGAAGCCAACGTCCGGTGCAGGCTCTTCGGCGGACTCCATGGCGGTCAAAGACTCATCTATCGAGGAAGCCTCCTCTTCGCTGGTTTCATCTCCATTATACGACGAGCTGCGGGGTGGCAAGCTCATGTCGAACTCCGAACCTCCTCGTGTACACTTGATGGGACGACGGTCGTATGATGCGCCCGAAAGAACAGAGAACTCCTCTGGCGGAGCCTCATCGAAGTGCACATGGCGCAAGTTGGCTTGCAGCACCAGGTTGCGCGGAGCAGCAAACGAGGTGGGCAAAGGGTTGGAAGCGACCCGATCCTGGGTAGGATTGCCTTCGAGACGCGTAGCCGCCAAATCGGAAGTGATTTTGGAGACGGGAACGGACGCCTGCCTCTTGAGACAAGGAGCACGAACGCAAGTGTTGGTTCGAGCCGGGATGAGATGATGTCGGATTCGGTCCACCTTGGGAGAAAGCGGAGTGGCTTCGAGCGCGGGCAGATCGGACTCGATGTCGCTGGAACTGGATGCGACAGGGATGGTGGTGTCGATGTGGAGCTCCCGAGGAGCTGAAGCAGATCTGAGCTCCATGATAGTACCGGTTGACGGCTGACGTTTGTTTGCTGGGAGCACGAAGAAGTCGGGAGCGATAGGTCGCTGTTCGAATCTGCAAAGGTAACCTCAACAACGATCGTACGTCATGGTGTCTGTCGTGAAGCCTTAAGGTTATGACTGCTGATCGGAAATGAATGCGGGGATGGCGATCTGATGCACCTGAGGATCAGCCCTCCAGGCTGAACGCGAGTGAAAGGATGTTCGGATGCGTTGCGAAGCACTACGTCGAGTCGAGAGTGGAGAGGAAGTGAAGATGGCTTCGAGAGGCCGCAGCTTCAAGCGTGAGGTCACAAAACGTCGGGCATGGTGGTAAAGAGTGAGAGCCCCCTGTATGCAAAGAACAATGAGTAGGATGGGTGCGAGAAGCTGGCGGTGTCGGATGACTGAGTGGTCGATGCTGTCTGCTCCGGCAAAGCGCACAAAGCCGCGGTCTGCGTTGATGAGACAGAAAGCGGTGGACGAGTCGGACGGACAGAAAGTCGAGTCGGGAGCAACTGGTCGGAAAGGAAGGGAGAGGATGCCAAGACGACGAGGGAAAGGACGGACCAGAGGGCCACCGTCAAGGAGGCAAGGGGCTGGACTCTGAGGAAGGGAGAGCAGCTGACAGGAAACAGCGGCGGTAGCGAGGCACAGGGATGAGGAATGAATGATTTGGCTGCAACCGAGGACGGGCGACGCCAAAGAGCCAACCAATCCGACGTCTGACAAGGAGACGGCCGGGCTACAGTAGACGGTAAGCTGAGTGGAAATTGCCAGCCTGCAGCGTGTGTCTTGGGGTGCGAGCGTCTGAAGCGGGTGGGGCCCATCAGTCAGACGAGGTGAGTGAGCCACAGCCAAATTTGGCAGAGAAAAAGAGCAAAGAGGAAAGCGCGAGGTGCAGCTTGCGCATGCGGAGTAAGAAAGCGAAGCGAGCGAGCGAGTTGTGCCGCGATTTTTTTTACGAGTTTGTGTTTTGAAGCAACCAAAACTCGCAATCCCACCGACCACAGCAGAGCAGACAAAAGACGAGAATTGCAGGGGTGCAGGCAGTTCATTGATTTGCTGACGGCCCTGCTCCGAACAAAGCATTCTGAGTGACGCTCAGACTGACACACGCACGCTCAGCCACATTTGGTGGTCATTTCAGCGGGGGAACAGATCGCAGCCCAGGCTCATATCGAGAATGAAACAGGCGGGGCAGCCAGTCTCAGGCTAAGAGAGGCGCAGACAAAGAAGGGCAAAATGCGCTCATCCAGAACTCCAGTTGACGACCCTGTCCATTCCGATTACAAGGTCGGGTTGCTGAGACTCACACACTGGGGCATGTCGAGAATTTGAGGTTCGGCGATGCACTGGATTCCAGACAGCGCCGTTCCCGCAGGACCCGACCCGTCTTGTGAAGTCTCGCCGGACAGGACCCACGGAAGGGCGGGAACGAGATCCAGCAGGAAGGCGGAGACATGCAAAATTTTGATGCAGCAGCAAGGCAGCAGGAGCAGTACCACGCAGCAGGCACAAGCAGGATCGTGAACTTGGCATTTCAACTGAGACACGAAAGCCTCGCAAAGTCGTACTTCGGGCCAGATTCTGTGGGCCAATTCCTGAGGACCGATTTGCAATCCCGATTCATCTTCAATCTGTCTGTTACATTCGTGTTTCTGTTGGTCGAATTCACTGCGAAAATGGCTGGCTCGATGTGTGTTTTTGATGCGCGTTGCCGAAAAGTAACACTTTTTTCGTGTAAAATAAAGCTCGGATCTTTCTCAGAAGAACCGACATGCGTGTGGTTGTGTGTGGCTGAGCAGCTCTAAGGTGCCTATGTGACCTGTCGTTGACATGATCAGCGACTCATGCCTCACTTGACTTTCAGCAACGACATCGAAAAGAAGGCGGAGCATCACCATGGCCGACTCAATCTACGCTCCCAAGAACCAGCACAAGCTGAATGCAGCGCAGGCTGCTGACGCCGTCGCTGCTGCTCCGAGCAGCAACTCACAGCCGAATATCGCTAAGAACCAAGCAGGCAACAGCAATGGAAGCCATCGAGCTCATCCTCACCTCACGCAGCCGCTGCTCTACATCAGCGGTGTCGACGCTGCCATGGCCGACAAGGAGCTGGCTGGTCTCGTCTTCCAAGACGTACTCCCTGTCCGTCTCAAGATCGATCGTGACGTGCCTCAAGGTCAGACGGCTAGCGGCACCGTCGAGTTTCAGACACTAGACAAGGCCGAGAAAGCATACGCCATTGTTCGACCTCCCATTCAGCTTCGCATCGAGCAAGACGCCTCCTCGAAAGAACCAGTCGCATCGGCCAAGCCACGTCTCGTCAAGCAGCTGCCATCAACCACCGACGACTCGCTCGTCTACGATCTCTTCCGCCGCTTTGGTCCTCTTCGACGTGCACAGTGCCTCCTCACGAACACTGCTGGCATTCACACAGGCTTCAAGGGCATGGCTCTGCTTGAATACTACGACGAAGAGGATGCAAAGCGTGCCGAAGCTGAGATGCACTGCTCCGACGTCGATGGCAGCACCATCTCTGTCGCTGTCGATTCGAGCACTCGCAAGCCCAGCACTGGCTTCCGTCCGTCTGCTGCAGCCTTTGTGCCTTCTAGCGGCATGAGCCCGTCCACGCCTTCCTTTGTGCCAAGCGCTGCCAGCTCTCGCTCTGTCTCTGCAGGCTCCTCAGCTTCCATCTATGCGAGCACTGCCCCTTCATCGACTTTCCAGACCCCATCTCCTGCTCACAAGGGTGCGCGAGGCCCTTCGCACAGCAGAGCATCTAACTCCATCGATCCCAGGAATCTGTTCGTCAAGAATCTCGACGCGACCCTTACCACACAGGATCTGCTGGATGTCTTCAGAGCCTTTGGCCAGGTCGTTTCTGCCCTTGTCAAGCAGGATGAACAGGGCAAGAGCAAGGGATTCGGATTCGTCAGCTTCACTACCGCAGAAGAGGCGCAAGCCGCTATTCGCTCGCTGGACAACACCAAGCTCGGCAGCAAGAAGATCACCGTCTGCCTACACGAGTCCAAAAAGATCCGTCAAGAGAAGCTCGCCACACGTCTGCAGGGACTCAGCGTCGGAAGCACCGACGGGAGCGAGGCTGACGCTGCAAGCAGACGAGCGAGCACCGATGCTTCAGAGCAAGCGCCCCAGTCTCCGGTCCCTGCGCAGACACCGCTCGCCGCAACGTCGTTGTCAGCGGGCATCAGCACCTCTGCCAGTGCTCAGGCGCAGCGCAGTGTTTCCAGCACTTCTTCTGTGGGCGACGCAAGTGGATCAGCAACGGAGAGGGAGAGGCTGCTGAAAGCTGTCATTTCCGTGTCGGAAGCCGATGCGCCAGTTGAAGATATCACCGACATGCTTGCAAGCCTGCCAAAGAAGGATCGAGCCATGGCGCTCTTCAGTCCCGAGTTCCTCAAGCAGAAGGTTGACGAAGCAAAGGACATTCTCGACATCACTGACGAGAGCGGCGAAAATTTGCATGCTCCTCGAGACACGAACGGCAGCAAGCCCGCAAGCGTTCTCAAGGACGCCACCAACGGTCAGAGCACCTCCAGATCTTCTTCCACGAACGACGCCAAAGCATCGCTGGGTGCTTCAGCCCAAAAGCACACCCTGTCGTCCCTCGCCGCCCTCCCCGCGGCCGAGATTATCCGCCTCGCTCAATCATCACCCAGCTCCCTCCCACCCCTGGCCAAAGCCGACCCAGAAGTAGTCAAGTCGACGGACGAGTTCATCGACTCGCTCCAAGGCAAAGCGCCACACGATCAGAAACAGAAGTTGGGCGACAAACTCTTCAAGAAGATTCGCAGCTTTGGCGTCAAGGGTGCGCCGAAGCTCACCATCCACCTGCTCGACTCGGAGGATCTGCGTTCGCTGGCGCACCTCATGGACTCGTACGACGAGGTGCTCAAGGAGAAGGTCGATCAGAAGGTCGCGGCCGGCTTGAACAAGTGAATGTAGAATAACTTCGACAGCTCTATCTTGATTCTTCCCATCGTCTTTTGCTTCACATGTTTGTGGTCGGCAGTCCAGCCTGCACGGTGAGATCCTCTACCGGCGGCACGCCCGTGACTCTGAGCACCTCCTCTACACCACCCTCTACCCTCCCCAGTGCCTCCTGCTCCTCCCTCGATCTGCTCAGCATAAAGCCCGCGTAGCCCAACGAGTTGATCGACAGCTTTCCTACCTTTCCGTCCTCCGTCTTGCCTGGCAGATCTTCGTACTCCTCCCTGGACCGTGGTACGACGTGCATCGCCCTCTTTGTGATCAGCACGTTGAACGCGGGCTTACCGCTCTTCTCCCCTTCCCCGAACATACGCGCGCGAAACAATGCGTCTAGCAGCGTCATGAACTTGTTCCCGATATACCTCTCCATCTCGCCTTCGTCCTTCTTTGCTGACATGGGAGGGTTGAGTAGGACGACAAAGTGCTGCCATGGCAGTGGGAGGGCGTGGACGCAACTCTCCTCCTTGCCATCGCGTTCGATGCGGTCGAGCAGCGACTCGATGGGCACCTTGTGCTCGCTTTCGACCACCCGCTCCTGGTCTTCTTCGCTCAAACGCCCTGCATCGACTGCTTCCTGGCTGGTCGTGTCGAGCGGAGGGCACTGGACGAATTGCAAATGGCGATGCGGCTGGGAGGCCCCCGCTGTGGCACCGCAATTGTAGAATGCTAGCAGCTCGGTGCTGCTTCCGCGGTGGGCTGAGACGATGCGGTACGCAAGTGCGAGCGTCGATGGCGCGGGTGGCAGGTCTTGAGATGCAAACTCCCGGGTGACCATCAGGAAGTGTTGGGGGACGACGCAGAACTTGTTCAGCAGCATAACGTGGTCCGGGCCAAGATTCTTGACGTGCAGGTTGGGCACGTAGGGCGGCGCAAAGACGTCCGACTTGTTCTGCGACGGCTTGTTGCTTTCCTCCTCCTTCTTCTGCTGCTGCTCGGTCTGTGATTGAGTCGAGTCGTTGGCTTTGGGCTTCTTCAGCAGCGCAGGCACGGTGCGGATCTGCCATAGTACGCCGGTGGCCTCCGACTCTTGCAACGTGATCTTCTCGGAAGGGTAGAAATACGCATCGCCTTCGGCTATCGCAACGTCGAACTTCTTCTTGACTTCCGAGGCGAGCGATTTGAGCTCCGAATCTGGGATCGCTGGTTGTGTAGACATGGTCGACGAAGGTCTATGTAGGAGAGCTCGTGTCGTGTTCGAGGGCCTGACGAGCCGAGGGAGTATCCAGGGCGAGGAGACCGAGACGAGAGTGGGACGGACAGATGCGGCAATTCCTGGAAGCGATCGCATGTACACCGGTACCTGGACGTGATGATGAGACAAGTGGTGGTGAGAAGATCGATGTCCGTGCAACAGCGGAGAACAACACTTTCGAGCTTCCTGCGATTTTTTTGCGCCGACTCCACGTGTTAGTTCTCCGCAAAATGACAGGCTGCCGGGCGGGCAAAAACCGTCACCATGAATTGCCGCCTTCGCTTGCCTAGTTCAGTCGAGACGACCTCTCGCGCTGTTGCGAACGTACTGCCTGACTGCTTGATTGGACTACTGGTAGTTTACATACGAAAATAAGGTGTGTGGTTTGACTACCAAGCATAGAAAGAGATCGACTGTGGCGAACCTGGCCTCTTGTGCTGCTGGTGATATTGACTTGAGCTTCCGTGAGCGCTCGCGAACGGATAGCTCGGCCCTGCTGACTCTTCCATCTCCGGCACTGACGGCATGCCCGACCGATTCAACTGAGTCTCTGCGCTCCCCGTCGCAGCAGGAGGAACTGGACTCTTGGACCCCATCCAATCTTGCATTGGCCTGAGATCCAACGTCTCCCGGTACTTTGCCTCGCTTCCCTCTGCTTTCGAGGCGTTTGGTTGCGACGCGGCAGATAGGCGGTGAGCGAACATTGACGTTGTAGGTGATGCGACGGGCGAGCAGCCGAACAGCCGCTGGAACCTGTCCTCTGCTTCTTCTTCCGCTGCGTCTGTCCTCGCCACGCTTGGCTGCGCGGCAGGAGTGTCATCATCGTGAGAGGCCTTGGCGAGGAAAGAGAGCCAGGATGTGCGCGTATGCCTCACTTCCGGCGCAGCGGGATGAGTAGCGCGGCTACGCTGTATGGATGGAAAGCTATCGCGCACAGGAGAGGCTGGTTGTTGTAGCGGGCTCGGCTGTCGTGGGCGAGAAGCGGTGTTGGTGGAGGTCGCGAGATTGTGTTGGAACTGGAGCGGGTAAGAGATGCTGTCCTTCGTGACGTGCGTGCGGGCAGATCGATTCGAGTGAGGGATCGAGAGGCGCCGAGTTTGGACGGCTGGATCTTCCAAGCGCGTTGGGGGATCGATGCAGTTGCTGGTTTTTGGGCGCCGTCGCCACCATCCTACACTTGGGCCGGCCTGCAGACCGGTCTTCAGCTTCTCGTCCATGTCCTCGCCGTAATCTTGCTCTCTTCCGCTATCTTGTCCCTTGCCTCTGTCGACAAGAGTGGCATATGCCACCACGAGCAACCCGATCACCAAGATCGTCCCATATACACCGACCAGCACCAGAAACATAATCCTTTCCTCGCGCAACCGTTTCTCGTACCTCTCCATCACGCTTCCCACCATTCCACCATTCCCATCCCCTCCGCTACCCAACAGTGCCTCCTTGACGGGTCTCGTCACAGCCTCTCCTTGCTCCCCTTGCAGCATCAGCACATCTGCGGGAACCCTATCGAAATTGACGTGCGCATTATCGTGGATCCACGTCAGCGCCTTTTCTATGCCGCGCACCTTCTGCCCGATGATGCACTGGACGAACGTCTGAAGCGGCGCGTTGAAGGGTGTGCCTCCAAACGTAGACGTCAGAGTATCTGTGATGCCGTCAAGGAACTCATTGAGCGTCGCGTTCATGGTGCTCGTCGTCGTGTCGACCCAGTTGAAGACGTGGGCGTTGAGCTCGGTCTCCACCTGCGAGATGACGGCGTTGGCGGAGGCAGAGAAGGTCAGGGAGGCGTTGCGCGTGTGGTCGTTGACCATGTTGAGGACGTCCCCCGAGAGATGGGTGAGCGAGGTGTCGATCGAGTCCGAGTAGTGCTTGGAGAGGTTGTGGATGAGGATGGTTTGGAGAAGGATGGACAAAAGGCCGAGCAGACCGGTGAAGATGCATGCGAGAGCGGCTGGATGCGTGAGAAAGCTGAGGAGCCATGCGACTCGATCTTGGGATCGACGGGTTCGAATGCCGACACGATTGCAGACGCTGAGGGCGAAGTCAGAGATGAGCGGGTGGCGAGAGATAGCGAGCAGTGACATCAGGTTCTCCGTCTTGAGCACGTCCTCCGCTGGTGCCTTCTCGTCGTTGGGGTCATTCTGGTGAGGAGAGGCAAGCCAGACAGCCCTCGTCCGCGCAACAGCCTTGACCTCCCTCTGCCACTTCCACCATTCCCACGCCACACCAACGAGCATCACCACCAACGCGACGAGGCCCAACAGCACGAGGCCCCACTTCGCTATCCGCTTGAGCTCCTTGCCCAAGTCATCCAGCGGGCTCGTGTCAATCCGATCGCAAAAGGTCACCTTCTGCATTTCGGGGACGTCGAACACCGTGTGATTGAACGTTAACCCGCCCAGCGTGGTGTTGACCTCGCCCCTCATCTTCTCGAAGGGCGTCTCGATGAGCGCATCCATCCTGTCCTTGAGCTGTTGCAGCGTTGGCAGCGTCGCGTTGAGCTTCAACAGCCCGTCTTGAACCTCGTGCGGCAACGTGATATTCTCTAGCGCTGTCAGTGAGGGCATTGCGATGTGAGGCATGGTGATGTGCTGTCCAAATACGCCCACCACGTCATTGATGCCGCCGACTGCGGTGGATAACAGCGCGTTGATGCCCGTCACAGAGGCCTGGATGGCTGCTCTGATGCCTTCTGCTGCTGCAGTGATCGCTTGCGAAATCAGTTGCACCGCCTCGATCAGCACCGCCAACGAGCCTCGCACCAACAACTCCATGAAGCACACGAAGAGCGACCTGTACGAATCAACGATGTAGGTGAGAATCTTTTCGATGGCTGTAATGGACAGGTCGAAGACGCGAGCTGCACCGTGGACGGTGGCTGTGACGGATTGAGCGAGTTGTTGGTTGGTGGTGCCGGCGAGAAAGTGCGGGAGGGAGGCTGCGAGCGACGCGGTTGCCTCAACCGCGTCGCATGAGGAGAGGAGCTTTGTCTTGGCAGAGCTAACAGAGTCGTTGGCGTCATTGGACGATGCTAGGAGGCGGAAAGCTACGAAGAGCAGAGAGATAAGGGGGATGGAGATGGGTGCGAGGAAGAGGCGCGCTCGAAGGCCGAGCCATGGTTGCAGGCGCATTGGCTCGCTGACTGTATTCATGCCAGTGGTATCGGAAGCTGGCTCGGCTCGATCGTATGTTGAAGCCGTGCTGTAGATTCTGTGAAGGTATGAGGGCGGAGGATCAGGCTGAGTCGGCAGCGACATTGCTGTGATGTCGGGGCTCTTGGCTACACCTCTTACACAAGGCACGGATGATGGGGAAGCGCCTAGACGTTTACGGTGCGATGTCAAGGAGAGTTATGCTGAGCAGGGCCATTCCTAAGGCATATGTGGCTCGAGGCTCGCCAGAGACTCGAGATCGACTTGGCGAGGGCTGAGGGACAAAGGGACGAGCCCCACAAACAGCTATGGCTGCGTGGCGAACAACACATCGCCGCCGGCGCAAAGCACAAAAGCACGTAAGAGGCAGCATACGAGCTACAAGAATACGCTCCTGCCCTTTGTCCTGCTCGGGTTCGTGTCAAAGAATCTATGCAACGCTTTATCCGTTGTCCGACAGATGCTCTGACGTGACTTGATGAACTCCTGCAGGTGCTGGACAAAGGGACCTTGCCGCCCGTCTTCCCACCCCACAATGGCCCACCATTTCGTGCTAGTTTTGTTCAAAGTCATTAGTCCCACTGTGAGCGTAGAGACCGAGCAAGAGGTTCACTTGAGCAGAAGGCGGCGACAAAGCTCTTGCTGCCAAAGACAAGAGGGCGAGGAGAGCTGCATGTTGAGCTCGAAGCACGTGGCGCCTGCGTCAAGAGCAACACGATTGGACCCTGACTTCTCAATTTCTTCCTCATCATCCGTCCTCGCCATCCTTATCCTGCTGTTTCGGCACCTTTTCGCATCGATTGCCGGACGACGATGCCCCCACCTGCCAGAGCAATGCGTCTAATCATTCAAGGTCTGCTGGCGACATGCCTATACACGTCTTACCGCTACTACACCGGTACTGCCACCACCGCGCTCGACCACACAACGGGCAGCCTCACCACCTCTACGGCGCTCTCGGACGGCCGCGTACCCATCTCGCGGCGTACAGTAGCAGTAGCCGACCTTCATGGCGACCTTCCGCACGCTATCAATGTGCTATCTATGGCTTCGCTCGTCTCTCCTACCCAAAGCTCGTCCGCCTCGCATCCGTACACCTGGATCGGAGGCCACGACCAGCTCGTCTCGACAGGCGACATCGTCGATCGTGGAGACGACACCATCGCGCTCTATCGCCTCTTCCAGTCCCTTCGCAACCAATCTGCTCTGGTCGGAGGCGAGGTCAAGCAATGTTTGGGGAATCACGAGGTGATGAATGCCCTGGGTGACTGGCGGTACGTGACGCGAGGGGATGTGGACAGTTTTGGTGGGCCGCAGGCGAGGAGGAAAGCGATGTCTGTGGACGGCTGGATCGGGCAGGACTGGCTGAAGGGGTACAATGTTACGCAGACCGTCTCGCTGCTACCGGCAAACCACCCGAGACTGCCAAGTGGATACACGCCGCCCAAGGTCTCGTTCGTGCACGGAGGCATCACACCCGAATACGCCGAGCGAGGCGTGGACTACATCAACAAGATCGGACATGGTTTCTTACTCAAGGCGCTTTCCGCACTCAACTCAAATCACACCACTGAGGAAGAGGCATTGTGGTCGTCAGATGGCCCGCTGTGGTATCGCGGATATGCTACCGACTCGAACAACATGGCGTGTCAGAATGCGGAGAAAGCAAGTAAGACCCTAGGCGTTAGGCATCTGGTCATGGGCCACACGCCGCACATGGACGGCTTCGTCACTCGGTGCGACAACAAAGTGCTGCTCATCGACACGGGGATATCCAGAGCCTACGGGGGCGAGCAGAGCGCCTTGGTGATCGATTTCGATCTCGTACCGACTAAAGGCGAGAGGGATGGACGAAAGAGGTGGGTCGAGAAGGAGACTCTCACTGCACTTTACCGAGGGAGACGGGCGAAAGTTCTCGCTTCCACAGAGACCGAGCTCTGGCTCTGATCGCAATGACCAAGATCGATTTGTCTCCCTGCTCGACAGTGTGTGTGACGGTGCGGTGGGGCGCAGCTTTGCGTGAGCTAGACGGTGCTCGATCTGCGTACTGCAAGCCAGGACGACATCCCATCTCCCACGCTCTCGTTCTCTGCGATGGAAACTGATTGCAAAGTCAAACCTGGACTGAATGTATATTACAAGACCTCTTCTCTGTCTACTTGGAGCTCAACTGGAGCTTTTCGCCGCTGATCTTGCCGGTGGCCTCGTTCTTCTTATCCGCGACGGCGGCCTGGACGGGGTGCTGTTTCCTGAAGTCCCACACGCGGTAGAGCTGGGCGAGACCGCTGCATCCGACAAAGAAGTTGACCGCGGCGAGCGAGTAGTTGACGGGCGTGATGACGAGCGAGTAGCGCACCCAGATCATGCCTGTTGCGGCCAGAGCGACGTTCTGGGGGACAGAGATCTTGTCTGCTGGACGCGAAAGGTCTTTCAATCCTGCTGCGACGAGACACCACTTCATCAGAGGCGCCCAGAAGAAGACTGTGCGCAGAGACAGGGTCGGTGAGAGGAGACAGATGTCAGTACACGGCGCAGAAAAGGAGGCGTGCGATGTGCTCCAGGATACAAGGCGAGATGTACGCACCAGTCTTGGGCCCCGCAGGGTGGTTCATGAACGCCTGGAACTTGGAGCCTGTTGCTGACGCCATCTTGAGGTGCTAGTATGTGTGTGGAAGCTGCGGTAGGAGCGTGCTGCGGAAAGCCTTGATGCTGCCGGAGCTGCTGTAGGTTGGCTGTGCTTGTACGAAGGATCAGAGGAGTGCGAACGACGGGATGTAGGTAGAAGCGACAACGAAGAAGCAACGCAACTTTTTTGAGACAGCGTCTGTGCTCTCCCACCGCGAATTCTGGCGGTCGAGTCAAGAAACAAAAAGCCCACGCTCAACGTTCCGTATCGGATCTCAAAATTCGGAAGGTGTTAGACCAAGCCTTGGCGGAGCTGTCATACGTCAACGGCACCCAAACGATGCTGCGTTCTGGACGACTTCGACACATTCATTCGGGTCCGGCTTCTGTGCTGGTTCGGACTGAAGTGCTCTCTGTGAAGGCATGTCAATGGACTGCAACTGCTTGGTATATTGACTTATGAGGTCGAAGCTGGTGTTGTCGCGCTTGCTGGTGCAGCAGCAGAAGTCCTGACACCTTGGATGATCTTGAGCTTGTGTACTCGTGGAATGGCATCGCGGAGGTATTCGAGATGCTTCGCGTGCAATGCTGCCTGCTGCTGTGCTCCTTCTCCGCTCCATAAGCGCCTTTTGCTGTCTGCGCCGTAGACGACGGTCTGATTTGGAAGCTCTTCAAACACTGCATCATCTTCCCTCTGTGCTGGCCTGTTCCCTGAGCCTGCTTCCGCCTCTACCACCGCAGCCTCCTCCTTCAGCCCTTCATCGTCATCAAATATGTCGGCCAGCTGATCGTCTCGTATTGGCTTGGGCAACACGGTGCACCCTGCTCCGATCACGCTGTACGATCCGATCTTGACGTTCTGCGCCACTTTGCTCCTCATCTCAAATACATTGTACGATCCCACCGACGCTGCCTCTATCCTGCACCCAACTTCGAACAGGTTGCCATCGCCGATTTTGAGCGGTGTCGATCTGCGATTCACGATCACCGCGGTCTCCTCGATAATGCAATCGGATCCGATCGTGATAGGTCCCTGGAGCGCCAACACAGTGGCTTTGGGATGAATGACACTGCCGCTGCCGACCGAGATGTCGCCTCGAAGGTCTGCGTCCTGGGCGATGACGACGCGCGTGCCGACGGTGAGGTTGTCGCGCCTGAAGATGGCGGATAGGGCGGGACGGAGGGTCGTTGAAGAAGAAGAGGGAGGAAGGCCAGCAGTCGCGGTCGAGGTAGCAGTGTCCGTATGAGACGGTAGAGGAGATGCATCGTCAGTGAAAGTCTGCGGGAGCAGGCGAACCGCACCTTCGTGACCAAGAGGGCGAGCAGGCAGGTCGGTGAGGACGCCCTGCCTCTGCAGTGCTCGCAGCAGCGACATGATTGATACTGCTCTTGACCATAAAGCGAGCAATCGACATCGCTAAGCGGAAACCTGTGATACTGAGGCTGGCGGAACGAGAAAAGACTTACAGTGGGGCCATGGTCGGGCGACACGGTCCGTGCAGTGAAGTGGGTTGCGTCCGCGTCTGAGGCGGCTCGACCTTTGCCTCAGGATGCGAGATGCATGCGCCCCTCTCTTGCGCAATTGGGTGTCAGCTGGTGTGATTGTAGCGAGTGATGAAGTGGGCTTGTCAAGACAATGGAAGGGCCGAAGGAAGACCAACACAAAGGGACATCCATCTGAGCTTTCGGCTTGTTCTCCTGCAGGGTGTTGGTCTCGGGAGAAGAATCCACGGTTGTGCAATAAAGCTGTTGCTAACATCCTCAGACCAAGAAAATAAGGATTGGCCGGATAGTGCTTTGCTCTTGGCTGCTTTTCATTGGCCAGCCCCGCCGCCTAGTCATCTCGTTTCGAGCAAATGGTGGTTCACACGCCTCCCTGGACCGTTGCACTTCCGTGCCGAAGAAGCCGACAGCCTTGGCGAGAAGGAAGCAGCCACCAACCGATACGAGCAGCTGTGTGGCAGAGTTGGAACAACAGCAATTTGTGCGGGGATGGCTACAAGCGGCTTTCAGCCGGCGTGCCTCGCTCGAGAATGACAGGAAGAATCCCCGCTCGGGGTCGTGGCGGCGTACAGGCTAACACCTTGCGGCAAGAAGAAAAGAAGACGCTCGGGTCAACGCTGTCCGCTGCGCGAAAAAGAAGAAATCTGGGATTCTTCTCAGCTGCAGCCGTGCCCTTCATACGGCGTTCCAAGCATCGTCCGCTTCCCTCCGTCCTTCCCCTAAGCGACACCCACACACCGGCTTTCTTCTGGAACTCGCACCCCGAGGTCTCCACGCAAGCCTTCCGCTCTGACCACCGTCACACAGTCGTTGGCATGCTCCTCCGCCGCTCGACTTGCAGACACTTAGCTTCCCTCTCCCAGCAGCAGCAGCGGAGCGTTCCCCTCCTCACCACGGCCGCATCTCCCCTCTCGGTCCGCACCCGATCGATTTCTTCGGCTCGTCCATCCCCTCGGATCACTTCCGCCTTTCCAACAAGCGCATTCGGCTTTCCCCGAAGGAACCTCGTGACCGACGCCATGGCTTCGCTCGCGACCACGCCAGGCGGTGCCAAGCTCATCGATGGCACCGCCCTTGCCAAGGAGGTGCGCGCTCGTGTAGCTCAGCGCATCACCGAGCTCAAGCAGCAGTATACCTCGTTCCACCCCCATCTCTGCATCATGCAGGTCGGCGCCATGAGCGCCTCTTCCACCTACATCAGGATGAAGAAGCTCGCCGCCGAGGAGTGCGGTATGCGATACACCCATGTGCAGCTTCCCGAGGGCACCAGCGAGGCCGAGATCATCAAGCGTGTCGGCGAGCTTAACGAGGACATCAGCGTTGATGGCATCCTCGTTCAGCTTCCTCTCGGCAACCACATCGACTCGGATGCGGAGCGACGCGTGACGGAGGCTATCAGCCCTGAGAAGGACGTCGATGGTTTCCACGCTCTCAACATTGGTCACCTCTCGTCCAAGGCTTGCAACCCGCTCTTCTTCCCCTGCACTCCTGCCGGCTGCATCAAGCTTCTTGAGAATGCCGGCATTACTAACATGGCCGGTCTCCGCGCCGTCGTCATCGGCCGCTCCGACATTGTCGGCAACCCCGTGGCTTCCCTCCTCCGCAGCCGGGACTGCACCGTCACCCAGGTTCACAGCAAGACCTCCGACCTCCAGGCTCACCTCGCTGAGGCTGACATTGTGATCGCCGCCATGGGCAAGGCTCACTTCATCAAGGGTGACTGGATTAAGAAGGGCGCCGTCGTCATTGATGTCGGCACCAACTTTGTCGACGATGCCAGCAAGAAGTCGGGTTACCGTCTCGTCGGTGATGTCGACTTTGAAGCTGCCTCCAAGGTGGCTTCTGCTATCACTCCTGTTCCCGGTGGAGTCGGCCCCATGACCGTCGCTATGCTCATGGAGAACGTCCTCGTCAGTGCTGAGCGCAGTCTCGCCGATGGTCGTGCTCTCGGCATTGGCCGTGGTGTCGTCCGTCCCAACCCCATCAAGCCGCTCGCCAAGGTGCCTGCGGATATCGAGGTGGCTCGTTCGCAGACTCCCAAGCCCATCACAACGATCGCCCGCGAGATCGGCCTCATCTCGGCGGAGCTCGAGCCCTACGGATCCGTCAAGGCCAAGGTCGACCTTTCCGTCCTCAAGCGTCTCGCGCACCGCAAGAACGGCAAGTACATTGTCGTCGCCGGTATCACCCCCACTCCTCTCGGAGAGGGCAAGTCGACCACCACCATCGGTCTCGCCCAGGCGCTCGGCGCTCACCTTGGCAAGTCCGCCTTCGCTTGTGTCCGTCAGCCCTCGCAAGGCCCCACCTTCGGCATCAAGGGTGGTGCCGCCGGTGGAGGATACTCGCAGGTCATTCCCATGGAGGAGTTCAACCTTCACTTGACTGGTGACAACCACGCCGTCCAGGCCGCCAACAATCTCTTGGCCGCTGCCATCGACACAAGGATGTTCCACGAAGCCACCCAGAAGGACGCTGCGCTGTTCGACCGTCTGTGCCCCAAGAAGAAGGGTGTGCGCACCTTTGCCCCCATCATGTTCCGCAGATTGAAGAAGCTCGGCATTGACAAGACCAACCCAGACGATTTGACCGACGAGGAGAAGAGCAAGTTTGCCCGTCTCGACCTCGACCCGGAGCAGGTCACCTGGAGGCGTGTTACCGACACCAACGACCGATACCTGCGAGACATCACCGTCGGACAGGCTGCCACAGAGAAGGGCATCACGCGCAGGACCGGATACGACATTGCCGTCGCTTCCGAGTGCATGGCGGTTCTTGCGCTCAGCCGAGACCTTAAGGACATGCGCGAGCGACTCGGCCGCATGGTGGTCGGCACCTCGCGTGCAGGTGACCCCGTGACGGCAGACGACATTGGTGTCGGTGGAGCGCTTGCCATCCTCATGAAGGACGCGATCAAGCCTAACCTCATGCAGACGCTCGAGGGCACGCCTGTGTTCGTGCACGCCGGACCGTTCGCCAACATTGCGCACGGCAACTCGTCGATCCTCGCTGACGCCATTGCGCTCAAGCTCGCCGGTATTGAGGAGGGAGAGCCTGTCGAGCGCACCGGCTACGTCATCACTGAAGCCGGCTTCGGTGCCGACATCGGCATGGAGAAGTTCTGCAACATCAAGTGTCGCGAGTCGGGCCTCGTCCCGGATGCCGCTGTCATTGTGGCTACCGTACGTGCGCTCAAGACGCACGGCGGCGGACCGGAGGTCACTCCGGGCAAGCCGCTGTCCGAGGTGTACCTGGAGGAGAACCTGGAGATTCTCGAGAAGGGCTGTGTCAACCTTACCAAGCACATTGCCAACGCCAAGAAGTTCGGGCTGAAGGTCATTGTGGCGATCAACCAGTTCACTACGGACACGCCCGCTGAGCTGGAGCTGGTGCGCAAGAAGGCGCTCGAGGCGGGCGCGGACGACGCCGTTCCTGCCGACCACTGGGCCCTCGGTGGTGAGGGAGCCGTTGAGCTCGCCAAGTCGGTCATCAACCAGCTCGAGGGCACAGCGAGCCAGTTCAACTTCCTCTACGAACCCACGCTGCCCATCACGCAGAAGATCGAGGCCATCGCACGCGAGATGTACGGTGCCGACGGCATCGAGCTTTCCGAAGCTGCCGAGAAACAGATCCAGACCATCGAGAAGAATGGCTTTGGCAACCTGTCGATCTGCATGGCCAAGACCCACCTGTCGCTCTCGGCGGATCCCAGCAAGAAGGGCGCCCCCACCGGATTCACCATTCCCGTCAGGGAGGTGTACGCCAGCGTCGGTGCCGGTTTGTTGGTCGTCATGTGCGGCGCAATGAGCAAGATGCCCGGTCTCAACACCCGACCGGGTTACTACGACATGGATCTCACCGAGGACGGTGAGGTCATCGGCTTGTCGTAGAGGTTTCGGTGCTTCGTGACTCTTTGGATTCAACTGCTTTCCCCTCTGTCTCATAGAATGGTTCCCCCTTTGGCGTCAACCGCCCTGATATCCCCCGCAGTAATCATGCAATCTTTCAACGTCTCACAAACGCGACCTCTCTGTGCGGAATGAGCGTCCAAGCCAAGAAAAGGCATCACGATCAGACGGCACGGCTGGTTCTGTGCGAACTGATATCGTTGCTGATATTTTTGGGTGTGTGTGTGAGAGCACTGCTACCTAGCTAGGTGCAGTGGACAGTAAAGGTACATGTGACGGACGAGAGTCATCCTGTGTGTGTGAGATATGCAAGAGAACCAGAGAGAGAACCGTGGATCGGGAAATCAAGCGACGAGCTTGACAACGCCGCCGGCCTCCTTGATCTTCTTCTCGGCGAGCGACGACACCCAGCGGGCCTTGACGATGCAGGGGAGAGCGGGGAGACGGCCCTTGCCGAGAACCTTGCCGTAGCCAGCAGCGAGCGTGTCAATGACGGGCACCTCGGTCGAGGACGAGGTAAGACCCTTGCGCTGCTCAGCAGGGACCAGCGTCCACAGCTTGTCCAGGTTGACAACAGGGCGGTACGACGAGTTGCGAGTCAGGTGGAAGTGACGCATACCGACCTTACCGAAGTAACCTATTGGCGTCGAGGGGAAGAGAAGATGGGATCAATGTCAGTGGGGATGTTCGCGAGATGTCGAGGTGTTGTTTGTGTTTCGAGTCGTCATCTGCCAGACACGCCCAGAGTCGATGCCAGAAGCAACCGCAATCCTATGTTCCGAACATGAGCCAGCTGTCCAACGCGCAAACACCGTTCCATGATTTCAGCACATACCTCCCTCATGACGCCGTTCGCGACTATGATTCATCCCACCTATGGGCGATCCTAGCCTTTGCGGGATCGGCAGCTCTCCGTGCATGTTCCTCCGACACCGAATTTAGATATCCAAGCTGTGCAAGCTGACCGGACAGCACAGCCAACCTCGTCGATATAAATCGCCTTCCCCGTCTCCCGTCCCGATCCATGCCTTTGCTGTCGTCCTTCCTCCATCGCGTGCTCTGATCTTCTCGATGCTTGAATGCTGTGGCTGCTGGTAGATGACGACTCCAAACTGATGCTGATGCTGCTGATGTGGATACTAACCAGGGTGGTACTTGTCCATGTTGGTGCGGTGGTGGTGCTGACCACCGGCGAGACCACGACCACCTGGGTGCTTGCGGTGCTTGCCGACACGACCGTTACCGGCGGAAACGTGTCCACGGTGCTTTCGGGTCTTGGAAAGGTGGGTAGGCATCTTTTGAGGGTTGAAAGGGGATGCAAAGAGAGGACGGTAGTGGTGTGCGGAAGAGAGAGCCGATGCAGTAGTGATGGGCGAGGGCCGAAATGTAATGTGTAGAAGATTGTCGAGAAGAGTCGAGAGAATGCGTTGGTGGTTGGAGGTGTGAGTTGTAGGTAGGTGGAAAACGGAAAGACTGTCAGTATGACTGCTCGACCGACTCCGGTACTTCACATGAACCAGCCTTCACGCTGGCCGCAAAAGATCCATCAGAGCGATCACGCCGATCTTTCCTCCAACTTGTTGCAAACAATTGACCCAGGCTGTTCCTCGTGTGTCGACAAGGCACGCCTCCTTGCTGCATGGCCACTGCTGATGATCCTGATGCTCTATGCGGCGAGCGTGTGTCTGGTTCCGACGGGCAAGTACTAACCTTGACGTATGTATGGGGGGTGGCCTTGATGGTGAGGTGGAAGAAGCGATTGCGACCAACGACGTTGAACTCAATCTCGAATCGCAGACTCGCTGCCAAGCGCCAGTTCGTTGCGCTTGTCCACGGCAGTCAAGTCTCTCGCTTTACTGGCCACAACGAAAGCCTGCCTACAGCCGGCTCTCTGACTGCCTCGCTCGAGTCTGGCGTCGTTGGAAGGGCTGCCTTGTGCTGACCTTCAGTTGCCTGAGCTAAGGGCTGGGGCTGCAGGCCCGCTGCCGCCTTGACCTGGGGACAAATACAATTTTGAAATTCTGGAGCAATGGCACGCTGATGTATTTACCTAGTTTGAATAAGCTCGGCCGAGGTCACGCGTTTGAGCTCAAACGCAAATGGGTCAAAATAGCAGTCAGCAGGCCGCAATGGCGTGCGTGAGTGCGATACATTGCCGACTGGCCAGACTCGGGGTTAAGGAGACTGGCCAGCAGGCAGCGACTCTCGATGGAGTCACAGCCTGCTGCGCATCGCCGCGGGCAGCCAGGCGCAGTCTTGAGCAAACAGAGACAGAGGAGCAGCCTCTTTCAAAAATTGAGGCAGCAGCGCCTGTATCTGGCCTTGCTCGCGAGGCTGAGTTGGAGGCTCAGGCGGCAGCAGCTGAGCGCGATCCGCTGCTAGCCACTGCTGAATCGCTTCGGCATCCTTACCCTCTCTTCCTCCACCAATTCATCACCCCTTCAAGAAAGGTAAGTTATCGCCGCCCATCACGCCGACTCAGCATCCTCGACAGACCCTCGACATACATAAAGAAGTCCGAATTCAGGGCACACAAGGCGCATCTCTACAGTCACTGGCTCGAATCAGCGACTGACTCCTGCATCCTTCCGACTCCTCTATCTCTACATTCTCTACCGACTTCATCCAACACCTTCGCCCAACACCAAACAGTATTCAAGATGGGACGACGACCTGCTCGCTGCTACCGCTACTGCAAGAACAAGCCGTTCCCCAAGTCGAGGTACAACCGTGGTGTGCCCGACCCCAAGGTACGTTCTCCTACTTCAGCTTAGACAACTCGATCGTGTCAGTCAGTCAGCATTGCATATGAAGGAAAAGAGAGATCAGCTTCAAAAGACAACGAACGGCATTGCAGCATGGGCAAGTCGAAGGCATGGCCGAAGATTGTTGCTCAAGGTTACGGAGGAAGTCGAGCACACCGACACTGGAGCAATGAGACACGCAAGAGCTTCGATGGCTTGTGTTGGGGAACTAAGACCTATCGATGGCAGCTTGACTCAGCGCAGACGTTGCCGCGCAATGGTACCGATATTGTTGGCCAGACTTGGCGGAACGTCATCGCCCTTTCAGCATCACGGACAATGTTAGGGGGACGACGGGTATCGAAGGTCCCACAAAGTTTGACGCTCCACGAGGGTGTGTTTGAATGGCAATGGCGCAGGCAAAAAGGAATGGAAGAGTTTGGGAGAGGTTCATGCACATCGCAAAACTGGCACGATCGATCGTCTACCGCTGGACCGGGTGTTCGACATAACGTCGCATCCAATCATCGCTCCCTCGACAACATTGACTGACGTTCTGCAACTCTCACCCTCCTTCACCGTTCCATTCGCACAGATCCGCATCTACGATCTTGGCCGCAAGAAGGCTTCCGTCGATGACTTCCCCTTCTGCGCCCACCTTGTGTGCGACGAGCACCAGCAGATTACCTCGGAGGCTCTAGAGGCTGCCCGTATCTGTGCCAACAAGTACATCACCAAGACCTCAGGCAAGGACTCGTTCCACCTGCGTGTCCGTGTCCACCCCCACCACGTTATCCGCATCAACAAGATGCTTTCGTGCGCTGGTGCCGATAGGCTCCAGACCGGTATGCGTGGTGCTTACGGCAAGCCCTACGACACCGTTGCCCGTGTCGACATTGGCCAGATCCTGCTCTCGGTGCGCACTCGTGACAGCAACAAGGCTGTTGTCCTCGAGGCTCTCCGCCGATCTCGCTACAAGTTCGCTGGTCGCCAGAAGATCATCATCTCGAAGAAGTGGGGTTTCACCAACATGAACCGCGAGCAGTACGCCGAGGCCAAGCAGTCGAACCGTATCCTCAGGGACGGCTGCTACCTCCAGTACATCAACAACCACGGTCCTCTCGAGAAGAACCTGCGTCTCCAGGCCCGTGTTGCTGCCCAGAAGTAAGCAGTGTCCTGCTGCTTCTCTTCTGCAGCGGTGTAGGCGCCTTGACCTCTGCGCCGATGCGCTGGTTTCATCGTGCACCCTGTTTGATGACCCAAAACATCATGCTTTAGAGACAATCTAATTCATGCTTCGCTGTACCATCTCCTCTTGAAGTGTTGCTTGCGCGTGTATTCGACTCGATGTCGAGGCTGAGACTGAGACAGAGACAGAGGGTGAAAGGCTCGTTGATGAGGTTCATTTATGGCAACTTGGGCGGGATCCACATACCGGCGTGCAGGCGGCGGGCGCGAAATACTACGCCATGCGTGCATGAAAGGGCGCTGCTTGCTGCGCGTCAGGGTCGTCATTTCGCCGCTCCGAAATTTCAGGTCAGCTCAGCGCTCAGTCACGCACAACAGAGTCACACTTGCGAGCGGCTACAGCCAGCCACATCGGCTCGGCTGAACCGTGCCTGAAGCTAGCTCCAATCACTCCCTCTCCTATCACATCACATTTCATGATTGGACCTTCGACACAATCACATTCGGGACCCTGCTGCGCATTCTTCGATCGACTTGCATCTTCCATTCCCACCGTTACCTTCCCGGGCCGCCAGTCTCGGACTCAATCGCGACCCAGCCTTTTCGACTCGTGAAGCGTTGGGCATAGCATACCCCAGCATTGCATTGACCCTTGGCATCTTGCGCCGCCACCTCATATTGCTCCTGCATCTTCAGCCCCTCGTCACCGCCAGCGAGCACCCACACTAGCATCAGCCCGCGATCTCCTCAGCTGAGTGGGACCTCTGCCGGCCCACCAAAATCACACCCGGTCCAATAGCTCCTCCTCACACCTCACCACATACAAGCCCGCTCGACACAATGTCAGATCTCAGCGACGAGTACCTCATCGACGATGATGTCGAGGACACCATGGACGAGGACTCCACCTACGGCTACGACGACGCGGCCGACTCGCAAGATGAGGAGGACGAAGAGCTCGGCTTTGGCGTAGCAGATGACGCGTTTGCGGCCCCTGACCCAGCATCAGAACGTATGAAGAGCTTCCAAATCGAGTACAAGTCACATTCCGTTGCTTCGATCGAGGAAGCGCAACAGAAAGAGGTGGACCAGATCGCAAGCATGTTCGTCATTAAGGAGACCGATGCCGCCATTCTCCTTCGCCATTTTGGCTGGAACAAGGAACGCCTCATCGAGCGCTACATGGAGTCCGGCGAAAAGGTCAACCTTGAAGCAGGCGTAGTCGAAGACTCCTCCCATCCCAAATTGCGAAAGCTAGGCGACTTCACTTGCGAGGTCTGCTATACCAGCTCGGACGACGTACCTGGCGGGAAGATGGAGACGCTGGCGCTTGGCTGTGGCCACCGCTACTGTCGCGATTGCTACCAGCAATACCTCGAGCAGAAGATCACATCGGAAGGCGAATCGAGGCGGGTCCAATGCATGCGCGAAAAGTGCAACCTCGTCGTGGACGAGCGCACCGTCGGTCTAGTCGTCGCGCCCAACGTCTTCGAGCGCTACAAGATCCTGCTCAATCGCACCTACGTCGACGACAGCAACATCCTGCGGTGGTGCCCTGCGCCCAACTGCGAGCTCGCCGTCGAGTGCCACGTCTCGAACAAGATGCTCAACAAGATCGTGCCATCGGTGGCGTGCGACTGCGGCCACCTCTTCTGCTTTGGCTGCGGCAATGCAGCCCACGCTCCTGCCATCTGCCCCATCGCCAAGCTGTGGGTCAAGAAGTGCGCCGACGACAGCGAGACGGCCAATTGGATCTCGGCCAACACCAAAGAGTGCCCCAAGTGCACCTCGACCATCGAGAAGAACGGAGGCTGCAACCACATGACATGTCGCAAGTGCAAGTACGAGTGGTGCTGGATCTGCGCGGGTCCCTGGACGGAGCATGGCAACTCGTGGTACAATTGCAATCGATTCGACGAGAAGAGCGGGTCGGAGGCGCGCGATTCGCAGGCCAAGTCGCGGGCATCGCTTGAACGCTACTTGCACTACTTCAATCGTTTCGCCAACCACGAGCAGTCTGCCAAGCTGGACCGCGACCTGTATGGACGCACCGAGAAGAAGATGGAGGAGATGCAGCTGTCGACCGAGCTGACGTGGATTGAGGTGCAGTTCCTCAAGAAGGCGGTGGACACCTTGACCGAGTGCAGGATGACGCTCAAGTGGACCTACTGCATGGCGTACTATCTGGCACGCGACAACATGACCGAGCTCTTCGAGGACAACCAGCGCGACCTCGAAAAGGCGGTCGAAGACCTCTCGGAGCAGCTCGAGAAGCCGATCGAGCCAAAGACGATCCCGGAGCTCAGGCAGAAGGTGACCGATCTCACGGTGTACGTGCAGAAGCGAAGGGGGATTCTGCTCTCTGATACCGCAGAAGGGTTTCAGGAGGACAGGTGGCAGTGGAATGTCGAGTTTTGACCGGCGACATCTTCCTTCCCGCATCTCATCGCACAGTCTCGATATACCTCTGCAGCTCCGCATCACCAGCATTTCGTCCACATTTCTCTCCTGTCACTCACAGCATCACAGTCCGCTCTGCAACACGCAATCTCCATCGCATTTTCTCGTCACGCTTCAAAGGGATTGGTTTGTGTGGCTCTACGAGCCTCTTCATGTGCTCTGAGCTCCTACAGGAACGTTGCGTTGGGCGCGTGCACGTCGAGAGGACCTAGGACGCGATTGTCCGCATCATTGTCCACATCGTCGTCTCCTTCAGGGGTGTCGGGCTCTGTGGGCTGGTTGTCGGCACCAGGGGTGGGAAGCAGCTCCCGAATCCTGCTGCGAATGCCCAGCGTGTCCAGGCACGGATAGACGTGTTGCGACGCGATGCCGCGAAGCACGATGGAGAGGAAATCGGGGTCCACGCCAGGCGGAGCAGCGGAATCGTTGCTATGTGTGATTCCTGCACTGCTCTCGCTCGTCTTCTGTCTCTTTCTCTGCTCGGTCGTAGCCTCGTCCATCGGCCTCTTGGGTCCGTCAACGGGCAAAGGTGGACAGAGGTCTGCGGAGCGTTCATCTGCGCCCGAGTCGTCCTTCTTGCCTGTGGCACCCAGGTCCATGTAGAATGAAAGCAGGCTTGAGCTGGTAAGCGAGACTCCGCAGATGTTTGGCCCACGCAGTGCCTCTGCAGCCTCGCGCCCCCATGTCGACTCCTCTTGGTTCTTTGCCTCGAACGCGATGTACGTCATGAAGCGCGCAGCGCGACCTTCGACGGATCCGCTGCGTGCAGGCAGTGTGTCAAACGGCCGCTTGAGGTCGCCGAGAAAGACAGGGATGATTCCATCAATCCCATCCTGTGAGGGCTCCGTTTGGATAGCGAGACCTCGCTTCCAGCAATACCACAGAAAGTCGCCCGAGATCTCGTCCACTTTTTGAGGCAGCGTGTCGAAGTGCGTGAAGCTGACCCACGCTTCGACGTTGGGGGCTTCATCGTTAGCGTCGAGCACCTTTGCTGCCTCGTTGCGCACCCATGCCACCCGTGCTTCGACCCGCTCGAAGGACGGTTGGTCAAGCGAGACAATTTGTCGGATGAGATCGAGGAGTGGGATGGGGCGAGCGATGCTGGGGAGCAAGTGCGTTGCAGGGGACGACGCTGCCTGTTCATCGCACGCAGTGGGTGTGAGATCCACATCTTGGTCGGTCCTAGTATCGGCCTCGATATGTGCTGCGTCCCAGGCCGCAATCGAGATGATACGAGCAGTCAGCTCCCCAAAACTACCCCGAAGCACAGCTGTCTTCAATAGCTGGTGACAGAATGTTCTGAACTTGCCAAGCACGTCGGAGTATCGTCTCCTCGCGCGTTCCTGATGCAATCTGCGATCCGGATGGCGCTCCCGGTCCAACATTATGAGGGCAGCACCGATGGCCAGCGGCGGCTCCGATGGCGAGCCAATGTCCAGTCGATATCCCTCCCGGACTCCTTGCAACATGCGCATGTGCCGATGGACCGAAGCTTTGGCCAGATCATCTTGACCACGATAATCTCGTCCTTCGGTCGTTACAAATTGCAGTGCGAGTCGAGGAGCAACAATGTTGTAGTGGAGCGCCGACGATGTGTCAAGGTTGTTGAAGACGGATGTTGCCTCATCGTACGACCCGTTGCAGCTAAGGATCTTGGCTGCCATTGTCTTCCAAAACGCACCGCTGCTGATCGCCTTCCAAAGAGGACGTCCGTACGTCTTCACGTGTTCCAGCGTGAAGGCCTGTTCTGCTGAGAACACTGGGGGCGCCACTTGATAATTGACGTCGTGGGTCAGGCCAGAGAAGACCGAGTTTGGATCTCCGGCGAACAAAAGACTAGCCCAATTGCCCGACCACGACCGCTGAGGTTTAAACAGTTCTGTCGCCGCGCTGCTGGTATCGATGAGCAATAGGTAGAAGATGGGATTGCCTCCTTTCTGCTCTATGTAGTTCCAAGTACGGCGTAGGCCACTGAGCTGATCTTGAGCTTTCGTCTCTCTCCAATGTGCGAATCTGCCCTGGAGTAGGGAGACGCATTCGTCGACAGCAATGTAAATCGGCGTTTGAGCGACGTTGTGAGCTTTCTTTCCCCGACTCTCTGTGCTGCCTACTTGATTGAGGAGAACGACCTCATTGGTCTTCGTCTGCCAGAGAAAATCTCTGACGCCTTCGAGCTCGGCGGCGAGAGCGTTGATAGCCGAATTCAGACAGTGTGCAAACATGCGCTCTTGAAACGCCGAGTTGTCTTCAGGAGCAGACTGGATCATGGAGGCGGCGGTCTTGCAAACCTTGTCGAAGAACCTTGCTCGTAGTGTGACCGTATCTGCGTCGCCGGCAGACGCTGCTCCGGAGGCCGTGTTGCCAAAATTGGTCAAACTCGTTAGATAGCGATGCTTGTCTTGCGCCGATTGCAAGGTGGAAAGCTCTTCCGCTGTCTCTTTCAATCAGGCGCCCACAAAAGCCGCAACCTGAAGACTGTGTAGGCCTTTGATGTCTACGCCCTCCGTATCGCGCGCTATTCGCAGGCTGTCAAAGTATTCGATTGGCGCGCTGTCGGCCGGAGGGAAACTCTGAAGGGAGGCATCTTCTGGTAGACGGAGACACATGTACAGTAGCGGAGCATACTTGCCAAGCTCCAAAGCCAAGCGTGTCTTACCGGTGCCACTCGCCTGAATAATGGCTGATCCGTCAAAGTAACGGCGTTGGCAGAAAGGGCGGCAGGCTAGATCATTAATGGTGAAGCGGAGGAAGCGTGCCACAGCATCACCTCGAAACTCTCGGTTCCACTCCTCTGCCATGTTGACAGTGATATCTGGGACGTGGCCATCGGCGTCGAGGTTGATCTGTGATGAGTCTCGCGGAGTTTCGAGACTGAGGAGGAAACGGCAGAAGCGTGTTGCTGTTGGCACGTCCGATTGTCCGCGTTGAGCCTCGCTTTTGAACTTTGTGAGGAACTCGCCCTCGTACTCGTAAGCTGTGACCGGAACATCTGGATCCAGGTTGTCGAAGATGCTGTAGAACGCCTCGCGATGCGCTGCGACATTAAAGACGAAGGCAGAAAGCCTTCGCCTGAAATCCCCAACCATCCAGTCGGAGTCATCGTCGATGACTTTGAGAAGTATTTTGAAGCTGATGAGGAGGTGGTCCCACTCGACGTTGTTGGCGAAAGCTGCTTGCACACGCTCAGCCGCCTGAGCGCTCTGAACGAGAAGCTGATTTCTTGTGAGCATCTTGCTCGAGGATGAGGGGTGATCACCGATCAAGCGTTGTTGGTGGTCTTGGTCAAGGGAAACGATCAGGAGCTAGCGAGTCTCTTCAAATGTAGGTCAAGCTGCGCAGCGCACTTTTTCTTCACCTTTCGCAGCCCCACCGAGGCGGAATCAATCCCCACCGTCCCACACTCAGGCTGCAGTCACACTGTGATGCGGTTCGAATGCTCTTTTCGTCGGGAATGCTAATATTACAAGAGGAGCATCAGGAAGGTAAGGAGCGCTGGGTTGGACCAGGCGAGGTATCTGAATGATGCATGACGATGGATCAGAGCCAGGGAAGCGGGTGACCCGGGAGAGTGTTGAACCATGACTGTGTGACGGTGACAATGGGGGTGGAAGCGCAGCAAGAGGTGCTGCGTGTGTGTTCCTTTTGCGAAATGTGATCTTAGAAAAAGCATCACACGGTTCGTTGAGTGTGTGGCAGTGGTTTGGCTGAGTCGCTTAGAAGACCCAAGCCCAGAACTTGCCCCAGGCGGTTGTTGGCACTTCCTCCTTGACCTCGTCCTGTGGCCTCAACCTGCCCGAGTCGAGATCAATCTCGGTGAGCTTGACCACCTTGGTCTTGTGCCACAGCTTCCAGCCGATCCAGGGAACGAAGAACACGGGCACGCCCAGGTAGCTCGTCAGGAACCCACTCGCGGTAAAGTTGCCCTTCAAGAAGACCGACCAGCCGCTGAAGAAGATGACGATGGCGCACATGATGATGCTGAACCAGCTCGCGTAGGGCTGCAGCCTTGCGCGGTAAGGAAGCGCTGCGCGATCGTAGCCCTGAAGCGAGTATGCCTTCCTGAAACGGAGGTAAGCGTAGCAGCAGGTACCCCAAGCGAAGAGACCTGCGACGGCCGAGAGCGCCGAGAGCCACGAGAAGACGGTGCCACCGCCTTTCGAGATACCGAGGTACGACAAGGCGCCCACCAGCCACGAGAACAAGACAGCGATGTAAGGGATGCCTCGCTTGTCAACGCGGCGGAAGAAGCCAGGCGCCTGGTGGTCCAGGGCCATAGCGTACAGAGTTCGACTCGCTACATAGACGTACGAGGAGCCGGCAGAGAATGCTGAGACCAAGACTACAGCATTGAAGATGTGCGGCAAGACGAGGACTCCGGCATTGTTCATGGCAACGATCCAGGGCGAAGCGCCCGTGTACGAGCCGTCGCTCTTGAGTCCAGGGTCGTTGTAGGGCACGATCAGACCCATGATCGCGATACCCAGAATGTAGAAGAAGAGAATGCGGTACAGCACCCTCTTCGCGGCTTTTGGAATTTGCGTAGAAGGGTTTTTCGCTTCGCCTGCAGCCAGAACCACGGTTTCCGTACCCTGTACGCGTCAAAAAAACAAAACTCTTACTGATCAGTACTCCGTACTCATCCTTATCAACGACTATGACCATTCCTCTCCTCGAGAGGAGTATCACCACGATCAGGGAATGGGGAAGCTGGACTGACTATATAAGTAAAAGCAGATTGGAGGAATGCACTGAAGAATCCAAGGAAGCGTCCTTCGGCGCCGCTGATGTCGTTGTACTGGTTGAAAGTGCCGGGGTTCTTCCAGTAGCGGAAGCCGAGTCGATCATGTTTGGGTCCGCCGCCGAGGTCGATGACGAGACCGAAGATGATAAGCATAATGAAGGCGAGCAGCTTGATGGTCGAGGTGATGACCTCGGACTCGCCGTAGATGTTGACGCCGGCAAAGTTGAGCAGAGCGCCGACGACCATCATGATCGAGATCCAAGCGGCGATGTTGATGTCCTGGTTCCAGTAGCCAATGACGGCGGACGCGGCAGAAAGCTCTGAGGCCCAACCGATAGCGTAGCACCACCAATAGTTCCAGCCCATGGCCATACCCAGGGAGGGATCAACGAAGCGGCCGGCGAAGTGCATGAAGGACCCACTGACGGGCAGGTACGAAGACATCTCCGCGAGGCCTTCCATAACGCCGAAAATCATGGCACCAGTGATGATGTAGGCAAGCAGGACACCGACCGGACCTGCGTTGGCGAGCGCGATACCAGAGCCGACGAAAAGACCGGTACCGATACCACCGCCGATACCAATCATCTGGATGTGGCGGCTGCTAAGTTTCCGCGAGACAGCGCCGACGCCTGCTTGGCCTACTGGCACCTCAAACGGAGATGTCTTCCGGCTGCGGTGCGATTTAGCCCCCTCGCCATCGTGGATCGAAGCCGTCTTAGATGCGTCACCTTCCGAAGCCGCCTCGACGGGGTACGACTTGGAGACGGTGGCGATGCCGTCGTTGTCGAATGACTTCCGGTTGGACGACATTGTGGTCGAATACAATGCTCCTGCCACGTGAGACTGATTCTTGGAGGGAAAGTAGATGAAGGGTTGGTGGGAGGAAGGAAGGAGCGATACTCAAAGGTTGGGAAGGGGTTATATCTCAAAGATGTTCAAGGAGAGCGTCCATGCACGACGCAAACAAGACTCGTTGCGAAGGGCCAGACCATCGACCCGTCCTAGCGCAGAACAGACCACATGGCATCTCGTCAACTTTTTGCGGGCAGGAATGTGATTCGAACCGATCCGAATCTTAAGCCACGACATTGCGCCATTCTGCGCATGAATGGACACCCACAAACGACAGGTCGGACGAATCAAACGAATCCCTCGACGAGCCGGCTGCAGATGGAGCATGCCAAACACAATAGACACCCGCAGTGGGTTGCAGGCGGGGATCACGACATTTCGGTCCAATCGAGGGGCGTTGTTGGACATGCAGCGTGCAAAATTTTCCGACTTCCACGAAACAAAACCTTGAACTATGTGCGCTCCCTTTTTTCGCAGAGAGCTCGGTCCGTCGACGCCAAGATGTCAAGAGTGGTCTGGATCGTTGTTGCCGCTCATCCACTACCGCACCATCACTCCAACGACATGAATCCCGAAACGAACGCGAATGGCGTGACCGGGTTAAACGGGCGCGGCAGGCGGCAAAGAAAATCCGACCCGAAGGGTCGATCTCGGCCTGTCAAAAAGAAAATTTAGGCGAAACTTTCCGACTTCGCTAAGGAAAACTCGGTAGCCGCGCCGCGGCCCATCTTTGCCCGCCCCACGGTGAAGTCCGTATCCCCCACGAGCCTCCGATCTGACACCATTGACCACTGGCAAGCACGCAAACACCCCACATGCGTCGAGAACAATGACAAGCACGTCTTGCCTCGCTTCACTTCGAAACCAAACACCCGGAGGCAGGACACTCTGACACAATCAGGGACCATGTTGGACTCGGAATGCATTGATCATTCAGAGGATAACCCGAGAATTCGGAATCAATCGTGATACGGCGCGCCCGTGGCTGGGCCAGGCACGCCACTGACCCTCCTATACCTGCCGCCCCTTGTGGCGGTGCGATGAATGTACACGCCTTCCTCATCGTCGTCTTCCTCGTTGACCCCGATCTCTGCGTCCTCCCTGCCCTTCCTTGCCGCGCGAATGTGCGATCTGGCCGGTGCAACCGCATATCCTCCACTAAGCGCCTCGCCGATTGCAGCCGATGAACTGCTACCCTGAGGTCCAGAGACGCCATCAGACCACACGCCAAAGTCGTTCTCCGCATCGCCTGCGTACACCGAGGGTGAGTCGCGGTCGACCGATGTGCCGTCTTGTGAAGGTCTCTGTCCAGCCGGAGAAATCGGGGAGGGCGACGAGGAGGCTTGGCGTGGTCGACCGGACATCAGACTCGACTTGCGTTTGCGTAACGACAGAATGAGCGGTTCAGCTTTGGACAGTGCGCGAGCACGAATCCGTGCTGCTGTGCCACTGAGGCTGTTCGTATCCGCCTGGCGTTCACCTCGGGGTGCACCCAACGCAGAGGTTGTAGCGGACGCCATACCCGTTGCGTTCGCCTCGAGGTCATCGGGCGCCGTCACGTCCTCCCCGCCCTCCTCCAACCGGTGACTCGGCACGGGCAGCCACAGCTCTGGCAGAATCCCCGTGATCGCCGGATGACCATATCGCCGACGACCCGTATTGAGCACACCTGGATAGTAGCCCGCACCAGGAGGCTCGCGATAGTCCGTCTTGGTATCGCGCTGCGCCACGAACAGCGTCTCGTCCTCCTCATCGTGACTGTACCGGGCTAGAGCGAGCTTGGTGAACTCGCGATCGATCTTGTGCGACGGATCGAGGGATAGTAGTTGCTTGCTGCGGCTGCTGCTCGGTGTCATGGTGCCGGATTTGGGAGCGGTGTTGCTAGCACCAGCGGCAGTGACGGCGGACGGATCCGTGCTGGTAACATTATCGCCCAGGTCTGCGCGCGCGACACTTGGCGGGCCGTTCTGCGCCAGCTCCGCCACGCTCGGATCCGCACTGCTCTCCTTGAGCACCTCCACCACGCTACTCAGATTCACATGGTTCGTCAGCGGCCCAAAGGTCGTCTCCAAATGCCCGTTGAACCAAAACGTAAACAGGATCAGCGGGATCAACCCCGTGCTCATCCACAACTCCTTCCTCACCGAGAAAAGCGAGAACTGGAAAATGTGGAACAGCACCAGCGCCCAGATGCATCTACTCGCCGAGATCGGCCACGCCTGCCCCTGAGACTCGTACGGCTTGTAGAAGACGTAGAGCAGCTTGTACTTGTTGACCACGTAGGCGATGCCGAAGTAGATGGCGCCGAAGATGACGATGAGGGGCGAGACGATCGAGTAGAGGATGCAGAGGGTGAAGATGAGCAGCGCTTGCGGGTAGACGTTGCCCATGGCGAGGGTGGGGGGTGCGTTGAGCTCGGCGAACTCGCGTGGTGTGCGAGTGAGGAACAAGCGGTAGAAGCCACGTAGGATCAGGGTGGGCAGCTGAAGGAGTTGGAGTGGTTGCAGGGCGAGACCTTGAAGGATGACGTAGGAGAGCGAGAAGAAGCGCGCTTTGGGTAGAGAGGCGGCAAACTTGTCGATGACGCGCATGGGGTTCTCGGCCAGCTCCTGCAGCACTCCCCACGCCGTTGTTGCGATGAGGAAGATGAAGACCACGGAGACCATGAGGAAGAGGTAGTACTTCTTGAGCAGACTGTACTCGACCAGACTCCTCGCCTTGAGACCTTGCAGGTACGACGAGTACTCGAGCACGAGCGGCAGCAAGGCGTTGAACCCGATGACGACGAGCGAAGGCAAATTGTTCGTCACCAGCGCCCTCAGCCTCTGATCCGTGTCCAGCAGCCTGTCGAGCCAGGGCGCATACTTCTTGATCGCACCGGGCGAGACGAAACTTGCAAGGAACACCAGTGGTGGGATGTAGAAGACGAGCACGGCGACCATGAAGATCGAGACGAGCACCTGTCGCACCCTGCGGTCGTTGTTCGAGAGGTCAATGTTGGACCAGATGATGTCTCGCGGCTCCTGCGCCATGGAGGTTGAGCAGTAGGCTGGAATGGGATAGTGCACCGTCTGAGAGGCAATCTGTGCACTTGCTGCGCTTTCGAACGTGACAAAGCCCACGTTGCCACCAGGGAAACGACCGGTCTTGCGTCGGCGTCGGACCGCTCGATCAACAGCGTTGAAACGGCGAGTGAGCTCGTCGATAGCATCCACCTTGTCGCTGAACGGATTCCACCACTGCTTGCGAACGGTAGGACGAGGTCGATGGGTGCGAATCGAGTCTGCACCGAGCATGCCTGCGCTGGGTGAACCGCCACCGAGAAGACGGGTGCTCTCGAGATCGCCGCTGGAGCTGCGATTCGGACGATCCTCGTCGACGCTGATCCTAACCAGATCATCGGTCACGTCCGAAGTCGGACCATCGTCTTGACTGGCACTTGCCGCGAGGAGCATGATCTTTTCGGGATCGTAGCCCTCCGCATCGGTAGGATTGCCCAGCCACCCGACCCAGGTCTTTTCCAGTTGTTGCAACGCCTGCGATCGCTGGTTGAGCAGTCTCGATAGACCCTCAGTGTTGCGTACGACCGCGGTGGACTCGACGGGCATGTCCATGTTCTCAAAGTACTCTGCGAGCGCCTTTTCGTCGCGTAGGTGTGCGGGAAGGTCGCGAACCTCGACAGTGCGAGCTGGGATCGACTCGAGGATCTCGAGAATGTACAGTTGACGGGAGCGGACGAAGCGCTGGTAGTTGATCCAGATGGCGCGCATGGCGAGGAGCGTGACGAGGTAGGTCGAGATGAGGTGCGTTGCGTGGTAGACTCGGGCCTGAGGCGGGTTGCTCGGCAGCGGCAGTTGTGGCAGCGGTCCGTGAGGCTGCTTCTCCTTCAGTGGACCGAAGATGAGCTCGGTCCAGACACCTGTAACACTGTTCCTGGACGAGTAGGGATCGGTCGCGTTGTCCCTATCCTCCGCGGGGCTCACTCCGTCCAGGACGCCGTTCTGCCAGTAGTTGACGGGCATCAGCACCAAGATGCTCCAGCAGCTCAGGCTGAAGAAGAGCCAAAAGCCCATTTTCAAGAAGCTCAGGAGAATAGCAGCGTCCATGCCGACGGTCTGCAAAATGCGCATCTCCTCGGTTTTGAGCGTGGGCATGATCCAGCCGAAGTAGCCCGAGTCGTGGCCGTTGTCGAGTGGTGAGAAACCCTTCAGCTTGGTGCGGGGCGCAAAGAGGGCGGCATTGCGACGTCGGACGATGACAAAGATGAAGAATGAGGAGAGACCGATGAAGATGGAGAGCGAGAGCTGCTGGGAGAGCCAGGGGCCCTGGTAGGCTCGTTGGTTGGGGAGCGGAATGGCAGGGTTGCCATCCGAGCCGTTGTTGTTTCCTCCTCCGCCGGGTCCTCCTGGATTGGTGCCCTCCCAATCGATGCCACTGTTGATGATGGTTGCTGCGGTCGTGGTGGTAGCTGCAGCGGCGGCAGCGACCGCTGAGCGGGTATATGCGTAGAAGTCAAAGGGGAGCTGCTGTGCTTCCGACATGGTGAGAATCTGCGGCGGGAAGCTCTGTGTAGGTGGTGAGGATGGCGCTGAAGCACCCAACAGACTAGATGGAAGCCATGCGAAGATGTAGGTTGACGAGCCTGGTCGATGATCGAGAATGAGGGTGTTCGGATGATGACAGGTGAGGATGATAGAAGGAAGGGCTGATGCAGGCACGGTGTGTTGCCAAATTTGTGTTTCACCTCCACTCACACACGCACACAGCCCACGCTCAGCCAGACAGATCCACATGCACCCTCCCGTCATTGCCGCAACCTCTCACACAGGGACACCCAGCCATGGTCACATCGGTCGTTGTTGATGAACTTGCAGAGTCAGAGCCTGAACAACTTCACCACAAGAAATCGTTCGAGGTGCTCAGTCAAGCAAGGGCGAGAGAGTGTCAGCTCCCGGATCAGCAAGCCTATCCATGGAAGCAACGCACGTTGGGACTCAGTTGATCTTCTACGCAGGGCCTCAACTTCCAACTCCGCCATGCTTTTCTTTAGACCTGTGAGATTCGAACAAAGGCACCCAATATGTACGCTTATCACAGCCTGCCTCTACACGTGACGGACGCTTTGGTGGAGTGGTTAACACGTATCCCTGCTACTATTTCTCTCGCAGAAAAGACAGGTGAGCATTTCGCAAGCGCGAATGATAGGATATCCTCTCTGAGGGCGTGAGTTCGAATCTCACAGGCGTCGGACGATTTTTTTTTGCGTTTTGAGACATGGAGATGGAAGCTATGAGTGCCAGGATGTCAACGGTGCTGTTTGTTTGAGGGGTTGAGATGGCGGATGACGAGATAATGCTGTTGGAAGAGGGAGCGAGAAGGGTCGAGTTGGTGGTGCATGTGCAGCTGCAGGTGGGATGAAATTTTGGGCGGCGCTTGGACCTCCTGCCGCGGCTTTCATTTGCCTTGTGGGTGATCCTTTTGTTCTCTGGCGGCACGAATCTGCTTCTGGTCATGCAGGATCAGTCGTTTGAGCTCGTCTGAGTGCATGCAAGGGCGACGTATGGTTGTAAGATGAGTCCAACAGGACGGCGATCCGGCTTCATGAGGGTGCTTTTCGTGGTCATCTTTTTGCAGCTGCATTTTCGGTGCGGACAGCCTTGCTCAGCATCCCAGCGCTTGTTCGACCACCCTCGCTTTTCCTTGACCGTCTCATCAGAGGTTTGCGGTTCCATCTTCATGTGCTCAGACATTGCACCGGCGTCGAAGGCGAGCAGCACTCTCGGAAGCCCTTTACTGTGACTGATTTGTAGTGAGATTGATGGTGCAGAAATATGCTTAGCTGTTAAGCCCACTGCCCGCGTTGGGTGGAGGTTTGACGCCGTGTCCATCAGCTCTCGCCCTCGTCTCACGACCACCATCCCTCGTCGTCGCGATGAAAGCGTACAAAGGCATGCTGTTGACCTGGTACGTTCCTGCCTCCACACTGTCCCCTCTTGACTCTCACTAACGCTTGCTTCGTCTGCTTTGTCGGATTTGCGGTGTTGGTAGCGATGCGGCGGTGAAACAGCTCATTCTGTCACTGGACGAACGCAATCGGTTCATCATTATGGATCTGGACGACACGCATCTGCTCGTCTCCCCCGACCGAGTGGATTGGCTCCGGGCCGAACTGGAGGTCGAGGTACGTACACCACCCCCACTGATGGGCTGAGATGGGGAGCAGTTGCTGACGAGATGAAACTTGTGATTGCGCAGCTCGAGAAGAACACCTACACGCTGGAGGCATAGCACGCCCGCACAACGACGCTGCATCACATACGGCTGCACAGCCGAAAGATACCCACCGCATGTTCAACATCGATTCAAAAGCAATGCCATTCTCAATCAAGACTCAACGCGCACACAGCACGCCCGAAAGCATCACACAAAGCACAGACGACCAGATGAGGGGGATGATGATGATGGATTAGGAGTGCGGAGGATGATGAGCGTAGGGGACGGCGAGGACAGATGGACGGAGGTACGAAAGGCGGAGGAGCGGAATGGGAGGAGCGAGGGTAAAGATGAGTGGTAAATGTGAAGCGCGAAGATGCGAATGGTGTGATGTGAGGTTGTCGGAAGATGTTAGGAGAGGATGAGCGACAGGGTGATGATGAGGGCAGACGACGAATAGGGGAAATATGAGATCTCCGCCAAGGTGAACGCTTGCTGAGCTTGGACGGCCGCAGCAAACGCGAGACGTGGGCGAAGAGATGAGTGTCGAGGTTGCGACGAAGCGATCGGAGCATGCTGCTTGGAATGCTCGTGCAGCCTCGGACCGAGGGCAGAATGGGAAGCGAACGACTGAGCTCCCGAGATCGGGCCTGCAATCTGGGCCGGTCGCATGATGCGGAACAAAAGAGAAGAATGAGAGGCAGCCGCCGAGGGGACCAGGGATGGCAAGTGAAGGCCAGACGGCGCGAAGGGGCGATGGTGCGAGGCGGCGACTATTGCGCCGGCGCACCACCGTTGTGACCGCCTCGTCCACCGCGCCCGCCACCGCCACCGCCTCGTCCGCCACCACGATGTCTGTGTGGCACCGTGTTGCTAAAGTTCTGGTTCTGCGGGATGGCAGAGGCATGCATCGCCTGCTGGCCCGGGGGAATCACAGGCCTGCCTTCCTGCCTGTTACCGTTTTGGTTCTTGTTCTCCGCCTCCTGGATGAGCGAGGGAGCCACGTACAGCCTCTTGTCAATGTTGCTCGGAATAGGCTGGATCTCGGTACCCAGCTCCTGCTCGATGCGGTAGAGGTTGAATCGGTCCTCGTAGGTGATCAGGTTGATAGCAAGACCCAGGTGACCGAATCGACCCGAACGACCGATACGATGCAGGTACGTCTCGGCGTTCTTGGGGAAGTCAAAGTTGATGACCACATTGACAGCCTGGATGTCGATACCTCGCGTCAGCAGATCCGAGCAGACCAGATTACGGCAGGCACCGTTGCGGAAGTCGTGGAAGACCCGGTTTCGATGCGCTTGGAGCATCTTTGCGTGCGAGTAGAAGCAGCTGTAGCCGAGTTCGGTGATCTTCTTGGCCAGCAGCTCGACACGGTTGGTCGAGTTGCAAAAGATGATGGACTGGTTGATCTGCAGTTTCGAGAAGAGCGTGTTGAGACAGTGCACCTTTTGTCGCTCCTCGACAAAGGCGTAGTACTGCGTGACACCGCGCAGTGTGAGCTCGTCCATGAGGTTGATCTCGTAGGGCTTGACCATGTTGCGGTCCTTGAAGTCCTTGACGATGAGCGGGAAGGTGGCAGAGAAGAGCATGACTTGCCTCTCCTTGGGCAGAAAGCTGAGGAGCTGTTCCATGACGGGCGTAAATTCGGGCGATAGTAGCTTGTCGGCTTCGTCCATGACAAAGGTGGTACATTGGCTGAGATCGGCGACTCCCTTGCCGGCAAGATCGAGGATACGACCAGGGGTTCCGACAAGCATGTGGACGGTCTGGCCGAGACGGAGGATATCATCGCGAAGCGTAGTTCCGCCTGTGGTGACCATGACTTCGACGCCGAGGTGCTTTCCGAGCGTCTTCGCGACTTGACTCGTTTGCAATGCGAGCTCACGTGTTGGCACGAGGAGGACAGCCTGGATCTTGTTCTTCTTGGTGTTGAGCTTCTCGAGGGACGGGATGACGTAGGCTGCCGTCTTGCCCGTTCCGTTCTTGGCTCGCGCAAGGATATCGCGACCGGTAAGTGCGATAGGGATGGCCTCTTCTTGAATTGGAGAGGGACGCTCGAAGCCGGCTTCAAAGATGCCCATAAGAAGTTCACGTTTGAGGAAGTAGTCTTCGAACTCGTTGCCTTTGGTGTTGAGGACATCCTCGGTCTGAGGACGCTCATCCTTGGAGAGCTTGGAAGTGATCTGCTGCTTCCAAGCTGCTTCAGATTGGCCTGGTGCTGGTCCTGATGATGACATTGTAGTTTGATATGAGGGCTGACGGGCGATGGAAAGCAAGGAGGCTGGGTATGGAGGCTGCTTGGGGGATCGGTCTAAGTGAGGATGCCGATTGCAAGACTTGTAGGGTGCGTGCTAGAGGAGAGCTTCTTTGAGTGCAGTCGAACTGATGCAGCTGAGTTGATGGCTATAGCTAGAGAAGAGCACGAAAGGACCTTGAGATAACGTGACCTGCGCTTTGCGAGTATACTGTGGGAGAGGCAGCCAAACTTGCACAGATATTTGTAGGCAGTGTAGGCGAGCCGAAGCAAGGGCTGAGTGCTGATGCTTTCAAATCGGACAGAAAGCTTAGGATGATGGTTTGTCGTGCTGCGAATGAAGCAGCCAAGACGATGAAAGTGATTGAGAAGAATGCGCAGTGGTTGTTGGCTAGAACGCTCTCGCTGACTAGTCGGGATAGATGTCGAGGAGTAGTGCGCAGATCAATAGTGATTGCTTTGATTAATTTGCTGTTTTGACGCAGTGCTTCGTTTGTCAAGTTGTTGGATAGATGCTGGCTGAAGCTGCGTGCAACGTAGGTAGTGATGGTGATGAGACTGAAGGCAAAGTTGGAATGCTGTCTGGCGATGAGCGCATCGACAGCGTTTTTGAGCTTTGACCCGATTTCATTTTACGCCCTTGACCTGTGACTGCCTGAGCGGAGACAGAAGAAATTGCGCTTGCAACAGGCGATCAGAACAGCAGGCTTCACGGCCGAGAAGCTTTCGACTCGACATTCTTCTTGCGCAATTCGACTCGACGCCTTTCAACCAACGTCACCCTCCCTCCTCTACCATTCATCATCGTCATCTACAGCAGCATCATCGCTCTAGCAGCCTCCACAATATGTCTGCACCCGCCGCGAGATACATCGGCGCTTCTTTCGGCGCCTCGTCGTCCCGTGTCGCCCTTGGCCAACCAACGCTAGCACGCAGCGCTCGAGCCATTTCAACCACTTCCCCCGCGAACAGCAGCAGCAATGGTCCCTTCAAAGCGACACCACCAGCTTCGGCGTCTCCTGCAGCAGCACCATCCAATGAACTCAGCAATCTTAGTTGGGACAAGTACCTTCAACTGCGCAAATCGCGTCGTCTAGCAGGCATGGTCACCACCATCCCCACCACTCTCCTTGCCGGTGCTGCAGCCGGCTCCTACTTCCTCACGCTCGAAATCGACCCTACCAACACCATCGCCGGGCTGGATCCCATCTACATCAACGCGGGTCTCACACTTGCATGCACCGGTCTGGGCTGGCTTACAGGTCCCACGGTGGGCAACTCGATCTGGAGCCTGCTGCACAGGAAGAACGCAAAGCAGATCGCAGAGAAGGACCACGACTTTTATGAGCACATCAAGCGTAACAGGGTGGATCCGACAAGGCAGTCGGTGCAGAATCCCGTCCCGGATTACTACGGCGAAAAGATTGGCAGTATCAAGCAGTACAGGCAGTGGCTGAGGGATCAAGCTGCTTTCCGACGAAAAGCGGCGCATGGGCTCGAGAACGATGCATGAATTCACCAACAAGAGACAACTCAATACGCAATGGCATCTAAATTCACCCTTCTACACTCGCACCTCGCGGTAATCTTTCCGGGTCGCACCACATACGAAGCGGTGTTGAGTTCCATTGCGATGACTCAGTGACGACCTTTATGATCCGGCTTGATCCTCCCCTCCTCGAACAAGTGTCTCGGTCGGAAGGGCCACTTTTCGAACATTCTTGCCAGACACGCCCACTGAGCGTTGGTCAGATCGCTGACGATCTCCTCCGGTCGAATTACCTCGTCCTCCCTAATGAGACCCTTGGCGACCTGTTCTGGGCTGGTCATCTTGAGCACGTTCTGCCCCCCAGGAGCGACGTGTGTCAGAGCGACCCCCACTGGCTTGGTTCGCAGAATGAACAGGTTCCGCGTAATGTACTCGAACGCCTCGATGACGTCTCCTTTGACCAGCGGGTCCTTTTTGGGCGTCACAGTCATCATGACCATGCCGATGCGCGTGAGACCCGTGGACCGGTTGCTGTTGGGGATCAGCGAGGTGCCCGAGATGGTGACGCGCGGTCCGACGCTCATGCTGGGTGGGAAAAAGTGGTGCGTGTGCGGCGCCAATTCGTGAGCGTATCGATGCACTTTGACGTCGGCAAGGCACTGAACGGTCGTACCGAGTTTGCCGCGCGAGATCTTGTCGCCTGCTTCGGCGAGACACCGTTTGGCGAGCGACTCTCCACACGTGAAAGCAAGCTGGATTCGACCATGTCGAAAGAGCCAGCTACGGCTTGCAATCGCAGAGATGATCTGCGCAAAGAGCTGCTCGCCATACACCGTGTTGGGCAGCTGGGCGAAGAAGAGGAGCGGCGAGAGCTCCTGCCAGCTCGCATCCGAGTGATCGGGCCCCTTGAAGTCGTTGGTGGTGAACTCGACGGATTTGCCGTCCGAGGTGGTGACGCGATCGTTGAGATGCGCCAGCTTGCCAGAAGAGACCAGCTCGCTGTATGTATCCCACTGATATGCCGACGACTTGACAATGTCCAACCGGGAGCCCGTACCTGGCTTCTCGTCTTCGAGCTGGGCTTGCAGCTTCTCGAGCTTCTCCAAGAAGCACGGCGCGTCTTCAAGCGCTATCACTTTCTCTACTTGGTCCATCTTGAGGAACTCGCTTGCAAATGTGCCAGGACCTGGATATCCCTCGACGATGGTCACCTTTTCGCCCTTGCGTTCCTCGCCCTCAATACCAAGATCCTTGATCATGTCCTTGATCGTAGTTCGGTTGCTGACAAAGTACCGATAGCTCGTGAGATGCTTTTTGCCGTTTGGGAATTCTTCTTTCCATGTGTCGCGAGGCGGAAGATGGTCGTAGCGCATCTCTTCCAGCAGCTGTTCCATGAGCTCAGCCGAAGGCACCTCGTCGGCTTGCGCTTCCACCATGGCAAGCCTTTGCATGCGAACCTCCCTCCGCGCTACTCGTCCCGGATCCTCTACTTTTGGCGGGCGTGGCTTCGTTCGTTTTCGCTCGGAGAACTTTTCGGTTCCTTTGTCAGGTGCAGGGGCAGCAGCTGCGCCGCCGCCTTTGAGGGACAGTCTCGATTTTCGCTGACTGCGAATGGGGATTCCGAGCTTCTCCTTGGCGAGCTTAGCGGCCTCGATCTCTTCTCTTGACCTACGTTTGCGTATTGGCTTTTCTGGCTTGATCTCGTTGGCGGTCTCGGTTGCGGACGACGAGGATGTCGATGCCAAGATGGCACTTGTTCGCAAGGTCCTTGACGAGGGTCCTGGCTGAGAATACATAAGGGCAGTACACCTCGCCGAACCCTGGAGAGCGTTGGCCCTGCTGGATGTCCCAACAGCAAGCTGAGCCAGAGCGCGGCTGGCCGTTCTCGCTGAAGTGAACATATTGACTGTCCAGCAAAGCCCTAGAGGTTGTTCGTGCTGGCGAAGGTGACGAGAAGGAAGGAGGAAGAAGGAGGAGGAGCACATCTTCTTGAGCGAGTCTTCTCCACACAAATTTTCCGACAAAAAAAGCGGTTCAAGCTCGGAAGACGGGAGCTGTAGTTGGACCCTTTGCTCATCCTTTGACACAACTCAGCCTTCTCTCACTTCACCTCCAACTCGGCAACCTTCCGCCGCCCGAGAGAGGCTGAACTGCACCATGTCGGCATCTCACAGCGAAATGGACGATTCGTTCCGCGTCCTCTCGCTGCCAACGACGGCCACTGAGGCCGAGATCAAAAAGGCGTATCGCAAACTCTCTCTACGGTATCATCCGGACAAAGCAGGCAAGGATGTCGATCCCGTCAAGGCGGCAGCACGTTTCCACGAGATCAATCTCGCATATGAGACGCTCATGGACCCAGCGGCGCGTGCGCGTGCTGTTCAGCGGAATGCAGAGGATGCTGCGAAACGCGAACGACAAGATCAGTACGAAGGAAAGCGGCGCCAGATGGCAGACGAACTCGAACGCAGCGAAAAGGACGCTCTGCAGAAGCGGCAGGATGCAATCAGGCTGGCGAGAGAGCGAGTCACAAAGGTCGCAGAGCTGCAGGCAGAGTCGCGTCGACTGATGAAGCGCAAGCAGGACGAGATCGACGCCAAGGCAAGACAGCGACGCCAGGCGGTCGCAGACAGGACAAGAATGGAAGAGGAGCATGCAAAGGCGCAGAGGGAGCCAGAGCTGCTTCCACTGGACAAGACGGTGAGGGTGCAATTCCCAACCACACAGCTGTCTCAGCTCGCAGGGACGTCGGCAGGGTCACTCGAGCCACCAGCGGACCCTTTGTCTACACCTCTGGCAAAGACGCTAGCGAGCCAGTTTGGAGAGCTGGAACACCTACAATTTCAGCTTCCGTCCGCCAGCAGGAAGGTCAAGAGGGAGTTGATGGCGCTTGCGACCTTTAAGACGCTGCTGGACGCATGGCAAGCCGTGGTGACGGGCGGCGAGATGCGTTGCACCGGTATACTGGAGGAGTGCTTCGTCGGATGGGCTCAGTATACTAGGAACAGCGAGACCAAGGACAAGATCTACACGGAACCCAAGAGAGTAGAATGGTACAAGAAGCACGGCATCGCGCGTCCGAGCGATATTGGTCATGTCCGCCCAAAGGCGAGGCCAGACGAAGCCGCCACTGCTGCACAGTCCGGCTCGCAAGACGACCCATCCCTGTCAGCATCCGCAGCGACCATCTACTCTCAGGCCTACGAAGCACGTACGCTGCAACGACTCAGAGACGCCGCAACACAGGCGAATCTCGCCCAAGCCCAGGCAACACACTGAGGGTTCCACTGTCTATTGTACACTAGTCTCATCACCAGCCACATCCAATCTATACCCGGTGATGGACCAGGAAATCTTGCTTGAAAGCATCTGACGTGATCATTTACGTTTGAGCGCAGCAAAGCGTGCTTCGAGCGAATCGTACTCCTCCTTGTCCGTCTTCTTTCGTGGTGGCGCCGCATCTACTTGTTTCTTCTCCGGCGCATCGCTCGCTGCTCCCTCCTTCTTGACTGCCGTTGTCTTTGTAGCCGCGTTCTTGTCTGCGCTCGCTTTTGCATCTGCTTGATCATTGGTCACCTTCTCTGCATCCCCTACTTGCTCTTCGACCTGCTCCTCTTCCTCCTCCTCCACCTTGGTCTCTGGCAAATGCGGCGACGAGAAGGGCACATCGTACGCTTTGCAGATCTCGAAGATGTACAAGTCGACCAGCTTGGCATCCGGTGCTTCCACCAGTAACTTGTTCATGACTCTCTCTGGCACGCACGAGTCCTTGTTGTCCATGACATCCTGAGCAAACTCCCGTCCAAACTTGGCCATGAGCATCTCCCTGAGCACGTGCAGCTCTTTCAGCTCGGTTCGTGGTGCAGCATGGATGATGGCGGTCAAAGCTGGCATGATACTCAGATCAGGTTCTCGGGTGGGCTGGTCGAGTAGGGCGAATCGCGCGAGGAGTGTTTCGGCGTACAGCTCCATGAGTTCGAGCAGCTCGAGATGGATGTCTTCGGAGATAATGCCTTCGGTCTTGATTCGGGCCGTCTCGAGCTTGCCCTTCTCCACGAGAGCAGATATGTCTCGCCGCGCTTGTTTCGCCATAGCCTCCTGCGCAATGATCGAGCACGTGTCAGCAGCGCTTCATTAGCGTTGAGATGCCAAGTGAATGACTAGCGAGACCCACCTTCTTTTCTTGAAGCATCTTGCATCTTTGAATGGTGAGCTTGAGCTGCACTTTCGTGCGGGCTCCGTTGTATGGCACCATCGTTGGTGAAGGAGCTCGTGGAGTTGTCAATGCTCAGAATGCGAATGAGGATGGTGATGGTCTCGGCTGCAGTTGTGGAGCATCCAGTCGGTCCAAGCGTGGCCGGTGAATTGACCGAGTGAATCGCCCGATTTGGGTCGTTGCTCTGCTGTTCTTATGCAGATGGACGCGTCTTTGGGCTGAGACGCCACTTTACTCGTCGTGCGCACAAATTCAGGGCAGAGCAACACGAAGACGCGCTCTTAGACTTGGACTGCTCAGCTGCGAGTAACACTCTCATCCAACTCAGCAACAAGGCAAGCTCAGCTACATCTCGCACACTTGTTCTTCTGCTCACCATCAGCTCACCGAGAAGCACCCAGGGGTCACATCACCATCCTCGCTTCCCTTTCATAATGGCCTCCGCTGCTGTCATGGCGTCCTCCTCGGCGCTTCCTGCCGCACGCCCTCCACCGCCCGACATGGACCTCGACGATGATCTCCCGGACAACGCCTTCACCTCGATCGACGAGCGAGCCATCGAGATCCGTGACTCGTCCGATCCCATGTCCATGCTCAGCTTCTACCGTCGTCTCTTTCCTTGGAAGCAGCTCTTCTCCTGGCTCAACCACGATCTGCCTCACATGGCTGCTACCAAGTGCTTCACTCACCGCGAATTCGCCTTCACACTCCAGAACGAGGCCTACCTCCGATACAACTCCTTCTCGTCCGCCGACGAGCTCAAGAAGGAAGTCTGCCGCCTCAACCCGGCTCGTTTCGAAATCGGCCCGGTCTACACGGCCAAGCCCAAGGATCGCAAGACGGTGCAAAAGGCGTCGTTCAAGCCGGTACAGCGTGAATTGGTATTCGATATCGATATGACCGACTACGACGAGGTGCGAACATGCTGTTCGGGAAAGGGCATTTGCAAGCGCTGCTGGTCGTTCATCGCCGTGGCAGTGCAGGTGCTCGACGAGGCGCTCAGGGAGGACTTTGGGTTCAAGCATCTGCTATGGGTCTACTCGGGTCGTCGTGGTATCCATTGCTGGATTTCGGACAAGGAGGCATTCGAGCTGGCGGACGACGCACGTAAGGCGATCGTCGGATGGCTCGAGGTGATCAAGGGCGGTGCCAACCAGGTCAAAAAGGTCGACGCTGGTTGGGTCGGTAGTGCTGGTGGAAGGAGTCTGCACCCGAGCTTGCGACGTGCCATTGGCGGCGAGGGCAGCGAGAGTGGTCCTTTGAAGCTTGCCTTCGTCGACACGGTGCTCAAGGACCAAGATTGCTTCCGCTCGCCCGAACAGTGGGATGTGCTGTTGCAGCTGCTTCCCTCTTCCGAATCCGAGGCGATCGAAAAGCTGCGCACCAAGTGGGAACGCGCCTCGAGTCGGTCCAGTCTGGAAAAATGGCAGGACGTCATGGAAAGCGCCCAGGCAGCAGGCAAGTACAAGAGCGAGCGAGTCTGGCGCCCTTGCCTCGAAGACATCATCCTCCAGTACACCTACCCACGCATCGACGCAGAGGTCTCCAAGCACCTCAATCACTTGCTCAAGTCGCCGTTTGTCGTCCACCCAGCGACAGGCAGGGTCTGCGTGCCGCTCGAGCCATCCAAGGTGTTCGACTTTGATCCCGAAGGTGGATGCCCCACCGTCGCCCAGCTGCTGCGAGAGCTCAACGCATACGAGGCAAGTCACAAGGACAGCTCAGCTGCTGTCAAGAGCAACTACAAGAACGAAACCGCCACTGCTGGCGATGCTGCTGCCACGGTCAAGCAGGATTGGGAAAAGACGAGCTTGCGACCGTTTGTGCAGCTGTTCGAGAAGCACTGCAATGCCATCGCCAAGGAGACCCGCGCAACAAGGAGAGCGTTGCAGGAGCTCAACGCAAACGACTTCTAGATGGTCCTCTGCTACCGCTCTCCGTTGCTTCATCCAAGACTCGCCCGTAGATGGTCTTGTTATACCCTGCTTGTCTTTGCATCGTGTACCCGCCTCTGTCTTTCATCTTCTTTCGCGTGCACGGCGAAACTTCCACACCACGTCTGATACTCGTTGTTGGAAGCCTCATGTGGAAATGAAATGAGCGAGAGTGAAACTCAAGTTGAGCTCGGTCGCGTCTCGAGTGAAGCTTTCTTCTGATCTGCAACACGCGCGCGCAGTCAGTCACATCGTCACATGAAGAAACACAGCTCACAGGCCAAGGCGCAATTTTCCAGCCGAGAAGACCCTTCCTTTCCTTCAACTCGCGAACAAAGCTCCTTCGCCATCCTTTCCGCACACTATCATCGTCGCCATCACCATCTCCGACCGTTCCTCTCTCGTCTCGGTATACCCTCCATCTTCTGCGGGCATAATATCAAGACGGCCCTGCAAGCTGCGCCATCAAGACCATCCGAGGCCCTTCGCTGCGCCATCTACATCCGCTACCGGTCCTAATCTCGAAAACGGTCCATTTCAACGACCTGATCATGCCCGCTCCCCCGCAGACGACTCAGCACAGCCCTTAGGGCAACGAGTCACCGCGTTCGACGATATCGATCCTTGTTCTCCGCTTCCACACGCTCTCGGCTCCGCTCACGGCAGCACGCCATCGCACGCACATCCCGCACATCTCGCTCTCAGCCAGTCATCCGCAAGGTGGAAGCAGGGTTCGCATGCAAAGCCCGCGCTTGTTACCCTAGTAACACGCCCGATCCACCGACGAAACAACTCCCACAGTGGAAGCATCTGCGGAGCACGTCTCGAGGCTACTCGACGAGTCATCTCCGATCCGCACCTCTTAGGATAGGCCACCACTCACGATGCTGCCACCGCACGAAGTAGCCACGGACGAGACCATCTTTCGTCCAGACGGCTTCATCAAGTTTCCGCGCTCCGATGGCGACCCCGACTATGGGCCGCCGAACACAGTAGTTCCGGCCAAGACAGACGTCGAAGTCAACTACTACCACGTCTTCGGCCGCGAAGAGAAGAGGCACGATCAATGGCGAACGGCGTTCGGCGAACACCTCGCGACCTACTTCAAGCTCGACCCACTCTCGCGCTCGAAAGCCAAGTGGAAGCTCTACGACTTTCCGGAGCACTACTACTTTACGGAGCAGCGCAAAGGTCCGGCGCTCGAGCCCCGCACAGATCCGTACCTCTTCGGGAGCCAAGGGCATCGCTTCCGCTCCACGAAAGAGGCGGTCGAGCACTTTGTCTGGCTTTTGTGCGATCCGGATCTGAACAAAGCAAACTGTCGGTGCAAATACTGCCACAAGGGGCCCCGCACCTCGACCGGCGGTGACGCCACACCGAAAAAGACCGCCGGTACCAAACGCAAAGGCGAGCCCATGAGCGCATCGAGCGCTGCCGGCAAAGTGGGACGTCCACGCAAGTCGCAAAACGGAGACGGCACCGAGCCGGTGCAGAGCCAGACCTCGATCACCATCCGCGGACTTGATATGAAGCGACTCGTCCCCGGTCTCACGATTGCATCCGTCCCGCAGCGCGAGCAGGAGCTCATGCACGAGCTCAAGCGCGGCGAAAAGGAACGATTCCGAGTGGGCGAAATGGTGTGGTGTCGCTTGGAGCAGCCCGTGGTCGACCCGACGGATTCTTCGAGGCAGATCGCACAATGGCCGGCCGTGATCGTCGACCCGGGAGTCGAGTTCACCATCCAGCTCGGATACGACCCAGAGGACAAGAAGGACGTCAAGACCAGCATCGAGGCCGTCTCCGCACCAAGCCAACGTGCCGAATCGCCGCCTTCCCTCGGCGGTAGCAGCAGCTCGGTGCAACAGAGCATGGTCTACCAGGTCGCATTCTTCGGAACCATGGAGACGGTCAGGGCTCCGGAATCCGCCTTGACGCCGTATCTGGCCGGTCTGATCCCGCATGAGCTGATCAACAGCGACTTGGGCGCGCGCGAGGACCATCCCTGGCTCTTCGACGAGAACGAGTTCCCGCATCTTAACCTATCGCGGCAGCCGGATCTGCCCGAGCCGAATTTCACAAAGGCTATCGTCGCGTTCGGGTTCGCTGCCGAGGCCGTCGCGGTGCTGCGCAACCTCTACAGCTTGACGGACGCCTACTCGGCGTCGGACGAACCAGAGCAGGTCTTGCGCGATCTGGGCGCGGCTCCCACGGATGAAAAGAAGCCAGCAGACATGCGATACTATCAGGGTATCTACTTTGGGCTCGAGCGACTATGGGTGGGCGACGTGGTCCGACTACGACTGTCGAAGAGCGACATCCGTAAACTCCAGGAGCAGCTCAACGCGACGCTGGTGGCGGACAAGTTGCCCGGCGCGCCCGATCCGTCCGCACTGATCCTCGACCCAGACGCGTCGTACGTGCTTCAGCTGGCGGCCATCTACAGCGATCCGCGTGCGCCCAAGATGGTGCGTGTGGCCGGCGAGATCTTTCAGATTATGCCGCAGGCCAAGTACAACGCGCTCCAGGCGGACATGCAAGCGAGCATCAAGCGGCTCGAGGCGGACGACAGCCTAGACGCGGCGGCACGACTGGAGGAGGCGAAACAGCTCGAAGCACGACTGCCCAAGCCGAGCATTCTGACGGGCAAGCCGGGCTTCCCCGCTATGCCTCCTCTTCCTCCCGGATTCGTCATGATCTCGCTCAGCGAGCGACTACAGACGCGCATCCCCCGCGAGACGACGCTCAGCATCGGCCACGTCGCAGGCAGGATCTACCCATCGCTAGGTATGCACTCGGACGGCCCACGCGTGGCCGAGCAGATCCAGCAGACACCTGCCGACAAAAGACTGGCCGCCGACGAGGACACGCAGATCGACCTCAGGGCACGCCTGAGTGTCGCCGGTCTCTTGTCGGGATGCGTCAAGGCGATGCGCGGCAGTAGCGTGCACACGTGGACGCGCACGGCGAGCTTCAGGGGAGCATTGGTGATCGCGAGAACCAAGCTCGGCAAGGTCATCTTGGGCGAGTTCGACGCTTCAGACGTTGAGGACTCGGTGAGCGTCTCGCCATCCAAGACGCCGTCCAAGAAGGGAAAAGCAGCAGCAGCGGCAGCAGCAGAATTGGCGGCGGCGGCGACGGAGACACCGGTTCAAGCAGACACGGCGGCAGCAGGAGCTGAGGCGACAAATGGGGCAGCCACGCAGTCGCAGCAGACGCCGGTCACCACCGTGGAGACCTCGCCGCAAGATGTGGCAGCGGCAACGGGGGGAGTAGCGGGAGACGCGCCGCCGTCTTCCGAGGACGAGCCGCCGCTGCTACCCGGCTGGGTGCCACGACAGTCCAAGACCATGGGGGGTTGGTACTTTGTTCACACGCAGACCAAGCAGACGCAGTGGGAGCGTCCAGCGGCCTAGTCTTTGTTTGCAGCATCTCACACGTCGCAACTCATCATCATGCCTTATCATCGTCATCTCCGTCTACCCCAATTCCTTCTGTCCGGCGATGGCCACTCACATCGCGACCGTCGAAACCAACGAGTGCGACATATCGGGCCAAAGGGTCTGTTTGCAAATCGGGGCAGTGGACTGCATAAAATTGCCTCTTTTGTCTCTGTGTGCTTCTCCCGTCAACCGCGGGCGAGGAAAATGAAATTTGGCGGCCTTTCTTTTGTGTGCGACGCTTCAGCCATCTCCTCGTTTCTTCTTCTCGACATCGTTTTCATCCCACGGGCCTTGCCTTAGCATCACGATTGCTTTTTGGCCTCCCTTACCCCTCATACTTTGCTCATCGATCGCCTCGGCAAATACTACGCCTCTGATCCCCCCGTGCGGCCGCGTTAGTTCAGCATCTGACGCCCCCAACGAGCTCATTTTTCTCGAACTAGTCAGCATCGTCAAGACCTGGACTCACCTTCACGACGCAGCATCTTCGACCAAATCCAATAGCAGCATCTCGAACGAGAATCGTCAGGCAGCTCTGCGCTCATCTCCTGATCAACACTTGTCTCACATCCATTGCAAAAACGATCGTCATCGAGCAAAGCTCTCGCTGCTCTCACACCAAGGAAACGTGCCTCGAGCATTCACTCCTCCTACGATCCTGCCTGGCTTCGTCCGCCTCAGCACCTGCTCCGTCTTTCCCAATCACGCCTCATCTCGGCTACCTCACGATATACCCTGGATCACATTCGACTCCTGATCTCATCAGCAGCCAGCAGCGTTTCGACCGTCGATACGCAAGCACGTCTGGATCGCAACGGCAAAGCATACCGATTCAACACTAGCGCCTCCCACACGTGCCAATAGTCTTCTTCGAGCGAACACCCCGCGCAGGTCAGCGACCAAAAGCGACACAAGCTCACGCAACCTCATCCTCGCAGCACGACTGTCCCCGCGTCCTCTACCAACCATGTCCTCAACTCCAATCCAAAAGTCGGTCCCGCTGACATGTTCCGGTCACACCCGACCCGTCGTGCACCTCGAGTTCTCGGACCTGCAAGACGACGGCACGTACTCGCTCCTCTCCTCATGCAAAGATGGCAACCCTATGCTTCGGGACTGGCTCGGAGACTGGGTGGGCACCTTTTTGGGTCACAAAGGTGCCGTATGGTGCGGTAAGCTCTCCGGCTCCGATGCGAGTATCGCCATTACCGGATCTGCAGATTTCTCCGCCAAAGTGTGGGATACCTTCACGGGTGAATGCCTGCACACGTTTCCGCACAACCACATCGTCCGGACGGTGGCGATCGATGGGCCGGGGGGGAAAGTGGTGACGGGCGGACACGAGAAGAAGGTGCGGCTGTTCGATTTGGCCCGACCGGACGGGGTGGAGTATTTGGTGGATAAGGAAGGACTCGCGCACGCAGGGACGGTCAAGAGCTGCGTCTGGCACAGGAACGAACGGGAGGGCGTGGTGAGTGCGGGGGAGGACAAGGTGGTGAGGTGGTGGGATACGAGGACGTTGACGAAGACCCACGAGATGGTGTTCACCGAACCGATCACGAGTATGGAGCGATCCACCGGACCTACTGGGGAGCTGCTGACGGTGACCAGTGGCAAAGAGGTCTACTTTATCGACGCAGCAACGAGGCAGGTGAGGAAGAAACATACCCTCAGCGTTCCCGTCAGCTCAGCGAGCCTCCACCCAACCTTGGCGGACAGATTCGTCGCAGGATCAAGTGGGGACGGCTGGGTAAGGATCTTCGACTACGAATCGGGCACAGAGCGCGAACTCCACAAGGGCCACCACGGACCCGCACACGCGGTGAGCTACAGTCCCGATGGAGAGTTGGCTGCCAGTGGAAGCGAAGACGGCACCATCCGACTCTGGCAGACGTGGCCGAGCAAGAAGTACGGTTTGTGGACGTAGGTCCGAGGGATGCGTGGTCGTTGCAATCAGAAAACGTCATCACATTCGTCCGTTGTGCGAGTGTCTTGGTGGTCAAGATTGAGATGCGTCGAGCTGGTCTTGAGGTCGTCACCTCTCAGCACCACCACCTTTAACAACATGCCTCGCATCACAGCCTCGAATGCAACACAGGCTTCGAGCCAATTCACACAATCGCGACCGAACATACATGAAACATCTTCATTGCAAGCGATCCCTTCAGGAATACCACTTGGATCCCCCATCGCCGACCAGCTTGCGCACCTTATCCTCGCTCGGCGGCTTTGCATATTTGGGCTCCTGCCTCTTCAACACATCCCGATAAATCCCGCTGATCGTGTCTGCGGACTCCTGCGACCACTTTGCGCGCCAGAAATGGATGCCTGCCGGCGTCAACCCTCGTTCCTGCGCAAAGGTGCGGAGGTTGAAATTCTCCCTATCCACCTCTCCCTTCGACGCGGGGGTGGGTTGTTCGAACAGAACCGTGGTGTATCGGTGGTAGGGTGTGCCTTGTTGTGGGTGAGGCGGGATCCAGTTCACCTCCATGTCCTTGGTCAGATCAACCGTGGGATCGCTCGTCGCACTCAACTGTACATCCTCTTTCAGGGCCAGCAGAGTCGTCTTGAATCCACCTACGTCCTCATCTGGTTGATCGGGATCGAGGATCGCCAGGGTATACCTCTTGGACTCCTCGTGAAAGACATTCACTTCTACCCTGGGCGCCTGGACGGTGGCGCTAGGTTCGACGAAAGCTCCGACCAGCACATCTCCTCCTTTAGCTTCGTGGTCCGTGAACCCGCTACCCGTGCCAAAGGCAACCTGCACATCCACCGTCGGCGTCAAGCCCGCCAGCACATCGGGCAGCACATGCATGAGTGTACACCTCTCCATGACTTTGGTCAGCACGCCGGAGTCGCGGCGCCACACACGCTCGCGAAGGTGACGGAACGCTGGGTTGGATGCATCGTAGTGCGTGGGCGAGGAGGATTGGAACGCGGCGAGGGTGGACGGGTCGTTGATGCGGGCGGCGATCTCGAGTGAGTCTTTGAGAGCAGCGCGGTCTGAGGTGGAGAGCGAAGTGTCGGTGTCAAGAGAGGTGATGCGGGTGCGAAGATCCGAAGCGTGGCTGGAGAGGTAGGCGAGCGCCTCGTCGTAGGCAGGCAAGACGCCTGGTTGGAGCAGCGGTTGCCAGGTCGGATTCGATGATGATGAGGAGGAGGAGGCGCGAGCCGAGTGACTGAGACTGCGTCGTTGGGTTCGCAATAGCGACCGACACGCTGTTCGAGTTGCTGATGTCGCCATGGTTGCTCGTCGTGATGGGTGAGGAGGTGGTCGATATTGGAGGGGTGAAGGGTCGAGTCCAAAAAGTCGCAGCAAAAAAAGAGTGCGTCGGTCGAGCTCGCAGGGTTTTCCTTCCAACCGCACGAGACTGCCAGAAATTTCACCGGACCCATTGACAATCACGGTGTAACATTGGCTAAAACGCGCGCCTCCGCGGAATGAGACAGCTGACGTGACGAAAAGTGACGTTGGGTGGAGGCATATTCATCCTACTCCAGCCATGCTGTCACAGGGGAGATCGTCTTGGGGGCCAAGCTGACTGAGACGGCCCTTGCGAGAACCCTTATCTATCGACCCTCGCGAACAACTTTCCTGTCCTCCCACCACCATCCTCATCGCACCTCGCACACAAAGCAATGAGACTGTCGCCCATCCCCTTACTCGCCGCACTCAGCCTTACCGCCTCATCGACTACCGCCGCTTTCCCTCCCACCGTCGGCCTCTCCACGCTCTACGCAACCAGCTCGGCCCTCATCCTCTCCTCCTCGCCCCTCGTTTCGGCCTCCTCCCCGCCGATCCACGCCTCGCAGCGTACCTTCCGACTCGGTCATCCCGCCGCCTCCTACACCACCATGTCCACCCCATCCCTCCCATCTCAAACGGTCGCCTTTCCGGGGTTCGAATCCACCCCGCGCATCGAACCCTCCTCGTCGACCGCACAGCTCATCCGCGACGCCCTGGATCTGTTCGGTGCCCGCCCTTCGCCGGATATCTTCACCCGCTGGTCACCCACTGCGGTGTTCGCCGATCCAATCTGTCATGCCGAAGGAGCCAAACAGTATTTGGCGCAGTGGTACGGCATGCCTGCTGCCTTCACGCAGTCGGAGACGCTCGCGTGGAAGCTCATCAAAGAGGAAGAAAGGAGGATCGAATGGGTCCAGAAGCAAAAGTATAAAGTCAAGGGACTGGGGATGGTCAAGGAGATGGTGAGTACGGTGGTGGTGGAGCGAGGAGAGGATGGAAAGGTGACGAGGTTTGAGGATCGATGGAATCACAAGCCGATGGGCAGTAGTTTGGGGTGGCCGTTCAGGAGATTGAACGCGGTGACGATGCCTTTGATCATTGGCGTACCCAAGGAGACGCAGGGTGCGGTCAAGTTGTAAGAGCTGCGATGCGTTGTGGAATGTACGTTTTGTGTTTTTGCCGACAAGAGTGTCTGTGTGAAGACTCTGGCAGATGTGTCACCCTCGGCGGCCAAGTCGAGTTCAAACGACCGGCTTGTTGGACGCCGGTGCGGTCAAGCTGTAGGTTCTCGCAATGCTAGTCTGCAATCTGTTTCGTAACCTGCAACGGCCATCTGCGTGCAGCCTGAGGTGTGTGACGTTCCGTAGGGGGCAGCAGGGACATAAGTTATGTGAGACCGCTTCGACTTGATGCGAGCGGCGGCTTTGCCCTGAATATCGATGTCTTTGGAACGTCTCGGGACTTCTTCTCCGTTCGGTATCACCTTGCTCGACCGTGTCTGACCACCGTCACCACTCCTTCAACTCCCCTCTTCATCGAACAGTATCACTCACAGTCACGCATCACATCTCTTCACTCGACATCATTCATGGTCTCCAAGTCGTCAAGGGGTATCATTGAGAGGGTATACACTGGCGCAACTAACACAGCAACAGCAAACAAAACCTTGTCAGCATCGCCATCCTCTTTCTCCCTCACGGAGGGACGAGTCGCATGTTCCCGCAAGAAGGTTCAGTATGGGTGCCCTGAAAAATGGGTTTAGTGGCAGGGCGGATTCGCCATGTGTGTGTACGAAGACCGTCGTGATTGATTGAAATTCATCATTGTAGTTGCGGGAGATGCGACTCGCCTCCTTTGGATCGAACGTACCTTGTCTTTTGCCGCCGTGTGGATCAAATTGTAGATGGTGAAGAGGGGATATATCTATCGGAACAGCAACCCAAGATGTCAGTACAGCTGCAAGGCTTGTGTACGCAAAGCATCTCCTCGAAAGCGCGAGCAAAGCTCATTAAAACAGCCTAGTAAGTGTCCTTCATGGAGCAATATCGGACGGTAATTTCCAGCATCCCCCGAAGGGTGATACAATTGATAATCCTCGCTGGCTCGCGCTTGGTCGAAGAGGTGCTTGAGAACAAAACTTACTGTTGGTTGCTATGCGGGTGGTTTGTTCGGACGTCGATGTGTGCGACTGTTTCCAGCGGCAGGGAACTTGTTCGTTGAGGTTGAATTGCCAGACCGAGAAGAAGTTTGCTGGGTGATTCGCCGAAGAGCCTTGTCGACCTCTTGCACCAGTGTGTCCACGTCCTTGAGGTAGACTGTCGGCTGAGCGACGAGCATGATCACGTTCTTGCGCAGATCGAGCAGTCTTTCGACGTCCAGGTTCGCTTCTTGCAGGCGAAAGATGGCCGTGCGAAGGGCAGCGACCAGCTTGGTTCTGACACGGTGTCGAATCACCGCGCGCTTGTGGATGCGTTTCTTGGTCGACATGACAAACACGCGAAGGACCGGCCTTGCATCATCTGCCTTCGATAACATGGGCAGAGAAACTTCGAGGGGCTCCCATCGAGCCTCGCCATCGTGATCTCCCGGACTCGACGCATCAGACGATGCTACAGGCGGAGAACCGAATGTCAGTCGAAAGTGACGCCCTTGATGAGTCGAAAGGTGCGGAGGCATCGGCAGCCAATGTGGCAGCAACCGAGTCTCGTCTAAGCACCCATTCCCGTCGACCAGATGCCGCGGAAAGGGCTTGAGAATCATCGTAAAGTCAGAGCAGTGGAACGAGGGTTCGCTCCTGCTGGGAATGAAGAACTGGCTCAGACCCTTTTCCAGACTCGCGTGCGGCAAAGGCTTGACCTGCGGGATCGACATCATCGAAGGAAGATGAGTGTCAGTGACCACGACTCGCTTTCATCCACCCGAGAGAGAAGAGAGTGCGAATGGATACCAAAATGTAGCCAGGACCCTAGGTTGTAGCCTCAAACGAGCATTGGTACATAGTACCTCACTCCAAGTGCTATGAAATTAGGGTGCCAGCCCAAGTACATTCATCCCGGCGCAGACCCCCTCCAAGGCCGCCGTTTACCCCCAAGAGGTCGAACAGCGCGGAAAAGGGAAAGCGCAACACAGGCGAAGAGGTGACAAGGGCACATTGATCTAGGCAAAGCCGCCGCCAGGGTGATCGCGTTTTTTACACGTCCACTCGCCCGCCCGTGAGGGCAGGCTCGTGGCCTCCTCCTATGTCGAGGATGTCGCTCCCAATCAGACGATACTGTGCTAGGGACGCAGGTCGAGCCGAAGCTCAACCGCGCCACGTGCACCGGCGCCAAAGAAAGTGACCTTGATGACGATGATCGTCCCAAGGGTCAAATTGAAATGCAAGGTGGAAAGGGAGAGGGAAGTAGGGAAGATGGAAAGACTGTGAAGCTTACCAGAATGCGAGGAGTCGTCGAGGACGAAGCCTGTGTCGACGACTTGCGGAGCGACAACGCCGGACTCCGATCAGCTGAGGTCCATGACGGCGCCAACGCTAGTGTCCGGCTAAGGCGTGGCAGCTGGACAGCTTGACGCACGCATTGCATCGTGTTATGTCCTTATCGCGTCTGAGCAATACGAAGAGCAATGACGACGAATGGTCAGCAAAGACTCGTCCTTCCCTGCGGCATCGACCAAGAAGCAGCACGTGGCATCGCATCCGAACGGCCTACAGCAAGCGACGTAGAATCAGTAAGCTTTGCAAAGTTAACGCGAACCAAGACCGCGAGACTCTAGTTTGTAAAATGCTGTTGCATCCTTTTGTGCGTCGATGGGATGCTGTGAGCCGTTGAATGCGATGCTGTGCTGCTCGAAGGTTGATTTTGCCTGTGGTGGAATGAACTACGAACCTGTCGAGAACGAATGCTGAGTGGAAAGGGTATATGGCTCGGTAGCGATATTCTGATCGTAGCAAGCAAAGGAGGCGCACAAGAGACGAGTCAGTCAGATGCTCCATACTGGTGCTGTATGCTGCTGCTTCCATCGATGGCTTCTGATCATCTGATTCGTGTATAAAATTTCTGATTGGATACGCAATCACGAACATCATGCGTGTGGTTGTGTGTAATCCTTTGAGAAAGGCCATCGTTCGGCAGTCGCTGCTGTGACGAACGGACACTTACGTTATGAGAAGCCAGAGGGTCAACGCACTTACAAGTCGCGCCGACCAGCGGGCAGACTTGTGACCATGGTGAGGATGATGGTGGTGGAAGTCGCAGCAGTCGGTGCGTCGAGCAAGAAGACTCGAGGCTGAGCCAAATTTTTCGCAGTGCCTTTTGGCTTTCTTCCTGAGAAAAAACTGCGGTTGGCCAGCTGGAGAAATCTCACTTCGCACGATATAGACGCTCGAGGTCTCGTGATCGACCCTGCAAAATTCGAATTTGTTACATCGCCCCTTCTCTTGGGCGCCATTTTTATTCAGCCTTCTCAGAGAGGTTTGGTCGAAGCTGCGACCTGTTGCCTCTCCAAATTTTGAGCTCGAATGTGCACTTTTTCCGGTTCTTCCTGCAATTTTTCATTTCCAGACCGCTCTCCACTCTCCACACCATCGCTCACACCACATCCCTCTCACATATCACCCTCCCTTCGCACACCCCACACGAATCGCAACGATGGCAAAGGACGAATCCAAGAAGGACAAGAAGTCGAAGCGCAAGTCGGACGTCGCCGCTATGGACGTAGACGCCGTCACCGACGTCGAGGCTTCCCCCTCCAAAAAGGAGAAGAAGGAAAAGAAGGAGAAGAAGGCCAAGCTCGAGTCCGCCGCCATCGACGATGACGGTTCGGACGACGAAGAAGCGACTCCCTCCACACTTGAGATCTCGCCGATCGCACAACCGCTCGCGCAGGCCAAGATGAGCAAGAAGCTCTTCAAGCTGACCAAGAAAGCGTCGAAATCGCGCGGTCACGTCAAGCGCGGCGTCAAGGAGGTGGTCAAGGCCCTGCGCAAGGGCGAGAAGGGACTGGTGGTGTTGGCGGGGGATATTTCGCCGATTGATATCTTGAGTCACATCCCCGTGCTCTGCGAGGACACCAGCAACCCCTACATTTTTGTCGAGAGCAAGGAGGCGCTCGGCGCCGCCAGCGCGACAAAGAGACCAACCAGCGTCGTCATGATCGTCCCCGGCGGTGGCAAGAAGGCCGCTGCCAAGGGAAAGGACGCGAGCAAGGCAAAGGAGGAGTACGCAGAAGACTACGCGAGTCTCCACAAGCAGGTCCAGACCCTCAGCGACCAGGTCGCCATGGCTGTCTAAGTACATCGTCTTCTCCCGCACTTCTAAGCTTGTCTGCCAGCTCACAAACGACAGGCACCGCCCCCGCTTTGCATATCCGTCTCTCACGTCTCGTTCCGGCCTCTGTACACTAGTTTCCCACATTCGCGATTACGCTTTTAGCCATGCCGATTGTCTGTCCGTCTCCCTTTTGGCTCAGCGTCCCATCTCAGCTCTAAGTGAGCGATCTGTGAGCACTCGTGACATCAGAAGATTCGCTGGCGGCCGAACAAGCTCAACACATTCATCCAAGAAAGAGACGAGCAAGCTGACATTCACATTGACACCACCTCCGCCCCTCCTTCATCAACGACCCTGCCCACCCAATCGCTTCAACAAGCCCTCTGCACTGGACGTCGACTCTGGCGTGCCCTGCCCTGCTTCCGCCTCTATCGGTGCAATAGCCTGAAACAGCGACGGCCTGGACTGCGACCCCCGCCTCGCCGTGGCATCGCCCGGGATGGGCGCAAATGGCGGCGCTTGGACCGCTTGCGCTGCTGCCCCTGTGAAGCGGCCCAGCGTCTGGCTGAGGAACGAGGACTTTTGGGTCGAGGCGAGTGCAGGGCGCGCTGAGTTGCTGAAGCTGGGTGAGCGCCAGGATTGACGTTTTGCCGCAGCCGAAGTGGACGGATCCGCGTCTTCCACTTGACCGATCAGCGGCGAAGGCGGCCCGGCAAGTGAGCCGGATGAAGAGAAGGACGAGGGGAACGCTCCGGGAATGGCATGTGCGGTAGTGACGCCGGTGAGAGCGACCGACGACGAAGAGGATGCTTGTCTGCGATGGATGCTCGTTGATCCACCGGTGTCAAAGACGATGCTCCGCCCGTTGATGCGGATGCCCACCGCTTGGTCTGATGCCGAAGCGGTCGATGCTGAGGACGCAGTGCGCTGCGAGGCCTTGGACACGGCATCACTTGGCCATCGCTGGATCTTGGGGGCTTCACCCTTGCCAACATTGCTGTCGTCCTTCTGCTTGCCACTGCCAGATTCGCCAGCAGACGTGCTGATGTGCAGACTCGACTTGCGTCGCGGCTGACCGCGTCCAAGCGTGCCCATGCCTTCCCTATCGACCGGTAGCGACGCAGGTCCAGGTGACTGCGAGAACGGATTCGAGACAGCAGTGTCCACCAGATCCGATTGCGGCGCTCGCACTGCACGGATGGCGATGCCTTCGGACCGACTCTGAGATGCAGGAGCAGACGTCACTGTGCGACCCTCAAAGGACGGAGCGTCGGGACTCTCGATAGCACCGTGTCGTCGAGCGCCAATACGACTCGACGGAGAGCCGTTCTGCGATCTTCCTGCAGCGTCGAAGCGCCACTTGTTTGGCGTACGACCAAAGGCCGGTGGCATGGTGGCATGCTCGATCAATGTAGACCGATGGCTCGTGGAACCTGTCGTGCTGGAGGCGTCGCCGTCGTTGACGTCGCCCTTGCGCGAGTCTGCTTCTTCCACAATGCCAGTAATGCTGCGGGAAGGCCAGGGTGCAGCATTAGCGGATGCGCCCGAGCTTGCTCTCCACCTTCCGATGACGCCGCCGCCGACGGTACTGAAGGCGCTGTCTGCGCGAAGAGACGAAGCCGGCGAAGCACTGCGCAGAGCACGTGTCAAGCCAGATGCCGACGTGGACGAGTGCGGCTCTACACCCAGATCGGATTGCTCGGATTTGATATCGAATTGTCCCGGCAATTCTGGGTTCTTGGTTGAAGCAGGCGCGGACAGCTCGGCTCCTGACCCGATGCGTGGCGAAGTGCTCGGCGTCTGCATCGGCGGTGTCGATTGCTCGGGCCCATCTGCTTTGTCAGACTGCAAAGAGATTCCACTCGTCTGTCCAGCTGGATCGTCCTCTTGTGGGTCCTCCTTCGGCTTCGAAGCTTCAATTGCTTCCGCCTCTGCGGCAAGCTCCGGCTTGGCTGCGCTTGCATCTCGACCTTCTTCGGCCAGACTCCTGAGGCTGGTCACCGCGCCTTCGCTTCGGCTCCTCGGATGACTAGGTGATTGAGTCCTGCCTGCCGATCGACCATTCGTGGCATCTTCCGAACCGTTCGTCCCGCCGATGGCAGCCGACGAACTCTTCCGACTTCTCAGAGGAGGTGCCGAGCTGTGGCCGCTGTACGTCTCCACGTCAAGCAAGAAGAATCGAACGCCTTCTTGTAGTCGGAACGGATTCGCGTCTTCTTCCTCCTCTGCCTTCGCCTCGCCGGCGACAGGCACCACCTTGTCGGTGATGCTCGTAATGCGTGCCACGATCCATTCCTTCGTGCGCAGCTGCTCGGCCAGAGGTCCTTTGGCGTTGAGGAAAAAGTGAGGGAAGCTGATGTTGAACGCAGCCCACGGCTTGTTTGCCAGATTCGAGCTGCGTGTCGGCAAGAACAGCGCCAAGTCGCCAGCCTGGAAGTTCTTGAAGGCGATCTTGTCCCGCGCAGCATGCTCGGCTTTCTTGACCTTCTCGTTGGCCGATTTCCACGCTTTCTGCCACTTGCGCACGATGATGTTGAGATTGTCGAGCTTGCCCTTGACCTCGTCATACATCTCGGAGGCGTCAAAGGCACGCAGCGCTTCGAGGGTCGTCTCGACCGTTGCGCTTTCTGCCTCGGCGTCGAATGCTTCCAAGGCCACCTGACGCTGGGATTCAGAGAGCTCGGAGGCCGACAGACTGCCTGCCGATGCAGCGATGGCTCGTTGCGCCACGATGGTTGCCCCAGAGGAAGCAGACATCGCAGCCATCGACTTGTCGGCAACAGGTGCCGTGCTGGAGGACGAAGCCTGACGTGACGATGAATGCGTCGGCATGGCGCGGACCGTCTTACGAAGTGTGCTTGTCTTGGCAAGAAGCCCACGCGTGCGCTCGAGCAGCAGCTGTCGACTGGCTTCAACCTCCCTTCGTGCGGCTTCTGCCTCGTCAGCAAGCTCCTTGGCATGATCCATCTCCTTGACGATTTCCTCATGCGCAATGTCGGCAGCCCGCAGCTGGCCACGCAACAGCTCGATGGCTTCGCGATCAGGCATGCGGCTCTGCTCAGCTCGCGTGGCAATGGCAGCCTGCTTCTCGAGCAGCTTCTCCTTGGCGTCCAAGTCTGCCTTGAGCGATCGGACTTTCTCTTCCAAAATGGCGCGATCCCCATCAGCCTCGGCGCGATGCGATCGAATCTGTCGTTCCTTGGTGGCCTCGACCTCGGCTGCTGCTTCGCGTGCCTTGGCTGCGTCTGCGTGAGCGTTCGACAGCTGCTCAGTGAGCTCGTCGATACGAGCCTGCGCAGTGCGAAGCTCACCCTCTGCACTGGAGCCTTCGCTCAGCAACGCCTCGATACGGTTGCTTGCGTCAATACGCGCGCTCTTGGCCTCTTCAAGCTCGACATGCAGCTCGTGAGCCTGTGCCTCGAGCTCGGCAACGCGGTCCGCCTCCTCCATCGCTTCCTGCTTCGCTTCGGCTTCCGTTTGATGGCTCTGCTCCAGATCTCGGCGCAGCTGGCTGACCTCGTCGACCATGTTCAGACGACGCTCTCGTTCGAGCTCGAGATCGGCGCCCATGGTGTCGATGCGACTCTGAGCTTGACGCTTCTCTGCTTCGAGCTTGGCCACGTCCGCTTTGCCGGTCTCGACCTGCCGCTTGAGAGTCTCGATCTCGGATTTGAAACCTACAAGTCGAGATTCGTGTTCAGCTTTGATCGTCCTCGCTGCTTCGTCCTTGGCGAACTTGGCTGCAGCAAGCTCGCTCCGAAGCTGCGAGAGCTCTTGATCGTTGGCAGCAGCGATGGACGCCGTAAGACGTTGACGACGTCGGAACCTCTTTCGCGCTCGTATCGAAGTATCAGAACCGCTCTCGTTTACGTCCTCCTCCTCCGATCCTTCCTCGTCTTCCCGATTGAGGAGCTGGCGATTGACGAGAGTGATGAACTCTTCATCGAGATCCTGTAACGCTGCAGCGAGGGCTTGCAGTGCAGCTTTGACCTCTGGGATTGGACTGGGATCGCCTGTCATGCCGTCGGTGTCCTCGCGCAGCCGAAGGTCCACCTGATCGAGAAGCTCATAGAGAGACTGCAAGTCGGTGACACCCAGGTCTGCCATCCCCTCGCTGCTGACTCGCGGTGTCGTGATCTCGAGGCTCGGCGGCTTGTCATCCATGCCCTTGACCTCCCACGGTAGCAGTGAAGATACGTCGCTGCGATAGAATTGCCTGCGCTTCCATTCTGACGCAGAAACCTTCGCCATGAGTTCTGCGAGCGACTGCGACTTGCCGAGAAAGTGTTTGGCAAACTCGCGCCGCCTCACTACCTCGACAACCGTTGCACCATAGGCCCAGAGCATGTTCTTGAGGCGGTGCAGGTGCTTGAAGCCATCGAGCTTGTTCGAGTGCAGATCCGCATCGACCGCAGCTAGTAGAGAGCCAGTTTCGGTGAACTCGGACTGGATCCCCGAGATGTCGATGAGCAGGTGAAGACTGCGCTCCAAGATGTCGTTGCGATCTTGCGTCAAGCGTTGCACTCCTTCGCGCACCACCTCGTCCAGCAACAATAGCTCTTCGGAGCTACCAACAATCTCGTCAAAGGTATCCTGATTGATTTTGTCAGCGACAGGCCAGCCTTGAGAGTCCGGTGAGCAAGTCGAGTGGATGAAAGCATGAAGCTGCCGAGTACGTGATTCTGCTTCCACAACACGCTGATAGGTCTCGTCAGCTACTTCTGGGGTCGTCGACTCGACCTCGTCAGACAAACCCTGGGTGTCGTTGCGCACGAGCGAGAGGTCCGCCTCGATCCGCTCGATCCGCTCTCGAAGCTCGGAGTAGACTCGATTGCAGGCGTCGGCGACCGCGCTCATCTTGGTCTTGCTGATGTAGTCGCCGAGCGTGCGATGTCTGGGTTTGCTCGCTGCCGACTGTCCGTTGCTGGTCCCGCTTTGCGCAGAGGAGGTCGAAGCAGCTGCAGCGTTGGCCATTTGAGCACTCGTAGATTGCAATCGAGGATGGATCGAGACCATGCCGAGAATGCGAAGATCTCGCTCGTAGCCTTGCAGCAAACTCTGCATCCTCGTCAGCTCCTTCTGCGCCACATCATCGATGAGAGCCTGAGCTCCCTTCTCGATGTTGTTGGCATGATCTCGAAGATTTGCCAGCGCGACTTGCAGACTGCGCGCGATGAGCGTGATGCGCTCAAGCAGCTCACGGCAGGACTGCTCGTGCTTAGTGACAGTTCGTGCAACCTCCCCTGCCCAACTTACGAGAGCTTCGAGTGACTTTGGCGTGGGTGGGAACGAGAGCTCGGCGTCTGGTATTGTCGGTACTGATTCCAGTGTAGTGTGCTCCGCCAACTCTGTAGCCAGCTCTGTCGGATCGGTGTAGAGGAATTCGCGGTTGTAGACGAAGAACTCTTGAGTGTTGGAATCGTGTTGCGCGTCATCATGTGGGCCTTGATGTGCCGATGTGGAAGGGTCTGTTTTGACAACAGAAGTGGATGCAGAGAGAGAAGGAGATGTGGCGGTTTGCTGAACGATGCGATCGAGCAGCTCCTGTTTGAGCTGGCTCCCGTCCGAGGTCATGCAGATGATAGCATCGGAGGGGATCTCGGTTGCGAGCGAGAGGCAATCGAGGAGGTCATCGAGCGAGGCGAACTGCGAGAGGGGCTGATTGACGACGATCGAGCGGCCGTCGTATGCTCGAATGACCCTCATAGTGGCTGCCTGATCAAGAGCCGGCAGCCAGCCGGCAGCGGTTCTTGTTGGTCGGCGGGAGACGTGTTGGTGTTCGCTCGACTCGTCAAGGTGGCTAGCTGTGGAGCGCTGCGACTGTCTTATGCTACTTCATCGCAGTCAAGATCTAACCTGAGGCGTTCCTGCAAAGCCGTCGTTCGAGATGCAACAAGAAGAGAAACTGACAATGGACGAAGTGAGGATGGTCGCTTGAGTGAATGGTAGCACAGCAACAAAGGCTGAGTCGACACCCTGCATGTGATACACTCAAAGGTTGGACCCTGACACCCTCCTGAGCCGTGCGCGCGTGGTGACTTTTCAGCAGCGCCGCCTCCACCGTGATTTCATGCGAGTCACGACTCAGCCGCAACCGGCCATATGACGTGCTATGCTGTGACCACAGATGCTCAGATTCTGCACGACCATTCGTCTCAGACACGCAGATGGTAGGGAGAGGATGTGAAACGCGAGTGTAGTGGTCGATTGCAGTGCGAAACAAAGTGCATGTCCAGAAAAAACCTTTGCGAAGGCTGCTCATGAGGAAAAGCTTCACATGGCTTCCGAGATGCGTCGCTTGAAGCGCGCCATCTTGCTTTCCGATGTTGGCGAGGTGGGTGGGCTTGGGTTGTCAGCGTTCCTGCCGTGATCGCCACTGGTGCTGTCATGCTTGCCCTCGGAATCCTTGTCCTGCGCACTGGGATTCAGACCGGTGGGTCCGACGTCGGCGATGGGGGGTGCTGGCACCACGGACGGCAGCTTGCCAGACCCATCTCCAACGACAGTCACGTCGGGCTGTACATTGAGCCGTGCCTTGCCCTTGCCATCTCCACCTGCGCTTGCATGCCCACTCTGAGCGCCCACGACCGAAACTTCGACATCCTCCTCAGCTGTGTCCACGTCCTCTGCTCCGTCGCTGGAGCGCTTCCTGTCCATGTCGTTCGCACCAATCTCACTGCGTCGGGCCCTGCTCGCCCCTGCTGGAATGGTGGCCGGCACTGATGTTAGGGCCGGTGCCGATCGGCCTTGCGGAAAATCCCGCGTCGAGGAAGGTGAAGACGTGTGGGTAGCTGTTGCGTGCGGCGCCTCAGCTAGCGTGCTGAGAAAGGTCGAGTTGAGCGGAGTGCCTGCTTCTTCGAGACCGGGCGAGAAGCCCCCGACCGCTCCTCCGGGCCAACCTTCTTCCGGACTGCCAATGGCAACCGGTCCAGCCAGGCTCGAGGATGTCAGCGTAGCTTTGTTCCCAAGCAAGCTACGCTCGCTGCCGCCAATTGCAATGGGCCCTGAACCACGACGGGTAGGGGACCCAGCGTCTGTCGAAAAGCGACCCGCCCGGTGGAGCGATGCAGCAGCATCTACCCCGAGGACACGGTCTGAGACCGCCATGGCGCCCAGGTCTGATGTCAAGCCTGCTGTCTCGGCGCCGCCGTCACCGACAGCGAACGTCTCATCCCCCGCCAAGGGACCAGCGCTCGAGCCCACCGCAGTATCGGGACGTGCCCAGTCGTTCTTGCGTCTGCTGGAGGCTGCGGTGCCTCGTCCAAGCGCGGCGTTCGTGCCGGCATGATCAGATTGCAAATCTGTCAACAGAGGCGATGTTGCCAAGTTGAGCGGTGGTCTTGGCGCTACCCCGTTCGTGTTGGCGGATGCGCTGTTCGGCCCAGATGCGTCACCACTCGAAGCGCCGTTGAGGAGCACCGAAGTCAGAGACGGAGGCAGGGCGGCAGCCATGGGCGAGTCGAGCTCCACGGCGGGAGTGCCTACTTCAAGCGGCAATTTGCCCTGCGCCAGACGTGCCTCTGCTGCTTCCGCTTCCAGCAAGAGCGACTCTTGCCATGCCTCGTCCTCCTCGACGTCGGCGTCCAGATCCGCAAACGTGCGGCAGAGCGGGCAGGAGAAGCCGGGATGATGCAAGTTGAGCAGCGGTCGAATGCATTTGTAGTGGAAGACGTGCGAGCATGGTGCGATGAAGAGCGCCTGACAAACGGTCACAGAGAACAGACAAATGCAGCAGTCTGTGACGCTGACACCTTGCCTGTTGGTAGGCAGAGCAGCAGTGGCGCCCTTGCCCTTGTCATCGACGGTGGGAGGCGAGAGCGATGAACCTTGCAGAGCACGCAACTGGCGGAGTGCGTTAACATTGAACTGGTTGGCTTCGCGCTGCCAACCTCGGTTGAGCTCGACCCGCATCTTGACGCAGCGATAAATCTCCTCGGTGCCGCCCTGATAGTCGACGCCAAGCTGGACAACGTCTCCATCCTTTATCGCAAACGGCTTGGACTCGAGGTTGGGCCCAGACAGGCGGATGTGGTTGAGGAAGGTGCCGGACGACGACTTGGTGTCTCGGATGAAGAACTTTCCGTTTGGCTCACACCAGATCTCTGCATGACCTCGACTGACCACTTTGCTCTTGAACGCGATGCGAGAAGAGTCGATACGACCGCCACCACCATGACTGCCGCTGATGGGAATGGCTCCACCTCGTGCGCCTGGTTGACCGCGACTCGACTGCACCGGTGCTGCTGCGGAGCCAAGTTCACCTGAGGAGGTGGCGTCATTGACGACACCAGCTAGTGTTGCTGCGACCGGATCGCGGTGCGAAGGCTGTCGATCGGTGAAGCGGCCTACCTTGACGCCACCGTCGCCTTCTTTTAGGTCGCGCTCGATAGGCTCGAAGTGCAGCGAGCGAGTGGCTTCGAGATGTGGCACGAGTCGGATACGGTGCATGCCGTTGAGCGGGCGTGTGCCGGCTGAGGAAGCGGAGCCAGCAGTGGCAGCAGGAGCTACTTCAGTTGAAGAGTCCTCCTGGATGGGCTGAGCGTTCTGCGAAGCAGCGTTGGCTTCATCCACAGTGGTGCTCGGCTGAGCGACGGCCGCAGCTGGGTAAATGGCTGGAGCTGCTGCTGACGCAGCAGAGGGAGAAGTTGTCACATTGCGAGGATTGGCAATGGCAGCACTGCTATCATTGGCAGATTGTGGGTTCATGTTGGCGCGATACGAGCCGGACCGCGCAAGAGGTGAAGCAGGCGCGGTTGCATTGGCGGTCGGGCGCATGGGACTGCTGGTGTCTCTGTCGATGGCAGACGAGCTCGTGGTTCTGGGCATGCTGAAAGAGTCGCGATCGCGAGTGGTAGATCGCTGGGAATCGCTGCGATTGGCAGGACCTTGAGAGTAGCGACGGAACATGCGACCGAGGGCGCTGCCAGTGCCGCTAGCATTCGAGTTGGCAGCCATGACGAAATTGTTCTGAGACGAAGTCCCCTGAGGAATGCGTTCGAGGTTTGGCGAAGTGACGCGGGTCTGCAGCGGTATGCGTGACGGGCGAGAAGGAGATTGAAACGCCGATGCTGAAGCTGAAGCTGAAGGCGAATACAAGTGCACTTGCGAAGAAGAGGAGCTCCTAATGAGGCCAGAAAACGTGGAAGGGCCAGCGGAGGGGGACAAGAGATTGGAGGTGCTAGCAGCGAAAGAGGCCTGATTTGCGTGGCTGGCTGTTTTGGAGCGTCGACCGAAGCGTGCGTAAAAGGGGAGTCGTTGTGGCGAAGGAGCGTCAGCCAATGAATGTGGGCTTGTGGGTGATGTGGGGATGCGGTCGGCTGATGATGACGACATGAGAAGCCGGAATGCTGCTGGCTACGACTTTGGCTGAGACGACACGATCGGGGACACGTCACTTGAAAGCTGAAGCCAGCGTCGAGCGATGATCGGCCATGAATAGGGTTTGATGATTGCCGGTCGAGAGGATCAAGGTCGGATCGTCGAGCGGTCCTATGCGGTGGTCAGCGAAGGCGAGGATTGAGAGAGTGCTGGGCCTTGACGAGTCGCAGAAAGAGGCTGAAGTTGTTGGCGAAGTCGATTGCCAGTCGAAGAAGCGCCGTTGATCGTGCGAAAGCCTAAGCGTAGAGAATCGATGGCTCGGTCTGAGCCCAGGGCTGCAGCGTTTGATAAGCAGTGGTGTGCTGGTGCAGCGTCGTCGTCCGAATCCAAAGCTTGATCCAATGTCGCGGCGCAAGGATAGCGTTGACTACGCCGATCGATCCAATGCTAGAGAGTGAAGGTGGCGATGATGGCGATGAGGGTGGAGTGGAAGCGAGTTGAGGGGCAAATGGGGCTCGAGCTGGGCTGTGTGTGGCTTGGCCAGCGGCCGCCTGCAGCTCCAACACGCACGCCGCCTTTTGGCTCACGCTTCTCAGTGGGGTAACTGACTGACTCTGAGTCAAAATCAGCAATTCCCACAGAGCAAAGGCACAAGCTCAGTCAGAGGCAATCCGCCCTTTTCCCTTTCGCTTCTCTGGCTTTGTTTGCTGAGCAGCCGCAGACACTCTAATCTCACTCCCACATTTGACCGGCGGATGCAAAGCAGCCTCAGAACAAGCTCGCAAGTCAGGCACACTTGCATTGCATAGCCAGAAAGCTTATTCCCGGGTGAAGCGGTGCTTATCCTCCTGCTTTTACTCGCATCTCTCTTTCAGGTAGAACAGGATGGAAGGCGGTCAAATAGCCTGATGATCCGTACAAGGGAGCATGACTGCTGCTCGGAATGTGTATAGATGAGCGAGCATTGACGCCATGCACGTAAGCTGATGATCATGATGCTCGTCGGCAGTCCTTCCACCGACGCGACCTAACAATTTCAAAGGTTACATTCCGAGATCCGACGCAGCTCACCAAAAATTTCGACCTTCTTGCACCACCTCCTCCCTCCCTCCCTCACCCTTTCTCGTTTCATAAACCATGGCCGTCGCCTCGTCATCCAAGCACGCACCCGCACCTGGGCCAGGCAAGCGCCGCAAGACATTCCCCGAGGACTCTGGCGTGTCGCACCTTCTCGCGCTCTCCCAATCCATCACAGAAGCCAAGGACTCCCAGCTCCAGCAGCGAGTCGACAGCAACAAGGCCAAGGTGCAAGCCCAAGCGGCGAGAAAGCAGCAGCAGGCGGAAAGCAAGAAGGCGAAAAGCACGGCGGCAGAGGCAACCAAACCAAAAGGAAAGACCAAGGCCGAGATCAAGGCTGAGCTGAAGAAGGCGCTGCGGGAGAAGGCGAGGTTGCGCAAGGGGAGGAGGAAGGATGCGAGGAAAGAGGAGACGGGAGAGAAGGGCGAGGTCAAGGTCAAGGAGGTGAAGAAGCCGAGGAAAAGCGTCTCTTTTGCCCTAGCATAGCGCCTATGTCGACTCGCACCAAGCCAGATACCCCACGACCGAGGAAGCAGATCGACATGGTCCGATTCATCAGCAACGAAAGACTCAAGCAAACTCGCGAATGGCGACTCCTTCGCCGTGTCATGGCGCCGCCCTCGATCAGCTCAGCACGAACCACGCATTTCAACTACAGCGCAGACAGTCGGAACAGTGACAGGACCAGCCACCGCTTGATTACACCGGAGGCAACGCAGCCCTACAACTGGGACACTCGCCCTTGATCTCGAACCACCTTTCCAGACACTCGGTATGGAACGTATGGCCGCATGGTGTGCGCATCACGTCCGTCCGTCTTCCTCGCTGCGCCGTGGACCTCCATCGCAGGACGCCTGACACGGCCCTTGCTGCGAGCCTGCGGGCACGTTGCGTCATTCTTCCGGTCAAGGTTATCGGAGGCAGTTGACGGAGGGCGCGAGGTGTTCGCGACTTTTCTGGTGGACACGACGGCGCATCGTCCGCAACCTCGTACTCCTCTCCAGCAAGTCGATCGTAGTCTCCGCCCTTGAAGCTCAACCATCCTCCCACGGGCCCATCCCTGCTCGCTTCCTCAACCTTTTCGATCGGGGCCAAGCAGATCCCACACTCCCCCTCCACCGCATCTCCCTCCTCGGGATGGTACTCCCACCCGACCCTCGCATCCGCCGGCACCCACTTTGAGGGCAAAAACCAATGCGGACCCAACACATCCTGACCCACCAGCAGCGTCGCTTGTCCCACCAACCATCCCGCCAGAACCCACCCCCACCCGCTCTCCTCCTGGAACAGCACGTTGTCCGGGCAAATCAGCAGATAGAGCGGCAAGAACAACCTCGTCCCCGTCAACCCCACGACCGTCCGCTTGAGCACCGAGCGTCGCGTTCCCCTCTGCACATTCAACCAAATCTGCGGAATCCAAAAACTGAACACCACCGGTAGCATCATCCACCCCAGCAGCTCAGGTGCAAACCCAAGCAGCAGGAAGAACGTCACTCCCGCCAGCATGAAGCTTCGTCTTTGACGTTCGCGCACGATCTCGGGAGTCACCTCTTCCACCCTCGTACCGGTGATTCTCGCGATGATGTTCGTGAGGACACCATCCGAGGCAGGCGCAGGGGAGGACGTCTCCATCGCCTCACGCCAAATGACGATTCCATACCGATACCCAAAGCCCAGGAAGCATGCTGATGCCATGAACGCACACGCGAGCAGCGCGCCACTCGTCCCGTTCTCCACCCCGACCGCGACACTCAGATGCAGCAGACTCGAGACGGCATCGACGAAGCACTGGAGTAGCCACGTAGCGCCGCTCTGCCGTGCCAGGCCGGATGGCGTCAGCGTCGCCTGCATCTGCTTCGCGAGTAGGTAGGTTTGCAGGCAGAGGACGAGGAAGTACACCATGGCGTAGTGGAGCGTTTTGCGCCAAAAGCGGGGTTGGAGAAGGCCGGTGAGGGTAGGTGAGTGAAGGAGGAGCTGACACTCGGGGCTGTACGCCAGCAGGGACAGTGTCACAGGTGGAGCGCGGATCGTGCTGATCCCCGTCGAGTTCACCCACTCTCGTTCGAGAGCATCGATCCGATCTTGCATTGCGGGGTAAGGTCCAGCGGAAAGAAACTGCCCATAGACGTGCAACGAACAGTTGTGCTTGCGTTGCGCCGGCTCGAGCGTCTCGCCGACTTCGTAGGTGCCACTGTCGACGATGCGCTGCAGCATATCGATGCGCAATTGAAATGCTTTCTCTATCGCCTGGACTGTTTGGTTGGCTGTTTCGTTGTTGCCGGTGGGGATGAGCGAGAGAGAGGTGCGCACGTCGGTCGTGGAGGGGTCTTCCTCGGCCAGGGCGTGCAGGAAGAGGCTGCCCGTGGGAAGAAAGTGCAGACCCTCGAGCGAGAAGTCGGTGCTATCTGAGCTGGAGGGTGAGGAGAAGGAGATGCTGCCCGTGACGAGCGAGACGTTGCCTTCGAGGAGATGTTCTTCTTGCAACCGCATGTCTATGTGTCCAGATTTGGTCGCGAGCCAGTCCACCTTACCCCTGTCCTGCCTAAGCTGAGTGGCATTTACCCCATCCACATACTCTGGTATCGTAGTTGTGTTGTCGTTGAGCCTAGCAGCGGTCCGATTCAACTGCGTCTCGGCCGCCAACGACCGATTCCCCCTCGTACTCCAATCCCACCCATCCCACTTCCCCTTATACCACCCCTGTACCTCTCTATAATACGATCCGTCCGGCTCTACCAGACTTCGTCCCTCATAGCTCTTCGGTAACAGCTTATACAGCTCCCTTGGATCCGGTGTCACCGTAAAATTCCCCCGCTGCGTGTCGTTGTGTCTGTACCAGCCGTACACTTCGTCGCGCAGGTGCTCGGTGTGTCGAATTGCGTCGCGCACCGGCTGCAGGATGTCCTTCCCGAACAGCAGCTCACCGAGAAACGAGCCGCGAGCAGCTGGAAGCGCCAACAGTGGCAGCAGCAGTGAGATGCGCATGCTGCTACGGACGCATGGTGGTGGTGGAAGGGAGTGCGGTCCATGCGCAGGGTTCGGCGTGCAAAGTGGAGCTGAGCCGTAAAATTTGGGGACCCTTTTCTCGGCTCACGGCGAAAGACTCAGCTTTCTTCTCATCACCACCAACCACGCAGTCAGCCAACACAGTCTCGGCAGCATCCCCTCTCCGAGTGCAACACACATGCAGCTCCAATCGGCAAGCTGATCGACCATGGCGAGGCGCAAAGTCGACCCGCATGTCGACGATAATTCGGACACCACCTCGGGTGACGAGTTTGAGCTGGATGACGTCGCTTCTGGTTCCGGCGAGCCGATGCGCAAGAGGATGCGCCGGACGAAAGAGGATGCCATCTACGGGATCTTTGGCGATGACGACGGGGGAAATGAGCGAGAGGGTGGGATGGGCAGGACGGTGAGGGCGAGAGATGCGAAAGGAAGGAAGGTGAACTATCGGGCTGGACAGGCGTTTGTCCCTGCATCGACATCGGTTCAGGCAAAGTTAGAGGAGGAAGAAGCGGTTGCCATATCGGACGAGGACGTGTCGAGGGCGGCTGATAAAGGGATCGGGGATAAGAAAGAGGATGAGGTGGAAGACGACTTCCAACCAGCCTCCTTCTACTCTTCACGGCAAGGCATCGGATCGACCACTACACGAGAGCCAAGCGAGCCTCGACCAGCCAAACCCAAAGCTCGAGCAGGCATAGGTGCCCGCGCGGGCATCGGCAGCACATCCGCAACCAACGCAGAAGCAGGTCCATCCACTCGTCGAACCGGCCTCACCTCGCTGTCCATGTTCGTCTCTGCCGGCACGAGCAAGCAGACCGATGCGACGGTCCCACCACACAACGTCGCTCAAGACACAGTCACTACCAGCTCCACCTCGATACCCGAACCCAATGTCGCCCAACAACCACTCCCTCCTGGTCCGCCACCAATACCACCACCCGGCCCACCTCCCGTTCCGCCACCATCCATGTCCACAGCTGCAGATGAAGCAGCCATGTCCACCGCCGGCCTACCGACAACCTTCGCCCCCACCCCCAGCCCCGCCTTCCAACCACGCCCATCCAAACCCGCTCCTCCGCCTTCGACGAGCATCAAGTTCGGCACCAAGTTCGATCCGTCCGCATACCTCGCCTCGATGGGCTGGACGGGCGGCGGGCTGGGCAAGTCCGGCCAAGGCATTGTGGCGCCTATCGAGGTGCAATTGCGTCCGGAACGGGCGGGGATCGCGTACGGCGGATTGAAGGAGAAGACGCAGCAGGCAAAGGACGAGGCTCGACGTCGCGGTGAGGTCGAGTCCTCGGACGAGGAGCGCACTTCGAAACCCAAGAAGAAGGAGAGGAAGGAGAAACCAGCATGGACCGAGAGAGAGAAGAAACCACGGAAGCCGAAGGTGGAGCATCGCACGTACGAGCAGATTATCGAGGAGATCGGCGGGTTGCCGGGGACGCAGAGTGGGCTGGGGAAGATCTACGATGCGAGAGGGGGAGAGATGCGCGAGGTGTCGGACCTAGCTACGGCGTTGGGAAGCAAAGGCCTACCCTCGGCCCGAGCGGAACACCTGCCGGAACTGCAGCACAATCTGCGGTTGATCTGCGAGACGAACGCGCAGACGCTAACGGCGCTCGCGAGGGAAGGCGTGCAGATCCAGGATCGAAAGCGGTGGTTGAAACGCGAGGCGGAGGTCGCGGCGAGGAAGAGGGCGGTGGAGGAGAAAAAGTTGGTGCGCATCAGGGGGGTGTTGGCGGTGGTAAAGCGGTTGGAGGAGGTGTCGTTGCGTGTTACCAGCGCGCTAGCGGAGAGCGAAGGTGGCGAAGAGGCACTAGCCGACTTCACACCGCTGATCAAGCAGCTGGCCACCGAGTACGAAGACGAGATCACCGACCTGGCGCTCGACGAAGCCGTGGTCGGCGCTGTCGCTCCCCTCCTCCGCACGCTCTGGTCCGACTGGAAACCTCTCAAGCAGCCCAGCTTCACCACGTCCTACCTTCGCGCGTGGGAGCCGCTCCTTCCAACCCAATCCTCAACCACCACCTCGCCACCCACAATGACACCCCACGAAACGCTACTGTGGACCCTCTGGCTCCCTCGCATTCGCAGCGCGCTCAACGAGTGGAAGCCCCACCACCCATCCTCCGCCGTCACCCTGCTCGAAACCTGGCAACCCCTCCTCCCGCGCTTCATCTGGGACAACCTGATCGACCAGCTACTACTCCCCTCTCTGCGGCACAGCATCTCGGACTGGGACGCGCGCACGAGCCGGTGGGGGCTCGAGCATGTGCTCTTCCCGTGGCTGCCGCTGGTGGGTGTCGAGCGGATGGGCGATGTGTTCGTCGAAGCCAAGACAAGGCTACGGGCGGGACTGAAGGTGTGCAGCATTCGGCAGGGTCCGAGTCGGGGTCTGGGTCAGTGGCGCAAGTTCTACGGCTCCGGTGGGAGTGACGAGTGGGACGCACTGCTGTTGTCGACCGTCGTGCCGCGGCTTGCGTCGCATCTAAAGGCGAAATTGTCGATTGCCGCCAATGAGAAGGAGCAGGATCTGTCAGCACTGGAAGAAGTGCTGCAGTGGAAAAAGGTGGTTGGGCGGACGGTGATGGCGAGGGTGGTGGCGGTGGATTTCTTCCCCAAATGGCTCGCTGTGTTATGCGAGTCGCTCAAGCAGCCTCCTCGGGAACTGGAAGGCGTGGCGAGATGGTACGAGTTCTGGCGGAGATGGTGGGCTGAAGAAGCCTCGCTTCTGTCTTCCGTTCCGGACAACCCGACCGACGTTGGGAATGTGGGCTTCTGCGCTGGGCTGAACCTCATCAATCGTGCGCTTGACCTGTCACCCTCATCGCGATCCGCACTGCAGCCACCGTCATTCGTCCTGCCGTCGACAAGACCAGCATCCACCACCGCCGCTACTACAGCAAGCACCGCAGAGCCGGCAGAGGCGGAGCGCGCCACCTTCCGCAGCATCCTCTCCGACCACCTGGCGCAGCACGATTTGTTCCTGTTCAAGACGTCCCAAGTGCACCCAACGGGTCCAACGACCACCGCAGCCGTGTGGCGCGTCTCCAAGAGCGCCTCTGCAAAGACCGCTTCGGTGCTGATCTACCTCGACGACGACGTGGTTTTCCAACAGCGGAAGGAAGGATGGGTGCCTGTCTCGCTCGATCAGCTGGTCCAGTCGCTTGTGTAGGCCTGTCGGGTCCGATTCAGGTGTGTGTTGCGGTGGAGAAAGGACAGTCTCGTAGGAAGATATTGGAAGCAGACGATGATGGTGGAGAAGAAGAAGTGATTCCGCAGGACAAGAAGTCCAATAATCCAAAAGATGATACAGCTAGCGCTACTTATCATACAACAGACTCAGGCCCCCCTGTGTGATGTGATGTGACAATCCCGTCTCGTTCTTCCACCCTGTCCTTGCCGCTATCACATGTCGAAGCGTCCGCGTTTGCCGTCGCCGCCCTCACCGCTTGGCGGAGCGCGCTTGTTGAATCCACCTCCGTTCCCTGGGCTCGGACCATACTCCGCCACTCTGCCTGGCGTATCATTCAACGGGGTAAAGCTGTCGTTCCCGAACAGCGCCTTTGCCAACTCATCATCTCCCGTCCCGGCCGCAATCAAGTTCTGCAGCATCGCCACGTACTCCTCATCCGTGAAACCCATCCCGGCTAGCGGATTAACACCATCCCCCTCGCCCATGCTCGGTGTTGCGCCCGTCGCCACGTTCGACGAGGGTGGTAGAGGACTCGAGGCGCGTTTGATCGTCGGTGCACCCACATCCGTACTCGCAGCCCGATGTTCCCTCTGCGCAGCCTTGAGATGCACCAAATGCTTCTGCAACATCTCCAACAGTCCTTCCTTCGTGAACGGCTTGGGGAGCATATCCGTCATACCGCTCGACATGTAGTTCATCAGCTCCGAGGGACCAGAGTTGGAGGTCATACTGATAATCGGTGTGCTTTGGTCGAATTGTCGGATGAGCGAGGTGGCAGACATGCCGTCGAGATTCGGCATGATAATGTCCATGAGGACGAGGTCGTACTTTTCGGCGTTCATCTTGGACACTGCAGACATGCCGTCGACGGCGTAGTCGATTTGACAGCCGAAGACTTGGAGGAACTTGGAGGAGAGACGACGGCAGACTTCGTCGTCGTCCACCAGAAGCACGCGAGGGGATGCCGTCCAGCCGGGCACCAGGGTGGGTCGTCGTGTGCGGAGGTACTTCGCCCGGTTCTTGGCCGCGACGGATCCGGATGCACCACCGGCGGTGGGATCGACAGATGCCGACTGGGAGGTCGCATCGCCCTCGTCCCGACTGTCGTACGACGTCGTGCGCGACTCTAGCTTGGGCATGCCGCCAGGCCCAGCACCGGAACCGTTGCGATTGTCGCCGTTGTACATGCGCAAGGACGAGAAATTCGAATCGCGCCGCCCCATGTCCGGAGGGTGCATCGCCATCGATGACAAAGGGTTGCTGAGCTGATGCGACATCTCGGGCGTCTTGGCGCCGTTGCCGTCGAGGGGCGAGGCCACGCTCTTGGGCGACAGAGGGGCGACCGTCGACGGCGCCGTCGTCATGTTGGACATGCGTGTCGAAGAACCGGTGTTGGTGGTGTTGCTCCCCGTCTCTGCTGATGGACCGGAAGGCCCTCCCGAATGCGATGCTGCTTGGAGGTTGCTGCTGTTCGACGGGTCGCCTGCTCGATGCTGCATAGTGTTCATGAACTGCCCTGCGGAGGCATTGTCATACGACCCCTGCGCGCCAGGTGGTGGGAGGAACGAACCGCTGTTGGCAGGGTTGCCGCCATGAGCACCCGTCTGCGCCATGAAGCTCGAGGCCGACGGCTGATCAGGCCCGATCTCGACGCGTCGATCCTGCTCCAGGTTCATGAGGTACTGAATGAGGTTCTGCATGAGCTGGTCCTGCTGAACCATGTTGCGTTGGAAGGTGAGCATCTCTCCGATGACGCCCTGATACTGTTTGGTGAGCGCCAGGATATGGTTCTGCATCTGCTCCTGCACCGCTGTCATGTGAGCGACCTGCATGCGGAGGTCGCCGTCCGACTCTGCAAGCTTGCTATGCACATCGAGCATGGGCGGTGCCATGGAGGGGCTATCGTCGCGGTCACCATCCAGCAGGCCTCCTTTGGCATTGGGCTTCTTTTTGGCCGGGATCTTTCGCTTGACATTCTCGAGCAGATCCTCTCGCCCACGAACAAAATCGGGATGTTGGAATTCCCACACGTGTTCGCCGACAGCGCCAGACCCATCCTCGGGGTTCTTGACCTTGTGAAAGTCGTACTTGTTGAGCTGACGGACAAAGCTGGCGAAGTTGGAGTGTCGAAAGTTGCGCGGAAGGACGTGTTTGGTAAAATCGTTCATGTCCTTGACGATGAAGCTGTCGCCGGCGGGGGACCATGCGACGACGCTCTCGTAGGCTTTGTCGTCGAGCATGCTGAAGAGCTTCTTGACAAAGTCACTGGTGCCCTTGTTGGCGACTTGGGCACCATCAGCGCCACGACCCTTGCCTTTGCCGTCAAAGTCGTCGTCGTCATCCATGTCGTCCTCCTGCTTGCCGCTCATGCCGCCATAAGCGCGATCCATGGGGTTGCCTGACGGACCTGCTATACCAGGTGAGCGGTTGCCACCTGGACCCTGGGGCGGGTGTAATGACTGAGGCTGCAACACTGAGGGCAGATTGTTGCTGCCATTGTTGTTGTTATTGCTCCAATGCTGCTGCTGAGAAGAATGTCCGTGTGGGTGCTGTGATGGCGGTGCTTGGTGCTGCTGCTGTTGACCTTGCTGGTACTGCGACTGTGGGTGTTGATAATGATGCGGGTAGCCGCCGCCTGGACCGTGACCACCCTGGTAGTCGTGCTGTCTTGCGCCCGGATGCATCTGCGGATCCGATGGTGCGTGTGATTGCTGCGGCGCATAGGACGATTGGGGTGCGTAGGGAGAGGTGCCGTGTTGTCGCATAGGGCTGTTGCTATGGCCCATGGAGGAAGGAGATGCGTCGAAGCCAGTGTTGTAGGGACCAGAGGAGCGCGAGTTGTTGTTTGCTCCTGGACTGGGTCCACCAAAGTCTTGGGAGCCTCCTGCACCTGAGGACATCCATTGCTGCTGCTGGGGCTGTTGACGACCGACAGGAGGTGGAAGATGCGCGTGTGGATAGTTGCTGGCGCCGTGGCCGCCTGACTGGGACGAGGGTGAAGGTCCTTGGTACGGTTCCATGTTGGCGTGGTGGCGCGGCTGAGGCGGTCCGGAATACTGACCTTGCTGGTCATGCCAGTTTTGATGATTCGACATGGCAGCGAAGATGTCAGCTCGTGGTGAATATGTCAAGGTCAGCCGAAGCGCTGACCAGGATGGAGAGGATGTTTATGCAGATCACCTCGAGGAACGAATCGGCCTCGAATGACTTTTACGAGACTTGAGTCACAGCGCAGGGCGGAGAGAAGGTTCGAGGATGCGCGTTCAGACAAGCCAGCGTTTCGAGGAAGCGAATATGTGTGGCAAAACGAGCGCGATTGACACGGCGGCAGGGGTTACAGCGGGGCGCCAAGAAGATGAGGCTGCAACGGGAACGCAGCGGTTGCGGGGGTGGCTGGTTTAACCGCGGGGTGAAGGTGAGTGCAGGGAGTGGAGGGCAATGCAGAGTGCATCCGAATGAAGTCGATTGCTTGATATGAGCGAGGGTACGAGGGTGGGCTGGAGACGAAGCGGCAGCGGGTGTGCAGAGTGGGGGAAGGGTGAGATGAAGGTAGATGGGGGCATGGGAAGATGTCGACGAGGAAGGGTGAGATGGTGTTGGATGTGCGTTGATCTGCTGTGAAAATCGGGGGGCTGTTTCGATTTGCTTCGGCCTCCGCACCTGGCTTTGCCGCCGCCGCTTGCGCTGGAAGGAGAAGGCAAGCAGCACAGCGCACAACAACAAGCAGCGCTTCCATCTCAACTCAGCAGCAGTAGCAGCGCAGAGTGCCAAAACGCCAAAAATCCAAAATGGTCGAAAATGGCGAAATGGGCGCGTCGAGCTCACAGAGACGCCGGCCATGGTGGGTCACTGCATGCACACACTCAGTCTTCGCGCTGAGCGACGTGCGATGCTAAGCGGCTAAGCGAAGGACTGCCTGTCCACCCCGTTGTTTCACTCGAGTTGCCCGCCTCCTTCTGCCACTTGATCCGTCGACAGGCTTGTCATATGAGACGTAGCAGTCGCCTTACTCCTCATACGACATGGATGTTGTTCAGCTCTTGAAGGGTCGCAGCCCAAGGCGAACGACAGAGATAGCGATCCGGACTCCAGCTGTCAGCTCCATCGTCCCAAGACGTGTCTCTCTCTTTTCGGACTCGGAACCTCAATTCGCCCCCAAGTCAGCAAAAGCCGTGCGAATTATCGAATGAGATCCAATTGTTCGCGTGCCTGCATTTCCAACTGATGCGCCAAGCTTCAAACCCATCCACGCGTCTCCCAAGCGCCAGAGAGAGGATCATCTGGCCTACAAGCGTGCCGCAGAAAGTGGCTTGCCTTCTCCCCGCTCTCCCACGCGGGCAATGGACCCTTCACTCTCAGCCAGCCACATGCACAAGCTCACGATCAAGCTTCTTGTAGACAATAGGATCAGATTCTTCCATGTTAAGATCGAAGCACATCCCTACATTTGCTCGAGCTCAACGACCGCCCGTGCTGCCTGTCGACTGCCTCGCCTTCCTGATCTGCTGCAGCCTCTGTCCGTATGTTGGGCCTGTCAGCGAAAGCGCCGTCGCAGGTCGTCCCGCGTTGAGCGCCTCCTGCTCGTGACTCGCACCGAGCGAGTTGTTCCCAAACATGCTCGCCAGCGAGGCCGCACCTGCTGCTGGTGTCGCTGATGCGGTTGAGTGGTTGCTGTCCATGCTCTCGCGTCCGAGCATCACCTTGCCCGCTCCCAGCGGCGTAGAGCTAGGCAACAGCGAGGCGGGAAGACGCGGCACCGGCGGGATCTGCTGTTGCTGCTCCTGCGCTTCGGCAGCGCGGACAGCAGCGTCCAGCTTCGACTTGAGGCCCATCGAGTTGAATCGCGATCCGCCACTCGATTCGCGACGGTGGATGCGCGAAGACTTGCGGCTGCCGCTTGCCGACGCTGCTTGGTGGTGGTGATGCGCCAACGATCCAACATCATGCTTGCCATCACAGCAAGCTCGAACGTTGGTCAGCCCATCCCAGTCCTCCGGCTCGTCCTCCTCCAGCATCTGCTCCGCCGTCTTGAGCCGCGAATCGTCGTTCGCAAGCACGCGTCGGATGGGGGACTGCGTCGCCGTCAGATCCAGCAGATCGTAGTCCTCGTCCCCACCCGCACTGCGCACACTGGCAGGATAGACGCCGTTGCGCAGGCTGCGGCTCGGGCTCATCGACACCTCGCGGTCGTGCTCGTGCTGTTGCAGCCACGCCTTGGCAGCCGTATCGCGTCGCTTGCCGATCGAAGGGTTCATCACGCTCTGACCGCCCAGGCTACCACGTCGACGCGGTGTCGACTCGCTCCTCATCCCGTTGTCCGACGACCTGCGGTTCAGCAGGAAGCTGCGCTGAGCCGACACTTTGCGAGTGCCCATCACCGATGCACTTCCCAGCGTCGCCGCCGAAGCCCGCGGCTTGGCCCGACGCCCAATACTTCTCGCCAGCAGACCCGGGTCGTTCTCGTCATCGTCGCTGAGCAGGTCCGGCGCCGCATTGCTGGCGATCACCGTAGCATCTTGGATGCTCGGGCGGTTGGTCAGGTACTCGAGCGCAGCCAGCCATGCCTCGTGTCGTTCGCGATTGGCCGCAGTGATCTTGACCTCGCGCGTCGCCGTGGTGATGATGATGCTCTCCAGATGCAGGCCGGGAGGCGAGGGGTTGAGGTCTACCTGAACACGTACGTGTTCGATCGAAGCGCTCTTGCTGGTTCCCTCCGTCACCTTGGCTCCACCGGGATCGCTGATGGTCCAGTACAGCATCTTGGTATACGGATGCAGCCAGAAGTAGCGACGGTGACGCTTGTCCGAGTGACCGCCGCGGCCCATCGACTTTCGCGTGTACTTGTACATGTACTCGCCGATCATCGTCTGCGTGATGGCGTGGATGATCGTAGGATCCGTGACGCCTGCACCGAACTCGGAGAGACCACGCTGGGCAGCTTTGCCGGCAGCACCTGGACCACGCACGACAAACGTGTCATCGCCTTCATCGGCGTCGGACATCATCGAAAGGCGGCGGCTGACTTCCGAGGTGACATCCGATACGAAGGAGGCGGCGGACGACTGGCGTGGTCCAGCAGCTGGCCGGCGAGCTGCCGACTTGCGCGAGCCGATGCTCTTGCGTCCCGAAGTCATGTTGCTGTAGATGCTGCCGTCCAGGGGCTGAGGGTTGGCCGAGTCATCGTTGGAGTAGGTACGAGAGCGCATGCTGCCCGTGCCAGAACTCTGCTGACGGGCGCGACTGCTCGACGGGTAAGCACTCGGAGGCGGTCCGTTGCGAGTCGACGCTCGCGAAACAGATCGAGGCTGCTCGCCGGCTGTGGGCGGAACCTGCAGATGAATCCTTTGAGCACGCGTGAGCAGGTCAGCCGGAGGAGGCGAAGTCGGTCGCCCAGGAGCCCGCCCACCCGCCGCCACAGCAGTTCTCAGAGTCGACGGAGGGGGCATCGAGGGAGGAGGCGGCATCGTCATCACGGGTGCCTTGCTCTTGTCCGGCAGAGGCGGCACCGGCGGGATGCTTTCGGACGTGTACCTGTCCGTTTGACGCGACCAGGTAGAGTCGGTTGAAGGCCTGCGGCTCTGCGTCTGGTTGCTGAAGCTGTCTGCGCCAAAGTTCGGAGTAGCAGGCGAGGAATCGCGCTCGGGCCCAAAGGTACCGACCGAGTTGCGGGAACTGTTACCTCCCCTGGCACCACCGAGAATGACGAGGTTCTTCTGGGTGGCAAGGCTCTCCTTGGTGGGCTCCAAAGGCGCAGCAGCGGCGATCGCAGCGCGTTGCTGCTGCTGTTGGAAGAGTTGCCAAGCCTCATCGTCGGTCTGGCAGGACGACTCCTTCAGCTCCACGGCAGGGGCCTTAGGCTCTGCAGCTGCAACGTTGGTCGCTTCGACAGCATCCTTGAACTCGTCGGCCTCGTTCTCGGTGTCTGACACGGCCTCGTTCTGGGCCCGAAGCTTGGCCTCTGCTGCGGCGGCGGCAGCGAGGGCGGCAGCAGTAGCAGCTTCGGCTTTCGAGATGGTGGCCTCTTGCTCGCGCACCTTGATCTGCGATGCGTTGAGCGCCGACTGGATGGTCTGCAGCTCCTTGTCGGAAGCGACGCGACTGTGCTCGGTGGACGAGCGCTGAGCCGCGATGGTCGACTCGAGGTAGCGAACCTTGGACTGCAGCGAAGCGACGGTGGCCTTGACCTCGTCGTGCTGCTTTTGTAGAGCCGAGTGGGCGGTCTTGGCCTCCTTGAGGTTAGCCTCTGCCAGCGCACGCGACTGCTGGTTGGTGCTGGCATCGCTGTTCGTCTTGGCGAGTTGCTGTTCCAATGCCGCGACAGTCACTTTGACCTCGTCGTGCTGCTTGAGCAAGGTGGAGTGAGCGCTCTGAGCCTCCTTGAGAGAGGACTCCGCCGATTCGCGGGACTGTTGCGTGGCGCTGTGGTCGCTCTGCACCTTGGCAAGCTGCACTTCCAACGCTTTGACGGTCGCTTGGACGTCCTCGTGCTGCTTCTGCAGCGCCGAGTGCGCCGCCTGAGCGTCCTTGAGATCGGACTCGACCGAGTCACGAGACTGTTGAGTGGCACTGGCGTTGGACTGCATCTTTGCGATCTGCTGCTCGAGCGCTTGAACCTGGACCTGCACCTTGCCGACTTCTTCACGCTGCTGCTCCAGCGCACGCTCTCGCTCGCTGACAAGCTGCTGCTCCAGAGACTGGACCTGGGCTTGCCCCTTTTGTACCTCGGTGGTTTGCTGTTCCAGAGCACGTTCGCGTTCGCTTGCGAGCTGCTCTTCGAGTTGACGGACTTGGGTCTGGACCTTTTCGACTTCGGTGCGTTGCTGTTCAAGGGCGCGCTCTCGCTCGGCAACGAGCTGCTCCTCGAGCGTCTTGACGTGAGACTGCACCTTGTCAACTTCGACGCGTTGCCGCTCGGAAGCCTGCTCGCGTTCGCTGACGAGCTGCTGCTCGAGCTGCTGCACTCGTGTTTGCAGCTTTTGCAGATCGACGCGCTTCTCTTCGAGCTCCTGCCCTCGCTGCGAGACAAGCTGTTGCTGCGTGTGCAGAGCCTGGTCGCGGCTCTCGAGAGCCTGCTTGTGTTCAGCGCGGATCGAAGAGACCGAGCTGCCGTGTCGATCCTCGAGATCCTTGACGGCGTCCTGATGCTGACGCTCCTTCTGGGCCAGAGCAACGGCGTGGGCAGCCTCGAGCTGCTCCTTCTCCGCTTCGGTAGCAGTGAGGGCCTCGGATCGGGCGGCGACAGCAGCTGCAGCGGCAGTAGCCTCGGCTTCTCGCTGCCTGGCGAGCTCTCGAGAGGTCTCCTCCTGCCTTCGGACCTTGTCGTTGACCATTTCGAGGCTCGACTTGGTCTCTGCAAGCTCTCGCTCGGCGGCGGTGTGAGTCTTTTGAAGCTCAGCGAGCTGTTGCTTGAGCTGGTCGGTCTCGGCGCGCAGCATGGCGATGCTCTTCTGCAGCTCCTCGATCTCTGCCTTGGCGACACCAAGCTCTTTGGTACGGGTCTCGAGCTCTTGGTTGCGAGCCGCGAGCTCCTGGTCGCGAGCGTCGAGCTGCTTCTTTGCGTTCTGCAGGTCGACATCGCGGGACGCAAGTGCCTGGCGGTGTCCGTCCTCCAGTGCCGAGATGGCGGAAGCGTGCGAGCCGGTGAGCTCCTTGATCGAGTTCTGGTGCTCCTCGAGCTTCGCGCGGTGACCGTCCTGCAGAGCAACAAGTTCGGTACCGTGTGCGGCGATGAGATTCTTGATCGAAGTCTCGTGCTCGTCGAGCTTGGCGCGGTGGCTCTCGTGAAGAGCAGCGAGCTCAGCGGCATGAGCAGCGGTGAGGTTCTTGACAGAGACTTCGTGCTCGTCGAGCTTGGCACGGTGGTTATCTTCACGGGCCGCAAGCTCGGCAGCGTGAGCGGCAGTGAGATCCTTGACGGACGTCTCGTGCTGTGTGAGCTTTGCGGCGTGCCCCTCTCGCAGAGAAGCCAGCTCCGTTGCGTGAGCGACTGCGAGATCTCGGTTCGCATCCTGATGCTTGGCAAGCTCCGCGTTGTGTTGCTCTCGTAGCTCGGCAACAGCCGCGGCGTGCGATTCAGCCATCTCCTTGCTTGCCTGGTCACGCAGGGCAAGCGTCTCGTCATGTTGCTCATTGAGCGTAGAAATCTCGGCAGCGTGGGATGCAGCAAGCTCCTTGTTGGCCTTGTCGAGGTCAGCCAGTCGCGCATCAGCCTCGTCGAGCGCCTTCTGACGCATATCCAGCAGCTGCGTGTGCTCGTCGCGCAAGCCTTGCAGCGCTTGGACGTGCGTGGCTTGAAGCACCTCAACAGCTTCCTGGTGTTGACGGTCTTTCTGACCAAGAGCAAAGGAGTGCGAGGCTTCCTTGAGCTGCTTCTCCTCCTCGACCTTGCGCTCGTAGTCTTCGCTCGAGGTCTTGTGCAAGGCAATGGCAGCAGCGAGGGCGGCGCTCGAAGCGGCGACTTGCTCGGCCAGTGCGTTGGAGTGGCGCGAGCGAGCCTCTGCGACAGCTGCATCGTGCACCTTTGCACGCTCGGCCAGGGCAGACTCCAAAGCGGCAGCATGGCTCTCGTCCTTGTCGGACAAGCTCTTGTCGTGCGCCGCAGCCAGCTCGTTGATCTTCTCATCGTGCTTTTGTGTGAGGGCGTCGATGACCTGAGCGTGCTGGCCTTGCAGCGTCGAGATCTTGGCAGAGTATTCGGTGTGGATCGCCTCGACGGCATTGTCATGCTCGTTTCGAATCGATGCGATCTCAGCCCTGTGCTCTTCGTCTCGCTTGGCCAGGGCCGGAGTGACGAGGTCGGGCATCTCCTCCGTCTGCATATCGGACTCGTACATTTCGCGAACATCGGCATGCTGTTCCAGCTCACCAGCCAGACCGCCAAGCTCGTTACCGAGCGCGCTGGGCTCGAAGACCGTCGACGACGATCGGACAGTAGCACCGCTGCGTCGACCACCCTTGGGCACTGCACGCTCCTCTTCTGCCTCGTCCGGGAGCTCGGCGTTGCGGGCAAGGGGACTGCTGCCGATGGACGGACGAGAACGGTGACCTCGACGAGCGGGGCGGGACATCACACTGTCTACGCTCGTGTTGCCAGCGTCGGCGCGATGGAAGTCGGCAAACGCCGGGTCCATGCCATCCAGGCTGGCGCGCGACGGCGATGCGTCTTCCGAATTGGCGAGTGTGGTACCATGTTGCGGATCGTCTTCGTATTCTGCGTATTCGATGATCGAGTCGGTCGAGGTGCTGGAGGGCATGCCCATCTTGCGGCCCAGTCTTGGTCGCATCGAGGTGTGTCGATTAACGCGGATCTGCGAGAGACGCTTGGCAGAGGGGCTGTGGGCGTCGTTCTCGTCGAGCCAGTGCAGCTCCTCATCCTCACTCGTCTCAGCGTCGTCGTCGAGACCCTGAGGAACCTTGATGCCCGCCTTGACGAGCAGCTTGGTGAGCTCGGCATTCTTTTCGCGGACACGTCGCTTCTCGGCAGCGTCCTTGCCAGCCTTGCGTTGAGCCAGTGCGAGCTTGGCACGCAGATCCTGGGTCTCCTTGTCGCGCCCGAGACGGTTGCCGAGGGGCGAGAGAACTGCGCCATCAGCCGAGTAGATCGAGTCGCCCGGCGATCGCGGCACTTCGCCGGAAGCCGCACGCAGACGAGCTGCCAGAGCGTCGGCGTCGGCGTTTTCCTCGTCAACAGCGTTCGACATGAAGCTGTGCGAGACGCTGCGAGAAACTCCGCCGTTCTCGTTCAGCTGCTGATTGCGGATCTTCTGAAGCTCGCTCTGAAGATCGGAAACATCTCGCTGCATGCCTGCGCGCTCCCGCCTTGCGACTGCGATGTCGGTCTCGCGAGCCTTGTTGAGGCGCTCGAGCTCGGCGACGTGGCCATCGATCTGCAGCCGCTGCGAGTCGACCGTCTCCCTTGCCTTGCCGACTTCCCTGTTGAGCCGTGTGTTGTCGAGTTCGGCTTTCTTGAGCACCGACTTGAGTTCGCTCAACTGCTCCTCGAGGTTTTGCTTGGACACGTTGAGATCCCAGTTCTCTTGCTTGAGCGCATCCTCGGTCTCGGTCATCTGGATGACGCGAGGTTTGTACTGGTCGAGCTGCTTTTCGATTTCGGCGTGGGAGCGTTCGAGAGAGACGCGCTGGTCGTCGCGCTCCTTGAGCAAGCCTTGCAAGCGACGGACTTCCTGTACGAGACCCGCCTGGATCTCGTTGATAAGGTCGGTATCCGCTTTGGCTTGGCGAGCAGCGGCGTTGCGGCTGCGACGATCTGTTTGCCTGGGTGTGTTGCCCGATGGCGCGGCGGGCGACTTGCCTGGTGTAGCGGTGAGGTTCCGAATCGCATCGGCGACGCGGCTGGCTTTGGAAGGCGTTTCATTGACACTGAGCATGGAAGTTTCGCCGACATCGGCGCTGGAGACGTCGACGTTGTGGACGGTGATGTCGGAGAAGAGTCGCTGCTTTTGCTTTTCGAGGTCCTCGATCTCGGCCTCTATTCTGGCGCTGAGATCGCGGATCCTTGCGTTGGTGGGCTTGTCAGCTAGTCCATCCTCTGAGTTTTCGTCGACCGCATTGAGCTCTTCGGCAAGCTCGTCCATGAGCGATTCGATCTTGCCGCGAACACCGAGCAAGCCCTGACCTAGGAGACCAGCCGAGTTAACCTGGGTCTCGTTCTCCTCGCGCAGCACCTGGAGTCGTTCGCGAACTTGGCGTGTGATGTCGACGGTCTTGCCATTGTCAGAAGATGGACGGCTTGTAGGGACCGAGCTGGTTGGTCGCACAGTGGAGCGTGAAGGCGACGAGAGCATGTTAGCGTCGTGGAGCCTGTTGTGATGCGAGCTGAGGTTGGTGGTTTCAGCGAGTGGCCTGGATTCGTAGACGGGCATTGGTGCTGTGGGAAGCGGAGGTGGAGCGGGCGTGTTGAAGTCGCTCTTTCTGCCTTTGCGGAGCGACGATCCAGGACGGGGCGGAGGACGGAAGGCGAGATTGGACGAAGTAGGCATGTCCTTGGGTGATGCGGGATAAGCCGTTCTTGATGCGGGTGAAGGAGACGGTGGGAGGTCGCCTTCAAAGAGGCCACCCTCTGTACTGCTGTCAGGAGCGTAGGGATCCATTATGGATGAGGACGCAGTCTAAGCCGCTGCCGAGGCCTTTCGAAATGATGTTGGAGTTGCTGTGTGGCTTGTTGCGATATGGAGCACCGGTGATTGCTGTCTTGAAGCTGAGCTGCTGATGGCTGGCTGAGTTGAAAGGATGGTCAAGGGCGTAAAGAATGTGAGGAAAGAATGTCAGGTTGCGGATCAAAAGGAGCGTGATGGTGGAAGGAGAGACAAGCGCACAAAGAAGCGCAGCAATTGGAGTCGATGAACGGAACCTAGCCAAAGACCTCGTCGGATGCTCCCGGTTCCCACGCCCACGATGATGGTCTTCGGCAAGAAACCCGAACAGTGACTGATCCTGGATGTGACGAGACAGGAGACGAGCGCGGGATCGTCCGAGGCAGAGGAGACGACGGTTTCTGTGCGACCAGAGGCAGGCAAGCCAGCGGGATGCTTCTTCCTCGTGCGCACAGCGTCAATTCGCGTGTTGGTCGGACCCTTTGCTCGAGTTTCGATCAAGACGAGACGGTTGTCCTGTTTTGCTGCTCTGGCTGCAGCACAACACAAGCTGAACAAATGCTGAAAATCCCACTTTTTCGGCTGGTGCAGAACCCCTCTTTGGCAGCAGCACGCGTGCATCAGATCGAGATGACTTGCTCTGCTGCCTTCTTGTCTTTTTCCAGAAAATTTGGCTTTTTGCCTTTTCGAGCGTGTTGGACTCAGCTTGAAGAAAGCCTGAGCCTGAGCCAAGTGTGTGTGTTGGTCTCGCACCTGTTTAGCCACGATCAACCACGCGTCTTCGACCCTTGTCATGCGTGCTGAGACCAACACCTTGAAGTAGCGTCTTCTACCCTACAACAACTTCGCGGCGTCTGGGCTCGCGCTCCGGTCTACGTGCAAACGTCCGGACTGCCGATAGCTTGGGTCTGCCGCGCTTGTCTCCCATTCTGTGGATGTCGATGCTGCACTTACCTGAGCTTGGACGATGCGGACTCAATCGCGGCTGTCAAAGTCGCGGGGAGATCGTTGTACGAAGTTCCAGGCGTCGCAATGACGAAAATAAAGGTGCGTCGGTGTATAGTCACGTTCTCGTAGCAAGTCCGACCAAGCAATCTGGAGTCGGTGTTGTGTTGCAGCGATAAGCGAGCGCTGTAGTGGGAGCGATGCCAGATCGAATGCAGTCGTGGCTGGTGGGATCGGGTCTAGTGGTGCAGCTGTGAGGAGCTCCGAGCGTCCGGCACGATGAACGTGCAGAACTGGCGATGCGGCGAAAATGGTGGTGATGGTGACGAGACAAGGGGTCAGATGCAATGCAGAGCTGCAAGGGGCATATGGGTCTGCGCTCGCTTCCGATGTCGGCGCAAGAAGCTCAGCCGCACTCTGTGCAACACGCGCACGCGAAGTGTTGCTCTCTTTCGATACCTCTTTCAAAGTCAGCCAGGTCCATTGCGCTGGCGCGGGTCAGAAAGATCTCAACGCGCTCGCTGTCTGCCTCGCTGCTGCGGGAGAAATTTGGCTGGCCCCAGCAAAAGTGTTATTTCGGCGCGCGGTCGCATCACGTGATCGTCCCGTTTCATCCTTGGGACAGTAAGACAGCAATCAGCTCGATGCTCACCCTCAATGAGAGCATCTGACGTGCAAAGAGCGTACGCACCTACACAGAATGCTAGGGTCGAACGAAAAGAGACCGTTTTGGCACATTGCGATGTACAGATGCGAAAAGAAGGGGCAATGAGACCTAGCGAGCGTGATGATAATCGATGGGTGGTAGGCTAGAGTGTGGCGCACGGGACCCTACTCATGAGCATCGCCTTCTGCATCATCGCCATCGTTATGGCTACCCGGGATGCCCGAGCCTGGCTCGTCCTCGCCATCCATCTTGATACCATACTTTTTGCGCACCAGCTCAAACGTCTTGAGCATCTTGCGTCGCGCGCCCAGCGCCGCCACTCCCTTATCCTCCAGCTGCTTGTCGTCCATCAGCACCATCTCCTTCCAGTGGCTCGTCTCAAAGTTGGGGGTATACTTGTGCAGGCGCAGTTGGCGTAGCCAAGCCGCCACGTCGTTGAGCGTTGCCAGATCCGCAATCTCTTCTTCGCCTCCAACCGCGTTGGCGCCAGCACCAGCACCGCCGCCAGCAGCAGACGCGCCAGGCAGCGAAGGGGCCCGTCCAGACGGTGAGGTGCCGCTCCGCGGGCTCTTTCGGCCTCCCTGCCCTCCCACGCCAGGCGACAGCGCTCCACCGCCAAACGCGCGAAGGTTGCGGCCATGTTGCTGCTGCTGCTGTTGCAATTGTTGCTGCTGAGCAAGCACAGAAAGCGTCTGCTGGTTTTGCAAGAGTTGCTGCTGCATGGCCAGCAGCTGAGCACCATTCATCGTGTTGAGGTTCAGCCCGCTCATCGCGGCCATCATGTTCATCATTTGCATGTTGAGCGGGTTGGCCAGGTTGCCAGAAGGGTTTTGAAGGCCTGCGAGCGAGTTGGGACTCATCGGCGGGTTGAATTGGTTGTTGCTGCTGCTGTTGTTGCCGCCGAAAGCAGACGAGCCTGCGTTGAGGCCACCACGTCCAAAGTTGTCGTTCTGACCCCAGCCAGACTGCATGCCAATGTTGGGTGAGACACCGGGACTCGACGCATCGAACATGTTGGAACCCGGACCGTACCCGCCCGGTCCGGTGTTCTGGTTGCTTCTACGACGGTAGCGAGGCGCGTCGGGATCCATTACGACGCCACCGTTGCCGCGAAGTTGCTGCTGCTGCTGCTGCTGCAAGTTGGCCAGTTGAGCGGCGGCCGTCTCGAGGTCGATGTTGGCATCGCCGGTACCAGCCTTGTCACGGTCACTAAACATGGGCACCAGCGGCGTATTGACCATGCTTGACCAGTTGCCCGTTGCAGTGATCGGCGAGAGTTGGTCATCGAGCGGACCCGTGGCGCGTGGAGAGCGACCGAGGTTGTTGTTGCTCATGTCCATCGATACGGGTCGCGAGAGATCGCCCGAGGGCATGCGCTGTTGTTGCTGCTGTGGGTTGGGCGATCCACCGCGCTCCTGCACCTGGTCCAGCTGGCCACCAGAGTAGTTGCGGCTCTCGCCAATGAGCGTGCCAGGAGCCGAGGTGCGGTTGGCCTTGAGCTTGGCTCGCTGAGCCGCCAGCGTGGAAGCGGCGTCTCCATTGCCAGAGCTGTACATGGCAGCCACGTTGGGCGAGAGGAAGCCCGCAGCGTCGGTGGATTGTCGATAGCCGCGGTTGGCGGGCGCAGCGGGAGCCTTGGCACCGCTACTGGGAGACTTGAGACCGAGGCTGGCCAGCTTGGCCTCCATCTGATCGGCCATGGTACTGTTGTGGTGGTTGGGCGAGAGGAGCGCCGAGACAGGGTCGCTGCGTGCCATCTGCTGGAGCACAGTGATGAAGAAGCGAATCTGGACCTGCGTGGACTCCTGAAGCAAGCTGTAGAGGGCGGCGGTGCGTTCGGCCTCGGACAGAACGCGGAACCACTGTTCAATGGCGCTGAGCTCCTCTTTGAAGTTCTGATCGAGCGAGGCGGCGGCCATCTCCTCGAGCGTAGCTTCGTAGTGTTGCAGATCTTCGAACCAGCGATCGATAGCTTCGGTTTCGGGGTTGCCGTGGTGGCTCATGTTGGGAAGCATTTCCGAGCTAGGACGAAGGTTGCGCGAACCAGTCGCGCTGGGCATGGCGGTCGTGCCGCCGATGGAAGGGCTTCGAATTGTGTTGTCGTGGCCCGCGTTGCCCTGTTGAGCCAGACGCATCATGTGCTCGGTGGAGGCGCCCTTGCCGAGCGAGTAGCGGCTGTGTGGGTTCATTGTGAGGGGGCGAGTTCCGATGGGCGAGCTAGCGCGGTTGATCGAGTTGTTGGAAGACGGAAGAGGAGTTCGCAACGAGCCAAAGTCGGACATCACTGTGTGATCCGAGTGGTGTTATCCAGAGCGAAAGGCGTCGCGGATGATGGTGTGAACAGCGGGTGGGGTCGCAGAGTTTATGAAGTTGAGAGGCGGAGAAGTGGGCGAATGCAACGTAGGGTTCAGAGGGAGCAACAATGGTGGTCAGCTTCGGACGGCTTCATTCGGACCGAGGCTGTGCATGAGCATGTCAATGCTGCTGACTTGTGGCATCGACACGATCGAGCACCAGAGCAAGCTTGTACATACCTCAGTGAGCAAAGACTGTCGGAAAGCGTATGAATCGTTTCCGTAGGACGGAAATGGATGGTTTCTTTCGATGCTACGATACCGTCGCAAGGACAAGCTTGGCAACGGGCGCACTGGTGCGAGAAAGCACGAGCGCGATCGTTGTTGCGTAGACTGGCGAAGTGGGAGGAGTTGCTCCGTTGGGTTGATCAAGTTGGGCGTTGTATGTCGCTTGCTTGGACCTGCTAAAGGCTGGTTGCGATTCCGGCTCTTGGGGGAGAAACGCCAAAGCTCCAGGATGTTGACGAGCGGCAAGCTGAAGGGGCCGAATGTGTCGAAGAGGAGTGCTCGTTCCACGAGGAGAGAGGTCGATGTCAAACGGACCAGCAAAAAGTGAAAAAGGAGAAAGGCACGACCACGTTCGGAGAAGCCAGGGCTCTCAAAGCACCGTATGGCCGGTAGACGGAGTGAAAGTGCGAGGAACAACCTGCACAGCGGTTGAGACGGTAGAGGAAAGGATGAAGGGAGGAGGAGATCAGGATGCGACCTTCAAATTGAGGTCACGAGGCTCGACTGAGAAAGCGCAGAGGCAGCGTTCACCAGGAGGCGGCGCGGTCCAAGCGCCTCGCAGATCCACCGTCCGCCAGCGAACCCTTTTGTCGAGGCCAGTCAGCGCGCACCGGCACGCGCTCCGCTGTGGAAGCGAGCCAGTCAAACAAATTTAGACTTTGCTGCTGCTTCTCTGGCTGTCGAATGCGCCCTTTCTTGTTCCACGCCTGGCATGCTTTGCTCCACGATACGTGGTAGTACGATACGTGGCCCTTTTGACGCCCTGCATACCGTTCGGCTGATCAGGAGCGGACTGTACCACATCTCGTGAGCGAGATCGACCAAGTGGGGCTAGCAAGGCTTTCGGCAAGGGATCCCGCGCGTGTAGGCGAGGCAGACTCGCGCCTGGCCTCGGTTCCTCGAAACAGGGCACCCTTGACAAGACCCTGAACTGGCTCGCTCTGGCGCTCCTGCTTGCTCAAATCCGTATCACTCAGGCAGAGTCACTGTATGACAAGGCCGCCAGACCACCGTCTCGAAGAAGTTCTAGACGCTGGAGGACGATCATCAAAGTTATTGTTCGTTACGACATGCAAAAGAGGAGACAATTGAGTGCGGAGGGGAACCAAGAATGAGGGTCTAGACCAGAAGCATACCACCGACGACGACTCCAATCGCAGCCGTGACAGCAAAGGCCAGTCCGTTGATGGGACCGAAGGCTTCAGCAGCATTGCTGTTGCTGCCGCTGCCTTTGCCGGACTGTCCACTTGAAGGAGCACTGGAAGACTTGGCCCCACTCGTGGAGGAGCTCACCGCAGCCCGCTGGTTCCAGCTGTACGTGACGCCGCTCGCCGTAGGCGAGGCAACCGTCTTGCAGTTGGACGATGCAGGCGCAGTCACCGGTGTCGGAGTGACGCTCATGCCCTGGCTGAACGTGTAGCTGCTGTTGTAAACACCGATGGGCAGATCCGCGTTGGCCTCACAGTTGGTGAATGCTTCCGGCTGGTCGTAGTCACCTGGCTGATTCCACAAGCAGCCCATCAAGTCAAACGTGTTCCTGCACCATGGGTAATCGGGACACATGCGCATGCAGAAGACAGGGCTGCCAGGGATGTCGCATGCTCCCATGAACTGGGTGAAATAGCTTCCGTTGCGCATGGTGACACCGGCTGGGTTGCCAATGCCTTCCGCGCCTTCCGAGTCGTACTCGCCGCCGCAGTCGTTCGTGCCGAAGTTCATCACCGGAGGGTCATACGTTCCAGATATCTGGATGTAGTTTGGCGTCTTGCGATAATGAGCTGTCTTGATGAAGCCATCCGGCATGGGTCGAGAACCATTCTGTGGTGAGGTGCAGTAAGCGACCGCGATGGCTTCGGCGTCTACGAGGTTCTCCTTGGTCGGGTCGGGTGGCATGAGCAGACAGAAGTCGCTGGCGCTGTTGATGTAGATCGTTCGACCCATGCCGGTCAGGGACGCGGGCGCAAGGCCATCGGAGGGCGATTTCGGAGTCCAGCTTCCCAGAGCTGCTGTGCGAGTGAGGCTGGGGGCGGGAGGACCATCACCGCTAATGATGGTGGTCGAGGCGGGTTCAGAAGTCTGAGCCTCGACGAAGGCGAAGAGGACAGCTGTTGCTGCTGCTGCAAGGCTTGCGAAGCGCATATTGAGAAGGCACGGCGCCACCTGCAATGAGACCGTCAGAGAGGGTGTCGCTCAAAGAGCGAGCTTACGGGAGGAAGAGCGGGGGCGGAGATGATGATGGTCGGGAGGCAAGAGAGCAAAGAGGAAAAGGGGACAGGATCCCAAAGCCAGGCTGGCACCGGCGAGCAGCTGCCTCTGCTGGGCTTTCTTTGCCCTTCATCTCAGTCTCGTAGCCAGTAAGTTAGCCTTGCTCACAGTCACAGGGCATGCACAGTCACTTCTGCTCATGCACACGCAGCGACGGCACAGGTGAGCCTCGAACGGGTGTCATCGACCGAAAGAGAGTGGTGTACGTGGACCTCCGTGCAAGACATGCATGCAGAGACAAAAGCTTAAACGAAACCCAATGCTACAGAACGACCCACGGGCAACGCCGTCGCACCTCTTTCCCAGCGGAGCTCGATTGCAGTTTCCCTCCTCAACCCACAACCTCATCTGCGCTGTCCTATCCTTGCACCACCGTCAAGCTCGCCGGAAACTTGCCTTTTGTCCATTGTGAAAAGGAGCGTTGAGTTTCACGTCGCGGGATTCCTGCGCTGTGCGTGCATGCAGTGTCAGGCGCGCGTCCAGAAGGGCGCAAAGAACAACACTTTTTTTTGGAGTTCTGGACTCTCGAGCCGAGCCGCGGGGTCAGCCAGATCTCGCTCCGGCCCGCCGCTTCGCGTCGCACTGCGCTGCGCTCACCAAACCCAGCCACCAGCCTCGTATTCACAGGCCTTGTCGTCTGCAGCGAGAACAGTGCGTCGTCTGAGGAAGCTCGATGCCGCGCTCAGGCCTAGAGATGAAATGGGCTCGAGAGCGAAGTGAAAGCCAGACCAGAGTACTCACCTGAACCTCGATGGTGTCGCCGCTGTCTATGGTATAGAACGCTTACCCATACCCCGCATTCCAACACGATTGACGCTTTGGTGGAGTGGTTAACACGTATCCCTGCTATTAACAGCATCTCGTTTGACGATTGTAAGGATATCCTCTTTGAGGGCGTGAGTTCGAATCTCACAGGCGTCGAAAATTTTTGCGGATTTGGCCGTTTTTTTGCATGGAGATGGAAGCTACGAGTGTCAGGATGTCAAAACTGCTTTTTGCTGAATTGTTTAGAAGAAGACCATCGAGGAAACGCTGTTGGAAGATCGAGGTTTGGCTGGTGATGCAAGAGGTTGCGATGGTGGGAGCGCGTCGCGGGCTCAACCAAAAATCAATTTCTTTTTTCTTTTTTTTTTCTTTCCAGACGGAATTTCGGTTCGTGATCAGGCAGAGAGCCTACAGTAGCTTCCACCAGGCTTGGTTCACAGTCAAGGACCAGGCAACACAAAATATACACTGAGTGAGAGAAGAACGTAGTTGCGGGAGAGCGTGCGGTATATGTACATGAAAGACGTGCTATGGGAGAGACTTCTCCCTTTTGGTTCCAAATCATGGAAAGAGTGAATGCTGCTGCACCTCCGTCGCTTAGTCCTCCAGGAAAAAGTACTGCCCCGCCGCCTTCTGCTCCTTGTCCTTAATCGAGTTGAACTTGTTGACGCGTGGCCTGTAGTTGGTGGGATCTCTCCTCATCGACACCTCCAGAGTTGCCAAGAAGCTGTTCATACCTGTCAGCAGGCTCTCGGGGCGCTTGGCGGTGGCCTTGACGGATGGCTGACCCTCGTAGACGATGACGCGGTCGGCGAGGTAGGTGGCCATGATGATATCGTGCTCGATGATCATGGCCGTCTTGCGTGAGTGGATGATGAAGCGCTTGATGACGCGCGACGCAATGATACGCTGCTCCGAGTCGAGGTACGCGGAGGGCTCGTCGATCAGGTAGATGTCGGCAGGCTTGCCGAGCGCGAGAACCAGCGCAACGCGCTGCAGCTCTCCACCCGAAAGCGTCTGCACGTCGTTGTCGATAATGGGCTCGATCGACATGGGCTTGACAACATCGGTCTGGAACTGCGGGTGCATGAACGCCGACTTGATCTGCTTGAGCAACAGCATTCGCACAGTGCCCTGGAACTTGGGCGCGATCGTTTGCGGCTTGAGCGAAACGTTGAGCTGAGGTGGCTTCTTGGCTCCCGGATCCGGCTCCAGCTTGCCCGCCAGCATCTTGACAAACGTCGTCTTACCAGTACCGTTCTCACCGAGGAAGACGATGATCTCGGAATCGCTGAATTCACCTCCCTCGATGTTGAGGCTGAAGTTGCCCAGCGTCTTCTTCATGGGCGGACAGGTGTACTTGGCTTTCCTGTCCAGCACCTCTTCTTCGGCGGTCTCGGCGATCTTGAAGGTAAGCGACTCGTCACGGAATCGCATGTTCTCGGCGGGAATGTAGCCGTCCAAAAAGATGTTGATACCATCACGCACTGGCGAGGGCACCGTGACGACACCGTAGACCGAGGGAACACCGTAGAGACAGCAGATAAAGTCCGAAAGGTAGTCGAGCACCGACAGATCGTGCTCGACGGCAATGACGTAGGTGTTGGAGTCGAGAAGCGATCGGATCATTCGCGCCGCCTTGAGACGCTGCTTGACATCGAGATACGACGAGGGCTCGTCGAACATGTATACGTTGGCATCCTGGATACATGACATGCCGATGGCGAAACGCTGCAGCTCACCACCAGACAATTGTGAAACATCTCGGTCGAGCACCTCCTTGAGGTCGAGCATGTCGATGATCATCTGCTTGTTGTCCTTCTCGAGCTTGCCGTCGAGGAGCTGGGTAACGCTTGCCTTGCCCTTGATGGCGCGCGGGATGTGGTCGACGTACTGAGGCTTGATGAGCGCCTTGATGTTGTCCTCGAGCACCTTGGTGAAGAAGTTCTGCAGCTCAGAACCACGGAAGTACTTGAGGATCTCCTGCCAGTCGGGAGGGTCATCGTATCGACCCAGGTTGGGCTTCTGCTTGCCTGCGAGAATCTTGAGCGCGGTCGACTTGCCGATACCGTTGGTGCCGACGAGACCGAGCACCTGGCCGGCGCGTGGTGTGGGAAGACGATGCAACTTGAACGAGTTGGCGCTGTATCTGTGGGTGGTCTCGTTCTCGAGGTTGGTGGGAAGCTTGATAATGTTGATAGCTTCAAAGGGGCACTTCTTGGGGCAGATACCACAACCGATGCAGAGCGATTCTGAGATGAAGGCGATCTTGCTGGTAGGTGTCACTTCGATACAGAGTCGACCCATGCGGACGACGGGACATGACTTTTTGCATTCCTGTCGGCACTTTTTGGGCTTGCACTTGTCTGAGTTGACAATGGCGATACGCGTCTCCTTCTCGTGCGGTGCGGGTGCCATGGTGGTCACGAATGCTTTGCTGCTTGTGCACAGCAAGGGTTGGGACGAAGAGAGGTGGAGATGACGAAGGTCAAGAGGTGAGAAGCAAAGTTGCTTCGCCCGCTCGTATGCAGAAAAAGGGTGCAGTTCGCGCTCAGCCTGCTGCAAAACCTCGAATGCGCCTGCTCGTCAGTCTTTTTTGACTCAGGAAGAAAGGGAAAATTTTGAATTCGGATCGACGTCAGCTCTGAAACGGAGCAATTCAAAATCCTGACGTGGACTTCAACGCGAAGCCTGAAATGAGTACAAAATCGAGTCGCAAAAAAGTCGGCAGCAGATGGCTCAGTTGCGGGCCGCTGATTGCTTTGAAATCAGGCTCGCCTCAATGGTGACTTCTGACGGGCCCCAGAGGACGTCTCATGAGCATGTCACAAAGCGACGAGAGCAACTGGGCATGATTACTTCTGGATTATCAGCGTGAAAGGTGGACAAGATGGAGGTCGTTGATGTTGCAAGGTGAGGTGCGCATGGCAATGAACAAGTACAGCGAGCCAGGTAGATGGAGGTACGCGGAGCGGGGCAGGCTTCGAGCTGGGGCATCGCCATGAATCCGCATCTGAGCCATCACATCAATCAAGGCTGCTCGTCCTTCTTGATGTCCTTCTCCTCCTTGCGCTTGCGTTTCGAAGGGCTGCCACCCGCTTTGCCGGAGCCAGAGGCCTTGGTGGGAGTTCGCGGCGTGGCCGGATCCTGGCTGCCGTAGATGGAGAGGAGGTCTTTGGAGATCTTGCGACGCCACTGGTCCTGGTACTGCGGAGCGAGAGAACAGCGACGATGTGAAGGAATATGAGATGTTCTTGTCAGCCGCCATGGTCCATCAGTCGGGGCGACGCGCAGTATCCTCGTGGGATGTCATACTTACTGCCTGTCTGCCGCGGGCGGGATAGCCCTCCTTGATAAGGAGCTCGGACACCTCGCTGAAGATGTTGCCATAGCCAGCGTTAGCGAGGACATGGGTCAGGACATGATTGACGATGAAGCTTCGCTCGCCGTCGGTCCAGGGCTGGTCATTTTTCTTGTCGTCGAACTTCTTCTGAACACCCTCTTCAGCAGGGTCGTCTTTCATGATGGCGACGAAGAGGGCTTGGTGGCGAGCGGGCTGGCTATGGCAGGAGTGATCGAAGATTACGAGTGGATGACGTGAGGTCGAGATCGAAGAAGGGAGCTTGGAAGTACAAGGCGAGAGAAGAGGTGATGGTGCGGACAGAAGGAGATCGAGTAGGCAGGGGCAGAGCGGGAAGACGGGGGACGGGGGTCTTTATGCAATCGCACAAGCACTGCTCATGTTGCTTGAGCAACGCTCGCACAGCTGCACGGTGTACGGTAGGATTGACTGCGGTTGCTTGTTGGATCCGGTCCGCACCCCTTTGAACGCTTTGTCCCGAATAAGGTTCAGTCTCGCTTGGCGACCGAGCATCGCCCATCGTTGATGAAGGTTCTGACACATGGCCGCTGAACGAACGTGAACATGCCGGAAATGTCAAGTAGCACAGCTCTAAGCCTGCAGAAAGTGCCCAGCAATCTTGGTTGAAGCTTGTGCTGCTGAGTACGTCAAACAGATTGATCATGAAAGTTGCGATGAATGGTTTCAACACATCGGATCCAGGATGCTAGTGTTACATATATATTCCTTCAGTGAATCTGCATCAGATCGGCTCGTAGGCTCCGCGTCCACCCGAGCCGCCGTAGCCGCCTCCTCCACGATTGCCGGATACCGTTCCCCAGACATGCGTGGCAGCGTCGCGAGCAATGTAAGGCGACTCCCTCCAGAAATCTTTGTGCGGTACGAGGTCCCATCCGCTGGCTCCGTAATTGTTGTAGTTGTTGTACATTCCCACGCCCATGTAGACGGCAAAGCCAGAAAAGAGGAGGAAGAACAGCCAATTGAAGAAGCCCCACCCACTTGATGCTTTTGACCCACTGCTTCCGTCGTCATCACTGTCGGAGCCTCCGCCCTGAGACGGACTGTCACCACCGCTGCCTGGTTTGGATGCGGTTGACGAGCACGCAAACTTTGTTGGCCATCGGAGCTTGAGCTCTCCGTCCGCTCGATCGTAGCTCCTTGCCGTGGGATGCGAGTCAGCGTCGGCCTTGGGATCGCAGACAAGCTCAAGCTCTGCCTTCTGTTCTCGTCCAGCGTAGGTAGCTCCAGGCAGCACAAGCTCGATGCTCTTCTCTCCTCCTTCCAGTCCTTGGCCCCACTCGACCTTGGCATCGATCTTGCTGCCACCGGACTCGCCAGAGTAGGCGACTGGAATCGCCTGCGTGACGATGGCCTTGCCGTCCTTGATGGTCTCGATGGTGATGCATATCCTGGTACCGCGTGGGCACTGATCCTTCTCGTCGCGTTCCGAGTTGGCCTCAAGCGGCTTGCAGAGGTCAATATCGATGGAGGTGCGCGTCTCTGATGGCGGTGTCGATTCCTGATTCGAGGTGCGGATCGGATAAGCGATCTTAGAGAGATCGAACGACTGCTTCGACGAGACAGCAACGTTGCTGCAGTCGAATGGCGACAGCGTCTGCTTGGAAGCGGCCACCAGGCCTGTGCTCTGTATCAGCAACAGAAGCGAAGCTGCAAGCAGAGCTATGTCTCGCCTGGCACGCGGTCTGCGAGGTGCTGCGTGAGAGGTCGACATGATTGGGTATATTGTTCCGATGATCGCAGGAGGTGAAAGCTGCCTGGAAAGCTTGCTTACGACGACGCTGTGATCGACCCGGGTTTCGCAGAAGGACTGATGTGAAGTGATCCGTGTGATGACGCGAAAGAGGATGTGATTGTGACGAAGTAGAAGGCAAGGTGAGCTTGCGTTGCGCTATCGATGCCGTCCTCTCTCTGCCAAGTCACATTTTCATGTGCGAGTCCCGAAGACACCGAAAGGGTCCCTCTCTCCTGGGAGAAACGCGCACGCCCAACGCTGTGATTTCGCGACTGCGCCTCCACACCAACAACTTTTCTGCAATCACCTTCGAGCTGATCAGCCTTCGGATAGGGGAGCCGCTGCGCAAGAGCGAACGCGCAAGCGACTCAGCCTGCTTCAACTTCTTCCTTCACCGCTCATAGCAAAGCTGTCATCGGTCCAGCACTACTCTCGCCACACATCTGCCCATCCAGGCTCGCAGCAGCAGCCGGCAGCATGTCGTCCTCAACACCGCAGCAACAGCTCATAGCGTACATCCACCATGAGCGACAGGAGCAAGGTAGCATGCTCTGCGCTCAGCACGCGCTCAACGCGCTTCTCCAAGGCCAGTACTACGACGCTTCACAGCTAGCACAGATCGCCACCGAGCTCGACCAGCTCGAAGCATCCGAGCTCGGCCTCAGTCAAGCCGATATTGCAGCACGCGATCGCGCCTCTCTCAACATGGACGACACCGGCTTCTTCAGCGTCACGGTTCTCGAGAAGGCACTCCAAGTATGGGGTATCTCAATATCCAGCTGGCGATCTGCACAGATGCGGGCGCGACACGATGCACCCGAACGAGAGGCTGCCTTCGTGCTCAATCTCAACAGCCATTGGTTCACCATCCGATCGTTCGGCACCACGAGCAAGTTCTGGTACAACCTCAACTCGTTTCTGGCAGAACCGCAGTGGATCGGCAACAACTATCTCGGCACGCTTCTGCACACCGCCGAGTCGGAAGGGTACTCGGTGTTCGTGGTGCAGGCCTCGGAAGGAAGTGCCGGTCAAGGACTACGTGAATCGGATGCGGACCAGATCGCAGACCACCTTCCAGCACCCGGAGCAGCTTCGTCGGCTCGGTCCAGCTCAGCGAACCTAGGTCTCCGACCAGAAGCCGCTTCGAAAGCGTCGAGCAGCTCTGTACCCAAGGCAGGTGGCTTTGGCGCACCTTCGACAGGATTTGGTCTCGGCGACGAGGAAGAAGACGCAGAGCTTCAAGCAGCACTCAGTCTCAGTCTGGCGCAAAGCACTTCTGCCGCTCCTGATACACCCAACCGTTCACGAGTGCGTCAAGTCCGCAGCGGGAGCGACGAGGGCAGTGCAGGAGGGGACACATTCATGGGCGAGACAGATGCCGACATCGATGCCATCGCACCCTCCAGACGCCGACATCGCGCCGACTACAGCGATCCTGTCAACGACGACCTCCGCAGGGCCATGGAGGCGAGCATGACAAGCTCACCTGGCCCATCTCGTCCGAGCAGCTCCGTCCATGCCCCCACAACCTCTACCGATTCGTCGTCGTCTCGACCCATCGGCCGACGCAAGCGTCGTGCGCAAGAACGTCAGTCCGGCCTCTCGCGCGAAGACGCCATCGACCTGGACGACTCGCGCGATGACAGCTTCTCTAGCGACACGGACGAGCTCCGTCCCTCGAGCCTCTCGCATCGCTCCCCGTTCCTCAGCCCCGCGATGCAGGCCGCCAACCGAAACAACGAAGACGTGCAGGAGATCGAGGACGACGAAGACATTCCGAGCGATGACGAGCTCGTTGATCCGTTCAGCGTCGCCGGTGCCCCCGAGGCGAGCGCACTCATTGGACCGCGACAGGACCGACACTACGACGATGAAGACGCGGAGCTCCAGGCGGCGCTTGCGGCCAGCTTGGGGGATACGGAGGCGGCTGCGAGGTTTGCTTCGGAGAATCCGAACTACCATCGGCCGCAGCAGGTGGAAGAGCAGGCTGTCGTTCCCGAGGATGTAGATCGGATCTCACGGATGCGCGAGGAGGCGAGGAGGAAGGCACGCGAGGAACAGGAGAGGCAGGAGAGGTTGGCGAGGGGCGAACAGGTGGGAGAGAGCCAGGCGGAAGCCACTGCAGCCGGAAAGGCTGGTAGCAGCAGCAAGGGCGAAGCAGACGAGGACGATGACGAAGACGAAGAATCCGAAGCGGAAGAGGTGAGCGCGGAAGAGATGCGCCGACGTCGATTGGCTCGCTTTGGTTGATTCCGAAGCAATGCGAGCGTTGTTCCCGAGACTGCATGTGATGGTGAGAGACGATTGCATAAAAAGAGACTGAGTGGATTGATACTGCTACATGATGTTGAGGAAGGGGAGTGAGGGTGTCAGAACGAGCAGCGAGCGAGGTGGAGCTGCGTCTGCCAGGGCGCTGGAAACGATGCTGGAGATGCAACGCAAACTTTCGTGCTCTGAGACTCCATGCAAGCCGAGCCCAATCATACTGATGTCGTGTTCAGCAGCTGCAGTGGCAAGGTGGAGCGCGTGCTGCGTCTGACGGGTATATGCGAATGAGAAACCGAATCGAGTAAGAGACCCAGCGGGGCTGCTGGCCGTTACATAGGCTTAGCGGGCAGCTGCGTGGGCAGGATGCCGAATCGCTTCTTGATCGTCACTCTGTGCCTGGAGAACTTGTCGTCTGGGGAGAACCTAGCGGGGTGTGCGCTCTTGGTGATGACACCCTCGATGGTCTTCTTCTTGAGCGTGTAGATGCGCTTGCCGTCCTGTCATTTGCAAGCCCGTTCTCTCTGTCAGTCATCGGTGGCCATGCTTCTGATGATAGGAGACCGCAGTGCGATTGGTGCTTACCTTGTCGGCGGTGAACATGAGATGCATCTTGCCTGATTCTTCGCTGTGCGGTGTGGATGGTGTGGATGTCGATCAGGACGAAGAGGTTGCAGATGACGAGGAGGGAGCCAAAATTTTGGCCGCCGCCTTCCACCCACTTTTTCTCCTCGCCGAAATTTCAATCGCACGACAAGCGCTGCCATTTTTCTGTCATTGTGAGATCGTGGTGAAAGGTGAGACATGCACGAATCGGCAAAGCTTCCAGCACAGCACTGACCTTTACTCGCGACTTGGACTTGTTCTTCTCATCCTCAGACTCCTGCTTTCTTCGTCCATACTGGCTCTTGACTCGACTGCGACGCTCACGCACCTGCGCACATTTGATCGACGGCAAACGCGGTAAAGGGTGGACCTTCCAGCCTCATCTCGACCCGCTCAGCTCGGAACCAGAAAGCTGGTCAAGGACAGCGCCCCACAGCAAAGTCCCGCGCTCGTCATCCGCACACCACCCTCCTCCGCGAGCAAACTTAGCCAGCCATGCAGCGCGCTCCATCACGGTTGCTCTTCATCGCGACCCTCTTCCTCGCCCTCCTCTCCTTGGTCTCGGCGATCAAATTCGACCTCACCGCAACCCCGCACGGCCACGTGAAATGCATCTGGAACTACGCCCTGTCCGACTCGCTCGTCATCGTCACTGCCAACGTGGTCCCCTCCACCTCTTCCTCGGTAGACCATCAGCGGATGGACATCGAAGTAGTCGACGGGTCCAAACATAACAACGTGTACCTCTCCAAAAAGGGCATCAAGGGCGAAACGCGATTGGCGATCAACACCCACAGCCATGCCGATCTCGGCGTCTGCTTTAAGAATAGTCTCCTCAAAAAGGGAGAGAAGGCAACGATGACGGTGGATCTAGATGTGGATATCGGCGCCGATGCGGTGGACTATAACGCCATTGCGAACCAGGAGAGTCTCAGTGGGCTGGAGACCGAAATGCGGAAACTGGAGGCGGTAGCGAATGAGATTGTGAATGAGATGGAGTATTTGAAGAAGCGGGAGTTGAGGATGGCTGATACCAATCGTAAGTACCACCTCCCCCCCAAAGTCCACTCCCAACGATCGTCTTTGTCATTACACAGGAGAGATGCTGACCAGACCTTTTGGCTTTTTGAATGATACAGTATCGACAAATATGCGTGTGACCAATTTTGCCATCCTCACCCTGGTTGCGTTGTTGGCACTCGGCGTCTGGCAGGTCTTCCACCTCAGAGGCTTCTTCAAGCGCAAGTACCTCATCGATTAACCTCTTCGGGCTCAAATCACGCAGCGTGTACTGCGTCTCAATCAAAATGTCAAAAGCATCAACGACTCGGCTGTGCAGCCCGTTCGGCTCAATCGGAAGCAGGAGCCGACGAGAACGGTGTGCATGTCTCCTTGAACCCTCGCGCTTGAGTCACAATCCCCGAGTCATTCTCTGTCATTCCCGTGCGTTGTCTTTGTCAATGGGGTGGCATTGCAACTTTTCGTGAATCTACGTAACTAGCCTGGCACATTTGGCGCATTTAGGCCGACTTGTTGGTGATGACCTTGGGAGCGGTCTCGCCCTGGGTGAAGCCATCGATACCGGCGTACACCGCAGAGGGCTCGAGGCTCTCGATGCGGAGGAGCTGGTTGTACTTGGCGGTGCGCTCGGATCGGCAGGGAGCGCCGGTCTTGATGATACCGACACCGAGACCGACGACAAGGTCCGAGATGGTGACGTCCTCGGTCTCACCGGAGCGGTGCGAGACCATGACACCCCAGTTGTCCGACTGCGCCAGCTGCGCGGCCTGGATCGACTCGGAGATGGTGCCGATCTGGTTGATCTTGAGCAGCAGACCGTTGCACGCCTTCTTCTCGATGGCGGTCTTGATGCGGAGAGGGTTGGTGACGGTCAAGTCGTCGCCGATGATGGTGATGCCGGCGTTGGCGCGGAGGTGCGACCAAGCCTCCCAGTCGTCCTGGTCGAAGGGGTCCTCGATCGAGGTGATCGGGTACTTCTTGATGAAGCCGAGGTAGACGTCGGCCAGCTCCTTGCCCGAGAGCCACTTGGACGAGTCCGAGTTGGGGTTCTTGAAGTCCAGGTCGTACTTGCCGTCCTTGTAGAACTCGGACGAGGCCACGTCGAGCGAGATGTGCACCTGACCCTCGTAACCGGCCTTCTTGATGGCCTCGGTGAGGATCTCGAGCGCCTCGTCGGCCGACTGCACGTTGGGAGCGAATCCACCCTCGTCACCGACGTTGGTGGCGTCAATGCCGTACTTGGTGTTGATGACCTTCTTGAGGTTGTGGTAGACCTCGGTGCCGATCTGGACCGACTCGGTGAAGCTCTTGGCGCCGGTGGGGACGATCATGAACTCCTGGAAGGCGAGCGCGTTACCAGCGTGCGAACCGCCGTTGATGACGTTCATAGCGGGGGCGGGGAGGACGTAAGGGGCCTTGACACCGCTGAGCTCGGCGAGGTACTTGTAGAGAGGGACACCCTTCTCACCGGCACCAGCCTTGGCGACGGCGATCGAGACACCGAGGATGGCGTTGGCGCCGAGCTTGCCCTTGTTGGCAGTGCCGTCGAGCTTGATGAGGAAGTCGTCGATCTCCTTCTGCGAGGTGACGGCGATGCCAGACTTGATGAGCTCGGGAGCGATGATGTCGTTGACGTTGGCGATGGCCTTGTTGACGCCCTTGCCCATCCAGGCGGACTTGTCGGCGTCACGGAGCTCGACAGCCTCGTGGATACCGGTGGAAGCTCCGGAGGGGACAGCGGCGCGGAAGAGGCCCTTGTCGGTGGTGAGGTCGACCTCGACGGTGGGGTTACCACGCGAGTCGAGGACCATGCGAGCCTGAATCTTTTGGATAGCCATTTTGAGTTGTTGAAGTGGGATGGGAGGGAAGGATGGATGGGATGGTGGTGGATCGGGAGAGAAAGAAGACGAGTTGGTTGAATCGCTCTATATCTTGCTCGCTCGCTTGCTCGCTCTGGCTGAAAGCGTTGACTCGGCGGGATGCAAAAAGTGGGACAGGCATCGATGGCAGGACCAGGGTGTTGGCTCCTGCGTTGATTCTTTCCTCTTCGAGGCTGCAGCGTTGTCAATGCGCAGGCTCTCCGTTAGGCGACGGAAAGGTGCGTCTGGTCTACGCCTTTTTTCTCAACAGCATGGGCCATGGCTTTCGTGCCTGTTCTTCGGACGGCCAAGGCGACGCATGCGCAGAAGTTGAGAAGTTGCGTCGACCTAAGCTTCGCTTCGATAAAGATCTTCCTTTTTGCCTCTTTTTTCGAGCTTTTCTTCGAGCTTGTCGAGTCCAACACTTGATTTGCAAGCGCGTGTGCGCTGATTAGAGCCCCCTCTCTGATCGATAATCGAAAGTCGCATCTGCAGCAGCGCTCTCAAGCAACGCTGGCTAAGTCGAGTCAGAGAGAGGAGAGGGAGCGAACGAAGGAGTCATTCGACCGTGCGTCGGATCGGACGGACGAGCAAGGCCGTGAGGGCAAGAGCTCGAGCAGCTGCGTACGCTTGGATCGGCTGTGGATCGGGTCTGGCTCGGCCGCCGATGCGACCCGGTCTAGCGCGTTGTTTGCGGGCAGGATCGGGAGAGGAGTCAAACCATCTTCTCAACCGCAGTGTTGCTGCAGCTGTCGTGGCATCCATGTCCAACAGTGCGACTCCATCATGCTTGATTGCAGCGTCAGCTTAAGGGTCAACCTGTTCGATGACGGCGCATGCACAGCGGCAGCAGCCATTTCACCAGGGCCGGAGGATTGTTTGCGGGGGAGGTAGCGGCTGGAAGACAGCTCAGGCGTCTCGGCAGTGTGAACAGGATGGGATAGCTGGAGCGAGGGTTGGCGGCTGAGGCGCATGTGAGTTCCGGTTTCGCCCTTTGGAACAACACCATTCGGAATGAGCAGGAGTGGCCTATAACCGGTGCAAAGGTTTCGCGGTTGAGCTCGCTCAAATCAGTAGCCGACCGCGATCTGGTGCCGCGTCGAGCCAAGACGCCTTTCACGGATCGACATCTCGCATTCGCCTCGTCCACTTCCTTTGCCCTGAGACCCTTTCCATCCTGTCCTTGTGCGTAACATGGATTCCTGAGCAGGCATCCTCGTCGTGTGGGCCCCGCCGCTGAGCATGCATGCGTCGACACAAGAGCAGCAGGTGGCTCGTTTCAACGCGTATAGGACGGATATCCCCCTCCGCACTTGGGCGGATCTCTCCGTGCTCGACACTCACCCGCTTAATCCGGGCGCATTGTTCCACGGTGTGAGGCGCCCAAATGTGTCTGCTGAGCGCGCTTGACACCACCTTGAGACTGTCGCGGCCCGCTGGAGGGCCTTGTCTAGCGCTTCGAGTACAACTGGTGCTAGGTTGATTGCTGGATTCGCGAAGCATCTGATGACCAGAAAAGCGACCTGGAAATGGTGGCCACGAAAAGAGGTTGAAAATTTGCCAAACGCGCTCAATCCGTCGGCGTAACAGAGAGGAAAAAGTCGTCCCGGCATTGACTCCGTATGCGGCTCCCTCTCACCCCAAACAACGACGACGACAGGCCTCAACAGAACACAGACAGTCAGGGCTATGCATGACATTTCCAATGTATGAATTGCAAGAGCCGAAGCATCGCCAACGAGCTCAATCGTCGCGCGCGACCTGAGCGACATCGTCCTTGCGCACAGCGGCATTAGTTTCCAGCCAATGCTGGCCCTGCTGGGATCGCGGATCAGGATGCAGAGCAAGCCTCTCTCCTCCTGCTGATGCCTCGTTGGGCACCTGCTGCGAAGGCATCGCAGAGCCGTCGGTCTGGTCTGCTTCCCGCGTCGAGGCGAGAGTCACATAGCCAAAGCTTCCGCCCAGCAGCCACTGCTCGTCCCACGTCTCCCAAGGGGTGGCTCGTTTGTTCGCATCGCGCCGAAGAAGTCGTGCGACCATTGCCTTGGCCACCGGCGTGACCAGCCGCATGTTGGGTGGACACACCGAAGCGTCCGGCTGGTCCGCGCAAGCATCGTTGCCCGCTGCTGGCCACCGTAAGTCGCCTTTGGCGATCCGCAAGAGATGTCGCTTGCGCTGCTTCGGATCGCGTTCCTCGCCGTGCCCCTCCCTCGCACCATTGACACCAACATTGACGTCCTCCATGAATGGTAGCGAGCCGGTGACGAGCGCATACAGCACCACGCCCAACGCCCACGCGTCCGTCTTGCGCCCGTCGTACTTTTTGCCGATGATGAGCTCGGGTGCAGCGTACTCTTCTGACCCACACCGTGTCTCCAGCAACGGATTGGAAGGATCGATGAATCTCGACAGACCGAAGTCCGTCAGCTTGATCAGGGGTCCTTTCGGAAGGTGATGCGGTCGTAATGACGCACCCGCCGCTGCAAAGAGGTCGACGGTCAGAAGAATGTTCTCCAGCTTGATGTCTCGATGTACGAGGTTGATGTGGTGCATCCATCCGATGGCATTGGCCAGCTCCGTGTAGATGACGCGAACCAGCCACTCGCGCTGTGCGAACAGGTCAAAGTTGGACATGAGCGCATCAAAGAGCTCGCCTCCCGCGACCTGCTCGAGCACGAGCGTGTGGCGGGAGGGTGTGCTGAACGACGTGATGAAGCGGACCAGGTTAGGATGCGAGATGTGCTTGAGCACCTCGACCTCTCGCACCCAACTGACCTTGAGACGCTCGTTGTTGTTGCACGGCTCTCGATCGAGCATCTTGAGCGCCACCACTTCGTCTCTCCCGTGGGACGCACTGTCGGTGGTGCCCGGGTGTTGCATCTGGAGCGCCCGCTGACGTAATGCCGGCAGCGACGATATCATTCGATCCGATGACCTTGCTCCGGCGCCATCGCGTAGCAGACGACCCAGAGCGACACGACTGAAAGCGCCGACGCCCAACGTCCTTTCGATGCGATACGGCCCAATGCGGTCGCCATCCTCGTCTTCCTCTCTTGACCCTGCGCTCGCTGGCTCGCTGGACAGCTCACGCCTACGATCTCTAGGTAAGATGCTGCTGCCGGTCGCCGACTCGGAAGGGCCCTGACTACGTTTGGGGTGACCGAGACGCAGCCTTGATTCCTCCTCCTGAGATCCTTCCCCTGTCGAACCCGTAGAAGATTTTCGGGCAGGCACTAGCTCCGCACGTGCTGTCGCTGGACTTGCGCTATTGGCGTTGGTCGGCCGGAGGGCGCTGATCGAGTCTATCGAAGCATTGCCTGCGTCCCTCCAGCTTCTCTGCTCTATTCGGTCTGGCACGGCGGATGTAGGAGAGGAATGGGCGCTGCGGTCATCGTCTAGGAGCATCTGGGTCTGGCTGCGGATCCTGTGTGGACTGTCCGGTGCCCAAGGCACGTTGGGTGGCAGGCCGTCGAGTGTTGCGCTAGGCGCATCCGAGATGGCGGACAGGGAGAGCTGTGAGGTCGAATTGACGTTGAACAGATCGCCTCCTGATTGAACATCGGTGAGCGAGAGCGGAGAATAGAGGGAAGGATCTGTGGACATGGCTGACTCGCCGCTGCCGATGCGGGAATGTCGTGGGAATCCAAAATGGTGTGGTTGAGAGTAGAGAGCAGAGCTCGATCTCATGGTCGATGGTCCAGCAGCAGCAGCCGTGCTGGCCGCTTCCGTTGATAGCGCTGGCAGCCTGCCTGGCAGTCGGAATCGGTGGGAGACATCCGCAGATGAGATCCTTGGTGCGTGGCCATGCCCGAGCGTGTTGACAGCGGCTGCGTCCCTCTTGGCGGTGGCGGAGAGCGGAGTGGCAGGAGAGGAAGAGTCGCTGCTGCCGTGGGGGTCAGTGCGACTACTTTGGGCGAGGACCGTCTTGATGCTGGGTGCTCGTGTCACGTATGGTCCGCTTGAGGACGATGAGTTGAAGAAGGACCAGTTTTTGCTCCCTCTGCGATGCGTCGACACTTGATCAAGAGACGCCGTGGTTCCCGCCGCGCTCGTCCTTGGATCTGATTCTTCCGACGAGTCCTTGACTGGCGCCGGTTGGCCTGCGAGCGAGGAGAGGAAGCTGCCGGTCGATTGCTTCGATATCGACGCGAGCGGCACGTCGAACATGTCTCGTGCTTCCTCGGTCTGGACCGCTGGACTTGGTAATGGCGAGACGGGCTTGCCCTCGAAGTGGTCCCAGTTTCTCTGGCTGCGTATGGAGGCGGAAGAGAGCTCGCCTCTGGGTGCTGCCAAGGTGAAGTGAGGTGGGCTCATGCCATAGCGCGAGCCGTTCTGACTGCCATCTTCTGCGGCCGTGGTGGAACCAGCCATGGAGATGGCACCAAAGCTGTCGAGGGACGCAAACGAGAAGCTGCTGTTGGAGACATCGAGAGGATCGGCGGCCGGAGCAGCCGCGGCATCCTGGAATGGTCTCGATGATACTGATGACGAAGCCTGTATGGGTGTATTAGGTTGGGAGAATCCGTTTGGGATCGGTGTAGATGCGGACGTCGAGAGTGGGGTTCCGTTCGAGGTGATGATAGTGGGCACCTCGGGGGGTCCGATGTGCACAGGTGTTGCGTTGGATTGCTGTGTTCGTGCAACGGGCGGTGTCGGTATCGATGTGTCGAGCGCTGACGCTTGCGAGCTGCTTGCGGCGCTGTTGGAGTTGGACCGCGATGTGCTGAGCCTCTTTGCGGCGTCGGCATGACGCGAACGAGAGAACATGACGGAGTGCAGCCGGATGACACGAAGCTGTGTCGGCGCAGGATCCGGTCGCAGTTTCCGAGGGTGGATGGTGATAGTAGAGTCGCGGAGTACCGGTGCAGTTCTAGCTGATGATCATGACGTGCGATGCATGAAGGCGTTCCTACGGGCGAAGTTTGTGACGTAGAGGACGAGAGCGAATCCGAGCAATGTGCTTGACTATCGAGCCATGTCGGAGGTCCCGTTTGGCCTCAGATAAGAGTCAGGGTGCGCGACGGTACGGAGAGTCGATCCAGGTTACCGTGAAAGCTTGAAGCAGGAGCTTGAGCTAGATTGATGTAATTCCAGGGCACGAGCCAAAGAAGAGGTCCGAGAGCACAGAGGGAGAGAGAGAGCGAAAGGTGGGGGGATGTCAACGACCCACCCAGAGGCCGCGGAGACGAGACGTGATGAAGTGGTGTGGAGCAAGGGAAACGCTCTCCGTCGATGGTCAACTGCGATGTTGTCGAGATGGAGGAGGCGGAACCAATGAAGCGTGGTCAGGTCAAAAGCTGTGCAAGGCGACCACAACGATGATCTGAGCGTGTGTGCCTGTGCAGCTTGCAACCAACTCAAAAATTGAGCTCTGTTAAGGGTGCACCGCCGAGTGTGACACGACTCACCTCGACTTCTCAACGCGAAAACCAGAAGCCAAGAGGCGACTCGCCGTGAGAGCAACAAGAAGGGTCGAAGAGTCCCACAGTCCCACAGTCACAAGGGACCGACCAGCCAAGCCTGGATGTTTTTCCAACCCAAAGGTTCGGACAAGCGCCCCCTGAACGCGATTTCTCGCTCCGCGGCAGCAGAGCTCTCTCGCCCTCTCTCACATTTTCCTCTTTTATATTTTTATTAAAAAATGCAAAGACAAATGAAAAGACAGAAGGGAGTCCCGCTAACGAGGTCGGCGTTGCTTTCGACGACTTCGGATCGTTTCCGAGTGGGAATCAGGTTAGCTTCAGCATTCAACTTTGTCATTAGGAGAGCCCTCATCACGAAACGGCAGAGCGACTTCAGCGGAATAGCCTGATCAGGCGTCTGAGATCCTTGTTGACAGCGAGGAGATGCAGCGGCAGCCCACGGCGATCTCTGCCTACAGTAGCTTGCAGTGCGCATCGTGTCGTCTCGCGTAGCACGCTCAAGGGAGCCGAGAATTCTGCAAGTTTGGTACATTCCAGCAGTGATCGAGCCGCAATTCGATGTTTGCAGCCTTGGTGATTCGCAGAAGGCATGTCTTTCCAGGAGGAAGCCGTTGTGATCACACAAAGTCCCTTTCCCACGCTCGCATCAGAGATTGTGATGGCGGAAGAAGAGACCTGGCTGCCTTAGGGCTGTCTCAGGCTCAAGTTCGGCTCTTCCGGCTGAGCAGCTTTGGCTTCGGCACAGCCGACTCACAGCGACGAGGCTTAGCCGATGCCGCAGATGCTCCGATTTTCGCATTGGTGGCCGTAATGGGGGAGGATGGGACGTGTGCTCGACAACTCAGCGGCGGAATCTGCCTCAATGTGGGAAGGCAGAAAGCTGCCAGGCCTATATTTGCTCCTTTCGACCGATGGAGTCTTCGCCATCAGCTACCTCGGAGATCATCTTGCTTCCCTTCGTCTCAGACATTATACACGACAATCGAGACAGGTCAGTGAGAAGCAAAACATGACCGAAGAGCTCGACTTTGCGTCCCTTGCGCAGCACTATGGACATGATGCAGACAATCGAAGCGGAGACCAGTTCTCGGACTATCGAGGCGAGGAAGGTCTGATGCCAGACGACCCGTATCATCCAAGTGACTACTACCCTGCTACGATGCCGCCGCTGTCCAATCCGAACCCCTTTTTACAGGGCAGCTACTACCAACAAGGTCCGCCCTCTGATCACTATGAAGCTGCAGCGCTATCGCGACACTTTGATTTCGATCGGGCCCAAGTTGAAGGCTTAGTGGCCCAGCCATCGCCTTCGTCTTCGGCGACGATCAACCACTACCCTCCATCGCCTTATGCGTTTGACCATCGCAGCCAGATGAATGCGGACAATCGCGGTCAAATGACCACCCACTACCTCGGCCAATTGTATCCCGACTACGGTGATCCAATGAATCCAGACTCTCGCGGTCAGACAGACCTTCCCTTTCGCAGTCAAGTGTATCCTGGCTTTTCTAGTCAGGCGAATCATGACAACGACAGCTATACGAATGCCAAACCTCGCAGACAGACGCACGCAGACTTCGGCAGCCTTGAAAGTGCTGGCGTTCGCAGTCAAGGCAACGAGTCGAAAATCATTCCCCTCCCACCGCAGCCTCAAGAGAGGTCCAATCACGAACCTGTTCGGCCCTCAGAGAACCAGCGTGGGGTCTGGGCTGAACCAGAGCCAGGCCGAAAGGTGCAACTCGTTCCTGTCTCAAGCTTGCGTGAGTAGCTGAACCCTTCTTCAGCAGTAGGAGATAGGCAGCGTGCTGACACGGATGGAGTGCACCTTTGTCTGGCCCTCTCGACACATCAGCGGCTCTTTATCGACCTCTCTTTAGCTTCCCATTCTTCAACGCAGTCCAGTCGCTCTGCCTGCCCAAGGTAAGTCAGTCGAGCATTTTGCTGTACGCCACATCACGTTGAGCGTCGTACTGACAAGAATTTCAATGTTCGCATCACGTTCGTCAATGACGACTTGTTTAGGTCTTGGAATCGACAGAGAACATCGTCCTCTCCGCACCCACCGGCTCCGGCAAGACGGTTGTGTTCGAATTGGCGCTACTTCGCATGCTCACCAAAGATCCTGAAAACGCGCGCGCCGTCTATTTGGCTCCGACCAAAGCGCTTTGCGCGGAGCGGACGCGGGACTGGTCGGCTCGCTTCGGCCCTGTCGGGTGTGGTGTCACAGAGCTGACAGGAGACTCTGTGCATGGTCTTCACGTCGCACGAAAGAGCCGCTTGGTTATCACAACGCCCGAGAAATGGGACAGCTTGACGCGCAAGTGGGACGAACAGTCCGGCATTCTCTCCACCGTCCGTCTCGTCTTGATCGACGAGGTGCATATCCTCAATGAGGCGCAACGCGGAGCCCGTCTCGAAGTCGTGGTAACAAGGACCAAGAATCGAGGCAACCAGGTGCGCTTCGTAGCCGTTTCAGCCACCGTGCCAAACCTCGAAGACGTCGCAAGATGGATCGGGCCCAACTTGTACACGCAACGACAGGGCGAGTCCGGACCTACCAAAACCACGGCCGAGATCTTCCAGTTCGATGACAAGTATCGCCCCTGTCCGCTGCAGAAGCACGTCTACGGCTATGCCAAGAACAAGGACGAATTTGCCTTCCAGGCGTACCTCAATTGCAAGCTCTTCGAGCTGGTCGAGACACATGCCGCTGGTCGACCGTGCTTGATCTTTTGCGCCACTCGCAGATCCACCGTCCAAGCCGCCAAGGCTGTTGTTGAGGCTCGCAAGCAGGCGAACGAAGACGCAGACGGCCCCTCGCTTCCGATCGGGGACGAGGGAGGTCCATCAAGCCAGGCGCAGTTGAGCTTTGACGATGAGGACCTCCGGACTCTCGCATCCTCGGGCGTGGCTTTTCATCACGCCGGACTCACCGCATCCGATCGTCGAACAGTGGAGCAGGCTTTTCTTGCCGACAGAGTTGCGGTTCTGTGCTGCACGACCACATTGGCGACTGGAGTCAACTTGCCCGCGTACTGCGTCATCATACGAGGTACAAGGCAATACGACGGACATTGGATCGAAATGTCGGAGCTCGACATGATTCAGATGATGGGTCGAGCCGGTCGGCCTCAATTCGATCGTAGCGGCGTTGCCGTCATCATGTGCGAGGACACCATGCAAGGGCACTATCGAGAGCTCGTCAGCGGCAGTCGAGGGATCGAGTCGAGCTTGGCCCCTTGCTTGGTCGAGCACGTCAACGCCGAGATCGGGCTGCGCGGAAGAACGACCGAGTCTCAGATTGAAGACTGGATTCGCCAGAGCTTCATGTGGACTCGACTGCACAAGAATCCCACCTACTATCTGAGCCGAGAAGAGGGCATTGGCCTCGACAGCGTCGAAGACATCCTCAAACACCTTGTCACCCAGACGCTGACAGCTCTACAGGAGGCTTCTTTGATCGCCCGCTCCGAAGACTCTGTCGAAATCTCGTCCACTGAATACGGTATCATCATGTCGCGCTTCTTCCTGCGTCACAAGACGATGCTGGCGCTGATTGCCATGCCGCTCAGCGCCCACACCCGAGAAATCCTCGAAGCGATCTGCGAAGCGGACGAATTCGGAGAACAGAGGATGCGACAGGGCGAAAAGGGCTTCCTCAACGATCTTCGAACTCACCCAGAGATCCGTTTCCCGCCCCGCCAGGTCTCGCGAGTCGCGGACAAGGTTTCCTTGCTGATACAGGCCCATCTGTCTGCCATAAATCTCTCGCACGTCGCCAAATCAGGCATGGGCGAAGCAAGTCCTTATATGGACATCAAGCGGATCTTCCCGCACGCCACGCGCATCGCAAAGGCAGTCGTCGACGTCACCATCTATCGTTGCGATGGTGTGGCATGCAAAGCGGCACTGGATTTGGCACGATCCATTGCCGCTGGCGCCTGGGAGGGCTCTCCTGCGATGCTCCGACAGTTTGACCAGATCGGTGAACGCTCCATCAAGGCGCTGGCGAATGCGGGCATCGTGACGTGGCAGAAGCTGTCCGAGACGACTTCGACCAAGATCGAGATGATCTTGAATCGTCACCCTCCCTTTGGCAGCAAGGTGATTGCTGCGGCGCAATCTGTGCCTCGTATCGGCCTCGAGGTGATGCAGCGGTCCGCCGAGCCTTCCAAAGCGACTTCCTTCACACTCCCGGCAAACAGGGCCGGAACCTCGTTAGATCCCGCGGACTTGGCCCCTTTCGGCATGAAGGTGGTGCTCGAGGTGAAGATTTGGGTCGAGAATCGAGCGACTTGCATGCTCAAAAGCAAGACTTCGAGGATGCCGCTGAGCATCTGCGTGCTCATGCTGAGATCCGACGGCGGCTACGTCGACTTTCGTCGCATGCCCATCTGGCGTTTTGACTCCGAAAAGCGCTTCACGGTGCACGTCCACCTTGACAACCCTCGCATGCGCGTCGTCACCACTGCGGCGTGCGACGAGATCGCAGGCACGCTCGTACAAGCGAGCCTACTACCTGTCGACGTGGCGAGTGGCTCTCACAGGATCAGAATCGCGCGTGCCGAGATTCAGAACGGCAGCCCGAACGATTTCGATGCTCTTGCCGAGGATGAGTATCGAGCTGGACCATCTCGCTCCTTTGCCGACAGCGAAGCTGCTCGAGCTTCGAGAGGGGCAGAGTTGCCAGACGAGCATGATGCGGACGAGGAGTCGTCCTGGAAAAAGTGAGTCCATCAATCACAGCTCGAGTCAAGGCACGGAGAGAAGAATGCTGATGTCCTGATGTCGCCTGGTGGTGTTTCTTCGTCGCCGCTACAGATGCAAGCACAAGTGCAAGAGCGAATGTGGACATCCGTGCTGCCAGCGTTCGAAGGAGGTTGAAGCTTCCGGCAAGCTGCCCAAGTATCGCTTTCAGAGCCGCTTGCCTGACCAAAGCTCACAGAGCACCGTGCCGCGCTATCTGAAGCCTGCATCGACGCCGTCTGGCAGCTCGACAGCCATTACGCAGAAGCGAAAAGCTGAATTGGAGCCTGCGCTCGCCTACGATTTGGAAGCCCCTCAGGATCTGCTGAGCCGGCTCGATCGACAGGAGGCCGAGTACGATCGAATGCACGGCACGACGCAGCCATTGCAGATGCCCGGCCGAAGGGGCGAAGACCGACGAATGGCCGACGACGTTGATGGCGATGCGAGTGCGAACGGGCTATCGCCCTCAAAGCGTAGACTGACCACAGAGCTCCCTGGCCGCGACGGTCGGAGCTGGCACGAAGAGGGAGCCCCTCGCGTATCTCAGCTACGCAGCACGGATCGTGAGCTCGATGCGAGTGAGGCTCTACTCCTGCTTGACGAGCATGACCAGACTGCTCGAGCGCCACCGGCATCGACGCCTTCGGGCCCTGCTCAGCGCCGCTTTCTCGCAGGCATCGGCCCTTCGCCATTTGGCGACAGGACCGACCCGAATGACTAGCTGACGGAGTCAGCATGTACGCAAAGATGCTTCTCATCGTCGTGTCCGTACTGTGTCAGAATCTTCGACCTCACTCTACCCTTTGCCATCAGCTAAAAGCGAAGCGGCTGCTGCCCTAAGTGTGGAAATTGCATGAATGAAAATTAAAATAAAATAAAACAAAATTGTTGGTGACCGCGTAGCGCGTCGCGCATAGCAGCCGGCTAGAGAGCAGAGAAGGCAGAGAGCAACACTTTTTGAGCTTGCTGAACGCGAGGTGAGAGAAAACGCGAGCGAGGCAGCCAAAAAGGGGTCCAAGCGAGCTGAGCCAAAGCTTCACGGGCAGCGTGAGAAGCTCTCTCTCTTCGGAACATCCATCTTCTTGTGAATCTTCCGTTCAGCACTGCTCTCCTTCATCACCTTATCTTCATAGCATCGATACCCTTCTTAGCGTCCTAGCATTAGCACAATCCTTATTCTCATTGCTTCGTCATACTAGCCCGGCTCCCTTCCGATCACTCCTTCCCTGCACACTTTGCCCCGGCGGAACTCTGGAGCTGCCACGCCAACGAACAGCCTTCGCATCATCCGAATCGAGTCATTCCGGGATCACTCCGAACTCACGCGCTCAAGATGCCGCCCAGCAAAGCGGGCGCGGGAAGCAAGCAATCGTCTTTGCTCGGCTTCTTCTCCAAAGTGCCAGCCACACAATCACCATCGGCCAAAGCGTCATCCACTCAGGCAAAGCCACAACAACAGAAAAGCGCGGCGAAGGAAGCACCGACAGTGGCCAAAGCTGCCAAAGCTGTCAAGGCTCAGCCGCTCGAGACGCCTCCACCGAGCGAGTCGAGATCCAGCGCTCGCGGCTCTCGATCCGCACACGATGATGCGCCCGACAGCGCCTCCACTCGACCACCCTCTTCTTCCCCCACATATCACCGCTCCAGCTCTCTCACCACCGACAGCCTTCTCCCCGCCACACAAACTGCTCCCATCGCAAGCTCCTCTTCCGATTCTGGAGACCTGACTCCTCCACCAAGCAGTGACGCGGACGACATGGACGTCGACGAAGAAGAAGACACCGAGCAGCCGCTTTTCCGTCGACGTGCTGCCGCCAAACGTCCCAAGACGTACGCCGAGTCCGACTCGGAAGGTGGCGCCGCAGTGGACAGCGATAGCGAGGACGATCTGCCAAAATCCTCCAAGGGCCGAAGGAGTGGCCCCGCCAAACGAGCTCGCAAGTCGCGCGACGAAGACGACTTTATCGTGCCAGACCACCATGATGATGACGATGAGGAGCTGCCCTTGGATGCAGCCAACGCTTCAGACGAGAGCGACCATTCCGCTGCGGAGGAAGACAGCGATGAAGACGTCTTTGGCAAGTCATCATCGAAACGCGGCGGTTCCAACGCGACCAAGAAGAAAGCTCGCGTGTCTTCCCCTCCTGCGCCCTCATTTTCACGTGCAGCAGGGTCGAACTCGGGTCTGAACGCCTTCAAGATGGGCAGCAATGCCGCCGGTGCTTCCTCGCCCAACTCCTTGCTGCAGAGCGCTGCCAGGAATGGCGCCGCCTCGTCAGCGTCGCTCTCGCATCTCACCAAAGCCGAGCGTCGCGTCATCGAAGAGAAGCGCAAAAAGGCAGAGAACGAACAGGCCTATAGCTTCTTGCTCGACCTTCGCGACAAGGACGGCAACCGTCCCGGAGATGCTGAGTACGACTCACGCACCGTCTACATTCCCAAGTCGGCCTGGAAGGACTTCACACCTTTCGAGAAGCAGTTTTGGGAGATCAAGCAGAACCATTGGGACACGGTGCTCTTCTTTCAGAAGGGCAAATTCTACGAGCTCTACGAAGAGGATGCGCTGATCGGTCACCGCGAGTTCGACCTCAAACTCACCGACAGGGTCAAGATGAAGATGGTCGGCGTACCTGAAGCCTCGTTCGACATCTTTGCCGCCAAATTCCTCGCTTTGGGATACAAGGTCGGCCGCGTCGATCAGACCGAGACTGCTGTGGCCAAGGGCATGCGCGTCGGTGAGCGCTCGCGTGGCGGCGGCTCCGAGATCGTCAATCGCGAGCTCCGACACGTGCTCACCAGTGGCACCATCGTCGACGCTTCCTCGCTGCCCGACGACCTCAACAGCTACTGCGTCTCGATCAAAGAGTCTGCCGAAGCCGGCCGCAACGGTCCCATCTTTGGCGTGTGCACCCTCGACGCAGCCACGGCCGAGTTCAATCTGACCGAGTTCGAGGACGACGAGTCGCGCACTAGACTCGAGACCTTGCTTCGATCGCTGCGACTCAAGGAGGTGTTGCATGAAAAGGCAGGACTGACTGCGCCCACAATGCGCGTCCTGCGCGGTACCGTACCCACCACAGCGCAGATCACCATGCTCAAGCCGGGCGTCGAGTTCTTGGAACACGACACGACCCTGCGCAAGCTCAACGCTCTCTTCAATCCCGAAGTGGATGCAGAAGCTCGGCTGGAATCGCTCGATCCGGTGGACCCGTCGCTGCTTCCGGACGGCATCGCTTCCATGGTCGATCGACCTTGCGCCATGTCCGCGCTCGGTGGCATGCTGGTCTACCTTGCCCAACTCAACCTCGACCGCGACCTGTGCTCCAGCCGCAACTTCAACATCTTTGACCCTCTGCGTCAGGACAAGTGTCTCGTACTCGATGCACAGTCCCTCACCCATCTCAACGTCCTGCAGAACGACGAGGGCACCGACGAGGGCACGCTCCACCGCCTGCTCAATCGCGCCGTGACTCCCTTCGGAAAGCGTCTCTTCAAGATCTGGCTCGTCGCACCGCTTGCCACGGCAGACGCTATTCGAGCCCGCCAAGATGCGGTCGAGGATCTCCTCAAGAATCCCTGCTTCGGCGATGAATTCGAGACCTTTGGCAAATCGCTACCGGACATCGAGCGTATCGTGCCACGAGTGCGCGCGGGCAATTGCCGACCTCGCGATTTCACTGCCGTGCTCAAGGCGCTGGTCCGCTTCGAGAAGGCAGTCAAAGAGCTTCGAGCCCAATGCGAAGGCTTCGAGACCAACGTCATCGTCGATCTTCTGCAGTCGATCCCGCCCGTTTCAACAATGGCCCGCGAGCTGCAGTCGAGCTTCAAAATCACCGAGGACGGCTCCTTCACTCCGATCGAGGGCGCCTTCGAGCCTTACGATCGGGCCGAGACCGGCATCGCCGAGGTGGAAGCACAACTCGAGCACGAGATCGAGTCGTACCGCAAGCAGCTCAAGCTCAACTCGTCCAAGTGTGCCTGGAAGCATCTCGGCACCAAGGACATTTTCCAGATCGAGGTGCCCACAGCGACCAAGGTGCCCAGCAACTGGACCAAGCTCAGTGGCACCAAGGATCGCAATCGCTGGTACTCGCCCAAGGTCCGTGACCTCGTGCAAGATATCAAAGAGGCACGCGAGACTCGTCTTGCAGCTCTCAAGCAGTTCCACCAGACGCTGTTCACCGGCTTCTCGGAGCAGAGCGACGTCTTCCTCCAAGCTGTCAAGACTGTCGCCGAGATCGACTGTCTGCTCTCGCTCGCCAAGGCATCGTACGCCATCGGCGAGCCGTCGTGCCGACCTGAGCTGGTGGATCACGAGACGGCGCTGGTCGAGTTCGAGGAGTTGCGCCACCCATGCATCGCCGGCGACAATGTCGAGTTCATTCCCAACGACATCCGCCTCGGTGGCCAGAACGACGAAGTGGTCATCCTGACAGGTGGTAACATGGCGGGTAAGAGTACCACCGCGCGCACCAGCGCCACGGGCGTGATCCTCGCTCAACTGGGCTGCCGAGTGCCAGCGGCCAGCGCACGCCTTTCGCCCGTGGACCGCATCGCCTCGCGAATGGGCGCCAACGACCAGATTTTCCGTAACAACAGTACCTTCATGGTCGAGATGCTCGAGGCTTCGCGCATCATCAACGAGTGCACGCCCCGCTCGCTGGTCATTATGGACGAGTTGGGTCGAGGCACCAGCACTTTTGACGGGCAGGCGATCGCCTTTGCTGTTCTCCATCACCTGGTCAGCCGAACGCGATGCTTGACCTTCTTCCTTACGCACTACACCAATCTGGCCTACGACTTTGACTCGTACTCGCGGGTCAGCAACAAGCACATGCAGGTGCTAGTCGACGACGCCAAGCGCGAGGTCATCTTTACGTGAGTAGCCTTCATGATCTTTCCTCTTTCGACATTGTTAGAATGCGCGACTGACCTTTTGCTTCTCTGTTCGCTTTGATCTTGACAGGTACCGTCTTGTGGATGGCATCGCCGAGTCTTCTTACGGCACGCAGGTGGCAGCACTGGCCGGTGTACCCTACGAGATTTGCGACCGCGCTGCAGCCGTCTCGAAGCAATTCGCCGAAGCGACCAAGGCGAGCCAAGCCGAAAAGAACAAGAGCGCCATCCCACTTGCGCTGCTCAGCGACTTTGTGCACCTCTTCAAGCTGGCCAAGGAGCCGACGCCCACGTCCAGCGACCGAAATGCGGAAGCCAAGGCGCTGACTACACTTTCGCAGCTCAACATCATTCGCTCTCAAGTAGCTGCTTTGGCCAATGGAGTCCACGCCGCCAAGTCACTCGTTAGCTCTCCCCCTTCAAATGCCACATGTACGTAGTGCTCGCTCGAATGTAAGCTTGCAGACCTCTGAGTCTGACTTGCTGTTTCTCGAACGACCTTTCTGACCTCCTGTGTTGTCACTCTGCATTCCGTGCCTCTTCTTTATCTGCGAAGGACAGCTTCCGCTCAAGACACGGAGATGGTGATGGACGACGACGAACAGGAAGAGCCCATCGCTCCCCTTCCCCCGGCAATCAAGAAGATCACCACCTACGCAGGACGCAATCGACGAGCCATGACAGAGGACTTCACGCCTCGTACACCCTCGAGGCGCGAGGACGATGACGAGGCGATGCAAATGGCGTCGAGCAGTCCGATCCTGTCATCCGTGCATACTCCGCTGTTCCCTTTGATGCGACAAGCCAAACCGGCGCCGCGCCGATCACAGCCCAAAACGGCGTCGTCAGCGACAAAGGAGCCCGAACAGCTGATCCTCGACCTAGGACAACGCATTCGCATCCGATGTACCGAATGCGACATGCAGTACGACACGTCTTCCGCGGAAGACTGCTCGCTGCATGCACGACACCACGAGCGCACGGTCAAAGGCCTAGACTGGAATGCCAAGTCGCTCACCACGCTAGGCGAGGAGGTGTCGCAACTGTCGTTGCGTCGACGGGCGGCACCGGGCAAGTCGGTGCTGCGCGGTCGGCAGAGTGGTAGCGAGGGCGGCGACGTGCACTCGGTCGCGATTCGATGCTACGACATGTCGACGCTCAAGGAGGCTACTGCGACGAGAAAGATCAACGAGCTGCTGCAGACGGTGGACGAGGCGTTGGGTGCAGCAGCGGTCGACGTGACCGAGATCCAGGGATGCAAGGTGCTGGTGGCCATCTGCGGTGGTCGAGCGGCAGGAGCTGCCGTAGTCGGACGTGTACCTGCAGGTCAAGCACGCGAGGTCCTCCCATCGAACAACAACAAGGAAAACGACGGCCTCACAGACGATCCGACGACAAAGCGCACGGTGTGGAACGACGCCGGCGACGCCATCTTTGTCTCTGACGCCCTGGCCTCGTCCAAGACCCCACCCGTCGGCGTCTTTAGGATTCACGTCATCGCCAGCTGGAGACGCACAGGCATGGCAAGTGCCTTGTTGGATGCTGCGGCCAACAACAGCGTCTACGGCTTTGACATGGATGGGCTCATCAAGATGTACGGGAGCAGAGCCAAGTCCGTCGCTTTCAGTCAGCCTACGGAAGCAGGAAGGAAGCTCGCAGAGGCATGGATCAGAAAGGATTCGGAAGGATCGGCTCGATTGATTGTGTTTGAGGCGTAAGGCCGTGGACAGAGGCTCGTTTCGGATCGCCATGTATACCTTGTAAGAGCCTCGGAACGAATTCCTTCTTGCACAACTCTACCCTTTAGGCCCTCTCCTACGTGATACTGAAGAAGCTGTCCGACATCAAGACACCTTCCAAGGCCGTCGAGCACGCTGAGAAGAAGGGTCGAAACCGAAGCAAAGGAAGCCATGGCCGGAGCTCTAACATTTTGAACAATTTTGTCTTGCGAATTCAAATCGCCATTTCATTTAAAGGCAATTGAGATACAAAATCCGTTACAGCAGCCATTACAAAATCGACGCGGCACGGGCGAGCGTTGAACACGCGGAGGCAGCAGCCAAAGCGAAGAGGGAAGGCTAGCAGAGAGTGATCCGAGCGGCAAAGAGCCAAGCCGTGTTGAGCTGGAAGATTCAACGCAGCCCGAGCGAGGACAGACAGCACCTCAAAGACCAAGCTCAAAGTCCAACACGACCTTGATGATCTCTGCACTCCTTCATACCACTGCCGTCACCATCTCGATCGTCTCTACACCAAATCCAGCATCTAGACGACCACCGCGCGACTCGTCCGTACTTACGTTCCTATTCAGGTCCAGCCAGCGTGGACGCTCCTTTGCCATCTTCTTGGCGGACGACAGCACAAGTGACCATCGACGCGACTGTCTCCGGTGATCTCATTCACAATGGCGTCTTCAGAGACCGTCGCCTACACTGTCGTTGCTCCTGACCCGAGCAGCGATGGTATCGAGCTGTCAACCCAGGATCTGCGCAACAACCTTCAGCGTGGCTCCGACGAGGTCAAGCTCGAGACGCTGCGACGCATCATCGTCTCGACGCTAAACGGCTCACCACAACCCAACCTGCTCATGCCCATCATCCAATATGTCTTGCCCAGCCGCAACAAGCAGCTCAAAAAGATGCTCCACTTCTACTGGGAGGTCTGCCCCAAGCTCGACGAGAAGGGAAATCTCAAGCAGGAGATGATTCTCGTTTGCAACGCTATCCGAAACGATCTGCAGCACCCCAACGAATACATTCGAGGCTCCACACTACGCTTCTTGCAAAAGGTCAAGGAGCCCGAGCTTCTGGAGCCTCTCATCCCCACCATTCGCCAGTGTCTCGAGCACCGTCACAGCTATGTCCGCAAGAACGCCGTCTTCTGCGTCTACTCGATATACCAGCACAACGAGAATCTCATCGTCGACGCGCCCGAGCTCATGGAGACCTTCCTCGCTGCGGAAGCCGACACGACCTGCAAGCGCAACGCATTCGTCCTTCTCTGTCACACGGCTCCCGAGCGCGCCGTTCAGTACTTCCTCGGTCTCGGCGACCAGGTCGCATCGCAGGACGAGCTCATGCAGCTTGCCATCATCGAGCTCATCCGAAAGGACTGCCGCGGCGAGTCGCCCAACCGACCCCGCTACATCCGTGCTGTCTCGGAGCTGCTCTCTGCACCCAGCCACTCAGTCAAGTACGAGGCTGCCATCACCCTCACTACGCTCACACAGAATGCTGCCGCTGTCAAGGCAACCGCCAGCGCGCTCATCGAGCTCATTGTCAAGGAGAGCGACAACAACGTCAAGCTCATCGTTCTCGACCGCCTCGATGCACTGCGAACCAAGCACGAGCACGTCATTGACCCGCTGGTCATGGACCTTCTCCGCGTCCTCAGCAGCCCCGACATGGACGTTCGACGCAAAGCTCTCCGCATCGCGCTCGAGATGGTCTCGAGCCGCAACATCGAAGAGGTCGTGCTCTTGCTCAAGAAGGAGTTGATGAAGACTGTCGACACCACCTCGTCGCAGGACAAGAACCTCGAGTACCGACAGCTGCTCATTCAGTCCATCCACACCTGCGCCATCAAGTTCTCCGAGGTCGCCTCCAACGTCGTGCATGTGCTCATGGAGTTCCTCGGCGACTCGAACAACCCATCAGCCGTTGACGTGATTGCGTTCGTTCGCGAGGTGGTCGAGAAGTTCCCCGACCTGCGCTCGTCGATCGTAGACAAGCTGCTCCGCACTTTCACCGACATCAAGTCCGGCAAGGTCTTCCGTGGTGCTCTGTGGATCGTCGGCGAGTATTGTGCCAGCATCGAGGACGTCAAGGAGGCTATGCAGCAGATCCGCAAGGTGATTGGCGAAGTGCCCATCCTTGCGGCTGAGGAGCGTCTTCTCGACAACTCCACCGCGGAGGCTGACGGTGCCAGCAAGGAGGAGGCAGATGCGGCTTCATCGTCTTCGGCACTAGGCTCCGCAAAGCCCACTACTTCGGCCGCCAACCGTGTTCGCGCCGACGGCACGTACGCCACCGAAACCGCCTTCAGCTCCGAGGCCAACCAGGCTGCCCGTCTCGAGGCGGTCAAGAGCGCATCCAAGCCACCTCTCCGCTCGCTCATTCTGCTTGGCGACTTCTACACCGGCACCGTGCTCGCATCGACGCTCACCAAGCTCGTGCTGCGCTTCGCCGAGCTCTCGTCGGACGCGGCGGCCAAGAACAGCCTGCGCGCCGAAGCGATGCTCATCATGACGAGCATCGTGCGCGTCGGCCAGTCCAAGTTTGCCGCGACGCCCATCGACGAAGACTCGACTGAGCGCATTCTCTCGTGCGTCGAGACGCTCGCCGCTTCCGTGCAGGACGCCGAGCCGGAGAGCAAGGAGGCCAAGCAGGTGTTCCTGCACGACACCAAGGCGGCGTACACCAAGATGGTGGAGCACGAGCAGGCAAAAGCGGCGGAGAAGCTGGCCAAGGAGACCAAGGTGGTCAAGGTGCAGCCGGACGATGTGATTTCTTTCAGGCAATTCTCGAAGAAGGCGGCGGACGATGCGGCCGAGGAGTACGAGCGCGAGTTGACGCAGGCTACGGGAGCCGCTGAGGCTGCGAAGGACGATTTCATCAGCAAGCTCGCGCGTGTTGTTCAGCTGACCGGGTTCTCGGACCCGGTGTATGCCGAGGCGTACGTCAACGTGCACCAGTTCGACATCCTGCTCGACGTGCTGGTGGTCAACCAGACCGCGGAGACGCTGCAAAACCTCTCGATCGAATTCGCCACCCTCGGCGATCTTAAGCTCGTCGAGCGTCCGTCGAACTACACCCTTGCGCCATACTCGTACCAGTCGATCAAGGCCACCATCAAAGTCTCCTCCACCGAAACGGGCGTCATCTTCGGCAACATCATCTACGAAGGCGCTGCGGGCACGGGAACCCAATCCGCCGGTGACTCGAAATGCGTCGTGCTCAACGACATCCACATCGACATTATGGACTACATCTCGCCGGCCTACTGCAACGAATCCCAGTTCCGCGCCATGTGGACCGAGTTCGAGTGGGAGAACAAGGTCAACGTCAACACGACCATCACGGATCTGCGCGAGTATCTGGCGCACATTATGAAGAGCACCAACATGTCGTGTCTCACGCCGGAGGCGAGTTTGGCGGGCGAGTGCGGCTTCCTCAGTGCCAACATGTATGCGAGGAGTCTGTTCGGAGAGGATGCACTGGCGAATCTGAGCATCGAACTCCTGCCCGATGGAAAGACGATTCAGGGTCATGTTAGGATCAGGAGCAAGACGCAGGGGATTGCGTTGAGTTTGGGGGACAAGATCACGCTCGCGCAGAAGGCGGCTAGCAAGGATTGATGCGAATCGAGGAGTTGCTTTGTTCAAACGTATGGTCGGATGGTGTGAAGAAGCGATGTGATTTGTGTGAGGACGGCTGAACTTTCACTTGAAGATGATTGTGATGGGGTTGAAATGCTGCCCTGCGGACCTTCGATGAGCTTTGCGTTTGAGCACCAACCCAGCTGCTTCGTCCCTGTGCCCTGTCCAACTTAGGCATACCATCCGCTGGTGTCGGCACCGCCACCAAAGCCACCCCTTCCACCCCTGCCACCGCCGAATCCGCCCCTGCTGCCAAACCCACCCCTACCCGCACCAAACGCATCCTCCATACCGGGCGGTCGCAGTTCGTCCCAATCCGGCTCCCCAGTCTGCGGTCTGGGACCACCCACGTCCGGCCCGCCTGCTCCTGGTCTGAACGGTCCCGGACCTGCACCGCCGGGATAGATGGGATCGAACCGTGCCCCAGGTGGAACCGCACCGGGGGGTAAACCTTGGGATCCGCCCGAAGGCGGGTGTCGATTGCGGAACATCGGATGGTCCGGACCGACGTACATGCCTCCACCCGTGTCGGAGCCGGGGAAGAGCGGGGGTGGAGCGGAGGATCCACCGCCGAACCGGGGTGGGAGGGCGAGGGGTGAGCCGCCGAGTGGGTCGAGGTCGCGATCGCCGATGATGAGGGGGTTGCGGAAGGGGGGCAGGGAGGTAGGTTGCGAAGGGTCGTCTTCGTCGCCGTGGAATGGGGCGCGTGGGGCGGGGGGAGGTGGCTGACGAGGGGTGCTCCCACTCCCTCCCTGATTTCCATCCCCGCTTCCGCTTGCACCGCTGGTGCTGGTGGAGGAGGACTCTTCGACGTACCCATCCTTGCGCAACCCAGGCACGAGCTGCGACAGCACCTGAGCTTTGAAGCTCCCCACCAGATCTTTGACCCTCGAACTCCCGATGTAGCCGTTCACCAGCGGCTCATTCCCCCCGTTCGGATACGGCCAGAAGTTCGTCGAGATAAAGTCGGTCAGGACGACTTCCATCGTGCTCGTCTTTGTTCCCTGCAGCGCGATCCCGTGGATCAGGGCCTTGTTGTGCAGCTTGACGATCTTGATCAGGAAGTCGAGGGAGGACTGGTGGTGCTTATACCGGAACGAGTGGTGAGCGGGGGAGGAGGCGTTCCAGTTGGGAGGAAGCTGGTTGGAGGGGGAAGAGGAGATGGGGAGGCGGTCATCTTCGGACAGACCGGTGAGGCGGAAGTCGAGTCGAGTGAGGACTGTGTGGATCAGAGCCGCGAGGGCGTCTGATGCGTTTTGCAATTGAGGACCATCGGTGCTCGGAAGGAGCGTGGGGAGGACTTGAAGGAGCGCTGCTGGGTCGAGTGGGTCAGACATGGCTGCGAATGGTTGGTGCTGTGATGCTGGGGATGATGTGTTGGTGAAACGAGTTCGGTTCGATGAGGAGAGGAGAGGAGAGAAGGGATGGGGGAGCGAATGTCTGTGCGTCGTATGCAGGGTCGAGGGCTGACTGCGCTCTAATTTTTTTGGTGGAGGTTTTCGACGCGCAAGCGCCCTGCTCCAAAGGGGCTGCTCATCATCCTCGTGACCGACCCTTGCACATGTTCAGCTGCGCACACAGCGTTCACGATCGACAGTCAAAGATACGCGTGCTAGGCAAAAGATGGTGTTGATGAGAAGAATGCAATGTATTAGAAATGCTGTCCGCATTTCAAGCGGTCCTGAGCTCGACCTTTTCCACCAGTCCTTCCCCCAACCGCTCGATCTCGGCCATGATCGCGGGCTTGTTCAGCTTGACGCCGACCTTCTTGCTTCCGAACTCTTCGGCAGGACACGAAGAGAAGCCAAGCCCGACCTTGAACTCGCGCTCGCGACCCAACGCTGGGTTGAATAACCCACCGATGACGCTTCCACCATGCTGGTCGTGGTACAGCCTGAATGAGTCGCTATACAACCCCCTGAGCAAATCCAAAAACGCCTGTGCCGTATCGAACCCAGGCTTGATGCTCGAGCCGAGCACGCTGTCGACAGCCTGGATGGAACCCGCAGCGTCGTTGGCGTACTTTGTCCGCTTGGCACCCCACACCGCCGGGTCAGCACGCACGTTCTCGCTGTACCGCGACAGCACCCCTGCCTTCAAGTGGATGACAAAGTCGTAGTGCTCCAACGAGGGCGTGAAGAGCGCCAGGACCTGGTCGGCGTCGAGCGAGCTTGCTTCTTCCAGTACACCAACTGCGGCACGAGCAAGCTTCTTGATGCCATCAGCAACTCCGCCTACAGGACCCGTCCGACCGAAAGCGAACCCTTCGAGATCCGTTTCGGTCGCAACGAACCACGCGCGGTGCATCATCGACGGGTCGCTCCCCCTCGCAGCGGCGAAGTTTGTTTCAACTTCAGCACGCGACTCGGCAGGGAAGGTGTAGATGTCTCTCGCCTCGGTTGCATCGATGACTGCCTGAATGGGCACCATCAACGGCTCCTCCTTCCACCGCCAGTTGGCCAACAGTCTCACGATCCGCAACAACCCCGCTACCGCCGACACCGGCGCACCTTCCTCGGGCGACAGATACGCCGCAGCGCACACGAGCTCGATGAGCTCCTCCGGCACCGCGGGCGACGAAAGCATCTGACTCGCCAACCATCGTTTCGTCAATCGAACCGCCCCGGCGAAGCTCGCGAATCGATGCCCCATCGACGCGATGTACGAATGGTGGAGAGGTGCGGTTTCGAACCGCCTCTGCCAGTCCAAGAGGATCTTGCGTGCACGACGTTTGGCACCGGCGGATTCGAATTTGTCCGCTAGAATGCGCTCCAGCAGCAGCTTTTCGCGATTGTGCATGACGCGCGCGCGAAAGGCGAAGCCGCTGGACAAGACGATCTCCAAACTGCACTGGTCCTCCATCTTGGAGGATGCAGGCGAAAAGACGACAGAGCAGCGGGCACCCTCGATCTTGTTGTTGATTTCCAACGCCATGCGCTCGAAGAAGGCGGCTTTCATCGCCTGAATGGCGGCCAGGTCGTTCGGCCACTTGCCCGACCCTTCAAAGGTGAGGATGATGTCGTGCACGGGCAGGAAGGATGCACTGTCGGGAATGCGCGTGCCGAGGAGGTCGAGGTTAAGCGGTGCTGGGATGAAAGTGCTGGTTCCACGGAGGGCGGGGGATGCAGGGGAGACGGAGATAATGGACAGCGGGAGCGATTCGAGAGCACGCAAATCCTTGGACAGCTGGTCGAATGCAGATTGGACCAGTGTGAAGCCCTTCTCCTCCGTACTTGCTAGGTGTGCGGTGCGTGCCAGGGTGGAAGGGATGTCCAAAAGCGACTCGAAGTGGCTGGACACAAATCTAATGGCCGACTCGTGGATCCCGTGATGGCGGTAGAGCGCATAGGAGAGGATGCGACGCGGGATGGCGAAGCGCGAAGCTTGCGTGGTGACGGACCAAACAACACTCTCGAGCACTCGACCGTCTTTGAAGCGACGCAGCTCGGACATCTTGCCCCAAAAAGCGCGGAAGGCTTCTGCCGCCTCGGCGTCTTGAGAGGGCGGACCGTGTTCGACCATCCGGAAGGCGTGCTCGTTGTCGAGGACAAGGCCAATCTCGGCATCGCTGGAGGCAGGAGGGCGGGCTCCGTCGAGTCGCCATGTGCCCGCCAAACCACCAGTGGCAGGGTGGAGGAGCGCAACAAGCTTGGCTCGTCCTTCCAGTGCACGAGAGGCAGTGGTGCTGACTTGGATCGTCGCCGCTTGGAACGTTGTGCCGAAGTCAGCGCGCTGGATGGCGGAGGAGGAGGAAATGCCGGCTGCGTCACCGTTCTTGTCCGCGCGGTTCTGCGACTTGATTGTGGACAAAGGCAGTTCGATGCGCGCCACCTCGTCAAAAGTGAACGGCGCGGCTGTGCGATCCTGCAGAAACAGCGCATCGAAGTGATCCGAACTCGGATCATTGAGCATCTCAAACGTCCTCCTCGCCTCGTGCTGCAGCAAATCCACCGATCCAGTAGGGACGAAAGCGAGCAGGTTCAGCGTGCCGCTGGGTTCAACCAGCACGCGGTCAAACACTTTGCTGAAATCCTCCCGCGGTACCTTGTCCGACCTCGACGCGAGCCCCGCTTCCGGCATCGCTTTCATAAACACCGGGCTGGCCTTGAAGTCGTGCTTGGCCAACCAGTCCATGACACCGCGGAAGAGCTGGTAGCTCGAAAAGCTGTTGGCGAGCTTGCTGCGTCCGGCATTGGTCGTGTCGCGCTTCCAGCCGGGGCGCTTCTCCTCGCCTTGCAGGAGGTGCGCCAGGATCATGGTGAGGATGAACCGGAGGGAGGAAGTGCCGGCGACAAGTCTGCGGCGGTCTTCCTCCGAATTGTGGCTGCGCTTGGGGTTGAGTCGACCGCCGGAGCCGAAGCCGCGTTGGAACGCCCACGTCTTGAGCAGCAGACAAGCGTCGCCGAATGCAGGACATGCTTGCGATACGGTGTGCAGGTAGACGAGATGCGGGAGATGCAGGGTATCGGCGAGGATGGCTGCGTTGTAGCGTGGCGTAGCGGCGACTGCGGTCGACGAGGCGTCTGTCGAAGACTCGGTATCGACAGCAGCGACGCGCACATTGCTGCGCAAAGGACCTAGGTGGATCGGCTTGAACGTGTCGGCTTCTACGGAAGGGTGGATGCGGATGGTGCACTTGAGCTTGGAAAAGTCGGTCTCGGACTTGTCGTGGATCGGTCGCAGCACCAAGACGGGTCGTCTTGGGTCGGCATCTACGAGAGCGAAGGAAGCCGTAACGCCGAGATGAATGTCGTGCTGGTCTTCTGCTGTCTGGATGGCGTGTGCAAGTGCTGCAAGGTAGAACGCCTTCTTGTGAAAGTATCGGAAGTTGACATAGTCCTTGGGCTGGAACAGACTTGCTGGCATGATGGCTGCGATGTCGACGTCGATACCGTCAGGACGCTTTGCTGCTGACTTAAGGGCCCAGCTGCCGACGAGGTGCATGGCGGATGGCTTCTCGAAGCCGAGCTTGTAGTTGGCGTCCGTCTTGGGTGCTGGGTCCGGGAAAGGAATGCGGACTTTGGAACCGGACGTGCGCTTTTGGAAGCTCTTAATCGCGTCACCGACGGGCAAGGGGTCGATGGGGGAGAGGGTTTCGAAGAGCTGGTGGAGTCTGCGGAGGACGGTCTCGAGAGCGCTCGCTTTGGAGTAGGCGGGGCGGACCTCGGGAAGCATCTCGTCGACCTTGAGCTTGAAGACGTTGTTCTTGAAGAGCTCGCCGGTTTCCTTGAGCCCTTGCACCTCGGCGAGGGTGGGGACGGCGTACAGCGCGCTCTTGTTTGGTCTGCGCGACGAAGACGCGGTAGCATCGGGTGAAGCTGAGACTTGCGCATCTTCGTCGCCATCTGCGGCTTCGAGTTCTTCGAATCCTCCGTCCATGTCTTCGTCCGACATGATCTCTACTTCGGATCGTTCCACACCATCGAAAGCTTCCTCCTGTTCGTCACTATCTACGTCGTCCTCGTCGTCTTCCTGATCTGACGCGAGCTCGATCTCGCCTTGCGATGATTGCTCTGATTCAACCTCCTCCTCCTCATCGTCCTCCTCTACGTCGTCATCCTCCTCCTCTTCATCTTCGTCGTCATCGTCGTCTGAGGCATCTGGCAGCGCCGCAGAGCCAACGCCGTGCACAGCAGAGTCAAGCAGATCCTCTTCGTCGTCAAAGTCGTCATTGTTATCGCTGTCGTCCATGTAGACCTTGGCTGACTTGCCGTTCCGTGAAGAAGTCGGAGTGGCTTGTAGTCTTGACCTTGCCAATGGACTTGTTGTGTGCTTGGAAGACGAGGGCGTCGAGGTCGAAGCCTCTGACTTCCTCTTGACGCCCGGCATTGTGCGTGCGAGTCGTCTTGGATCCGCTTTGATGCTACGGATGCAAGTGGCTGACGGGATACGATGGCAAGGAGGTGTAAGTTGAGGAGAAGGTTGGTGTGGAGAATTCTTCCAAAACTTTTTCCTCGACCAGCTGCCACCATAAAATCAAAAATTCCTGAGGATTTTAGATCCGGAACCCGAGAGTCTTGGCCCGATACACAGAATAGACTCGATCGGGGCATGCCAATACTCGGTTCGTGGAGGCTTGTGCGACTCGAACCAACACCACACGCATCCATACTGGAGTCCTTCCTGTTCATCGTCCTTCGCTCAACAGACACACACCGCTGTTAACTAACAAAAGCAGCGGGGAGAAACAAGACATTGCGAAAATGGCCGATCAGGAACACGACGATGCCGTGCATCAGATCGACGTCCAGAGTGAGTGTCCATACATTTGTTCACTTTCAGGCTTCGGGCAGAAGCGACCTGGCTCGTGACCTTTGCATCGTGCCGAGGCCGGCATACTGACTTGCTCCATCTATACGCTCCCCTCTGCAGACAAGCGCTTGCTTCATGCAGCACGAACAGATGACCTCGAGCTCCTCCAAGAAATCATCTCGTCCGGCGCTTTCGACGCCAACCACAGCGATGGTGTAGGGCGCAACGCTCTCCACTACGCCGCCTCTTCGCAATCCACACAGGTCCTGCCGGAGATCCTCAATCTCGAGATCGATGTCGACTACCAAGATCGCACCAACGCAGACACACCCCTGCATGCCGCGGTCAACGTCGAAATCCCAGACGGTGAAGCAGGCAAGGAAGTTGAGGAGATCAGGAATTGGATCGGTAAGTCCGCCCACCGACCACGCGAAATGTTACTATAGTCGGCTGCTGACAGATATTCGATGGTTCGCACAGTCAACGAGCTGCTCGAGGCAGGCGCAGACCCAACCATCCCCAACAAGGACGGCGACCTCCCAGCAGACCTGCTCTCCTACGGCACAAAATCTCGCTCGGAACTAGGCCAGGAGCTTGTCGCACGGCTCAAGCGCGGTCAGGCCGAGATGAACGTGAACGCGAGCGACATTGCTAACGACGACGATGTTGCCGACGACGGCGAAGGTGAGTCAATCCGAATTTGCGAAAGACTGACGCAGACTTGCTAGAATTCTGACTTACATCTCTTCCTCGTTACATCTGACGATGACGACCATACACACACATACAGGGAGCGAAGGAACGCCATCAGAAGAGTAGATTCAACTTCCCCGCCTTTTCTCGATCAATCAATGCATTACATCAGAATCATGGCTCGCTTCAAGTCACCCCTTCGTCCGCACATCCACCACCTTGATCGACTTCCTGGGACGATCATTGAGACTGCCCGCGTCGTCCATGGACTCATCCTTCTCATCCTCCTCCACCGGTCTTCCGACGGTTTCTAGCACTTCCTCTTCCGACTCGGACATGACGGTGGCACTGCGAGGTCGCCTTGCCTTACCGGTAGTGTTCGAGGTCTGCTTCTCGCTGCCGCCGCTAGGACTGCGCAGAGCGGCTCGAGCTAGTGCAGCAGCGACACGTTGGGATGGACTGCTAGGATTGGAGGCTGCTTCACTTCGGCTAGAGAGGGAGCTGCCAATGTTGGCGAGCTCGTGGTTGCTGTCGACCTCCTCGACCGCGGTGGGCAAGTGCACGGGAATTGTCTCAGCCTGCTTTGCGGTGGCTGCGGCAGCTCCACTTTTTGACGGCGACAAGGACTCGCCAGCTACCGGCGAGGTCGAGGCCTGCTTGTGTGCCTTCACATCGTTATCAGTTCCGAGCACCCAAACATCGGCGCCACCGTGACGGCGCAAGATCTCCTGACCAAGCCAGTCGAGATCAGATTCGTCATCGATGGGCCATTCGTCCGCTTCGTCCTCGCTCTCGTCGTACTCGTTCATCGCAGCTTCGCCCCCGTGAGAGACCTCCTCAGCATCGGCGTCTTCCTCGACAAAGAGCATGGGTACACCCGTGATAGGGTGAATTGCGATCTGCGCGTGAGTCGGAGCTCGAGCCTTGGTAGCCGAGGAAGAAGCGGAAGATGCCGTGGGGGCCCGCGATGGCACAGCAGCATTCTGAGCAGGTCTGGGCTTGTAAGGCGCGTGTCCGCGGAGCATCACGGGCGCGGCATGGATGAAAGGATTGGCAAAGCCATACTGCCAAATATCCGCCTGGTCGACAAGCTCGTCCGCCGCCGCGGTTTCTTCCGCTCTGCGCTCATGTCCGTGATGAGCACGATGTCGTCGACCGTGATGATGACCTCGCGGATGACCATGATGATGACCGTGATGTTGACCATGGTGGTGACCGTGGTGACGATGGGGAGGGGTCCAGAGGTCAGGCACCTGGAATCCATTGGTTGCAAGAAGTCGCCTGCCTAGCAATTCGACGAGCTCATCGTCCTCGTCCATAAGTCGTCGGAGACGGTCTGCTAGCTCATTGGTCCTCTGTCGCTGCACTTCTGCTTCGATCAGCGCTTCGGCCACTGCTTCGACCTCGGCCTGTTGACGCGTTTCTTCGACAGCGAGGATAGCAGCTGCTCGTTCGAAGTCATTGTCGTCGAACAGATACAGCAAGGAACGGCCATCGTCCTCATCCTCTTCAATCGCGGAAGGTAGTATGTCAAGATAGCTGTCGTGGTCTCCCATGAGAAGAGGGAGCTCTTCAAAGTGGATGGTGCCGAGCACGACAGCGTTGCGACTCATGTTCGACACGAGGCTCGAAGAGCTCGATGACCAGCTGATGATCTGAGTTTGTGCTCCGTCGAGATCGCGGTGAGTCGGTCGCTTCAGGAGGAAGAGAGGATCGAAGAATGGAGAAACATAGAGCGAGGAGGTGTATGCTCTGTCGAGCTGATCAGGGTCCTGATGGAGAGAGTCAGCCGAGTGGAGGCTGAGACAGCGAAAAGGAGAGCGCTCAGGGGCAGAGGACGACGCAGGGACTCCTGCGCTTCGCGGGCTGAGCCTTCAGCCTGCACCTCTGTGACTGTATGTTGCGCTTTGTGACAGCTGCGCTGCGCCGTCCCGGTGATTCTAGGCTTTTCGCGAAAGCGCAAGCCGAATCCTTCTCACGCTGAACCCGATTCCAGGCGATCTGCCGAGATTTGCTCAAATTTAAGGTTTTTCTGGCAGTTCTTCTCATCGTCCTGCCAAGCTCTCAACTCCACCATTCTGGACACCAACATCCCTAGCAGCTTCGACGATGCCTTCGGGAGCCCTTGCCGAAGGCGCCTCGTCCTCGAGAACGGCTTTTGTCTCCTTCCCTGGTGCGGCGTACACCCACTCTGCCGCCCTTCGAGCCACTCGCAAAGTGCTCGCCCCTCATGGCTGGCAGATCGAGGAGGGTGACGGCAAGGGAGGTCCCGTCGGGCCGTCTGGCACATCAGATCCTCAGGAAGTGTCTATTGCTCCATCCGGAAAGGATCTCTATCTGGCCGACTACGATCTGTTGCCGTTCGAGGACCTTCTTCCCGGTTCGTCCTCTTCTGCCAAAGGCAAGCAGCCGCAGTGCTCCAGCTACGTCATCAGGAAGGCGCTGATCCGCAAGCACTACCTCGCTTCTGCGCTCAACACGTACGCGGTCAAGCTCCCGTCTGGACCCGATGCAGACCGCTTTCGTACCTGCACGCCCAAGACATGGCATCTCGAGATCCAGTTTGCAGACGAGTTGGACGAGCTACTCATGGACGACCTCTACGACCTGGCTGAATTGCTGGAGGAAAATCAGGCTGCTGCCGAAGAAGGTCGCGAGAAGGATGTCAGGTGGTTCATCTTGAAGCCGGGCATGGCAGACAGAGGCAATGGCATTCGGATCTTCAGCACACTGGAGCAACTGCAGGCGATCTTTGAAGAGTTCGAGCCGGACTCGGAAGACGAGGACGAAGAAGAAGACCACGACGAAGATGGCAGCGGCAGTGGATCAAGAGATCAGAATGGCTATGCAGGGAAAGACACGTCCGTCATGGCAAGCCAATTGCGGCACTTTGTCATACAAGAGTATATTCGGACACCTCTGCTCATCGATCCTGTCAGCTCAACAGCCAATGGCGATGGGCTCGCGGCCCATGCCTCGCAGAAGCTCAACATCGGCGCAGGAATGGAAGCGAACAGCCCACGAAAGTTCCATCTTCGTGCGTACGTGCTCTGCGTAGCTGGTCTCGCTGTGTACCTCCACGATGACATGCTGGCGCTCTTTGCTCCCATGGCATACCAGGATCCAAGCACCGACACAGTACGAGATCTTCGGTGTCACCTCACCAACACATGCTTGCAGGAAGATGGGTCGCTTGCAGTGGGCAACGATGCTCGACCGAAAGAAGAGAATGTCTTCCTATGGACTGACCTCGCGGGATCCAACTTCACGCAGTCGAACGGCCAGGAGAAGCGGTCCATCAGAGCACTATCGGCCGACATGGTCGATGACGTCCGTCGCAAAGCCGCCGATGTAATCGGTGCGTCATTCCAAGCGGCAGCGAAGGCAGGGAGCATTCATTGGCAATTATGGCCTAACGCATTCGAGGTCTTTGGAGTCGACTTGCTGGTCGGCTACGACGACTCGACTTCCGGCACAGGAGGACACAAGGAAGGGGCGTTTAGCGACGAGCTCAAAGTATGGCTGCTCGAAGTCAATGCCCAGCCTGACTTTGCTCAGACGGGTGCTCGGCTGAGCGCTGTCATTGACCGTCTCTTCGAGCGGGTCTGCGAAATTGCGGTGCTTCCATATCACTCGGATCAGCAAAGCACGGGAGGGCTCGGTGGATGGAAGGTGGGCGAGTCACGGCATTCTACCACGCTCTGCTTTAAGGAAGATCTCGGTCGTGGCTTCTAGGTCACCATCTTAAGCAATTATTCACACCCACCACACGTCTTGAGGGACACGATAGAAGTGCCAACACCATCTGCTCTGGAGAGGGGGGATGATTTTCCAAAGGGTGTTAGACTGAAGTGGAGGCCATGTGCTGCCGAAATTTGGCCTCCCCAAATCACGTGCAGAATTTGGTCGCGACCCCATATGCAGCGCGCTGGCTACGCAGCAATTTCGGTTGCAGCTTTGCTCTGCGCCTTCCAGATTCGCGTGGCGTCCCTTTCTGTGATCACCAAGCCGCTTTCGCTCAGCCCAGGGCGACCCCTGAGCCTCCTGAACAGCTCGACTGTGGCTTCAGCTTGACCTCAATGACGAAGAGTTGACTTCGATGCAGGCTCAAGTCTGAGCATGCGTGATGAGCACGGCGTTGCCGACCGATTCGGACTGCCTCGAGTGAGCTGCTGCCTTTCCGTGAGAGTGCGCTGTGCAGCTGCGATTTTTTTCGGGATTCAAGTGGAAACGGCAGCTCCGCGTGCACTGCTGTGTTGTGAGTGAAATTGAAATGTGACTTTCCCACGCTCAATCAGACCCTCGGTGGTTCCGATTGATTCTGAGATTGAGATGAGTGACTGGCTTCTCTTCCATCCGAAACCCTTCTTGACCATCACATCACGGATCACACCCGACCACGCCCTCGAATCGGCTCAGTCAAATGGGCTCGCCGCAGCTCAGCTTTGCTTTGCTCCGTCTTTAGCCAAACAACGCGCTCTTCTTGCTATTCATACAACGCTGGCATCGACACGACTGCGACACGACTGAATCCCACCACCGAGCCACACGTCAAGGCTTTCCGACGTCCATCTTAACGACCACATCCATCTGCTTCTACTAATCGCATACATCGACAGACATAGCACTTCTTCCATCCTCGGACTTAGCAACCATGCCGGCAGCACGAATGGCATCCCGCCGTGTCCCGGCCTTCGATGCCTCAGCAAGCGGCTCAGCTTCGAGCAGCACCAGCTCCTCTCCACTCACACCAGAAGCACATCTGCTAGGTCATGTCAACAACATCCGCAAATGCTGCGACATATCCCTCTTCCACAAGAACCTCCAGGAGCAGGGTCTCGACTTTCTTGCAGACAGTCTGTTGCACGCCAACGACATCTTTGCCAAGTATGCGTAAGTAGGAGCTCGGACCCACCTTGATCTCGGGATAGACCGTGGACCAACACAAACGCTGACTTGCCAATTGACCGTCATCCCTTCCACAATGAATGCAGAACAACATCACGCAACGTCGCGTCCCCGTCGAAGCTGGCAGGAGAGCTGCTCAAGTCACCCACCCGCACTCGTACTCGTGGTCGCGATCTTGTAGTCGCAGCAGCTCGTACTCGTGGTGCTGCCAATGTCTCGAACGATCCCTTCGTTGATGCTGTCGAGGTCTTTGACAAGGAGAACGCCCCTCTTCCCTCGCGCTCCTCGCGGTCACGCATCGCTACCATGGCGGAACCGGAGAAGGGGAAGGGGAAGGCCAAAGCAAAGCCAATTCGAGCTGTCGACGAGGAGCCATCCTCTCCTTTGTCTCGGCCCACCCGCAGAGTGCTTGGCGATCTCAACGCACAGAAAAGCCAATCACTTCCGCCCGTTCAGACGTCAATGACCACTGCCAAGAAGACTGGCCGCAAGAATGCCGTCGCCGAAGATGACAGCATGGCTATCGATGCATCATTACCAACCGAGCGACCCTCAGAAGAAGCGATTCCGCGCGCCTCTACCCCTCCACTCCATGTCTCTCCGCCAAAGACACGGACGCAAGAACAGCTGGGCACCCTCGTTGCGCAGCCGGAACGTCTGGACGCTATCTCGGACTTCGACTCGGATGACGACTCGGAAGCCGAGCAAGCCACGGCGACGGCGCAAGATAGGGCCAAGGACGCACAGAGCCAGAACGCCGAGCCCACGGTCACGAGCACCGTCGTATCACAGAGCTCGCGCAGCGACGGCAACACAGTGTCGTTCCAGCCTGACCTTAACGACACTGTTCGATCCAGCGACAACACCGTCTCTGGCACTCTGGTCGATCCGAAGCTCGAGAATGCTCGCCAAGCGGCATCAGCACTGCTGACCAGCAAGCTTCAACAGCAGAAAGATGGCAACGCCGAAAAGCCGATCAAGCGTACGCTAGCATCGTACGGAGCAAAGAAGAGCTTGCCAGCCGCTGCGAACAACGCACGTCCCAGCAATGTCACCACCACGCTGCATCCTGCCTCGACACCTGCGGGCCCCGGCTTCCGATCGAGCTTCCTCAACAAGAGTCTGCGCAAGCAGATCGCTGATCACGAAGCTCTAGAGAGTGGTGATGACTCGGAATCGGACTCGGACGAAGAAGAGAGTGGCCTCGTCGCTGGTGCGACATTTGCCGCCATGTACAAGAAGACGGCTGCCAACACACAGGCCAACACGCGTGTCAACGCCGCTCCTGCATCAAATAGCGGTGCCAGCTCCAAGAAGCGCAAGAGCGACGAAGCACTGCCAGCCGCGAGTGACGGCGCCTTGGGATCGTCCGCACCACCAGCAAAGATGTCCAAGCTCGGTACCGCCATGCTCGCTGCCAAATCGCAATCGCAACCATCGGCGCCAACGCCTGCAGCCAAGAAGGCACCTGCCGTGGGTCCTGCCTCGAAGCTGGAACAGTTCCGCAACAATCTGGCTCATGTGGCTCGCAGCACTGGAAGTGGTGCTAGCTCCAGCTCACACTCGCAGACAGTGGCATCTGTTGCTTCAACACCTGCCGAAGAGGCCGCGCCGTTCTCTTTCACCTCTGGCAAGTCATCTGATGCTGATGCTGCTGCTGCTGCTGCTGCTGCGACACACGCAAAATCTGCTCCCGCATCCGACGACTCGAGAGACCTGCACTCGAGGTCCTCCGACTCGAGCTCCGACTCGACGGAAAAGATCGCGCCAGGTATCAAAAGCGGCGAATCGACCATCAAGGCCTCCGCCATTCCGCGTTCGCCCGCGCGTTCGCCTTCTCGCGCCGCTGCAAATTCGCCTTTGCCGCTTCCAGCTCGCGACGGCAGTGTGCGCAAGTCGCCGCGCAAGTTGGCTGAGCAGATGAAGCTGTCCCAGCAAGAGGCAGTTCGTTCGGCCTCGCCGGGTCCGAAGACCAAGGACACCGCCAGCCTCTTCCAGTCGAGCAGGAATGCTGGTCCCGTCAGCAAGCAAGCACCACGTAGCCCCTCCGCTCAACCCCGCAGTCTTGCCGCACTCTTCGGCAGTCCGAAGCAAAGCACCAAGCTTCCCACTCTGTCTACCACCCCTGCCCACTCTCCACCCAAGAACTGGCAGGGGAGTCGATTGCCGTTTGCACAGCCTTTCCAGCTACAACAGCAAGCACAGAGGGAGGCGAACAAGGTCTTGCCGCAGACTCCGGTGGAGGAGGTCGTCGAGCCAGTCGCCAAGGAGGCCCTCGATAGTCAGCGCGTCGTTTCGGCAGCCTCGACGATCCTTTCGACTTCCAAAGCCGGGGCCGAGAGTCAGTTCTTCGATGCTCGTTCACGAGACAACACTCCTGAGCCGTTAGAGACTCCATCTGCATCAGCTCCAGTAGCAACTGCGGCGACCACGAAGGACGCTATCTCGCTCTCGGACTTGAAGCTACCAGCATCTGCTTTGGGTAAGAAGCCGGCTGCGATCACGGCCGCGCCAGCTACAGCCACCAAGCAGTCTGGCATCGCCAAGGGCAGCTCGCTTTCGCCCAAGAAGGTTGCTGCTAAGGCGCTCGGAAAAGCAGGGCCAACTTCTCCCACCAAGGCGAGCAGTCTTCGGGCTGCAGCCAATGCGGCATCACCATCGAAGCTCAAAGCTCAAGCCTCTGCGCGAGCTGCGCAGCAATCCGGCGCACCTGCGTCGTCCGCATCTCCTTCGAGGGCATGGGGCATTGGTGAGAAGATCAAGGGCTTCCTTGGCCTGCATGCCTCCACTACGACCAACGCGTCTAGCTCAGCTCCTCAGACCAAGATCTCGGCATCCAGCACCTTCCAGCCACGAGCCAATGGCGTTCCCACCAGCAATGCAAATGCGGCTGCCCCGATCGAAAAGATTGCGGCACCAGCAGCAGCATCTGCACCTGCACCTGCAACTGCTCCCGTATCCACACCTGTGCAGCCTCCTGCTATTCCTGGCGCCTTGCTCGCCAGCCCTCCACCCTCGGCCAAGGCACCGCCAGTGAACTCGACGCCTTCCAGCGCTGCCGCTTCCGCGCCCGCGAATGGCAAACTCACCAGCATCGCACGTGCCGAGTTGCTGCGCAAGAAGCAAGTCGAGGAAGAGGAGCGCAAGGCCAAGGAGAAGGAGGAGCGCCGACGAATGCTGATGGCTAAGAAGGAGGAGCGTGCCAAGGCAGTCGCAGAGGAGGAGCTCGAGAAGGAGAACCGCAAACGTGCTCGCGATCAGAATGATCGTGTCGGTCGATCTGGTCTCGAGGATGCTAGCATCGCTTCATCGACTGGTGCACCCGCAGCCATCCCAGCCGCTTTGTTGGGCAATCTTGTCGTCGGCGGATCAGCCACATCAGGCAGTGCGCACAGCGGCTCAGCCAGCTCGAGAACGAGCGCTGTCAGCAGTGTCAGCAGCGGACCGCCTACGCGCCCTGGCAGCGCTCTCAACGGCAGCTATGCTGGTGTTAAGAGCCGCTACATGCAGACTTCGACACAGCAACAGCAGCAACAACAAGCCGAGGAAAGCAACAAGAAGCGCCGCGTCACCAACGACAAGGAGAGCGGAATGGCTGGCTTGCAGACGCAATTCAAGCAGCAGCAGCAGGCGCAACACCAGACTGCCGGCACTCGTCCCGGCACTTCTGCGGCCACCTCGCAGATTGGTGCGCCGAAGTTGGTCCGCACCGTCAGTCAATCGTCCATTCGACCCGGTGCCCCCGCTCAGGCTTCGACGCAGCAGCAGCAGCGTCCCCAGCCACCACAGCAGATCAAGCTCGCCATGAAGCCGGGCGTTGCAGCCGCGTCTGGCTTTGGAGCGGCGCCACGTATTCAGGGTGCCGGCGCATCAGCAGGTGCCGGCGCTGCCACGGCTTCGCTGATGGCGAATGGCAGCAAGACGGCACTCGGCCAGCCATCCTCCTCACTGTCGCAGCCGGCAGCCAAGACGATGGCCAACGCCAACTTTTCGTCTTCGAATCCGTTCCAGCAGGCCAAGCAGCAGCAACTCCAGATGCAATTGCAAAAGCAAAAGCAGCTCCAGATGCAGCAACAGCAACAGCAGCAAGCGGCATCGAACGCTGCACAGGCTCAGGTAGCGGCCAACGCCGCAGCTTTGCGAGAGCAGGAGCTCCACCGAGCTGCACAGATGCAGTTCCAGATGCAGAATGCAGCCGGTGGACGCTTCGAGGAGTGGGACGATCCCGCTGCGCAGCAGCCAGGAGGTGGCGATGCCGACGAGGCCTTACCCGACATTGCGTCGGAGTACTCTGATTCGGAAGACGAAGAGACGATCCAGAAACGAGCGGCCATGCCGACGTGGACGCAGGGTGACGATCTGGACGCTGCGCTGCTTGCCCAGTCGACCGTCGACGCTGACGAGATCTTCGGTATCCCTCAAGGCCCCGTCGAGCTCGAAAAGATCTTGCCAGGCGAGCGCACCGCCAACCGTATCCGCCGTCCACGCACCTCGTCTGCCAACTGGTCCGGCCCAGATGGGCTGGCCCAGTGGGAGATCGACAGATACAACAAGCGCATGGGCATCAAGGGGCCGGGAGTTCAGCTCACGAGGCGGGACGGAAGTCATCCCCCACCACCTCCACCCGGCGTCATGGCGAGACTGTCGATGGCTCAACGCCAGTCGATGTCGCACCATCCGTTGGCTGGGGCCAGTGTCACTGCTGCTGCCGCATCGTCGTCAAGCTCTGCCGCGCATGCGGTGAAGAAGGACGACGGGCGCGGCAAGCCGCTTTGAACCCTTCGACGCCACGGATAGCATCCCACATCACACACACTTCCGAACACTTCATTTACAGTGCTTCTCGCATCACTCTTGTCCCGTCCATCGGTCTTCAGTTTGCAACATTGGTTCGTTCTCAATCGGAATCTGCTCCTCGATCTGCACGTGTGTCCGTCTGAGGTGATTTTCGCGATTGCAACTCGCTCAGTGCAACACTCGCGCTGCTGTGAATGTCCGTCGATGCTCACCGTCACACACGCGCAAAGTGGGCCAAAGACCCTGGGGCTGAAAGAAAGGAGTGCTGATTTGTGGTGGCAAAAAAGGGATTGTGTGATCCGATCTGTCTGCATTGTCTTCATGGCGTTGAGTCGGCGTCTTCGTGCCTCGCCGTGCGACGTTGCTTTTCCTTTGGGGAATCTGTGGTGGAATTACCGCGCTTCACAGCTGCCTATACCCGTCGTTGGCGCCCGCCGCCTGCACGTCGCGCACGCGCTGCGCGACGCTAACAAACGCCTCCTCGTCCGCATCCTCCTCGTCCACTGCACTCCCTCTCAACCCGTCACCTTTCAGGAAGGTCGACGAGTGGCTGTGCAGCTGGCTGGTCGAGTTGGGTGGGTGGTGGAAGGAGCTCCACCTCCGACTTCCCGCATTGGTGGTCGGGGTTTGGGTGGTTTGAGGCGGTGATGGCGCCGAAGGATAGTTGTACGAGGACGAGCGTTTGGGGTTGAGCGACCCACTGCGGCGGAGGCCGGAGGGGTGTTGTGGGGGAGGATGGTGCGCGTGAGGGTTGACAGCGGAGTGATGCGTGTCGGATTCAAACGGGTCGTTGGTGGGATCTGTGTCTGGGTGCGGCGTGTCGTCGTCCCGGTCCGCCTCGCCCTCGAAGTCGTCCTCGCGAGACTGGATGAGACGCTCCCGTTCTCGTCCGCCGGATGAACGAACAAAGGAATCGCGCTTGCGCGAAAGCCACTCGTTCTTGTTGACCAGGTTGTTCACGTCCTGCACGAAGAGGTCGACGCCGCGTTGGCCTTTGGGTGGTTGGTCCTGCAGGCGCAGCATGTCGGACACCTTCTCCCGGATGGTCGTGCCCAGCGAACCCTGGCGGCGCATGTAGGACGGGTACCCTGCAGACGGCGTGGTCGGGCTCATAGGTCCACCATTCGCAGAGGAATTCTCCGACACGGCGACCGCCCCGCCATTGGCCGTAGACGGCGAGTCGTCAGCAGACGTGCCGCTCACCTTGCGCAGTTCGGTCGCAGGTCGAATCCCCTCCTGCTCGAGCTGTTCCGCCGAAGCGATGTTGAGCATCTTGGCCTGTTTCGAAGGCGGGACGAGACGCAAGCCACCGCTGTTCTTGGGTTCCTTGTTGGGTTTGAAACCTGCGTGGACGCCAGATGCGAGCGAATGGCCCCAGTGCGCGTTGGACGAGACTTGCGAGCCGCCAGCGCCGCCATCGTCGGCGAGGGTGCTGTCGACGTCCCCACCGGCTGGGCGGGGGCGGCGTGGTGGGATGGGACGTGTGGTCCCAGTGACAGTTTTGGAGCGACCGAGAGCGCGGGCGTTGCTGCTCACCTGGCTGTCGTCCAGCGCCGCGTCGGGGCTGCGGATCTCATCCCGGTGGTGCGGCGGGAAGAATGGGTTGTGTCGGTCGATCGAGGCGGCGTTGGCGGCAGCGGCTTCGTCCGACATGGCCTCCGCGGAGTCTGTGAGGTCGTCCACGACGGTTCGCGATGCGCGACCGCGAACACCCCCTTCGGTTGGCTGGATGGGTGGAGGCGGAGGTGGTTCTGATCCCGACGCGAGCGCTTCTCGCTGCAACTCCTCCTGCTCTTTCAGCCACGATGGGAGCGTAGGCTTGACCTTGACAGCAGACGAATCTTCGCCGTTGGCGGAACCGGCCTTCTTGGGGTAGATCGCTTTTGGTGCAACCGTGGGCACGGTGCGCTGCTGTTGTTGGTGCAAAACTCCATGGGAAACCATCGAGCTTCCGGCGCCCACCTCGCTGTCCCCGCCCATACTGCGGTGGAGGTGGCTGGCGGCGGATGCGCGACGAGCGTGGAGGCCGAGCTCGGTGTCGTTGCGTGCCACGTCCGAGGTCGACTGCTGCGAGTCTCTGCGCTGCAAAGGGTGTCCACCGAGTGTACTTCCGCCTCCCAAAAGAGACTTCGTGCCCGAGATCGACCGCTTCTTGGCGTGTGTCGCGACGGCTGCCACCTCTGGCGGTGCTTTCTGACCATTCAACAAACGAGCAGGCGCTTGCCCGCCGTGTTTGGCCGCAGACGACTGCAACACAGTGAAGAACTTGGGCGGGAGCGACTCCTGCGCTTTGCGCACTTCGCTTCGTGCGTTGAGACCGGCTTGAATGAGCGGGCTGATGTGTCTCGGCGGCAGAGGCGGCGGGTTGCGGTCCCCGGGTCGTGGTGGCAATGGCGGCGAGCCGGCTCCGAGGCGATCGGGCTGATGGGTATGCTGCTGCCGCGAGCGCGAGCTGCTGGCTTGCGAAGAAGCGTCGTCGACCTGATCGAACACGACCTTGGGGAAGTGGGACTGCGCTGCCATAGCAGGTGTGCCGTTGCGGAAGGGATTCGAGGCTGGTGAAGAGGCACGTACTGGGGTGGGCTTGACGATGCGCGGCTTGCTCTGCTTGAACGGGTTGGGCGCCGGATCGAAGCCGCGAAGCGCGTCGGAAGGCGTCGAGATGTTGGCCGGTGTGATGGGCGTAGCACCTACGGCGACGGCGTAGCCGGACCCGCTGACGTAGTTGGATGTCGAGGCTGCCCCATCGCGGAACGGATTGGCGCTCGCGGAGGGCGGCATTGGCATGGGCTTCCGCTGCAGATCCTCCAGGTTGAGCGGGATGTTGGGATTGGCGACCTTGGCCTTGGGTGCGACGAGCTTTGGCATCTGCGGCTTGGCGGGTACTGCGGGCGGCGGCTTCATGTGGCCTGCCTGCGCGGTTTCGTCCATCTCGTTGAGGTTGACCGGTGCTTCTTCGCGTACTGGGGTCAGCAGAGGCTTGGTGCTAGCTTCGGGCTTTGGTGGTGGAGGCAGTTTGACCGAGTTGGGTTGGGCGGTGATGAGCGATGATGGACCTGCCGTCAAGCTCCTTGGACCCGGTGAAGTGATCTGCTGCACATTGCCGAAAGAGACTGCGGATGCACTTTGTGGTGGGGTGACCTTCTTGGGCAGAGCGATGCGCGCAGGCTTTGTTTGGGTAAAAATGAGATCTTTGGTCGCTGATCTGCCCTGCTGAGCCCAGGATACAAGTCGAAGCATGGCAAAAAAGTGACCAGAGCCAAGGCCGAGCGGTGTGCGTTCGAAGAGAGGCAAGATCTCGAGTTCGTCTGCCATGGACATGCCGCACTCTTCGCGAAGGTAGCGCAGACCATCCTGCTCGTCGATCAGATCAGGCTGACCGCTGGGAGCGGGCTTGATACTGTTGAAGCTGGAGAGATAGACGAGATACTCTTGCGGGGAGAGCGCGGAATCATCGAGGTAGGATCTGCGCGCCTGAAGCAAGGCTATCCTGGATGGAGCTCGAAGGGAGGAGGACGCGGCCGAGATGTTGCGCGAGGGCGAGCTGAGTGCTAGTGGTGGCACATGTGGTGAAGACATGTTGGCAATATGGCGGTGTAGCCTTCACAGCTATCGGCCGCGCGGCCCTGAAGATGAGCTGTGCGGTGATCGGGCTGTTGCTCCTCTGGGACCGCTGCGCTCCTTTCTCGCCGTGAGCTGATCTCCGAAGCCAAAAGGAGGTGTAGAGCAACGGCAGATGCTTCACTTGACGGCTGCGTTAAAGGGGCATGGAACAAAGTCGAGACGGTACTGTCGGGCTGAAAGGTTGGACGTGGTGGTATCGATTGGTATCTGGCAGCTGGGCAGCCTTGCTAGGGTAATTGCTTCCGTCTAGAGAATGTCGAACCAAGCTGCGGGTGCAATATGTACAACGCTGAAAGCGAAGAGGTGCGATGCGAATCCGAAGGTCGAAAAAGATGCAAGTGGATCCAATTGACGGGGCGCCGTAAGCGAAGACGTAGTTGAGTTGCAGCGGCTGAGTTCCAGTACTAGGGTGTGCAGGCGGATGAGTGTGGTCGCCACGGCAGTGCGGCGAGCGTGAGAGGAAGGCGGGATGGTGTTGGAGAAGCAAGAAAGGGTGGTGCGCGGTGGAAAGAGGTAAGGAGACGCGAAAGGAAGCGAGGCGAGCGAGCGATTACCAGAAGATTGCCGATTTGCAGAGAGACCCTATTCAAAGTGAATGTGCTTGGGAAGAGAGAGCGAAGAGCGGCTGACTGGCTGGCTGATGTATTCGATGTCGGAGATTGCGCCAGAAGGGAGAGGAGAGCGAGGGCGTCGAGATTGGTCACCTGCTGATACGCTCCTCTCGGATGGGAATAGAGGGAGAGCAAGGCGAATCACCCAAATCACAGATACGGAAGGAGCGAAAAAAGAGGCCGCTCCCGGTTCAGTCAGCCCGTCAGTCAATCGCAAATTCGGTCAGCGAGCGAGTGAGCAAGCGAGCCATCCATCCGTCCATCCATCCCAGCAACGTGGTTCACCAGTCACAGACTTGGCTTCAGCCGAGCACTTCAAAAAAGGAAACAAATTATTGAAAATAAAAAATATTGAAATGTGACCGGAAAGGGGAGAGAGAGAGAGCAAGGCCTGTGACGCGACGATGCGTTGTAACGAATGGATGGATTCCCTCTCGGAAAAGAGGGTGAGCTGCCATGCCGCGGCGGAGAGTCAGCGATACGGTGACCAAAGGAGCTCACCAGCTCACCCACACGAGGTGGGTAGAGGTCGGAAGCGCCATCGAAGGAAAGGCCGACGACTTGATTCATGCTCGACAAGCCAGCACTCGAGTGCGAAAGAGATGAAAGAGACCACCAGTCGAGATCGCTGGTGTTGAGCCTATCCAGATCTCCAGGGCTTCAGGGCGCAGAGTCGGAGTTGCAAATCTCGCAATCCATCTGAGAGTGCTCTGACGCAGCCGAGGATGGTCCGCGACGTTAGCGATCCGAAACAGAAACAGCAGCAGCCCTCGTTTTTGTTTGTGGGTCTGTGGCTGGTAGAATCGACGGTGAATCAGGACAAACAGGGCGCTTCCACTCGGTCCGTTCGCTTCTCTCCAGACCAACAGCAGAGCATCTCGATACAGTGCTGTCAACTGAGAAGCGGCTTCAACAGCCCCACAGTCGTAGTCTGCTTCTTTGGTCTTTCCCGTTGCATTTGATGCGTGCCAGCTCGACAATGCACAAGCAGACACCGGCGAATAATTGCTTGACAGCACGACCAACAGCCAGCGATCTGAGAACCTGCAGCATGCACAACGCAAATCATCCACCACCTTGTCCGCCAACCCAATCACTGCTGCATGCAGCGGTAGCACACACCTGGAAGAAGGCACAGCGTGTTGCCTTTCTATTCCTTGACAAGCTATGGCCGTACAGGTACGCAAACAAACGGCGGCTCGAGGGGGACCCTATGCAGTGGCGTGCCGTACAGCAGGTCTGAGTGCGGCTTGGCGGCTGTCGGAATCTCACTTCCGGCCCACTGGCCTGCGTTGTGAGCACACGCACACACAGACAAGCGAAATCAAGGTCGATCGACAATGCAGCTTGGCACGCCCATCGCTCTTCACCCTCGAAAAAAGAACGCGGGGGGTGCTGCTCCGCTCTCTTTTGAGGTGCCAACGCGTCCCACCACCAACAATGCGCAATGGCGTAAATGAAAAGTCGCTCAAGACAAGACGCATCGGGGCTCAAATAAACCAGACGCGGACCGGATCGTCCTTCTTGGACGCTGCAAATCGACGTAATTCCACAGCACACAAGCTCACTCGCTTTTTGTTTGGTCTCGCCTCGACGTGGATCCATTCCATCGGGCTCCAGAATGCCGGCCACGGTACTCACATCCCACACATCGCAGCAAACTGAATGAATCCATGTTCCCATAAAGTGACAGCTTAACAATTCAAGACGGCCATGTCGATGAATGCCACCCATGTTGCGGCCATATCGCCTCAGCTTGCTACTTGGCTTCGTGCTTGGGCGTCGCAGGGGGCGTGTTCTCGGCGCTCATCATATTCTCCAGCTTCGGTCGGAAACCTGCTTGCTTCTCAGCACCCTCGTGCTGCATCTCGAACGCTTGCGATGCCGCCGAGAACGGCAACTTCTTGGCTGCCGGTCCGGCATTCTTGAGCTCTTCCACGTGCACATCCTCCGAAAGCGAGTGCGTTCGGTTTCTGCGCGAGGTAGCTGCAGTGTCGGCTGCTGCTTTGCCGCGGCTTGCGTCGTCGGTGATGCTTGTGGTCGCTAGGCTCGCGGGCAATGCAGATGATCGGCTCGACTGCGATACTTTGCCTCCAGCACCGTCCAGAATACCTGTCGATCGTGTAGCGCTGGGCGACATGGCGCCCCCTTCCCGCATCAAAGCGCGCAGATCCTGGCTGCTCCTGTTGCGCTTCTCTGCAAACGTCTCGCCAGTGCCACCGATGCTCCCACGACTGCCGCTTCGAGAGCGCGAGTGGGTGCGACTGCGTCGACCAGCCGACCCGGGCGTCGTAGGGCTCAGCACGCCGTTCCGCAGGCCATTCATCAGCGTCGTCGGGTTCAGCATCGAAAACACGGCTTCGTAGTCGCCTTCATCCTCGTCGCCACTCTCCGTGTAGCTCGAGCCTTCCGAAGCATCGCCGAAGGAACCCTCTCCGTCCTCCTCGGCAATCTCCTTCTCCTCCTCGTCGATCGCATTGCTGTCACCACCCGCAGTGTCTCGTGTCAGGCTCGAGTTGCGAAGCTGCTTGATCTCGTCCGCCGTCATGGTACGACGTGACGACGAGCGACGGCGCCGACCCCATCCAAACAGCCGCTCGTCCATCCACTGCAGCGGATGGCTCAGCGCATCGTTGGCCGCACCGCCCGCCGACTTCTTCTGCTTCCACACCAGCGCCTCTCGTTCCGGCGCAGGCGGCGCGGACGCGTTGGGCAGCATGCGGTTCTCGGCAAAGTCTTCCCACACCTGCGGGGCGAGCTCGTCGATGAGTGCGTGCATGTCGGCGCTGATCTTGGTTCGCGTCTGCTGCAGATCGAGGATGACCTTGTGGTTGCCCGGTATGAGCGAGATGAACAGGGGCGGCAGCGACTTGTAGATGTCGATGCCGACCTCGGCAAATTTGAGCGCCGAGTACGACATGGTGGGCAGCACAAGGAGCGTGTACAGCGGCATAAGCGCGCGTGTTCGTGGCGACAGTTCGTACCTGTGGGCGAGGAAGGTGGCGAGCCCTGCGTAGAACGAATAGAGGACCGGCGCGACACCGAGGGAGACAAGAACCTTCCAGGTGGCCAGCACGTCGCGTCCAGCTACCTTGACCTGCGATGCTGCCAGCGCCTCCTTGGCCTTCTTGTGACTGATGATCTTGGCGAGGATGATGATGGGCGAGTTGAGCACAGCTCCCGGCAGCGCCAATCCGCCCCAGAGCCCAAGCAGGCCGAGACGGTAGAACAGGAGACCGAGACTGCGCCAGCCGGCTCGGGTAGCCCTTTCCACTTGGTGGTCGCGCAGACCTGCATACCGCAGCTTCTTGTTGTATCGAAGGACCTCCTCGCGAAGCTTGACGACGCGGGGCTCGTCCTTGAATTGGAGATATCCCATGATAAACTTGCGGTTGAGCTCGACTGTCTGCCCCAAACTGAGCGACTGGCCAGGCGCTCGATAGAGGCGGCGACCGGCCTGAACGACCATGAGAGTTTCGTAGTCGGGTGCTCGCAACGTGACACCCTTGAGACCGTCGTAGACGATGCTCATCATGTCGCCCACGGCTTTGCGCTTGCCCTCTCCGCCCTCGTCAAATAGGCCCACGAGCTCACGTGGAACGTCGATCGGAGAGCCAAACTCGACCACAGCGCGACTGCGGAATTTGTGGGGATGGAAGTACGACAGACCGACGGGGACGATGCGCACGTTGAGATCTTTGTTGGCTGACATGGCACCGAGAGCCATGATGACGACACCAGCCTTGAGAGGCAGGAGGTCGGTGCGATCATGACTGCCGCCTTCGGGGAAGATGCCGAGACACCCGCCCTCTGCGAGCTTCTCGTAGACTTTTGCGTACATCTGTGTCTGGTCCACAAAGGGAAGGCAGGAGTACTTGCAGCCCTTGTCCTCGATCAGATCATGGGTGACCTTATCTAACGCTCTCGAGCTCGGCGATTTGGATCCTCTCTTGTCGGACTTGACCGGTTCCGGCTGCGGAATCTTGCCGCGTAGCATGTCGAGCGCGCGCTGGTCCTTGAACTCCTTCTTGATCTTGACTTCGGTGTCGCTGACGACCTCGACAACCTCCACAGTAGCATGTCCGCAGGCCTTTGGCAGCATGATTTGGCCCTTGGGGACTAGTTGAGATTTGAATGCGGTTCCATGTCCTTGCAGGAGAAGAGGGTCGCCCGAGGGATGGAGCGTGATGTATCCATTGCCGCGCTTGGCGCTATCGGCTGCTCTGGCGACGGGGATGGACTGCATGATGCGAGCAGCGGCTCCTACGAAGCGGCGCTTGATACTCTTCTCGGCGATGAGGAAGGCGACGCGACGGCCGGATGCTCGACGCACCTCGGACGCAAGCAGAAGCGGGTCGAGGAACTGGTTGTGATGCGGCGCTGCCACAAAGATGACAGGCCCTTCTCGCGGAATGCGCCATGATGAGCGCGGACGGATCTCACGGAAGAAGAGGTTGATGATGATGCGCCAGAAGAAGAGCGCGATGTCGAAAGCGATGTTGGACGCCATGATGTTCTGGGAGCGGAACACGCGGCAGATGACTCTTGCGACGAGGGTGGGAATGAGACGATGGATGGGAATAGGAAGCGACTTGAGCAGACGATCAAAGTCTTTGAGAACGGCCAGGAAGCTGGGAGGATCGCCTTGTCGAGCGTACGGCACGGGCTTGGCTACGAGCGAGAGGTGCTTTGCTCTGCGCTGATATTCCCTCTGTTTGGATCCGATCTCGGCAGCGGTTCCTTCTGATACGGCCGTGCTTGGATGCTGCTTCAGAGATTCCTGACTGGCGGCTGCGTCAACCGAAGGTGATGCTGAGGCGGAGGCGGTGGACGGAGCTGCCGAAGCTGAGTGAGAAGATCCCGACGGAAGCGCTGGATTCCGATGCTCAGCAGAACCTCGAAAGTGTGCTGTTGAAGGATCGGATGAGCCGGTCATTGAGGATCCGGATGAAGAACAAGGAAATGCGGCTTATAGCTCGATTGCTGCAAGGGTCACTTCTTTCTGCGAACGATGCGAGGCTTGCGACGACGGGCCAGTTGGGACAGGTGGGTCCTTCGGTCGGAAAGTGGCAGAGGCTCGGAACGGGACGACTTATATGATGGCCCTCGAGAAGTGAAAGAGCGAGCGGCTCTCAGGAGCTACACCAAAACAGCAACTTCGATGGAGACGCTTGGTCAGCCTGGAAGACGGATGAGGACGAGGGCGTTGGTGATGGTGAGAGCTGAAGGTTCAGCGATCCTCAGCCGGTGTGTTGCGCTGATTCACAAAGGATGTCTCAAGACGAGCAGCTCCAGTAAAAAGAAGCAGGCGTCTGTGCGGTACGCAGGCAGAGCAAAAGGAAGAAAAGGCTACTCTAAAAGTGTAAATTCAGATACGCGAGGTACGCACGCACCACAGCTTGGTCGCCTTTCAAAGTTTCCCCACGCAGCAGCCTACAGCTGCACGCGTCTATGCAAAATGTTGGGGTCTCGCAGAACTGCGTGCGTATCCATAGAAATCGGGACCAGTCCTTTCGTCTTCATCATGATCATTGGGAAGGCATGCGTGCGTATTGCAGCTTGACCTGCACTTCGAGGCCGTCATCGTCCGACGAAGTATCGTACAAATCACGCCGTGTGACGACTTTTTCGACAAGGACGTGGGTAGACCTATGACAACGGCTTGCAGATGGACAGCTCGAGCCCGATCCGCTTTGCTGCTGCTTGAGTATAGTCTCGACCAGCCTGATCGGTACAGCAGAATCGCAAGGTAGCAGCCTTGATCGTGCGATCGTCAATGTCTCTGTCCGCCAGCTTCGTGTCCTGAGATGAGGAAGCACTTCGCTTTCCGTTCTGCTTGAACTTTCTGAACTCGATCTTGGTCTCATCCTTTTGAACGGAGCAGATGGGCTTGACGTAGGTTGCATATGGCCGAGAGGCAGCACGGTTGACGACATGGTCGCAGCCAGTGGCGCAGAACATGGTCATCAGCGCATGTTCGTCTACCTGTCGAAGGGTTGCTTCGGGCGAATCGTCGCCGTCCGCTTTGCATTCGAGAGTGGCAGCTGCATTGCGCAAAGTACGGCGTCAGCAAGATACGTCCGACTTCGACCTAAGGATAGAAAGGCGTCATGAGGCTTACTGCTATTACACGCAGGTCCCGACACGGATGCAGCTGATGCGACCAAACAGGCGGCGGCCATGAGGAAGAAGCAGGCCTTGAGGCTCGTCCTGGTCCTCATGTTGACGGCGGCGGGTGTGGCAGTGACTCGAAGCATGGCTGACGGATTGATCGTCATAGGCTTGAAGGTACCTGCGCTTTGCACCTCCTGATGTAAAGTGTCCCATGCATCGCTGACACCGTTACCACCTCCGCCAAGCTTCCAGATGAGGTGTGCTGCTAGGGAGGGACAGCTTATGAAGTGACCTCATGACCGAGCCAACAACGATGAGCTGGCCAATTGTGTGGGCAGTCAGCCTCCCACATGCTGCATTACAGCAGATCGCCGACTTCATCGAGGAAGCGGTCATAATCACTTTTCTTGCTCTGGCTGCCACTACTTCTCTGGTCTGCAACTTTCGACGGCAGGTGAGCTTGCACGGACTTGAGCAGATCCGGCTTGTCCTTGGCCGACGCTTCATACGAGTCCGTTGCGTCATTCGAGACAGGCGCAGCATCGATCCTGCCAGGCATCCCTCGCTTCGTCCTCGCTTTTTCCTCTTGTTGCTTTTTGCGGATGGCAGCCGGGACGAACGCGGTCGACTCCTTCTTGAAATTGCGCAGCTGTGGCTCTGCAGAGATCACGACGCCATCAGGTACCGACGGTGGTGGTCCAGGTGGCCCTGGCGGAGCAGGTCCCTGAGTGGAAGCAGAGGCGGGAGCGCTTGCCATCGGTGCCGGTGGCCGAACGGGAATACTACGACTGGTCGAAGGCGGGCGTGGAGATAGACCTCCTGGCACATGATGGGGTCCAGCGTGTCCGCCTCGACTATGGTTTGGTCCTTGCCTCGGGCCGTGCTGATGCGGGAGTGCCGATCCTCGGCCCCTACCACCTCTCCCGGCTCCGTGCGCTCCATCTCTCGATAGATCTGGCTGACCTCGACCTCGTCTCGTGTGTGATCGTGACCCCGCGCCGCTAGATAGCAGTCGTATTGGCGGTGGACCGGACGGCATGACAATGTCTTTAAGCTCCTCATCAGTGCTGGAGTCGTCGCTATCTTCGCCCGCGCCGTCCGTCTCTTCAGGGAGCGGCGGAGGCTTGGCAGCATCTATGAGCCCTTCTTCTACTAGCTGTGCGTACGGCTTCTCGAGATATGGCATGCCTGGTGGTGGCGCTCCGTATGGATTGAAGGTGGCATCGTAGTAGATGCTCCATCTCGGATCCCTCTGCTTCGACTGTGGTGTTGGAGCATCACCCCGCAAAGGAAGATGCTGTGGCTGAGTAACGTTGGCTTGACCTGGCTTGGCAGAGGAGCTTCCGACGCTAGTCTCTTCGTAGCCTCGAACGAAGTTGCGCTGATCGGGATGCTTGCGGAGATAATCTTCCTTGATACGTTTGATCTTTGCGACCTCGGCTTGGAGGCGTTTGAGCTCCTCCCGATCCTCCTCGCTCAACGTGTCCTGTCGCGCCTCGAGACGCTGGATCTGTCTCTCGAGCGAGTGTGTGTCTTGTCGCAGCGTTCTTGCCTCCTGAGCTTGTTCTTTGCGCTCCCGATTGCGTTTGGCCTCGCGTTTGCCCGCTGCTTTGCGCGCCGCTTGTACAGGATCCGCTGACCTAGCCATGGCAAGTTATCATACGATTGCTACGATTGGTGTCTCGACAAGTTGAAGTTTGTCATTCGCTCATGGTCGTCGCATGGAAGATAGAGCTCAGGGTCTGAAATGCAGCAAGTTTATTCGTGACCAAAAAATCTATCGACAAAGGGCCAAATTTACTCCACACCGAGTTCCGTAAACAGGTCAAGGAAGCTGGCCTTGACCTTCTGAGTAGGCTCGACGTGCTCGTGGTGATGGGTCTTCTTTCCCCATTCTTGCAACCACTTGAGGTACGACTTGCGGAAGCGAGCGACGTTCTTTGGTGAGGCATCAGCGCATACCGTCTCGACGACCGTTTCGAGGTCGTACGATGCAGCGTCGGGCGAACTGAGTCGACGTTGCAAAAGGCTGGAGAGAAGCAAGACGTAGATGCCGCAATCACTGCCGTTCTCTTGATGCTGGAGGCAGTCGACCTTCTTTGGTATTGGGGCCTGGCTGTTCTGTGGGTTGACGAGCCTGTCGATGCTAGAGTGGACCGATTTCGCGGCGGTTCGATTGCAGTCCCCCAAGCTGTCGAGGTGGTAGCCAGCACCAGAGGCAGCATCGACGAGCAAGAGACTCCAGTGGCTACCGGACGACTCGTGCTTGGGACTGCCAGGAGCGTAGCGGTCGCTGACCGGCAACAATAAGAAACGCTCTTTTGGTTTTGGCACCACTGAGGCCGCGTCAGGTGCGGCTGCGCTCTCGAGAGTGCACAACACTTCAACGACGGAAGGAGGAAACATCTTGACGTTCTTTGAGGACGAGGCGCTCGAGAGCTGTCCTCCAAGGGATTCGAGCCATTCTGCATGGAACGCGAGAACATTGTCGCCCAACCATTCTTCTGTCTTGAGAGTCTGTTGATCGACCCAAAGTAAAATAGAAGTGTGATCAGCATGTGATTCATGATAAGCTGGTCTGAGAGGCCTCTGAGCAAGCAGCTGCAAGACCACAACGCCAATCGAAACCCACCTTGAGATCAGATTTGTGCAAGCAGGCTTCGTTGGTGCTCACGACGAGCTTGTCTGAATCGGAGAACATCATGTCCGTTTCGTGAGAGGTTCTGAGCCGTCTGCTGCAGGTCTATGGGGCGCCGGTCTAGGATGGTGATGATGGTGGTGATGATGGCGGATAAAGTACAGAGCCGAGTTCATGTCCGGTGTTGAGATCGACTCCGTCTTCAAGATGCGAGCATCTCAGCGGCGACTCAGATGCGGAGGCAGCGTATGGACGATGACGATACGGCCCTGGACTGCACAAGCGAGAGAGGGCATGTCGAAAGAGCCGTGCGTGGGTGGCGCATAAGCGAACCGAGAAACCTAAAGTGGGCCGGCTTCCGGGGGCCTTTAGAAAGAGAGACAAGACACAGGACCCCGGACAGAGGTACGGTCAAGACGTCACAGGGCCATGGGATGAGCTCGCTACCAGCGAACACCTCTGCTACTGAAACAATGGCATGCTTTCCTTTTGATGACACGCCAGACGGTCTTTGGACTATGATAAGCAAGCTTCGCTTCCGGCTGGACGATGGACCCCGTGATGCGTGATGCATGACGTTGAAACAGCGTTGGCGGATGGGATTCATCAGTTTTGAGCTTTTCAACAGGACTCTGCCACGAGAGAGAAAGAGAGTCCTCCAGCTGTCCTGCTAGGCAGAAGACCTAGAAGATCGAAGCAGCTTCACAGCTCACCGAGATAAGGACGTTATACACATTGATGCCAAAGACATCCATCAGTCAAGGCTGTCCCGAACAGCATGACACAGGAGCGTGAGAAAAGGTCCGTAGGCAGTGCTCGCTCCACATGCCGAAGTCCAAAGGAAATCATTCGCCTCACACGCGTCACAGCAAACAAGAGCGTCACCGTGCGCCAATTCCAAAATCGGGCCAAAGCCGCTCTCGTAGCAAGGCAAGCCTCTCAGAAATTTGGCTGGATCGTGCGACAGGCTGCTGCTGCTGCTGAGTGTTGGTTTAGCAGCGAGCCGGCACACATGGCAACTCCGATTCGAATCACGCTCGCTCTCGTGCTGCAGTCACTGCGCCGGTCCAAGAAGGGTTCTGAATCGAGTCGAGCAGTCCAGTCAGCATCGCATCTGGCAGCTCGACTCTCTCTCTCGTCTCGACCTCAGCACCACGAACAGCAAGCGATCTCTCCTTCCCTTTCTACCATGACCTTCTGATCCGGGACATCATCGAGGAAGCATCTTGGATTTGACGGTGGTCTGGCTCGTCGCATCCAACCTCTGCGATTCAATACACCACGCATGTCGTCGTTCAAGAACATCTTTCGCAACTCGAATAAGGATCATTCGACAAGCGACCACAAGCGCGCCAAATCCTCGTCGGCCAACACCTCGTCGTCCAACTCGCAATACTTGGCTAGCGGCGATAACTCTTTCGACGTCGGCGGCGGCGCTTTCCCAAGCAAGAACGGCTCGGTGCCCGTCTCACCCTTTTCTGCTCCCGTGAGCTTGCCAGCGATCGACGTCACCGACGTCTCCAGCCTCGACCAGGACGACCATCGCAGCCCTGCCGAATCCAACGTATCGACTCTCACGCCCGCCAAGACCTTCCCGCAATCCAACTCGGTCGGCCGGGATTCAAAGTCGAAGGCCATGGCTCGACCTTCCTCCACCAATCATTCTCAGTGGCGCAGCGAGTCCGTTGGCGCCCATTCCAATGCAGGCGGCAAGAGCTCCCGTCGCGGATCCAAGGTGGAGAAGAGCGACGACGGTCATGGCAGGGGGGAGCCTCTCAACCGTCATGAGCTCATGAGGCGTGCAATGGCCACCGCTCAAGAGTATGGCGAGCAGGATGGCGAGGACAGCGGCAGCGTATTCGAAGACGACCAGTTCTCCAACTCACATCAATCGCACAACGCCCATCCCGGTCAACAGTCTCACCCAGCCAACTCTACGCCCGTCACACACAGGCAGGCGCAGCGTCTCAGCGGTGCCTCCGACCGTCCCGGGGATGGCAGTCTGTCCATCGACGCTTTTGGCGGTGGCCACCCTCAGACTGTTAGTGCAGGCCGCTCGCCGTCTATCAGCAGTCCCAATAAGCCGAATCACGGGCCGAGTCCAGCCTCGCAAACATTGACTGCATCGTCTACCATGCCCACGCTTGTCACGCCAGCGCCCATTCGAGCAGAGATACCGCGATCGGACTCGCTCGAAGAGATCATCAACCAGGGCAACGTCTACGGCCACATGCAGGGAGTTGACCCCCACCATGCCGACGCATTCAGAGGCCCTCCCAACCGCGCGAGCACCATGATGATGGAGCGTCAAAATTCGCCCACTCGTGTTCAAGGAATGGGCAAGAGCGCCTCGAGTAGCGCACTGCTGAAGCCAACAGACGTCCCCTCCGTTGCCGATGGCAGTCCTCGTCGACCGTCGGATACAGGTTCCATCAACGGTGCCTTTTCGCGTTTGCGCAAAAACAGCAACAGCAGCACCGTCAGCACAGCGAGCAAGTCCAAGAAGACGGGCCCTTCGGGCGGCATCGCTGGCGCACTCGCCGCGAGCGGTATGGCTGGCCTGGGCGTCGGTCATGCCGGCGTGCTGCAGCAAGGTCAGGCTTCCCTGGCTGACGCGAATTCGGCGTCCGCGAAGAAGAGGAAAGAGCCGATCAACTCGACGAGCCACGACTCAGCCCCCGGTGGTGCCATCGACAGGGATCAAGAGGGGCAGCAATTGCACTCGCATCGACCCCAACGAGACCGCAGCGCGAGCAGCTTCATCTCCCACGACAGCTCCGTGGTTAGCGATCAGTCCTCCGTCAGTGGCCTGGGTGCCGCGGCTGGCTTTGGTGCCGCCTCGGCTGCTCTTCTCTCCTCGATCGGTGGTATGTCGGGCATGCCCGTCATCTCGCCTCTTCCTACCGGCAACGGCGCGCATCCCATGGGTGCCGGAGGTCTCGTTCCTCCAGAAGCAGGTGGAGGCGGCGGAGGCGGCGATCACATCGACGGCGAGACAGCGTGGCCGGAGGACATGGGACCACAGATCACTGGCTTTGCGGTCGCCAGCTCCAAGCGAAACAACGAATTCCACCAGCTCTTCCCACAAGTGCCCGAGGACGACTACCTCATCGAGGACTACGGATGCGCTTTGGTGCGCGAGATCCTCATCCAAGGACGAATCTACATCTCGGAGAATCATCTCTGCTTCAAGGCCAACATCTTTGGTTGGGTCACCAACGTTGTTCTTCCTTTCTCGGAGATCATCTCGATCGAGAAGCGCATGACCGCCTTTGTCATCCCGAACGCCATCCAGATCGCTACGCTCCAGTCCAAACACAACTTTACCTCTTTCCTCTCGCGAGACGCTACATACGATCTGGTGGTCAACATCTGGAAGCTGTCGCATCCAGGTGTGCCTATTGCAGCGGCTGACCAGGCCGATCTATCAGACGAATACTCCGAGATCGAAGAGGAGGGCGATGATTCGGCTGCGACCGGTGCGACGGGCGCCGACGGCAAGGGAGGCGACAACGACCAGGGCCGAAGCGGGGGCGACTCCAAGCCTTCCAAGCGGGCACGCTTGAAGCGAAAGCTCAAGGGCACCAAGACAGGCGTGCGGGATGAGAACCTCGCCGCTGTCGCCGCCGCAGCTGCCAGATCTGGCACACCGCTCATCCCTCAAAGTCGCTCGCCGGCCCCCGGCAACAAGCGCACAGCCCACCGCAAAACCACATGTCCATGCGAGGACAAGAAGGAGCACTTCTCCTCGGTCGCGCTCGACACCACCTACCCCGCCGTACCCGAAAAGATCTACAACCTGCTGTTCACCTCGACCTTCATGAAGGAATTCTGGACGGACAACCAGAAGCTCATGGACCTGCAGATCTCGGAATGGAGTCCTAGCTCGGACAACCGCAACCTGCTTTCGCGCAATGTGTCGTACATCAAGCCTCTCGCGGGCGGCTTCGGGCCCAAGCAGACGAAGTGCAACATCACGGACGAGAACCTGCACGTTGACTTTGACAATTACGTGGTGACGCTCACCACGACGCGCACGCCGGACGTGCCCAGCGGCGGGAGCTTCAGCGTCAAGACCAAGACGTGCATCACGTGGGCTGGGACAGGCAACGTTTCGCATGTGTATGTGACGTTCCAGGTCGAGTGGTCGGGAAGGAGCATGCTGAGGAGTATCATCGACAAGGCTTCGGCCGACGGACAGAAGCAGTACTACAAGGAGCTCGATGAGGCGGTGCGCAAGTATCTGACCGACCACACGTCGGAGTTCAAGGAGGAGGGAGACGATGCAGCTGCGGTGGAGGAGATCGCACGGGCTGCTACGCCGGGCCCGAACAGTATGAAGGGCGGTGCGGCGGGCGATGCGAGTGGTGCGAAGAAGGAGGAGTCGAGCCCGAGTGGTGCTGGCAACAGTGCAGCTTCAGGTGGGCAGAGCGGAGGGATGCTCGACCAGATCACCGCTCCCATCATGGACGGTCTGGGCATGGTCAGTGACCTGCTCGGCGGCGCGCTCGAAATGGTCGGCATCGAAGGCGGTGTCAGCCCAAAGAGTCTCGTTTTTTGCTTCATCATCTTCGTCCTCTTCGTCATGAACCTCTGGACGTGGCGGCGGTCGTCCCCGGCCGCCTCTTCGCGCCACCTGCAGAACCTGGATCGCATGCAAGCAGGCGGTGTCAATCGAGGCTACTTCACCGAGCAAGGCTACTACGGCCCTGTCTCCCCGCGTCACAACAGAGGCGAAGGCGGATACGACCGGATCTTCGCCCCCAACGTCTACATCACCCCACCCGGCGGACAGGACGCTACACCGGATGCGATCGCCAAAACTGTCACCGAGGTGCTGGAGCGGCTGTACCAGCAGAATATGGATCGTTTCATGCCAAAGGGCAGCGCCGAGACGGACGGCGACGATCCGGAGTCGGTCAAGCGACTGATGGCCGAGGCCGAAGCGGTATTCAAGAGGCTCGAGACGCGATTGAAGGCGGTGACCTCGAAGGAGGGGCAGTCAGATGGGAAGAAGAAGAGGGGGAAAGCGGAGCTTTGATGTCACGCATGCAGCGCACTGTCGTTTCGTCTTGGTCGTAGGGAAAACGCTCAATCTACACGCTCTCTGGCACCTGTGAGGACCCCCTCGATGCTTGAAAAGCGTGTCGCTCCGAGAGAAGTTCGGGAGACCTCCTTGAGATGGAGCCCATCAGCGTGAATCCGGCAGAACAGAACACAGGATCATGTTTGGACACACTCTTCGAAGCGACCACGAGGCACCAGATAAAAGTACAAAACACACCCGCTCTTCTCCTAAACATGGCCCGAGATCTCCCCCTCCAACTTGTCCGCCGTGGCCAACAGCGCATCCTTCTTTGCCCTCAACTGGGCCAGTCTCTGTCTCTGCTCCTCGAGCCTCAGCTGCAAGGCTTGCTGTTCTCTCTGGTCTTTCTCGTCCTTCGCCTCAGGTTCGTGATTGGCGAGTTTGGCCTGGTGTTCGTCGATGCTTCTCAGGTTTGCGATGCGCTGTTGTAGCGATTCGGTGCGGTTCTTGAGCGCGACGGCGCGTCTGTCTTCCCTAGCAATCTCGGCGGCTGCGCGACGACAGAGTTCCTCGACGTGCGGTCGAACTTCACCCGCAACGTGCTCTCGGGCGACCTCGATATCGCGTTGGGAGACAAGGTCGAAGTGTCGTTGTGATTTGAGCACCGTCATTAAGCGCGGGTGGTCCTGGATCGCAAATTCAAGTGTGTCGATCGCTTCCTTCATCGTGGACACGCACGATGCGGTGGATGAGACGCAGTGTTGGAGAGACGAGATCAGGTGCGCCGAGGGCTGCGGGTAGGAGTCGTACGTCCCAGACGCCTGCTGTTGAGGGTAGGTCGATTGACGTGGCATCAACATTGTGTGCAATTCGTTGTAGGTAATGAAGATGCGGCTTGCGGCTTGCTGGAGGTGACGTCGATGCGAGCGAGAGACCTTGGCAAATCGTTTGTGAGTTCTAACTATACAGCGCGAGGACGATGATGGTGACAGATGTGGTGGTGGTGATGATGATGGCGCTGACCGGAGACGAGAGCAACACCTGAGCTGCCCAAATTTCTAAATCACATGCAGGCAGACGAGGTGTTGCTCTGAATGGATTTCTACTCAGCGCGTCAGCTCGCGCGCGTCTCGCTACCTGGCCAGAGGCCAGAAATTCAGAGCTTGTTAGACCACCACAACGTCTGCTGCTTGATCTTGAACCAGCCTGACAGCTCTGGTTTGCGATGCCGACTTGCCTCGCTCAGCTTTGTAGAGTGGTTGAACCGTCGGCGCAAACTTCGACAAGGCGGCAATAAGCGACGAGAGGTGACGGAGGAGAGGCGTGTCATGACATCCGTGAGCAAAGAGACCTAAAATACATCGTGAAGCCCACTTTGAGTCGATTCTGAGAATGCAGCTTGGAAGGCAGAGAGAGCGAGTTCGATCTACGAAAGCGGAGCTTTGCAAATATGTTGCACATCTCGACGGACGACTTTGACCGTTGAGCACGCAGGAGGAGCAGCACCGCCTCCTGCTGCACCAGCCGGCGTCAAGTTGCCCCAAGCATGACTCAACCCGGCCCAGACCTTGCTGCCAGGCACAGGCTGGATGTTGTCCACCACATGCCGGCCGATCATACCCGTCTTTCGGTCGAATTCGTACTTGAAGATGACCGTGTACGTGTGCGGATGCGATGAGACGCGTGAGATGCCCTCGAAGCGCAGCCTGACGACCAGCTTATCTTGCCACGCTCCGTCTGACGAGGTTTCAGAGGCTGTGCTGCGCTTGACGAACGGGCTGATGCCCGGCCACGCGCTCCCCGCTTTGGAACGTCCTTCGAAGCGAGCCGATTCGAGGTGCAGAAATGTGTCGTGGAAGAGCGCTGAGAGTGCGTGACGGAGCAGATGCGAGCTGGCGACGTACATGGTACGACCGTTGAAGCAGATGGCGGGGCCACCGCGCGGATGCTCGTCGTACGTATCGAGGGATGTGCCTGCGCTGTTGCGGTGCGATGATGCATTCGAGAGAGTGCCGACTCGCTTGGTAGGAGCTCCTTCAGCAGTCGAGGACTCTGAGCTACCGATACCAATATGAGGAAGCGGCGGTCGGAACTCGAATGCGATTGAGGGGTGGTAGAGGCTGTCGAAGTCATTTGCTGCTGCGCTGTCTGTCGGCTGAGCTTTTGCCTTCCTTCGGAGCAGGCTCTGTCCGAGGAAAGGAGATAGGCTCGGAAGAAGACCTTTTGCGCTCCAGCCCGCCTGTTTGCGAGTGGACGAAGAAGCGCAGTCGGGTTCAATGTCCGGCAGATCGACTACGCCCTTTTGCATAAAGTCAGGGAGAGTATCGATGATGACATGGCACGCCTTGCCGACTCGAGTCTGGTATTCATGGTCGGAAATGCCGCTGCCGCTCTTCTGTGGCTCGTTGGGTGCTCCGTGGTCACTCGGCGAACCCGATAGAAGCAGAGATTGGCTGTCTGATGCACGGCTGATAATGTGCGAGTCCCTGAAGCGCTGACTGGACAGCCATAGCGGGTCGGGGGACAGCTGCTGCGCTGACGAGCAAGCTAGGACATTGATGTGATGATTGCTGAAGAAGACAGCGCTGGGTGCATGTTGCGGAGGAGTCTGAAGTAGTGCTTGCAGAGATGGTTTGGTAGCCGATTGCAGCAAGAGTCGGGAACCCTTCATGGTGCGCCGAGTTGAAGCAACGACGCTTGCATGGCGTAGACAGACTTCTGTAAGATGGCTGAGAAGGATGGTGGCAAGAGACGGAAGTGCTTGCCCCAGGGGTGCGGCTCGAGGTGGAGCTGAGTTGACTACAAGTGAATCAGACAGTGTCTGTCATGTGGTCATCCCGCTGCGCAGCATGCAGCTTCTGGAGCTGCAAAGCATCAGCCATCCATCTTCCCCAGACCGAAAGAGAAAAAAAAAAGTCTCGGAAAAAGCCCAAGGAAGACACGGCATGCGAGCCGAGGTGGAGGATTTCACCAAATCGGGACGAGATCGGACCGGTACTAGTCTCAACAGCACGTGACATTTTGACGCGATTTTTAGCGGGAGCTTGCCAAGCGCGTGCGGAGAAAGGGTTCAAAGTGCTCTATTTTGGCTGCTGCTGCCATGCACCATGCTGCTCTTCATTGACCAAGTTTCGAAGCATCTGTTTGCCGTTCGGGGCATGACGAAGGCGCTGATCCTTTTCAAGTCGACGACAAGAGTCTAATTGGACAGGGTCGGGTGCGAGACCGAAGCCCGGACATATCGACGGAAAGCTGTGTCTCAACGTTTCCCGGGCTATCCATCTGCCCACTTGGTTTTCTAGTGTTGCGTTTCGGTTGCGTTTCGATTTTCGTCAAAGACGCCGCTGCTGATCTTGGGTCGAGTCGGCTGACTTGCTTCACAACGCAAACTTGATGCTTCTACCGCACTTCCAGTATCGTCTAGACCTTTACTCATCATAGCTTCGACATCTTCAGCGATCTCGACCCACTTGGAGCACACGATTCGGGTCATCCTGAGCTGCCATCACCTGTACTTGCGGTAGTTCCGGTCGCTATCGTCATCGCACCACACCCCATGCTCTGACCGGATCCGCCGGAATCTTCACTCAGGCAAGAGGCGACTAGCAAGGCATCCTCAGCCCGTCATATAGTTGCGATGCAAGTGGCAAGCCCTTCTCCGCTGTCAAGGGCACCGGCCCAAAGCCCTTCGAGGCCAAGGTCTGCAGTCAATCCCTTCGGTTCCACCGAGCTCGATGGCTCATCCGCGACTCCTTCGAGACGACGGCTGCGTCGAAGTCTGCGGCTATCCGGTGCCTCTCTGTCCTCTCCGCAGAATGCGCTCAACAAGGAGAATATTGGCTCCACTCCGCTCGGTCAGCCGTCCACCTCTGCAAAGACGCTCGACATCGGCTTGTCCGGCAATGGCACACCTAGCAGCCCGAAAGTCAGCTCGCCACTCACCAGCAGCAGCTCGCCAAACAGCACGTCGCCCCTGCGTACTCGCAGTCCACACAAGCAGAACAGGTCACCACTGCGCCGCACATTCCACTCCCAGGATGACGGCAACGTCTCATCCTCGGACGAGTCCGACGATTCCACGCTCGTCTTCTTTGGAAAGCCCTCCTCAGCCGAAAAGAAGAAGCGCGTGCACTACGAGCAGCGAGTACTAGAGAAGCGTCTCAAGCATAAAGACAGCCTCGACCTCGCCAGAAGGAGACCCATCAGCTTCAACCCCGACGACACCATGCTCCTCGACGATCCGCATGTCAGCGGTTGGTCCTGGTCCAAGCCTACGCCCACACCTTCGCGGCTTAGCAGACTGGTCTTGTTCTCAGCAGCACAGTCCCCAGACGTCTTCGCTTCTCCAACGAGAAGCCTTACTACGGTTCGTAGCTCATCGCCTGAGCCTCTAGGCCTGTCTCTGCCAGTGCAAAGCAACGTCGAGGAAAACGCGGCTCTCATTACGACAAACATGGATACTACAGGTCCATCTTCGGGCCCAGAAGCAGCTACAGCCATCAAGGAGCTCTCATCACCTCCGACGGAAGCAGCTGAAGGTGCGCAAGAGCCGCTTGCAGAAGACCACGAGCCCGCCAATGAGCTCGCCAATGAGCCCGTCGGAAGTTCAGCGAAGGATCAACAAAGCGGCAACCCCTTCTTAGCAGCTCAAAGCAGCCCAGAGAAAGACTTGACAGCCCAACGCAGCCCGTCAAAACAGCACCAGGCATCTCCGCAACGTATACAAAGCCCAGTTCGTTCCGTCGAGACGCTGATCGGTGCCGCAATAGCGCAGAACAAGGACCTCGTTTCGCCCTCACGCTCGCCTAGACGCTCCCCGAGACTTTCGCTTCGAGCCCTGCAGCTGTCCACCTCACCTACAAAGCCAAGCTCGACAGGTCTCTTCCTGGGCACGTCGACGCCATTCCGGCAGCTCTCTGCGATGCAACAATCCACCCCGTTGCCGCAATCGACTCCCAACCAGCAACCTGCCGTCGCGCAGCCTGTTCCGCCCAGCACGGGTCTCTCCCGCTTTGCTTGCCTGCAGAATCTCTCTCCCATCAATGGTCGAGTGCTCGCAACTCCGGGCGGCAGAGTCTTGTCCATGCAAATGGCACACCCTTCGACACTGCCATCGCCATTTATCAGCGGCGGCTTGTTTGAATCGACTTTCACGGTCCCTCCTGCTGCTCCTCATCTCGCTTCCCCTTCTCGAACGCCGTCCAGGACCATGCGGCTGGCAAGCCCTACCAAGGTCGCCGCGGTCTCACCGTCACAAGTTCGGAATGCCAGCGAGCAGATTGGCGACTCGCGACCACGGATGGCATCTGGCGCTTCGCTTTTACCTGGCACGCCATCGGTCCGCTTCGCGCTACCTGCACTCCTCGAGACACCGAGCAAGGCCGACGGCTCCGTCAGCGAAAGCCTGCAAGTAGCTCGTTCTCCGTCGCCGAGCAAGGTCCAAACTGTGGCAGAGGCTGCTGCATCACCCACCCGAGCATCTCCTGCGCGCCATGCATGCACGTCTCCTCTGCGTCAGCAACAAGATCCAGCATTGCAGTCGCTGTCAACTCCGCCTTCAACTACAGCAGGAAACAAGCCAGAGACGCCGGGTCCTGCCTTCAGGCAGACCGCTCGACGGGTCCCGATCCAGCAGCACGAGGCCGAGTTTGGCGTCAGATTGTCACCTGAAAAGCCCTCCTATTCGCCTCGGAAGGCCTATGCCAACAGCTCGGCCAGAACAAACGATTTTGGCGTCAAGACGGAGCGAGTGCCAGCTCGTCGTGTGGTGATGCAGCCCACAGCAGCAGCACGTCAGGCTTCTGGCAAGATCAATCAGCCTCCAGCGATTGGTGCTGCAAGAGTCGCCAGTGTAGCCTCAAAGGCAGCCCGTACCGTCAGTAGTGGAACGAGCAGGATTGGCAGCCAGAGTTCGAGTCTTCCTGCAACCGCGTTGTCTCGCTTTGCATCGGCCACCCATGCTTCGTCCTCTGCCGCAGCTGCTCCGGCCATGACAGCTGTGCAGCCTGTCGCGCGGTCGGTATCGTCGACGCAGGGCTCCTCTGTGGCATCCAAGGCTTCCCGCCTCCAACGTCCAGCTTCAGTTGCGTTCGGAGCGAGGCCCAACTCGCCGTCAAAGCAGGCACGCTCGATGAGTGGTCTTCCCAGACCGAGATCGATGCAGCCAACCGCCTCGTCTGCTCCGGCTTCGGGTCCAGGATCCCGTCTTCCACGACCAGCGACGGTCGGCCTCTCTGCGGGTGCAGTAAAGCCAACATCCCGACCAGTGCCCATGGCGGTGAGCAGACTCGCTCCATCTCAACCGGGCGTCGTTCGTGCTCCAGCGCCCCCTGCAGCACCGAAAGGTCATGCCATCGCGGCGCCTGCCAGCGTCAGCTCAGCAGCATCTTCGCCAGCTTCAGAAGCACCCGACGCGATACCAGAGGGTTCTCCTGAGGTCAAGCAGGTTCCGGAGGAACTGAAAGAGACAAGCGCAGTGGTTGAGGATGTCGAGACGGCTGCAACGAGCCTTCCCGCCACGGTCGCTCCAAAGCAGCCTATCGGGACGCTGGTCAACTCTGGCTTGCGCAGGCAGGCATCCGCATCGGCATTACGGGAGACCTCGCGAGAAGCTGAGGCCCAGAGTCAGCCGAGCATGGCAGCCGACGCGTCACAAATCAAGGCAGGCAAGGTGGCCATTGCAACGGCAGATAACACCACAACGCGCTCGTCGAGTCCAGTTGTGCCTGTGCCTGCAGCCAAATTGGCGTCGCCAGCACGCACCGCGCCTGCGGTGGTCCTGGATGCTGAGCAGCGGCGTCTGCGGTGCCTTGCAATGCAGGAGAAAGCCCGCAACCGCATGCCGAAGGGAAGCTCAAGCTCCAGCGCTCCTACAAGCTCCGACGTGGAGGAGCTGCTTTCCAGCGAGGCGAGCACAGCCAGAGGGTCACCACCCAGCAACGTTGTCGAGTTCGCCCCCGCCAGCGCTCCTACTGCCGTCGAGGCGCTAGCAGCGAAGCACGCTGAGGCTGTGGATGCCGCATTGAACGCTTCTGCCCAGTCGAACGCTACCATTGCAGCAACGACAACGGCTGGTGCCACCGCTGCCTCTGCGGGACGACCACTGCGATCGGCAAGAAACGCTTCACGAACCCTCACACCGTCAGCGACCCGAGTTCCACCTGCACGAGGACGTGCGTTGAGTCTGAACGACATCATTGCTGCTCGCAAGATTGATGTGCCACTGTCTCTGACGGACCAGCTCAAACTTGCGGACACAGTCAACAAGAAGCACAACGAGAAGACGCTAGCAAGGTACAAGGTCACCAAGATTCAGAGGCCCTATGAGCGACCGCCCAGCCCCGACCGTCACGATCACGAGCCCGAGGCCTGTACAATCATCGACATTGACGACGTGAGCAGTCATCGTCAAGGGAAAGGTGACATGTCTCCCTACTCTACACCGCCCAAAGGCTCGTCTTCGTCGGCGTACAACTCTGCCAACGCTCGAAAGAGTGTGCGTTGGTACCGACCGCTGTTTGTAGGCCAGGGCGCGCAGTACGGCACCCAATCGTGCGAGGTTCGACCGGCATTGAGGCCGATCACCTACGAGCTGGACAAATTGGGCAACAAGGTGGCCACCGGCTGCTCACCGAAGCTGCTCAAAGGCCACGCCATTGTCATTTATCGCAACTACTTCAAAGGCGAGCCCGAGCCCGCCGATGACTAGACGGAACGCAATAGACTGCTCAGCATATCTTTCACATCAGCTCTGCATACAATCTATCAACGCAGATCATCTTGTCCCTCGTCTCAGCTTGTCGTACTGAGTCTGTGCTGCGAATGTGAAGTGTTGATTGTCACCGTGAGGAGGTGCGAGGCAATTTCGCACGAGAAGCCGTGTGTGTGTGGAGTTGCAGGGAGGCAAAGTTCTCGGAAGCCGGACCAAATTCGGCGGCCAAAAAGAAAAAAAAGTGGCACGAAGCCTGAGAAAATTTTGGCGGCGGCTTGGCGTGGTGGTGAGAAGAACAAGAAGAAGCTCAGCTTGCCAGGTTCAGACGGTCTTTGCTCACACACCTTCAACCTTCCTACCGTAGCCACCACTTCACCACCCAACACTAGGAGCTATCTACACCCGCTGGTATGCTGATCATTTCCGACTGAGGAATCTCGCCTTCAACCTCCGGCACCGTCATCAGTCTCGGGCTCGCCCCTTCGCAAGATGACCTCTTCCCTCGCCGCTCAGCTGGCCAACGTGCGCTCGCACAATGCTGAGCGACTCACCTCATCAGCATCGCTCGTCAAACACACCTCGTATCTCTTCCCGCCTAAGACAGCAGCGCAGCAGGACCTCTTCACCGTTCACGCCCTCGGCGCCAGCGGATGGACCGAGCTTTCATCCGAAGATGCCTCGTTGCAAAGGTGGTCTCGCTCTTCGCTGCTCTTCGGCGATGAGAGCCGCAACATGGACCGCATGATGCTGCCAAAGGAGGATAACGACGCTGTCGACAGAGCTGTCAAGGAATTTCTCCACCTTGCTTCTCCCTTCCTCCTCTCCAAGGGTGCGTCCAAGTGCCTCGAATGGCTCGTTCGACGTTTCCGCATCCACGAGTTCAGCGTTGAGGACGTTCTTGCTGCATTCTTGCCCTACCACGACACTCAGCAATTTGCACGCATGCTCTCCATCTGCAAGCTCGACGGCAAACCACACCTGCAATTTCTGCTCTCCGTCAAGAAGACCGCCAGTCCTCTCCCCGCTGGCGTCTTGCACGCGGCTCTCCTTGCACCTGCCACAACCACCGCCAGTCTGGACCTCCTCCGATGGATCTCTTCCCTTCTCGCCAATGACGTTTCGACTCAACTTCAAGTGGCCCCACACCGTGCCCTTGTCAACTTCTGGACTTCGACTTTGGTTCAGATCTGCGCCGCCCGCTCCCAGCTAGACGACAACCAACAAGTTGCCGGTCTCTCCAAGTCCACCAGCAACTCGAAGAAGTCAGCCAAGACCCGCGCAGCAGATGCGCAGGCGATCCTCACCGTGTTGCTTCCCTCCGCTGTGAGAGTGGCTGGTACCGCCTCGCTCGGCCAGGACGCGCAGATGGGAGGCTTCATGCTGCTCTGCACCATCGCACAGTCGTTTCCGCTGAGCAAGGAGGCCGTTCAGGGCATCTTCACCAGCTTGGCCAAGCTTCTGTCCTCGTCGCACGTTACGCCTGCTGTTCAACGCGCCCTGATCGCCTGCGCTTTGGCTCTCTGCGCCAGCTCTAGTGTTGTCTCTGACCCATTGACGCCGCAGTCCACCTCCGCCGAACGACTCATTCCCGACAGCTTGGCAGCCCTTCTCGTGTCGTCGGCGGACACTGCCAGCTCAATCGCATCGCTCGCAAAGTCGTACGACGCCCGAGCCTTCCTTGCCCACTTCATCGCCGCGCTGACGGCTCGTATCTCGCATAATGCCTCGGTCGAGCTCCTCAGCACACTGTTGCGAGGCCAAATCGTGCAGGATGCGCTTTGCGTGCAGGTCAGCGAGCTGCTCCTTCGCCTTCGTCTTGGTGCGCCTGTTGGATCTTCGCAAGCACCCGAGACTGCTTTTGAGGCTCACATTGCCAATGATTCGGTCGAGGAAGCACACAAGAACCGACTCCGCGTCGTGCAGAGTGTCCGCAGCCGCCGACCGCAAGTCTTTGATTCTGCCCTACGCAACTGCACTCGCAAGGATCAATCGGAAGCCCAGATCGCCGCCATTTGGCAGACCGTCCAGGCAGTGCTGGCGATTGAGTCTGGCGCGTCTCTCGATGAAGTCTCGAGTGGCAACCTCGATGGACAAGGCCAGGCTGATGTCCTTTGGCTGTCGATCCACTCTGCCGATGCATCGCAGCGCGCGCTTGCGCTCAAGCAGCTCCACAAGGACATCAAAGAGGGACGCGCTTCGCCACAGGACGCCATGGTTCGAGAGGCTCTTCACGCACGCATGCAAGACTCCTCGGTTGATGTTCTTCGGGTGCTTTACTCGCAGCCGAATGCGCTGCTCGACGCTTTCGACGAGGATACCCTCCTCACAATGATTGCAGAGGCACTCGACGAAGACAGCATTCCGGTCGAACGCTTCGAGCAACATCTCTCCTTCCTCCTGAAGTCGTTCTTGAAGAGGCACTCCGAGGCGAAGGACAACGTTGCTCGACGAGCTGTGTGGCCTTTCTTGCTTCACAGCCCTTCTCGCACCACCATCGCAAGCTCGGCGATCAAGCTGATCTCTCAAAGCGGCAGCTCCGATGGCGTGCTCCCTTCGGTAGCCACTGCTGCCAGCAAATCGGACGATGCCCCTCACACCAACGACGCTGTGGCTCAGGCAGTAGCGACCCATCTGGCCTCCATCTCAGCAGCTGACCGAAAGCCGTGGCTCGAATTCTTGACTGCTGCTGCTAGACCAGCACAGGGCTCAGCCACGGCCAACGCTGCCGCCTCTCGGGACCTGGCTCTTGTGTCTCTGCTCCACCTCGCCAACACACTCGGTGGTGCTGATCTCGTCTCGCTCGCCGACACAACGCTGCAAGCTGTCGTGCTGCCTACACTCCCTGCGTTGGGCGCACCTACTGCAGACCAAAGTAAGAGGCTGACCAGCTCGGACCTCAAGGACACTCTCTCGTCCTCGCAGCACGTTCATCAGCTTCAGACGCTCTACGAAGCAGCTGCCACGGAGCAAAGCGTGGGCCTGCTGGTGTCGTATCTCCTCATCCAGCTCGTTCGTCGCGTCGATGTTCCTGCCTTCGACTCTTTCCTTACGTCGCAGATGTCGCAGGAGGTACAGCACGCAAAGGCTTTGCTGGGAAGTCTGTATTCCGTCATCAACACTTCGCCGCTTCCAGCTTCGCTCTCCAAGCTTTTGTTGCAGGTCATGCTCGTCAAGATTGGCGACTCGACCCTACCCTTCTTGGCTTCGATCTGGACCAACACGTTGGGCGCCAACACCGCTGCTGTGCGATTGGCTGCTCTGCGTCACGCCGGAGCCTTCTTGCAAGCTCAAGTCGGCTCGCAGCAAGAGCTCAAGGACTACCAGGTCGTCGTCCCTCTTCTGCTCGTCGCCCTCGCCGACGCTGAGGCTTCCATCCGACTGGCCGCCATGTCTTGTCTGGAGCACATTCTGGCGATCTGCAAGAGCGCCGGTGAGCAAGCCAAGGGGTCTAAGAAGAAGGGCAAGGAGCTCGACATCTTCGGGTACGAGTCCTTCTACGGCGCCACCACCTCGGATGCCATGCAGTACATCGAGCTTGCCTCCCTCCTTTACTACCTCGACCAGCTCGTGGAACGCAAGTCTGGGTTTCGCAACGATGCCGCGCTGCTTCCTCAGCTACACGGCGAGCTTCTGCAGATCGGCCGCCAGGACGGCCGCAAGGAAGTGGGTCACAAGCACGCCATGGTCTGCTTCCTTGTTTCGCACATTCTCTGCATCGATTCGCTTCCAGCCCGACTGGTATTGTTGCAGTCGCTGGCCACAGTGAGCGACGCAGCCAAGCTCGAGATGCTGCTCCCGCTCATCCGAGAGGTTGTTGAAGGGAACGTTGCTGCAGCCACCAAGGGTCTCCGCGCCGCCGACGAGCGCGAGCAGTACCTCGAGCTGCTGTTCGCTTCGTACGATCGAAGCTGCCGCGCTGTCGTCGAGGAAGCCTCGACGGGAGCCTGGTCGCTCTACCTCACCGCTGTCGAGGGCAAGGACGGCAAGCGACTCATCCAGAAAGCCGCCGTTCGCGCGCTCGACAAAGCGGGTCTGTTCAATGCACTGTCCCCGATCATGCGAAAGGACGTGTACCTGCACCTGGCCAGTATTGTCGCCGACCCATCGCTGCCTGCCTCACCCGAGGTGGCGTCTGCGCTGCGCGAGCTCGATGTCGACTCTCCGATCCTGATCGCCGTCCTGTCCGACCTACGCGAGGCGATCACGTCCAAGGCGCTCAGCGGCCCTGAAGCCAAACGCGCGCGCACATCGTTGGGGTCCGACGAGACGATGAAGCGCACCTGCGCCATTCTCGTCGCCGTGCTCGAGTCGGCTGTCGGGAGCAGGCTTCTCTGCTCCGGCGCGCTCCTCTACGAACTCTTCGAGGTGCTCCGTGTGGCCGTCGACCTGCACTCCGGCCTGCTGGCCACGAACGCCGAACAGATGATGCAGCTCGCCATGTCGTGCATCGAGAAGCTGATCACCGTCCTGCCCAAGTCGGCCGCCGCCATCCCCGCCGACGTCGCGCAAGCCCTCCGCGCAGACACCATCGTCAGCGCCATCAAGGCGTCCACCAACCCGCAGACCTTCCAGCACGCACTGCTGCTGCTCTCCAAGATCGCCATCATTGCCCCCGAGGCTGTGCTGCACAACGTCATGCCCATCTTTACCTTCGTCGGCTCGACGGTGCTGCAGCGCGACGACGCGTTCAGTTTCTCGGTGGTCGAGCGGGTGCTGCACAGCATCGTGCCTGCGCTGGTCGGCTCGCTCAAGTCGTCCGAAGCTGCAAGGGAGAGCAAGTTCGCGCTTCTCTGCGAAGCGAGGGCGTTTGTGCGCATCTTTACCGACGCCGCTGCGCACGTGCCGCGTCATCGCCGACAGACCTTCTTCCGCCTGCTGGTGGATATTTTGGGTGCGGACGACTTTGCTGCTGCCGTGGCGATGCTTTTGGTCGACCGATCGGCGCATAAGATCGTCAAGCAGCCCAAGAGCGATGCTGAGCAGACGCTGCAGCTTCCCCTTGCGGTCGTGTCGCCCCACAGCGCGATGGTGCAGGTGCGCGTGATTCACCAGGTGTGGGAGGAGGTGCTGCGGATCTGGGCCCATCGCGACGAGACCGAGGCGCTTGGCGAGGTCGTATTCCTCGACAGGGCGGGCAGGCTGGACAAGGAGCACGTGGATCACGAGTCGGAGCCCATGCGACAGGTTCAGGCGCTCATCATGTTTATTCGCCAGATCCTCGGGTCGAAGGCGTTTGCGGAGCAGATCGAGGATGTGCCCGCGAGTCAGGTCGGGCCCGAGCTCGAGACGTTCATCCGACTCGCATTGGAGACCGTGGCCAAGACGAGGTCCACGCAGCCCGCGTTTGCCAGCCTTGCGCTGGAGGTCCTCGACCGGGCGATGCCGTTTGCGCCCGTCGACAATGTCCTGGCTGTGGTGTCGAGCATGGTGGAGGGCAAGGATGTGCCTGGCAGGACGAGCGGTTTCTCGCTGTTCGCCAGTCGCGTCGCTGCCATGTCAGCCACATCGGCCGACCGCGCCACTGTCGCCGCGTACACGCCGACCATCGTCAAAGCCGCCATCGACGTCGTCCAGACTTCTCTCGCCACCTCGCACAGCAGCAACGACGCCGAGCTGCTCCGACAAGCAGCCCTGGACGCTCTCAAGACGCTCTCCTCTTCCGCGCAGCCCGCAGAGCATGGTCCGCTGGCATCAACGCTCCCCGTGCTGGTCAAGCTGGGCAAGGCCGGCGTCGACCGTGCCGTGCCCTCCGCGGCGCGCATCAGCGTCTTCTCGATCACCCGCCGGCTCGCGACCAAGTTGGGTCCGCGACTCATTCCGCATATTGCGAGCTTGGTGCCGTTCTGCCTGTCCATCGTTACGCGAAGTGCCTCTGCTTCCACCGATTTCTCCGATGACGAGGAGGAGACAGCGGGCAAGAAAGGCGCCAGTTCGAACATCGCCTCGCTCCGCACGGGTGCGCTGGACACTCTCACGGGCCTCTTTGGCTCCGTATCCACCTTCATGACTGCGTACATCCCTGCGGTGATCCGCATGTCGATCTCACCCGAGCTTAAAGAGGCCATGTCGAGCGCCTCCGGTTCGTCCACGGCGAGCGAGCGCTCGCTCAACCTGCTGCTCTCGACGCTCATCCGCAAGGTCGATGCGAAGGAGCTGTTCGAGGCGGTGTTCAAGGTGTGGGATGGGGAGCTTTCGCTCGACTCGGAGGGTAAGACCGAGCGACTGGTGGGCATCTCCGACTTCCTCGGCCGGGCGCTTCGTCAGAGTGACCGAGAAGCGATCAGCGCGACGTACAAGCTGGTATACCGCTTCCTGCTGCGTGCGCTCGATCTGCGACGCACCGACTCCACCCTGTCGAAGACCGCAATCGGTCGAATCGAGTCGAGTCTGGTTGGCGGACCGTTCATTCGAATGGTGCTCAAGCTCAACGAGGCATCTTTCCGACCGCTGTTCATGCGCATGTTCGACTGGGCCGTGCTGGATCTCGTCGATGACGACACGTCGGATGTCGAAGGCACGGTAGCACGCCAGGTCGTGCTGTTCAAGACGTTCAACGCCTTATCCGAGACGCTGAGGGGGTTGGTGTCGAGCTACTATGCCGTGCTGCTGGATCAGGTGTTGGAGCTGCTGCGTGGGTGGAGTCAGGGAGGAAGGGTGGAGAGGGAGTTGTGGGATGAGGTGGTGCGATCGCTGGTGTTGGCGGCGAAGCACGACGAAGGGGTGTTCTGGACCCCGACCAGGGTGGGCAAGGTCATACCTGCCGTGCTCGACCAGACAGTACTGCTGCCGAAGGTCGTGCAGCCGACCGAATTCGTCGCCAGTGTCGGTGGCGTGGTCGTCGGACTGTTGAAAAACGTCAACGACGAATCGACGCTCAAGAGTGTCAACGCCAAGCTGCTCTCCAAGGCCTCGGCGACAAGGGCGACCAACACCCCCATCGTCCGGGCGACAGCTACACAGTTGTTGACCAACATGTGGGCCGCCCAGAAGGATCACCTCCTCGGACTTGTGCCCGAGACCATCGCCCAGTTGAGCGAGCTCTTGGAGGACGACGATGAAGTGCTGGTCGGGTACGCGAACGAGTTCAGGACCGAGATCGAGGGTGCACTGGGGGAGAGCTTGGAGTCGTACCTCACCTAGGCGCTGACACAGTCGCAACATGGCAATCGGTCGAGTCAGCAATGTTTAGTGTGAGCGATCGTGCGTGACTGAGAAGATGTGAGGGTGAATGACAGCGGTCCCGCGATCAGTGTGAACGCTGGCACAAGTGAAAGTGTGTACGACTGCAAGCGTGTGCTTGGGCGATGCGATGAGTGACAGCCTCCGCTCCGAGTGCACATGACGATGGTTAGAGGTTGATGAGTGGTGGTGAGTTGATTGCTACAAACATGAGTGGAGTACAAAGTGAAGAAACATTGGCAGTTCTTGAGTGTGGGCGACGCCACACGCGCGACCGAGGTGAGGGGTATGACGACAGCAATCTTGAGGAGAGCGCGTAACTGAGGGATGATGGTGGTGAATGACCGAGGCAGCAGTCTTGGAGGTTACGTCAAGCCACGATGAGTGGGATCGGAAGGAAAGCGGGATGGGTACAGTCGGAGAGGAAAGAGCGGTTTTGAGGGTGCGAGATCGAAGGTGACCTGCAACGGCGGCGGCGGACAGTATTGAAGGCCACGCTCGACGGTGGGTGACGTGTAGCGACAACCCTAAAGCAACTCGGGGTGGGCATCATAGAAGCGCTTGAGAGCGACCTCGGCGGCGGTGACGGGGTCGTGCTCCTTGAGCGCCGAGTCGAGCAACCGATGAATGAGGGACATCTTGGCGCCGTCGAGCAGGATGCGGCTCAGCACGCTGTACGGCATCTTCTCCATGAAGGTGCCCAGCGCAACGTCGAATCTGTAGCGAGTCACCGACGGAAAGGATATGGATGGGGTCAGCGAGGAGATGGCGGGGTAACGGTGGAGTGGAACGCGGAGTCTGACCCAGGAGGAGGCGGAACCATCGTGAAAAAGAAGACTTGGGGCCTTGGAGTCTGGAGTGGAGATTGGAGATTGCGATTGGGTACTACACCGTCGTGGAGTGGATATTAGAGATCGAGTATGGATTGCTGGGAGTGAAGAGTGAAGATGGAGGAGCAGAGGGATGAATGCGGATGGAAGGCAGTGAAGAAGACAGACTGAGGGGGAGAGGCTGGAGTCGGGCGTTAGAAGAGCTGCACGATGTGAACACTTGTGCACATGTAGTCGCCTGCGCAGAAGCGCGCTCAAAACGAAGGAGGGGTCCCCACACGCAAGCGCAGGCGGGGCAGCTTTTGCGACTGCGCAGGAAAGCGCTGGAGCGGGCGCTGCGGGATTGAACGTCTTGGGTCTGCGCGGCCGTACGGATGGCTAGATGAAGGCAAAACTCCAGCTGCGCAGTGCTGAGCTGGCGCAGAAGCTCGCCCGTACATTGCAGACTTGGTTGGAATTGAAGAACCGCGACTACAGCAAAGACGACGTGCATGGACTACTCAAGGCGACGACCCAAGTCGTTCGTGACATCGTAAGCACCTCTACAGGCACGGCCTGACCAGCACCATAGCAGCTGCGGCAGCATGAATGTCTCGAGTATCAATGCCTTTATGAAAGGTCAAGGCGACGTCGATCCGGAACAGTGACTCCTCTCGAAGCCCAACATTGCTCCAGAACCGATCCAATTTCGCGTCGGACACTGCAGCAAATACGAAGGTTATGGCGAGCTTAGATTCTGGGGTAGTCTCAAGGACGATCTGAAAGGAGAAAGGGAGGCGGAGATGGCGTAGGTGTCTGGCGCTCTTCAGTCTGGTTCATGGACGGTCAGCATCTTACATGGTGTGCGGCATAATGCTGGGCGAGATGAAGTTCTTTGTGCGGAAAAGCTGATTCGCTGCGCTCAGTTGTAGTGCTGCAACAAAGAGATGTGCGGTCCCACCGGATGTGACCTTGTGACATCGTAACTGAACAAACCGTCCCATCGATGCGCACCACGTCTGCTCACCCTCACGAGTTGCTCGACGGGACTCCATCTCGGGCGGCTATCACGGTGCGCGGCACCCTCAGCTTGTGACCCAAACACACAACACTAAATGTGAACGATCTCTTGAGAATTAGGGTGACGGTGGAGTGAGATGCGTAAGAGAGGACATGAAACCGACGATTCCGACGATGTCATCGTCGGATGGCGTCTAGAGATGCGGCTTGTCTAAGAGCATGGTGGCGACGGCGGCGGCCTGTTGATGATGAGGCACGCCTTGGCGGGCACGGTGATGAATGGCGGCTCTGATCGAGGCGGCGAGAATGGGTCCGCTCGAACGATTGTAGAAGAGACGACGCATCTCAGGAGACAGCAGACCCGTGTCCATCACGGACATGAACTTCTTCACGAATTCGGTGTACAGGATGAGGTTCTCAACTCTGACACAATGAAAAGCGCGCAAATGGTGTCAGCCGACTGAGGCGATGCACGTGGATGGTTCAGGTCAGGTTGCGTACTGGTTTTGCGACATTGCGATGATCGATGATTAGGTGAAGAGGTCTAGGTACATGTGATTTAAGTGTATCGTGAGGTGGAATGACTTGGATGGTAGAGACGATGGTGTGTGGGAGCAAGCAACGTTGTTGCGCGCGCGAAAAGGCTGAGTCGATTCGGCCGCTCCTGCAAATGTGACAATAGCGAGGAACCTTCGGGTCCCACCGAATGTGACTGTGCAGCAGAGTCCCCTTTTGCGAAACCTTAATCAATCTGGCAGAAGCTCCTTTCGGTTGTCACCAGGCCGCCATGCCCGCTTGCGGCTCTGCGTCGACGCCCGCTTCTGCCGCCAAGGCTTCATACAGCTCTGTGCAGAGATCGATGTTGTGCTGCGTGGCTCCTCTGAGGTCGGTCCTTCGCAGAGTGAAAGGTGTGTCGCGCAAAAGGCGACGTTGGCGACGTTGACGGTTGGAGCTGGCGGTGCCGGATGGAGAAGCACTGCTGGTCTGCTCGGTGCCGCTGCTGGCTTGCGACGAGGGGGCTCTTTGTCCTGCGAGACCCGCTGGCGTAAAACCTTCAGATCGCAGAAGCTCTTCGATGGGGATGTTGAGGGGCGGCGCGTTCGTGTTGAGTGTCCTCGTCGATGGAGCCGCGAGAGGTGGTCTTTCTGCACTCTCGTCCACGCTCTCGCCAAAGTCGTCGACGTCGCTGAAATCGTCCTCGTCGTGCCCGCGTCTGCCGATGTCTGCACTGTCATCATCACCCGAGTCGGTCGAAGCGCTGTGACTAGTCCCGCCGGCGGAACCGTCCGACGAGCGACCGTGACTGGTGAATCCCGACGAATCACGACTCGTGTCCGGGTCGCCAGAGGACGACGTCGATGGTGATGTCCGGTAGGCGAGCCGCACCCTGTTGAGATACTCTGCCAGCAGGTCGAGCTTCCTTTCCGAAATGGAGAAGTGCAGTGCGGCAGCGTCGGTACCGAGTTGTGACAGAGGCTGTGCATCCTGCGTGCGATCTGGGTAGAGCACGTCGGACTCCAAGCGGATGGGTCGAAAGACGAGCTTGCGGTCGTCGATCGGTGCGATCGATGCAATCTCTTCCATGATGCGAATGCAGGTTGCCAGATCGGTGCGGATGGTGATTCGTGCGATGTTGCCAGATCCGAGCAGCAGCATCAGATGAGATCGCGGTATGACCGAGAGTCCTGGAGCACCCTGTCGTCTGGCTGGGACGTAAGGGTTTGTGAGGACGAGGTGAGTGAGCGAGGAGAGCGTGACGAGGTGGTGCAGCAGACGCGGATCGAAGTTGACCAGGTGCAGATGCGAGAGAGAGCGCTCTCCGGTCGAGACTGGTGTCGCTTGTGGTGCCAGTGATGGCTGGCCTGACAGACCGGTGTCTGCTGCATCATGTCGGCCCAAGACGGCGCGTACGCGAGGATCATTCTGCAATGCTGCTGCCGTCAGATCGCGATGGCGTGTAACGATTCCGTCGAAGTGGCGTTCATGGCTGACGTTGACGAGAGTGATTTCTTTGGGCCGACGCAGATTGTAGAGGCGTGTTGCAAGGTCGGCAAACTGAGTGCCAGACAAGAGCAGGTGGGTCGCATTCGGGCAGGCCGACAGTACCACATCTGCTGCTGACTGAGGTGGGGCAGCGTCCTCTGCGCTCATACCGGCATCAGCGCCAGCTCCATCATTCGGATCATCCGTGTCGTCGCAGTAGATGGCCAACGATCGAACATCGTGGCCAAGGTCGGGACGCGAAGCAAGCGTACGAGCCAAGAGCGAGACGACGCGATCACTGGTCAGGGCCACGTATCGATACAGGTCTGGCTGGAAGACTGCTCGATAGCGGCTCGACAACGTGCTCAAGTTGGAAGCTTGCCGAACGTCGATGGGAGCATGAGCGCGATGTGATGGTCGTGCCGGTGAGGATGAAGAGGGACGCTGTCGTTGCGACGTCGATATTGATCGCTGTCCATCATCTGTGCTGATTAGGTCAACAGGGTCTAGGGAGAGTCGAAGAATGAGATCGACGATCTCGAGGGGCAGAAGGCGATTCATTGGACAGAGAAAGCCCGCAAAGGATGCTTTGTCACTTCTCCACTGTCCGCTGCACCGAAGCGGCGCGCCAACGAGGGATCTGGGCAGCGGTTGAGGTCGTCGTGATGACAGCAGCTGAAGGTGCGGCCTGCGATACGGGACTGGTCAAAATGAACGAGCTGGCCTGTTGAAAGTGTCGACTACTTTGTCATACTTTGCAATCTTACGAAGGAGTCGATGGACACTTTTATCGTATGACGGTCTAGCGCAGGGTGTGACACTGACGCTCAGCGTGGATGCAATGCGGCGACGTGCGTTGTCTCTTTCTTGAATCGTTGGCGCGGTGTCGGGTGCCGGGCTGTGCTGGGTGATAGTGATGAGAGGGACTTTAATTGGATCGCACCGGATGATGGTGGTGTCGAGCGATTTGTGGGTTGGATCCGATGACTCGAAGCCCAGATGCAGAGATGGCTGAGTGACGACAGCCGATCAGCAGATGCAATGGTCCCACCAAACACTGAGGCTGGGTTGTGAAGGCACTGAGCTTCCGTCGGAGCGCCACCGGGACGCAGCGTACCTGTTGATCGAGTTTGATCTCAAGTGGGCAGAAAGGTCAGCTCTTGCAGCGTGATTGGCGGACCGCGGCTGGGCACCGAGTTGACTGATGAACCCAAAGTGCGTCAAAGCTGCTTCAGATGGAAAGAGGCTGCCACCTCGGGATCGCGATGTATGGAGGATGTCCGACTGCCGAGCAGGCGCAGCGGCTTTAGAGTGCAGCTGATGGGCGGCAGCGGGGATTGCCACCACGGTCGAGATTGGTTTCGAGGGGCAAGTTGTGGATCCAAGTGGTCGGGACGAGCCATCGAGAGCCAATGCGGAAAGCGACAAGCGATCAGCTGTACTGATTGAGTACGAAACTGGTCAGCTTGGGACGGGCAGATGGGAGCCAAAAGAGCAAGAGGAAACGAAACAAGACCGGCGACGCAAACGGGCGGTCGAGGTCGAAAAGTAGAAAGAGCTCATTCGCGCTTGACGGCCGATGGCCAGAGCGAAGATGGGATTGATCCAATGTGTGACAAGAAGGTTGGGTGGGTGGATCCGATGCAGTCTTGCATGGATGAGATGCAGATCCTCGATCTCCGATTCAAAGAATCATCACAGTTTTAACCAACTCGAGCGTGGTAACGCGCGCTCCTGTCAATTGGCGGGACCCTTTTCCTTTTCTCGCTTACCAGGCCAACGGAACGCTCCTGCGTGCGTGTCTTTGTTTGCCCGTGGCCGCAGCCATCGCATTGCTCTGTATACGCAGCTTGGGCGGCGAACGGTTGCAACTCAGTCATGCCTGCGATTCAGCGGAGCGTCTGTGCTCACTCGCTCCTCTTCGACCCGCCTTGCCGCGCTGCCAGCTCTTCTGCTTAGATAAGCCCCTTGCAGCGTTACACACAACACGACAGGCGTGAAGAGCACTTGGTCCAACCTTGGCTTGATTGGTTGGCGTATGACCAAGGTCCACATTGCGCTGCACTCGATGAGATGGGCAGGCAGATCTACCCCAGTAGAAAGGGCTCTTTGCCGACCGACGCCAGATGGATAGGCGAGCTAATGCACGATGTGCCACGCGAGTTTGGGCGAAACTCGGTTCTGTTTGTCCAAGCCAGGCGGGTCAGCCCAGGAGACAGGGTGGTCTTTGCTTTTTCTCTTGTTTTTGGCCAGAAACGCCGACAACAACGGCAAATGGGAATCTCGCCCGACGCTGCGGAACCAGAGGAGCTAGGGTGAGTTGAGTTCCAAAATTGACGCATGAAATCCCGTTTCACGAGGTGCATACAGTATGTACGTACAATTGCGACTTTCCCTTCAGTGGTCCTCGTTGGGAAAGGAACGACTCTGTCTTCAATGTCCGTCGATCATGTCCCGTGCTCGCGGACCTGTGTTGCAATTCAGAGGTGTCAGGATAAGTCCTACGCACCTTCTTGCCTGAGAAGTCTCGACGTCTTTCCACTTTCCGATCCCGAACCGGGGGGCCGGGACCAACATCTGAAAGCCACCACTTAATGCCGTGGCCGGAGTCCGAGCGCAGCCTCCCTCGGCAAGTGAGTGGTTTTCTTTTCCCCTTCGAACTCGATGCGAGGTCGAGGTGTGGTCAGACGGGCTGCAGATCCACACGAGATCTCGCCCTCCATCGACTCGACAGTCGCTGCTCGCAAGCCACGTTGCCGTGCCATCGTCTCGAGCCCACGTCTTCCGGGTCGCCGGTGTCAGTTCCCCGCAGCACGCTTCGAAAGCAGGCGACAAGCCACACTTTGTCGGTGTTCAGTTCAGGTCAGGCGGTGTACTCTGTCGACTCTGGCGTCTACAGACCCTTTGGCGCGCGTGACATTGGATCTCGCAAAGCCAAGCAAAAGAGTTGACGACAGCCCACATCGCTTACGCAGACATCTGTTCACCGGGAATTCGGTCGAGTATCTGCTGCGCACATTTCTCTCCGAATGATCAGCATCGTGCATCAATGCGGTGTACTACCTCAGGCGATCCCGTCCGGCCTAACCCAGCGTGTCTCTGGTGGATGACTCGACTCATCCTCTCCACCGGGATGTATCAACTCCTCTCCACCGAGACAGACAAAAGAACAAAAAATTTGACCAGCCTGGGGCTCGAACCCAGAATCTCCTGATTTACACGATTTGCCAATGTGGGTCATCGTAGTCAGACGCCTTACCATTGGGCCAACCGGCCAAGTGCATCGCAGTCTGGCTAGGTTGTGGTCATATACCTGTGGAAATTAGACTTTCCCGTTGTGTCAACGGTAACTGCAATCGCCTTCCTTCACACTTGTGCGTACAGGGATCTGATTCTCTCCTTGCGTAGAAAGTCGGCTCTATCAGCGAAAAACAGACGACACAAGAGGAGCAAACAGCAGGTACACCCCAGCGATCAAGCCGACGACTACACAAGCCATCAGGACGAGGACTGCAATCATCTCTCGCATGAGCCAGCGCCATTCCTTTGCCAGCTGCAGCACGTATTCCTTGTTCTCCGGCACATCAATGTGCGAGTCGGATCGGGTCTCGACGTTGCCTCTATCTGCATCTGCTGTGTTCGTTGACGCGGCTGCGGCGGGGTGGGATGGCATCTCGAACCGCGTTCGTTTGTTGCCAAAGCTCCAGTCGATGAGGCGCCGCATCAGCGGGCGGGAGAGCTCCAGCTTGCGTTTCTCCCACTTCCTTCGAGGGTAGAAAGTACCAAACAGGATGGGCACTTGCATGCCGAGGAATGCAATATCGGTCAGCACCTCGCGTCGAGGTGACGAGGCTGGAAGGGAGAGTGAGTCGGCCAGCGACTTGCCCAACAGGCGCCTCGAGATGCCGATGTGCGCAGACAGGGGCGTGTAGAAAGGTGGGCGACCTGCACATGCGATCAGGACCGGAATGGTGGGTCCATGCATTCTTGGTCCCGACTCGCTCCCACTTTCATTCGACTGACTGCCGAGAATTTCGACCTGGCTGAATAGATGGAGGATGGTGCACCATAGAGTGCGATCAGCTGTGTAAGCATCGCCAAAGACACGACGCAAGAGAGCAGGCTCGATGCCCATGTAGAAGCCAACGTGCCGCCAGAGAGCGATGTAGTCTTTGCGCTCCTGCGCTGTAGGCTGCACGCCGATGCGCTGCAGCATTGCGAGAGGAGCCGTCGAAAAGGCGCACAGTGTGCCGAGAAGATCCTCTTGGTTGATCGGCACGCCATTCTTCTCCACGTCGTAGACGGCGCCGCCCACATCGGAGGGGTCGTTGCGTCGCTTATCAACCAGCTTGAGGACGCGACGTCGGACAATAGTGTGAAGAAGCCGCACACGGACGGCGGACTGCCAGCCCTCGCCTCCCGAGTCTGGGCTGGCACAGCCAGATGACGGAGATGCCTTCTCGGCCAAGCTAGGCGGACGTAAACTGCCGGCTTTCTCGACCACGTCCAAGACGAACTGCGTCGTCTCCAAGAGACGACTCCAAGTGCGATCTGCGCGCGCTTTGTCCACGTTGAAAGTTTTGCTGAGTTCCTCGACGGTCGGTAGCGCCGAAGTACGAGTCGATTTGCTATTCTTACCGCTGCTCTTGTGAGCGGCGCCGGCGGTGGGAACGAGGTACGCCGTCTGCTTAAGCACCTCTGTAATTCTCGGCGATGCAAAGCCACCAGCTAGACTGAAATGAAGCAGAACAGTCAGCATGGGACCCGCATAGCGATAAAAGACATCTTGCCCTCTTCGCAGCACTTCCGCCTCTGCTTCCTGCTCGGCCGACTCGTCGTGTGTCTCGATGTTGTCGCTGGTCTGTGGCGTCCAAATCGGGAAGAGAGCATCCGGTTCGTTTTGGGCCGTGGACGGGTAGCGCGGCCAGTGTTCGAGCCCATGGACGATGTCTGAGCCATAGCGCGATATGTACCAATCCAGCCCGAGAGCGCCAGCACCTGGAGGAGGCCTGCGATCGATACCCTCCCAGAATTCTCGACAAGCAGTGCGCTCTTCTTCAGATGCGTCGTCAGCAAAAGCGCTTTCGTAGATGCTGCGCAGTTTGTCGGTCAGTCCTAGCTTGACCTGACTCTCTGTCGACTCAACGTGATCGAGGGCGTTGTCGGCAAGCGTATCGCCGACGTTACGAAGCTCTTGTAGCTTAAGAGGATGCAGACATTGTTGGTCCCATTCGGCGATGCGGTCCCACGCCTCGATCATGTCACCATCCTTGACGGCATCCAATTCGTCCCATTCAATCTCCTTCTCGTGCCGAAGTCCGCGACGCCGCGCTGTCCACTTGAGTGTAGTTGCGGCCTTCAAGCGTGACCATGTTGAATTGGTGGGCGGCAGCGGGACCTCGTGTTTCGTGTATAGGTAGTCCGTGGGAGAGGATCGGAAGGGCAGATGGAAGATGGCCACGTAGATTGAACAGACAACGTCGATGGGCAGCGCTCTTGCCCTCGGCATGAGAAGGAGGAGCACAGCCACCAGCCCTGTCAGCCCGATAACGGCTGGACTGAGTCGAGCCCCCGCCAAGGCGGCAAGTTGGTTCAATAGATGGGTGCCCATTCCGATATCTTGCGAGCCCGGTGTTCGATGGCGACTGACCTTCGAGACCTTGGCTAATGTCGACGAAGATGGAGCGAGCCGATCAAGGTCGAGCCTCTATCGTCATCGTAGTCTGGGTGGGTGTCGATCCTACTGAGATGGGCACGGTGTGAGGCGTGTGGAATGGTCGCAAAGGTAAGGAGACAAGCCGCCATTGTGGAAGACAAGATTGCTCATGAGCAGCGACTTGCTGCTGTCGAAGCTGTGTTGTGTTCCTTCTTGACAGCGATCTGAGCTCAGCAGCTCGCTTAGCGTAATCAGTCGAAGGCGCATCGTGTCCATCAGGCTGCACATTAAGATGTGGAGAAAAAGGGATCAAAAAGAAAAGTCGAGCAAGTTCATGCAGGGTCTTGATGGAAAGCAACACAGCGACCGACAAATGGCCCGAAGAAGTGAGGCAAGCCTTGGCGTGCTTCAGCATCTCGCGGATCTTTCAGAATGGAAGGGTGAGGTTTCGGCTTTGCTCCAGTACAGACCATGCTATCGAGCAATCAGCTGGCTGGAAGGGGTCCTTGTCGGGCTGTCAAATAGCGGGTGCAGTCGGCTGCGAACGTGTCCAAGGATGCATTTTTCGTTCAACTCTTCAAATCGCGTTCAAAAAAGGAGGTCGCGAAATTCACCGTAAAAATCGCCGCTCAGCTGGTCAAAGGTGGGAAGATCAGGGTCCAACACGAACACCACGCCCACTCGCTCAAAAGGCTGAGTTCCACTCTGCCCAAGCGCATGCCACCCTCTTCGTCTGTCATCTGCACATCTTCAAGCCGTTCGATCGACGACGGACGATCTCATACCTTGATCATAAATGGACTCACAAGCAGTCATCAGTCAGCAGCACCGTGACCATTTTCAGCTCATCTCACAGAGCACATCCTGGACGGATATCGACACTTCGACCAGGCTTTGGCGTACGTGGACTGTCGCATCTGTGTCAGGTCACAGCGCTGACTTGCGGGTCCAGACGCAGATAGATTCTAGCAGACAAGACGAAGAGCAGCTCTACAATTGCTCAGCATGCCTGTCGAAGCGCAAACAAGCGCAACATCTGCGATGACGCTGACCGCGACCCTTTCCGATGTCACCGGCTTGGCAAACTTGCTCAAGTCCGTGTCGATACAGACTCATGCCGTCGTGATCGCATCGAGCTCCGGCTTGGAGATCATCACCGAGCTCAATCGCACTTTGCAAGCTCACGCCTACCTCTACTCGCACATGTTCGACTCCTATCACTTCCAAAAGCCTACCAGGGACGCTCGCACCGGCTCCTCTTCGCAGACCAGAGCGAGGCGCCCACCCGCACAGAAGCGCGCCAAGGGTAAAGGTCGGCAGGACGACACAGCTGATCCCGAGATTTCAGCGAGCTCATCCGACCAAGAAGATACACAAGATGTGACACAAGATGCCAGAGGGAAACGTCAGCGAGAACTCGACGACGACGACAGGCACGCACGAGAGCCTGGTGGTATTGAAGACGAGCCTGAGAGCGTCTCGTTCGAGGTCAATCTGCAGACCTGGATCTCGTGCCTCAACATCTTTGGCGGCGTGGGTCCTTCGCGTCCTCATGGCGCCAGCAACGGTCATTCAGGCCATCGTCCAGACCAGGCGGGCGGCGGTGGAGGGACGACTACGGGAGGTCGAGGATACAATCGCACGCGCGACGGCACCGTGGATCCCTATGGCGCCGATCGTGCTGGCTCGGTCGAAAGAGGCTTTGACCGCAATCCGTTCTCATCGACCGCAAAGGCGACACGCATGAAGCTCAGTTATCAGGGACATGGCAATCCGCTCGTCCTGGAGCTCGAACAGGAGACCAACGTGCTGACACGCGTATCCATATCGACCTACGAGCCCAGCTTCCTCACCGACATGGTCTTCGACCCTCGAAACATGGTGGCGCAGGTCATTGTTGGATCCGAGCTCATGCAGTCCGCCTTTTCCGAGATCGACGCCACTTGCAAGAAGCTCTCTATCCTCATGACCTCCCCGCACTCCGCTTCAGCATACAACGGCAGCGAGGCCGAGACGAACAGGACATCGAGCATGCTCAGATTCAAAGCCATCTCGGACACGGGCTCGTCGGAAATGGAGTTCCCCGCCAGCCTGTCATCGGCTGATCCGACCGGTGTCATCGAGAAATTTGTCGCGCTTCCCGGCAGCAGCGAGCAATGGTACGACTTTACGCTGCTCTCGCGCACCATGACGGTGCTGCGATCGTCCATCAAGACATCGTTACGGATGGACGAAGCAGGCCTTATCAGCTTCCAGTTCATGATGCCAAAGTATCGACGCCAGGCTGGTGCAACCACCGCAGCAGGTCAGGCCGCTCTCGAGGAGGAGCAAGACGCCTTTTGCGAGTTCTTGGTATGTATCTTTTCCTCTTCCCACGGCTCTCTCTTTTTCGTCGCGCTGACCATCTTCATCTTTCGTTCTCGATCGCTCTGCCATGCTTGGATGTAGTGCTGTCCGCTCGACACCAGCACTCTGATCGTGTGAATCTCTTGTATTCGTTGTTGCAACTTCTGGATCAATGTACGAAAACTTATTGTCAACACTTTGAATTGTATGAATGTGTTGATGATTGTGAGCAAGGACGAAAGGACGTGTGGGTTCGAAGGCCTCTCGGTGTGCAGTCGCGGGATCAGGCGGTATACATGGCGACTCTTTCACACGCCAACCGTCTTCATGGCGGCCAGGATAGCATCGCGAGCGCGGTGTTCGGCATCGATGAAGAGGTTGAGAGCATCGTCCAGACGGCGCTTGGTCTGCGGGTCGGCCTCGATTGCCTTCTCGAGCTCCTCGCCCTGGTTGGCGAGGTAGTCGATGTGCGCGCCCCAGTCCAGTGGAGCCTTTGTAGGCGAAAGAGGGTCGCTCTTCTCCAACGCCTGCATCTCGGCGATCAGCTCGCGGCTGAAGGGCTTGGACTCGTCGAACTTGCCCGTCTCGAAGTCGAGCGCTTGCTCGTCCTTGTCGCCCTGCTGGGACGAAGACTCCACCGAGAGCTCGGAAAGCTGCTTGAGCACGGGCTGGAGGATGGTCACGTGGTGGACGCCCATCTTGGCCATGTCGAGCACCTCGCCGGCCGTAATGTTGCTGGCGCCCTTGATCAGCGGCTGCGGCTTGCCCGTCGTCTCGGCAAGCTGCTTGTAAACGTTGTAAATCTGCACCATGCGAGGCGACATGGGGTGCTGCGTAGCCGGACTGCGCACGTTGGGGAACAGTCCAGTGGCAGGATCGTGAGCCTTGACCTCGTTGAAGTAAGGGCTGATGTAGAGACATCCAGCCTGGGACGAAGCGATCGCCTGAGGAACGCTGAAGAGCGAAGTGCCCAGAGTTCGGATACCCTCCTTGAGCAGAATTGGGCCGGCGTTCATACCAGGACCCGTAGCAGGGATCTTGATGCAGAATCGGTCCTTGTTGATACCGGCGCGCTCGAACTCGGCAGCGTATCGTCGAGCATGGTCGACAATCTTGGCGGTGTCGTAGGCGTCGCTAGGGCTCGTCTGCAGCAGAACGCGGTTCGAGATGTTGCCAATGTTGCGCTTGCAGAGCAAAACGCTCATTCGGTCGTAGACGGCTTCCCAGCCCTGCGAGCCCACCTCGGAGATGGTCTTGTGCAGCATCTCCTGGTTGTCGGGGTCAATGATACCATCGCCGACCAAAATCTGGTTCGAAGTCTGATCGTGAGGTCGGACACCGGCCTCGATCAGAGAGAGGGCGACCTTGGGGTCCATCGAGTCGACATCGACGTGGAAGGTGGTCTCGGCCTTAATGAGGCCGGAGACCTTCGGCTGGACATCCTTGTTGGCGATCTTGCTGATCTTGGCAGCGACGCCGATGGTGCTGTCGGCAGGCACGGCAACGCTTGTAGCAGTGGGAGGCGTCATATTACGTGTTGGAGAGGTCTTGCTGGATTGGTTTGTAAGACGACGGCGATAGGCTTGCTTGGCATGTTGGTCTTCCTTTGCTCACGACAGCTTGGTCTTATATTGCTTGAATATTGACAAGCTCGACGTTGTTCTGCGATGCGCGACTGCTGTCAGAGAGGGATGATTCGCGCTATCTGATCGACGTGGACATGACTGACTTACAGCGGTACGACAGCAGCGCAATGTATTGACCGACGAGTGTTTACAGGTCCCTGAAAGTGACCTGTACAGGCGTTCATCGATTTGCTGCACTACTATAGAAAGCTCTCCGTGCTCTCGCTGCATTCACTCATCCGTTTGTGGGCTGCTGCAGCGATCCAATCGGGCATCTCGACCTGCCGAGACCGAGAGAAGGTTGCCCTGCACCGGACCAGGTGTCGCCTAAGCGCAAACGCGGTACAGGTCCACACTTGATCTCTGGAGACCTGTGCAGTCAAACCACGCCACCCCTACCAGGCCTGCACAGGTCGCATCGCTGAGATTCGGGCTCGTGGACCCACGAAATGGGATCGAGGTCGCTCACGAGGAAATCGCGGGGGGAACTTGGATGCTTGCCCTGCACAGGGCTCATCTCGCTTATGATAATATTCTACCGCGCCGCTCCACCTGTGCAGGCCATGGATATAGAGCCTGTGCAGGCGTCCGCCGAGCTCGGGCCTGTGCAGGACATCGGCATGCTTTCTCCCCGCACGAACATGTGGCTTGAGCCCTTGCCGGCCAACTTCCCGGCAAAGCACTGTGCAGGGATGCTGCCCAGCTTTGATCGGTATCTTGGCATGGTCGCCCGGCAGCCGGTTCAAAATGAATTAATCCTCCGCTCACCAGCGGCATTCATTCAGGGTCTAAGAATTACCCCAGATGGAAGCATCCCCCACACTGATGTTCCTGAAACCTTAAGCGAACGTCGACTGCAGTTGCTGTGCAACGAGTCATGGTCTCGACGGCCGTTTTTGCCTCTCGGCTTCGGGAACCATTGCCGTTGCACCATGTTCCGTTGTCGTTGCACCTTGGTCCGAACTCCGCCCGAGCTCCTCGTGATCAGTCCTACCTACCTGTACAGGCCAGTCAGAGCTGTTTCCCCACAATCTCCGTGCATGTCCAGCTGAGACCTCCTTGAGTAGGACGATCCCGCCAAAGGTCCCTCCTTCAACAACATCACGACCGCATTGCTTCAACTCACGAACATAAATAGCAAGCTCAAGATTGCGTCTGATCAAGAATGACGCCTCTTCGCTCACCATACTCAAGCGCTATCTCAGGCGATCGGGAAACGAACAACAATACACACGAACATCTTCCATACATGGACCCAAACATGGACGCCCACACCAGCGGCAAGGTGTCTCTCAAAGACGCCGCCTCGTTCGAAGACAAGAAGGACGGCATCGACGTCAAAACCTACGATCATCAAGATGGGCGGATGCGCGACGACGAGGGCATCTATCGCGCCGAGAGCGAGCACCCTGAGCTGCGCAATGTCGACGCGGTTCTCAAGAATCCGCTTCACGGCATCCCGCGTGCCACATTAATGGAGCAAGTCACCGCTTTCTGTCAGCAAAATGAGCTCGGAGAGCACGTAGAGCTCTTCAAGAAGGCGGCTCTCGTTGCACAGTCGCCTCACGACTTCGAAACGATGCCTGAGCTGGACGAGGACGACAGATACCACATTCGAAGGGAGACAACGCATAGATGGTCGATTTCGAAGCAGCTTTGGATGCTTGTCTTTGTCGTATCTCTCGGAAGCGCCGTGCAAGGCTGGGATAACACCGGTGCGAACGGTGCCAATCTGTCCTTCCCGCAGGAGTTCGGCATCGAGGACCAAGGGTGGCTCATCGGGTTCATCAACTCGGCTCCTACGATCTCTGGGCTGATGTCAGCTTGGCTCAGCGACCCTCTCAACAATTGGTTTGGCCGACGATGGGTCATTTTCATCACAGGTCTCTTCACCGTGTTCCCGGTTCTGGCGCAAGCCTTCACTCGGAACTGGTGGGAGCTGGCTATCTGCCGACTGCTAATCGGCGTCGGTATCGGCTGCAAAATTACGACGATTCCTATCATGACAGCCGAATCTGTTCCTCCTGCGATTAGAGGCGGTCTGGTCATGTCGTTCCAGCTCTTCGTCGCATTCGGTATCTTTATCGGCTTTTGCTCGAACATGATCTTTTACAACATTGGACGTATCGCCTGGAGGGTCCAACTCGCCGCGGCATTTGTTCCTGCAGTGCCCCTGCTGATCTTGGTCTGGTTTATCCCCGAATCGCCTCGATGGCTGCTCAAGAAGCGTCGCTACGCCAAGTCCTTCCGTAGCTTTTGCAGGCTGCGAAACAGCAAAATACAAGCAGCTCGCGATCTCTACTACGCTCACGCTCAGATCGAGATCGAGCGACACTCCTTCGAAGGATCCACCTACCTTCGACGCGTCAAAGATCTCTTTGTTGTTCCTCGTCTCAGGACGGCAACTTTGGCCAGCTTCATCGTGATGCTCGCTCAACAGGTAAGTTCGAAAGACGTGCAAAAGATAATGATTTCCTCAATTGACACATTATCGAGCCTGAATTTTTGTCACCTTCGCCACCCCCTTCAACATCACCATCACCATCACTCATCGTCATCACCATGCGAATCAGTGCTCCGGCATTGGGATTATCGCCTTTTACTCGAGCACGATCTTCGCTGAATCAGGGGCGAGCACCAAGCAAGCTCTCGCAGCCTCTCTCGGCTTCGGGGCCGTCAACACGCTATTCGCTTTGCCAGCGGTCTGGACGATCGACACTTTTGGCCGACGAAATCTGCTGTTGTTCACGTTCCCCAACATGGCATGGTGTCTGTTTGCGGTGGCAGGTGCTTTCACTTTGAACGCAGATAGCTCGGCTCGCACGCCGTTGATTGCCTTCTTCATCTACCTGTTTACAGCATTCTACTCGCCAGGTATCGGGCCAGTTCCCAACGTCTACGCATCCGAGGCATTCCCTCTGTCTCATAGGGAGATGGGCTCAAGTTGGTCGATCTTCGTCAACAACACCTTCTCGACCATCTTGGGACTGACCTTCCCCAGTCTGCTGGCAAAGCTGGGCCCCACGGGGGCGCTGTGCTTCTACGGCGGCACCAACATCTTTGCCCTCCTCATGGTTTTCTTTGGACTGCCGGAAACGAAAGCGTTCACGCTAGAAGAGCTCGATTTCGTCTTTGCCGTGCCAGCATCGCGCTTCGCATCCTATCAGGTTCGCAGCTGGTTGCCCTACTTCATCAAGCGCTACGTCTTCTGGCAGAAGAACGCATCCCTCACGCCGCTCTACCGCTGGCAAGATGGTCAGCGCTCGATCTCGAGCGCCAAATGATCCATCTCGCTCCATTCTTTCTCATGTTGCACTTGTCTTTGATTGCGAAACGGAATGCTAACGATTGCAAGCTTCGGTCGATTCCTCCTGTGTTTGAAGCGTGGAATTGCCGCGGACTTTGGCTGTCAAGGAACGAACAGAATGAGCGTGGGGGAGCAGCCGCCAAAGCAGGGTCGCATGGCGCCTAATTAGATATTGTAGTTCCCGAGTGCGGCTAAGGCACGAGGTTAGCGCTTGGGCCCTGTGGCGGATGAACTTCCCCGCATTCTCATCGAGAAGGCTAAACAAAGCACCGCGCAAGTCTGAACCCGCCTTTGTGAGCTTGCCGTAATGCCGTCGTGAAGACAAAGCAACACTGCTCACTTCGGTGCAACGGGGCCGACCACCGACCGGCGTATCTCGCTGAAGCACTCAGAAGCGCTCAGACCCAAGGGTCGTGCATTAGGCCGTTGACCCCCGGTCAATATCGTCGTTCGCCTCATCGTTCAACGCCGTCAATACATACTCACCACCTTGCAATAGACCTTTGCTTGGAGTCACAGTCTCAAGAATATGGCATCGACACCATCTCTTTTCAGCGAGCTCAGCTTTACGGCCATTCAAGAAGCATTCCCCTCGCCTCATCCAGCCATCGGAGCAGAGCAGGCCTCGCTGTTCTCGCAACCTTCGGATCCATCGCCTTCCTCGTCGACAGCTCGTCCAAAAGCTGTCACGCGTCCTTCGATTGCAACTTCCGACGAGCAAGATACTTCTGTCGATTCGGTGGCAAGAGGACAGCGAAAGAGGAAGCGAAACTTCACCAATGCAGATCGCGTCGTGCACAGCGTGATAGAGAAGCAGCGACGAGAAGCGTTTAACGAACGTCTTCAATACCTCGCCGATCTCATACCGGAGTTGCAAGAGCTACCGACATCGCAGCTGTTCAAGACGGTCGTTGTCAATGCGTCGGCGACGTATCATCAACGCCAAACCAAGCATCTCGAGACGTGTCTGCTCGAGATCGAGGCTCTACAGCGCAGATGTGCCAACCTTCAGCAAACTGTTTCGACACTGTCAGGATGCAATCCAAGCCAGCTTGCCGGGCCAAGCTTGAGCTCAGCCGAATTCGCCCGTGTTGAGCTCGAGATCCGCAAGGACCTAGCATCTCTACAGCAAGCCAGCCGCGCTCGTGCAAGTTCAACATCGACGAATCAATCAGCCCACACCGAGGCGTCAGAAGGACCAGCTCAAGCAACAGACATGGTCTCAATCGAATCGCAGGCAAGTGATCCAACGCATGTCCTAGCCGATGCATCGCTCGCCATATCGGCAGGTCTATTCGCCGCATCACACTTTGAGACCTCGTCGACGAATGCAGACTTCGCCCATGTGACGACGAGCGCCGAGGATCTGGCCGCTCTCGAACGCATTCTTCCTGGATTGCTGCCAGGTGCACCATCGGCAATGATGCCCGCTTGCGAGACGCCACAGGTGGCGGTCGCACCCATGCCGTTTCCATGGGAAAGCTTCTCGCCGGGCAACTTTTTCTATCGACAACTGCTCGAGGCTCGCGAACGCACGTAGCATGATGGTCCTGAAAATGAAAGTTAGCATTGCAAGTTGAACGGATCATAGCGAGCTGGCGATCTGTCCACCAACAGCCATGGAAGCGACGAAGACGAACAGGTCCAGGACGCCCGATGAGCTGCTGCGGGTGACTGTCTCGACACTAAGAGAAGCGAGTGATGTCAATGCCGGGCCAGGACACTACAATGCAAAGCGAAGAATAAGTCGTTCGGTCAATAATGAGTACGGCTATGTTGTTGATGCGGATATCACCGAATCGCGTTTGTTTGAAGATACTTACCAGTCCGGTCGCCCCCCATCCGAGGCCGAACAGCACAGATCCGCCGATGAGTCGAAGATCGATCTTCGAAGGGTTGGCTGGCGTTCTCCATTCGGGCGCGACGAGCGACAATTCCGGTTGCAGCTGCGTGTCGAGCTTGGCTGGTCTCTTGGAATCGGACTGAGCGCTGCGTCGACGCAGCTCGTCCTGCTTTGGCTTGACCTCGCGGAAGTAAGCAATCGAGGCAGGGATGATACCACCGATAGCTACCATCGCTAGAGAAGGGTCCCAAGCACCGGAAGAGATGAGCTCGGGCGACAAAGAGAGGAAGCCGAGCACTTTGGTCGGTCTCATCATCCCACTGACGGCGAGGGCGAAGGAGAAGTGGATGCCTACGAAGAAGGCCATGATCCTTGCTGCGATCAGTTGATACGATCTGTTCTCTTGTGGTGGCGCAGAAGGATCGATGGCTCCGAGTAAGCCGGGCACGCTGCGGTAGATGATCGCGGGAGCTTGAAGTACGAGGAGCGTCCCAAAGTCAGGCTGCGGGAACATGCTTGGAAGATGGCTAGCGAATGTAGTCTTGATGGCCGCTGATGAGGTCGCAGAAGGGGCCGTCGTTGTGACCCGGGTCGCGACAGCAACACCAAAGAAGGTCGCAGTGGCCACGAGCGACCTCAGTGACAGCCTCGAAAGCCCGCAAAGGAAGTGTCCGGATGTGCAACCGTTGCCCAGCTGAGGAAGCTCAAAGGAAATGAAGGAGTCGTCAGTCGGTCTCGTTTGCTACAGATTCATGGACGACTAGAAAGACACTTACCTTGGTGCCGAATCCTACCATCGCGCCGAGCCCGGCCAATTTGAGCAGGGAAGCGCGATGGACATTGGTGACGTCGTCCAGAATCGACACGCCGAGCCCGGCCTCGACCCAATTGCGGGACAGACCAAGGATGACGCCCCCGGTCAAGATGCCTGCCGTGAAGTATCGAGCAGCAAGCGGGAAGATTGAAGATTGCGATGCAGATGGATCGCCCTTGATTGCTCCCAGGGTCGACGACACGGTTGAATGAAAGAAGCCCGAGATGCCGAGGACCATTCCTGACTTTGACAGCAGCGTATGTAACGATGAAGCCATCATCAGCCCGCCAGCGAGGCTGTGAAAGGGCGTGCAGTCGGCCAAGCCCGCCGTCATCTTGAACGATGCTTCGTCTTGGCGTAATCGAGAATCGAGCTGTCAAGATTGTGAACTCAATCCTAGAGGAGGACGGAGGAAGAAGATGTATGATCTCGGACCCTGACGAGCTGGCTCGCTTTGGACCCTTTCGAGAATGGACGACACACACACACACGGCTGAGAGAAAGGCTGATCGGGCGCGGATCGTGTCGATTCGACACCATCCCCGACAGCGCCGACTGATCCGGCTATTCAAAAACAGCCAAAGGGGAAACTGTGCTTCTGCCGGTTCCTTGTCCGTGGCGCGCGTCACCGGAAAGAGCAACACAAATCGAAAAGGGCCATCATCCTCGCGGAGTCCGAGATTTCACTTTTGTTCGTCGTGGACCTGCAGCGGATGCCGAGGTGGACGGAAAGGAGCCGGTGCAATCTCGACTTGACAGCGCTGAGAACGTTTCAAGCCCGAGCTCGAGAGTGTAGTAGTCGGACCAGATACTTGCGAGCAAAGCCGGCTCGAATAGCTAATGCCGCGGCCGCCGCCGTGAATGAAGCCGACCGAGCGGAAATATCGTATGTTCGGCTGTCTATCTTGGCTTTCGCCGCGATGAGCTTTGTTTCCCGTCTTCGAGCGTCGTGTTGCTCTTTGTCCTCCCTCTCACTTCTTATCCCGAACCGGCGCCCGAGTAGCAGAACAGAAGGCTGCGTCACGCATGTCTATCTGCTCTCCTAGCACCTTTGTCGCTCGCTCTTCCGCGACCGTATAGAAAGACCCTGGCAAGATGGATCGCGCTTGAAGAGACCAAGGAAGAGCCAACGCCGGCCGTCACCCCTTCGATCGATCACTCAGCCATCAATCTGAACCCTCGAGCGCATCGTCGATCACAGAAGGGCCGACGAGCAGCAGTACAGTCCCGTCCATTCCTCGAACAAGCTCTGACGCTGAGCCGATCGAACGCCGACCTACAATTACGCTTGGACTTGCACAAGAGTGCTCGACATAGACACGACACAATCACATAGAAAGCCTCCGCACAGAACACGATCACAGCTGCGCACGCAGAACAGCACAATGAGCACAAAGACGGAATCAGAGTCTGCAATACCTCCCGTGGAGAACCCACGGGAATGGACGGCCCGCAAGAAGACTAGAGTCACCCTGATTCTTGGCTCGATGGTGTTGTCTTACACCTACCTGTCGACATCCTTCGCCTTGTCAGCCAATTCGCTGCAGCGACAATTCAACGCCAGCGCCGAGGTCGTCACTCTTGGTCTGTCGCTCTACGTCCTGGGCTTCGCCCTCGGACCACTGCTCATGGGCCCGCTCGCTCAGACGAATGGTAAACGGCCCGTCTACGTCGTCTCGTGGATCATTTTCACAGCCTGCTGCTTCGTCGTCTCGGAATCGAACAACCTTGGCAGCATTCTCGCTTTCCGACTCCTCAGCAGTATAGCGGGCGCATCGGCACTCAACAATGTACCAGCATCGTACAGCGACATGGCGACTCCAGTGACTTATCCGCCCTTCTTCACATGCTACGGCTTTTCAGCATTCGCAGGTCCAGCACTGGGAGGTCTCATCGGCGCCTTCGTCAACGAGCGAGCAGGATGGCGATGGAACTTGAGGCATCAAGCGATTCTCGTCGGCGTCGTCACTGTGATCAGCGTCCTTTTCGCGCCCGAGACGGACCATCCACGACTCAAGCGGTTGCACGATGCCAAGTATGGAGTGCGAGATCCAAGCTTACCCGTCAGCGAAAAGGTCAAGGGATCGCTGGCATCTCAGTTGTCCCACAAGTCGAGGTCCTTTGGCAATGCAGTGGTGCGATCGATCAAGCTGCCCTTCCAATGGCTGCTGACCGACCGCGTGGTGCTGGTAGTCTCCATCTACACGTCGCTGCTGTACGCCATCATCTACGACTTCTTCGTCATCATCCCGTTAGCCTTCGTCACCATCCGAGGCTTCCAGGCCGAATCGATAGGGTTGATCTACATTACGCTATTCATCGGATTCGCAATGGCGTCGGCGAACTATCTGTTCATTCAAGGGGCCATCAATCGACGGCTTCGGGCCAAGAGAGGCGAAGTGATGCTGCCACCCGAGACATCGCTCATCCATTCGATATACGGATGCTCACTTGCGCCGGTAGGGCTGTTCTTATTCGCTTGGACCGTGCCGTTTACGAGTAAGTACATTGCTCTCTGATCCTGTCGACTCTGATTTCAAACGACGCTGACCTCAGTACTTTTCCTTGCTCATCCGAACACAGACATTCACTGGATCGTACCGGCAATCGGCATCGTCTTGCTATGTGCTGGATCGATGTCGGCGTTCACGTCGCTCATTCCCTATCTTGTAGCGTACGGCGGTCCTTCGGCTCCAAGTGTGCTGGCCGCAGCAGGCTTCTGTCGATCTGCGCTAGCAGCAGCATTGCCGCTGTTCACGCGCCAAATGTGTCGAGGCATCACGGTGCAAGGGGCGACGAGCTTGCTGGGAGGCCTCGCGCTGCTCTTGACACCTGTGCCGCTTTTCCTCTACATTCACGGCGGCAAGCTCCGTGAACAGGTTAGGCAACGAAAGGAGGCAGCTGCAGCAGCCGAGGCGGCAGCAAAGACAGACGCGAGCGGACCTGCGACGACAAAAGAGATGGGCAGAGAGGCCCCAATCGGAGCGCGTGTCCCACCAGGTGGCACAGTCGAGAGGGAGGACTCGCACTCGTCAGCCGACGCTTCCACGGCTGTTCCCGAGTCAGCGGCATGATTGGTCCGTTCGTGTGACAATAGACATACACTTGCATTCGACTCGTTCGGATTCGTGAATGCGCGAGAGTCGAAAGAACCCGGCAGCGTTACTGAGCTCGACCACATTGCGCAGAGACCCTGCAGGAGTCACGTTATCAGGTACTCAGGAGCGTGCCAACATCGAGCAGATTCGTCGCTCGGGTGGCCAAGGTCTCCTCTGAACAATGGCGATGCGTGTGTGCGCCTGGATAATGAGATGCAGGTCCAGGTCGACGGCGGACCCCCGCGCTGGCGAGTCGACAGTTGGGGAATGACAAGCAAAGGACCCTGCGCGGATCGAAGGACCCGTGGGAGGTCCGGACGTGAGCCACTGCAGGGGCTGGTGCGTCGTCTACATGCTCGTGGCACCCATTCGATTGGTACCAGTCTTTTGGGTCAGACGCAAACGCGACACACGATTCGAGCTAGGAATCATTATGATAAGGATCACATGCAATCGTCATGATTGCAATGAGCGAGAAGTCCTCTGACGACAGACATTGAGACGGTTGCCCCCTTCCATATCGTCACTCCCACAAGAAAAGTGCGAAAAAGTTGACCGGCGCAAGCAGTTTCAAGCGCCGACTGAGGAGAAGAGACGTGCTAGCAAGTTGCGACGCAAGACGGCAGCTTCGTATGCTAAGGTGCATGCCGCCAGTCGCCAGAGTGCCATGAACATATCGAATGATCGTATTGCCCTTTCACGTCACTGACGTCGAGGCTCAGAGGATGTTTCCGCTCGAACAACAATGCTCTCAACCGGCGGCCGAAAAGTTTTGATTCAGACGCAAGGAAAGCGCGTCTCCATTGTGCAGGGCAAACACCTCTATCTCCTCTGCGTGCCAGCTAGACTGGTCGTTTGCCTCGTCAATAAGCGGAATTCCTCGGCGTCAAGCCTTAAATGATTTTCGCCCACGTTTTCGAGCGTTGAGCACGCGGAGCTCGAGCCTTGTTGTGCGATTTTGCTTCGGTTTTCTGGCTCGAGTCGCGGTTTCCTGCCACAGACAACCTGAGCTCTAAATTCCAAAATTTCAAAATCGAGGGCGCGGGGGGCGCTCGTTGGATCGCCTGTCAAAACTGCGAGAAGAAAATCGACGCAGCTGCTAAGCGAGCGGCGTCTAGGCACGTTGATGGAGAGAATGTTGCTCTGTGGCAATTGAGCCAGCACGGCAGGGCACAGCCTTGTTTTGCCATTCTTCTTGACCTTCTCCTGCGTGGGTGCGTGCATGTGCCTGTGCATTTCGCTGCCGGTCGGCACAGTGCGCAGAAAACAAAACAAGCGTTTCATGCACACCTGTCCTTGCTGTCCTTCTTCGCTGCGTCGAATTCCTTCTTGCCAGCTTGCCGAACCTCTCAAGCAGCTTGGCAAGACCCCGAAATCGAAAGCTCCCTCGCCCAAAAGATGGGGAAACCAAGCAGTCTGGCGGAGTTGCGTCGCTGAACTCTTATCACTCCTTCTTCGGCAGGACCAGCAAGTCAAAGACATGCACCACCGAGCATGCCCGACCGTGTGTGTCTGTGTGTCCTCTAATCCCTTGAAAGCTTTGCGTCACCTCGGCGTGCACGAAGCCTTGTCAACCAGCTGCAGCTTTACATGCATAACTTATTGTTCTCGTCCTCTGAGCTTCCAGGTCCACCGACCTTCTGGACCCACAAAGTTTGTACGCTCGACCCTGCGCACCCTTGCCCCTCGAATGCAGTCAAGCTCTCCCGCCTTTTGGTCCGCCCCACAGCCCGGTGTACTCCAACGGCGTTGATCAGCCTGTTGACCTGCGTGTCGATCCGGTCAAATGCGTTTCATCATTTGATCCTCCTCCGCCTCTTCTCCTCCCACCACCTCTCGCTCTCGTCGCCGTCGTCGTGGTGGTCACCCAATGCTTCATCAACAACCACATTCGCAGAAGGTGCCTCTGCTTCCGTTGCAGGCGGAGGGCCTTCCATGCTCTCAACACGGCGACTACGATGACTGCGACCTCCTTTATCCGACGCCTTCCAAGCATCACTACTGGTCTGCAACACCATGGGCACGACGTCTAGGCGGCTTGGCCGACTCCTCGACAACAGGGCTGGTCCCTACTCTTGTCGGCCTTCCTTTGCTCGTCTCCATCATTGCGCACATCTACTTTCGCATGTTCTCGACACTACATATCTTTCTCGCCGTCGTCTGGATCGGCCTGCCTGTCGCAACCACATCAACACTAGCCGCCGTCGCATCACGGTACCTTTCCAAGAGCAATGCAAGCCGCGACAACCTCAAAGCCGCCCTGCTCACTGCTCTGCTATGCACCGTCGCATGGCGCACCTTCACCGTCAATCATCATCATTCGCTTCCCGACCTCGACTCGTACCCTCGCAATAGCAACAACGAGACCGTTTTCATTGCCGTCAACCTCTACAACTCGGAGCATCTTTTCCCTGCCTTCTCGGACAACCTGCTCCAAGTCGTCCACCACCTCGGTGAGGAGAACGTTTTCATTTCGATATACGAGAGCAACTCGCACGATCGCACCAAGCAGCTCTTGTCGCAGTTCGAACGCGAGCTTCACCTTCGCGGCATCCAGAACAGCATCCGCATGCTCGACAACAACCGCAGGAACGACATGGACCGAATCGAGCGACTGGCTCTCATCAGGAACGAAGCGCTCAACCCAATACAGTCGGGCGTTCACGGTCTCCACGGTCGCACATTCTCCAAGCTACTCTGGTTGAACGACATCTTTTTCCGCCCAGAATCGGTACTCGAGCTCTTTTCGACAAACGGCGGGCGATTCGACCAGGTCTGCGGTCTCGATTACCTGCCGCTCGGCTTCTACGACACCTGGGTCATGCGCGATGTCGAGGGCAATCGACAAACGCCGCTCTGGCCGTACTTCCACCTCGAATCGGACATTGCTCGATTGCGCAAAGGCGAGCTCATCCCAGTCAACGCCTGCTGGAACGGCATGACCATCTTCGACGCAAAATGGTTCCTTCCAACGTCGAACTCGACAGCACAACCTGGTGTAGACGACGGCCCGATTCGCTTCCGCACGCATCCCGAATGCCTCGCCTCCGAGTGCCTCCTTCCCAGCTACGACATTCACGTCCGCAGCAAGCAGCGCCCGCAGATCTTTGTCAACCCGCGAGTCGTAGCCACCTATCAATGGCGCGACTACCTCATGTACGACTGGATCATGCGCTCCAACATCGTCAATATCTGGAGTCGCATCTGGCAAGATTTGATCAGCCACTCGCTCTTCGGCTTTTTCGTCGAGATCGGTCGCAAGAAGGACGACTGCGCGGAGGCACTTCGACGCGGCTGGAAGCCGTTATAGCGCTATGTACATAGATAGATAGATACATCATTCTTTTAGACAATTTGTTTTGCATCGCTCCTTGCTTCTGGTTCTCGTCTCCGCAATATCACATGGGCATTCAGCTTCGAAGAACTGGCTGCAACTCTTGCGCGCCTGCACAGCTATGCCCAAGTTGGTATGAATTTTTAAACTTCCCTCGTGATGCTGCACAGATGGTTGATGTGTGTTTGAGTCACAGAGCTTGTTTTGTGTGAGACCATGGAATGCAGCAGCTGAGTAGCAATGAACACAGGCACAATCTGCAATTGCTTGCAATGCTGCACACATTGATGGCCAGGCCAGCAGAGGCTGTGTGGCTGTCTGTGGGATGCAACCAAGTGTATATGGTGTGTGTGTGGAGCTGGAGCAACAAGCAGGAGGCGTCTGACAAGGCAGAACAATGCACCACCGTCTCACCGCAAGCTGCCAACCTAGCCCTAGGCCGTTGTCCGGCTTGGCGGGTGACGGAAATATTTGCCTGCCAAATTTGAGGGCGACGCAGTTTGAAACTTGGGTGCCGGAACAAAAATGGAGACTGGTCCAGTGCTGCGCCAGAATGAAATTGGATTTCAACTTGGGCGGAAAAGGTGGAGGCAAGGGTTAGGGTTTTATGGCAACGGTAGAATGATGTTGGTGCGTCAGTGGCCTGGCAAGACGGTCCAATTGAAATTTCAAGTCGGGAAATTGAATTGGCAGGAAGGCGGTCAGCTTCAAAACTAGAGATGCATTGTATTCATTTTGGATTTCCTGGCAATTTCCATCTGGCAGGCAGAGGGCACCATCTGGAAGACGGTCTGATACAAGCAGCAAGGCGGTCAGCTACAAAGGCAAGAC